GGGGGGGGGGGGCGAGCACGGGGCCACCACGACCTGTTCACAGCTGTATTCGATCATTACATCGCACACTCCCTCACCCCCCACCCCCCCCTCAAACACACACACATACACTCGCCCGCAAATGATTACACTCGTGCACATCATCGCACCGCTTTACGTGTACACATCTTCGACCATGATCACGTGGGAAGAGGACTCCACCGGCACAACATCCCCATCCCCATTCACCCACAACAAGCCCAAAGACCAAGACAGTACACGTGCTACACCATCGATCAAATTCAGATCACATCACCACCAACATCCTACTCACCCATTTCCTATCATCGCCCGCTGCTCCAGCTCTTGTTCGCACTCGCCGTAGAGTACCGTGTGGCAGCCAAATCGCACGTGCCAACCACCGCCGGCACGGGGCGAGACGCCTCCCCCCCCCCGCCACACCCACTCCCCCCCTCCCACCAACCCTGATTAGTCACGGCTACCCACACCGCCCTCTGTTTCCAAACAGGAAATCAAGATGACGTCCCCGCAAGCCCTCATGCTTGCTCTCGCTCTCGCTCTTGCTCTCGCCCTTACTTCCACTGCTTCTGCTACTGTTTCGACTACGGAGCGGACAGTGGTTTTTTCGCGGGCGCCTGACGCCTTTCCAACAAACTGGCGGCTGAACGGCGTGCCACCTGCTGCTGCCTCGATGCGCATCCACTTTGCGCTCCGCCAGCAGAACATTGCCCAGCTCGAGGCTGTGGCCACTGCCGTGAGCGATCCCGACTCGCCGCAGTACGGCCAATACCTCACCCCGGCCGAGGCCACCGCCATCGTGGCACCCTCGCCCGACGTCCGCGCCCGTGTTGTCGCCTGGCTCGCCGAGGAGGGCGTGCCGGCCAAGGCCGTCTCGGGTTCGCTCGACTCTGTCCGCCTCATTGCACCGGTCGCCGTCATTGAGCAGGTCTTCCACACCTCGATCGTCGCCGCCGAGCACGAGCTCACCGGCGACGGGGCCCTCGTCGCCGTGGGCGAATGGTCCGTCCCGGCCCACCTCGCTAACGACATTGCCATGATCACCGGCATCTCCGACTTTCCCATTCGTCGCTCGTCCGCGGCGCGCGCCACCCTCCTTGCCGGTGACGCTCCCGATGCTGACGGCGACGCCGATGCCGGCGAGAACCCATACTCCACGCCGTCGACGTACTCAAACTCGGCCTTTGGCAACGACTTCTGGCCGCAGCTCGGCCGCGTCGTGCCGCAGACCATCCAGCGTGTGTACAACATTTCGGCCGACCACGCCCAGGCCTCGTCCAAGGTCACCCAGGCCGCAGTCGAGTTCCAGGGCGTCGACTGCTTCTCGTACACCGACATGGAACAGTTCCAGATTCACGTCGGCGTCAAGTTCACCAACGTCTCCAAGATTATCGGCGACACTACCCGGTTCCAGCCCATCTCCTGCCAGGGCGAGACCAACCTCGACCTCGAGCAGATGCTTGGCGTGGCGTCGCAGGCCCAGACCTGGTACTTCTCCGTCGACCAGTGGATCTACGAGTTTACCCAGGAGTACCTCGCCCTCCCGGCCGCCGACTCGCCCATGGTCACTTCGCTCTCCTACGGATGGATGGCCAACGAGCAGTGCCAGATTGGCCAGGCCGCGTGCTCCAAGCTCGGCGTCAGCTCGCAGGGCTACGTTGAGCGGTGCAACACCGAGCTCGCCAAGCTCGCCGCCGCCGGCAAGTCCGTCATCGTCTGCACTCAGGACGAGGGTGCACCGTCTGATCTCAACACCGAGTGCCAGAACTCACAGAACCCGGTTACTCCCATCTACCCGGCCTCCTCACCGTGGGTCACCTCGGTCGGCTCCACTGCTCTCCTTGACAAGTTCCCCAAGCCCAGCACGGCCGCTGTCGCCGCCGACGCCCCGGCCGCTGACGCTCCGATCTGCTCCAAGATCCGCTGCTCCCAGGGCACCAAGGAGGCTGTTGCCATGTCGCCGAACGCCGCCTTTACCTCAGGCGGTGGATTCGCCGACTATGCCGCCCGCCCTGCGTGGCAGGACGCCGCCGTCAAGTCGTTCCTCGCCGACTCGTCCGCGCTCCGCCCCGACTCCCGCTTCTTCAACGCCTCCAACCGCGCCTACCCGGACATCGCCACCATGGGCACCTCCATCTTCTATCTCGCCAACTGGGGCCAGCCCGGCTCGCACATGCACACCGAGGGCGGCACCAGCGCGTCGACGCCCATCTTCTCCGGCATTGTCTCGCTCCTCAACTCGGTTCGCGTCGAGTCTGGCGCCGCCCCGCTCGGATTCGTCGCCCCGCTCCTCTACAAGATGGCTGACGAGTGCCCCGAGTGCTTCAACATCATCACCTCTGGCAACAACACCTGCACCGGCTGGGGCCGCCAGATGCCGTGCTGTGATGGCGCTGGCTACGGCGCCCGCAACGGATGGTCTCCCACCGTCGGCCTCGGCACCCCCAACGTCGGCAACATGATCGAGTACGTCAAGCGCATGAAGCGGTGATGGTACCCCATCCTATACCCATTCCCCTCAAACCGCATTTTTTCCCGTTTCCGGTCCAAAGCGCACCTCTGTGTATGGCCTCACATCAACAAACGATCCACAGTGGTGGTAGTACCGGGCCCTTGCCGCTGCCAACAGCCTGCTCACCTGCTGCTCTTGATCCCCGCCCCTCTACCGCAGCCCACGCTTCACCACACCGCACTCACGGTCTATGCTCCGTCTCACGCACCAGATCACTCTAACAGCAGCCCGTACCTCCACACTTCCACAGCTCGCCATGGTTGGGTCCATTGCCAAGGCCGAGCTCAAGACCAAGCTCGAGGATGGGGTGTACCTCATCGACGTGCGGACGCCCGACGAGGTGGCTTCCACGGGCATCATCCCGCACGCCGTCAACGTCCCGCTCGATGCCATCCCGCCTCTTTTCGAGTATCCATCCGAGGAGAGCTGGGAGGACGCCGGACTCCCGCCGCTCCCGCCCAAGGACACCCCGATCATCTTCTACTGCCGCTCGGGCGCCCGTTCTGGAATGGCCGCCAACTATGCCGAGCAGGCCGGCTGGACAAACACCATCAACTACGAGGGCTCGTGGCTCGACTGGTCGCCCACCGGATGAGTCTCTTCCTTCAGCTTGGCCTTTGCCTCAATGGGACGGCATCTATCAATCCAACCGCACATGCAGCGCGTTTCATCATTGTAAACACAACGTATCGTTCAATCAATCATGGAGACCTTACCGCGGCGGAAGGAGGGTGAACATGGCCTGAATCGCCAGGTGGTCCGACGGGTACTCGGCGTTGGGGCATCCCTCACCAAGCTCGTCGGGAAGCGGGACGGCACGAACCCGCTCGGCTCGGATCCGCGACGACTGATACCACAGGTAGTCGAGCGTGCCCGAAAAGGTGTTGGTGTAGTTGGTTGTCACCGGTTCACCGCGGACAACAGTGGCATACGCCGACTGCAGGTCGGCGATCGGATGAGTGAAATAGTCGCGGGCAAGGCGGAAGAGCATTTGGTATGGATTGTCCTCGCCCATGCCACGCTCGGAGCCGACAAACACCGGATTCACGCTCACCAGCGCCTCGCCGTGGACTTCGTCTTCGATTTCACCAGTAGCGAGGAGGACGTAGCCCGGTGAGGTCGGCAGCAGGTTAAAGTCGCCACAGAGTATCAGCGGCGTCTCACGCTCCTCGGTGAGCACCGCCAGCTTTTGCAGCAGGAGTGCCATGTGGAACGTCTGCACATCGCACTGCATCCAATTCCAGTACCCGTGCACAACCGTGACACAGAAAGGGAGCCCCCGCGCCTTGTCCTTCACAAACATGGCCAATGCCACGTTATCGGTGAGGACCCGTGCCTTGGCTGGGTCGACATCTATCGCCGCACACGCCTCGGCCGCGAGCTCGTTGAGCGAGATCTCGCGCTCCTCCACCACCTCGAACAGTGAGGTCTTGTAGAAGAACGCCAGCCCCTCTGCCACATCTCCAGTCTTGCGCAGCGCCCGCCCAGCATACCCCAGCTCTTCCATCGCCGGCGCGAGCGCCACGTCAAAGTACTCGGTCTCCACCTCTTGCAGGCACACCACGTCACCGTCGAGCGCCTCGAGTTCGGCCATAATCTGGTGATGACGGGCGTTGATGCCCTTGAGGGCCGGCGGACAGTAAGGGTACTGTCCCTCTGAGATGTAGCAATCAGCAAGAATGTTGTACGAGACAACAGTGAAGGCACCCGGTGGTCGAGTCGTCATCTTGGGCACCCACCGCCGCTTGCCCACCGACGCATGCGCCACCACCGCCGCCTTTCCTCCGCTTGGCCCTCCCCGTCCCTCGCCGTCATTCCCGCGGAGTGTAGATGAGAACCCACCCATGCTCCGTACCGTCCCCCTCGACCTTGTTTTCTTCTTGTGAGAGAGAGGTTACCACACTTCCTCCTTTCTCCGTGGGTGTGGGGTGGGTGGACCTGGTGACGACGACCGGTTGTTGCAACGTGTGCGCCATAAGCCCAAAACTTGTGGAACACGCACCGAACCTGTCGCCACCCCCCTGTCTTTCTCCCCAACTCGCCGCAAACTCCTCCGCACACTGCCGCAGCCAGACCATCAGCCTCACACACGCACAGACAAGCACGCGACCATTTCATAAGCATCAACTACCGCCACTACTGTGCTACTTGATCGGGATTGGCTTGCTAACTTGACGATGCAAAGTCCTCGAGCGCATGCCCGCTGCTCTCGTCTTCGCCATCGGACCATGAACCATCGTCGCTAAAGGCGGCTGTGCCCGAGTCTGAGTCTTCCCACACCAGCGCAAGAATGCCGCGGAGCTGGGCAACGTGAACACCGTTTCGCTCGACAGCAGCCTCAAACGAGGTTCGGCCCGACGATGCCGCCATGACTTTGCGGAGCGGGACCACGGCATCGCCAACCGACGCAACCGTGACGACCACGACCTCGGCCTGCAGCTCCTCATGATCGATGGCCGCGAGCTGAACCCTTGCCGTGTGCTTGCCATCATGGACCCGGCTGGCAGCGTCAGAGTCGACAAACGGGGCCCAGACCCGAAACGACGACAGCGAACGCAGCTCGCCGGACGAGCTCGACTCAGTCTGCACAGCATTGTCGTCGAGAACCAGGCCACCCACCAAAAGCGTGTGCCGCCCGAGCGGCTCCAGCCAAGTTGTCACAGGAAGGTACGGAATGCGAACGTTGACTGCAAATGCAGCGATCACCGGCTTGTGATCGGACGTTGCAACGTCCGGAATCGAGTCGTACGCTTCGATGTGGACCGCGCCCACGAGATGAGGCTGTGAGACAAAGAGCACACGGTCCGTCCACGACGGGATCCGTGGCGGCTTGCCGTGAGTGGTAAAGTCCGATGTACCGCGAAGGTACCGGTAGGTCGGTGGAAAAGCAAGCTTTCCCTCACGTGCCCGAGCAAACACACGCCCGCGCGCAATCTCGTGGGTGAGCTGATCGCGCTTGACCAGCGCTCGCCACTTGCGCGCCGCCACCAGCGCCTCAACTTCCTTGCGCTTGGCGTCGATGCGGTAGTTAAAATCGCCCAGCCAGAACGTGTGGTGCGCCTTGGATCCCAACTCCAGCCGCCGCTCGGCTTTGCACCCACCGATCTCTCCCTTGATCCCACTAACAGCCTCCACAAAGTTGCTGTTCCGCACCTTGACCTTGTCCTGACCGGCCGCAAAGTGGGCAGCGACAAAGACGAGCCGCGTGTCCAGGAATCGCAGATATGCGCAAACCACACCCTTGTTGCCTCCAACATGCGCAAAGCCAGTTGCCTCCTTGGCCACCTGCACGTGCGAGACCTTGTTGAGGTGCGCTGTCCGAACCGCCACCACCAGCCGAATGTCCCACAGCGACTTGGCCACTACAATCTGGTAGCTCGGCCCAAGATGCGTGCCGAGTGTGTCGTACCACGCATCACGAGTCCGCGCTCGGATCTTATCACCGTGGGCGTCGCGGAGCGCAAACGCACACTCTTGCACCGATACCACCACCAGGTCTGCGTCCAGATCGTGCGGCAGCATCAGCGCAAGGTCCGACCCGTCGCTGCTGCTCTCGGACGAGCTGCCGCGCAAAGGGCCGACCGCCCCGCGCCCGACCGATGGCGCCGCGTTGCCCATATTCCAACTCACACAGTGGATGGCAAGCGGAACCGAGAGCAAGCCCCGCTTCTCGCGGGTATCAAACTGCATCGACCACAGCAGCTGATACACACGCGTCGCCACGTCCGGCCCGGTCAAGTGGAGAGTGAGATAGTGGATCGGCCGCCCGTCCCACGCCGCAGGCACCACAAACTCAAAGGTCGACGACAACCGCGTACTGACAAGACTCTTGGCTTTCGACGATGGTGTGAGCCCTGGCAAGAGGACAACTCGGACCTGGTTTGGGGCCACCCGGTCGATGCGGAACGTGTTGGCAGCCTCAAACACCACGCCGCCTATCACAAACGCGAGTTCGCTTGCATAGAGCAGGACCCGGTATGAGCTGGCCTTGCGAAAGCACGATGCCACCGTCCGCACGTTTGGCTTACGGAGCCAAGCCGTGACGTCGAGCGTCGGCTGCGCCCAGCCCGCGCTCCTGCAGCTGTCCTCCTCGCCCGACGACGAGACCTCCTCAGCCGTCGAACCACCGCCGTAGCCGCTCGAGTCAAGGACTGACGATGCTATCGTTGTCGTTGTCGCTGTCAGCTCGCTCGCGCTACTGCTCTCACTCGACCAGCCGTCGCCTTGGTCCTTGGCAACCGAGACCAAGCCGCGCATCGAACGCGGCCGCCCAGCCGCCACCCGAGGGCGGCTCCGCCGACGCTCCGCCCGCAATCGCGCCGCTTTCACCCGTGCAATCCGTTGCCTACGGCGAGCATGCTCGGGATGCGGCTCAGGATGGACCAGCAGCCCGCCAGGCCGGGCCGGTCCCCGCGATCGGCCGCGCCTCGACCGCCTTGCCGCCGAGTACCCGCCATCGCCCTCCTCAGTGAGCTCCTCCGAGTAACCATCGTCCTCCGAGCCGGTGTCGTACTCATATTCAGATTCGCAACTCTCGCCATCGTCCGACACGCAGCTCGATCCGCCCCTAGCCAAGCCCAAGCCCAAGCCCAAGCTCGATCCCGAGTCCAAGCCCGAATCCGAGCCCGAGCCCGTGTGCGCCGCTGCTCTTGCCACTCGCCGCTGGCGCTCCCTGCTCTGCTGCGACGCCACCCTCCGACGCATACTACAGACACCTCAGCCGTGACTCGCTCTCTTGCACACAGAGCTTGGCGGAGACACGAGTTTGCCGTGGTACCAGTCCTGCAGCAGCCGAGGTGAGGAACTGGCCGGGCGAGCTGCGGTGAACGAGGACGGAACCGCACGGCTCCACATCACACACCAACACACACGGTCGCACACCGTATTCCCCATCCCCCCCCCCCCCCCTTACCAACTAACCCCAGACATTGTTCATTTTTAACTGCATCGCTTTCATGACCTCGATTCGCATCCCGATCGCTGCATGCATCACTCCCAAAGCCTCCATACTCCTCAGTCTGGTTGCCCAGTTTGGACTGCGAAGGAGAGCGTGCCTCGCAGCGAGCAAGGTCACCTCCTCTAGAAAGCTCACAACTTCACTCTCCGCTACCCTCACCCTCACCCGTCCTCCCCTCACACGCACACACACACACTCTCTCTCTCTCCCTCTCTTTCTCTCTTCTCGCTTTTCTTAACCACCAACCCCGCCTCTACCCTCCCTCTGCTGGCCATGGAGCACGAGCGCAAGCCATTCACAGAGACACCCGCCGAAGCTGCTGCCCGGTTCGAGATCGAGCTGGACTTTGTACAGAGCCTGGCCAATCCAAAGTACCTCGAGTGTACGCAGACATCAGGCGATGAAGCCATGCTACCCGCCGCACCCCCTCACCGTCCCCCCCTCCCCCCCTTTCATCTCATCATCATCTTGTTCACTCACTGATCCCTCCCGTCTGAGCACAGATCTGGCTCAGCGCAAGTACTTTGCCGACAAGCGGTTTGTGGCATACCTCAAGTACCTGCAGTACTGGCGCTCGCCAGAGTACGCTGTCTTCTTGGCCTACCCGCACGCCTTATTCTTCCTCGAGCATTTGCTCAATCCAGCTTTTCGCTTCCGCCTTGAGCACGATTCAGGCTTTGCCGAGCTTCTCCACGCGCAGCAGGTGTATCTGTGGACCCACAACGCCGCACTTCGCCAGGCCGATGACGCCGAGGCGCTTGCTCCCGCCACCTCTGCGCTGGCGCCGCTGACATCCAAAGTTCCAACGCCTACTCTGTTGAATGCGTGTCCGAGCTCAGGTGCTGCATCATCAGCGCTCGTGCCCATGGCCATCGAGTAGTCTTTACCAAAACGTCGGAAGCAGCGCCGCTGAGCCGCGCGGATCACCATACGCCGCCCGGATGTCGTGCAGGAGCGGGAGAACAAGGTGAGCGTTGCCGGCCTGCACATCATGCGGCGACCAGAGATGGTTCCACGGCATCCGCTTGTTGGCCCGAAGCTTATCCAGCGCAAGCGTGATGTTGTGCATAGCCTCGGCGTGGGTCCGCGGCGACGTATGGACGCCCGGCAGTGGGCCTCCCTCGACAGCGGCCACCACATCAGTGAGGAACGTGCCGTCCGAGAAGAGCGGGCGCAGGCTCGCCGGCGCGAGGTCGTTTGAAGAGAGTCCGCCGAACCCGAGCTTGTGCAGCCAGTCGAGGAGCTCGCGAGTAAGGTCGGCGTCGGTTGCCGTGCTTCGCCCCGGCGAGCCACGCTTGGGCGACAAAGGCAGGTCACGCGCTGGCGACGGTGCCTCAGTAGCCTCGGTCGCCTGCGCCATCTCGCTCGCCTGCCCGCCAAACGTGTCGTACATGTGCCGAAGGAGACCAAAAATGGCAACAGCGTCGCCAGACCCGATCTCGGTCTCACACGAGAGATACGCGTGCGGAAAGTCGGTCACCGTCCGCAGCGCCTCGAGCGCGAGCCGGACGTTGCTCACCTGAGACGTGAGCGTCCGTGGGTGCCGCATCACTCCGCGCAGCTCGATCCCCAGCACCACACCGACCAGATCGCAGAGCAGAGTGCCGCGCGACGCCTCGCTGATGAGATAAGCCTCACCGAGCGAGTTGAGCGGAACAGTCGAGTCGATGCAGCCAAGCGCTCGGATCCACTGCAAAAGCTGGCGCGCGCTGGCTGCCGCACGCGACCGAAGCCGCGGCGACTGCTCGCCGCGGATCCACCCACTTTCGCTGCTGCTAGCTTGGGCCGAGCCGCCAAATACCCGCCGGAGCTCATTGAAAAGGCCAAAGAGCAGCGCCTCGTCGCCGGTGATAAACTCCTCTGTCGCCCACAAATACCGCGGGTCGACGTCAGTCCGCGCCCGGAGCACAGCAAGGCCACGCTCCCAATTGGTCCACGCCTCCTCCAGACTCTTGGGTGCGACCACGTATGAGACTGGCGCGAGCCCCAGCGCGAGCAAGAGCGAACAAAGCGTCACCCCGTTGCGCAGCGGCGAGTTGAGCACGTCGTCATCTCTTGCTCGCAGCTGGTCGTCGAGTAGGCCGCCAACGTCGCGAATCCATTCCAGCGTCACCGCGTCACGCGCCAAAAGGCCACGGACCTGTCCACGACTTCCCAACTCGGGCTCTGGTGACGGCAGTGCTGCCGTGAGTGTAGACGCTGGCGAGAGTCCTGCTTCAAGCCCAGGCTCGGGCTCGGGCTTGGGTGGCGGCGTCGCCGCTGGGAGCGGATCTGGCGACACGCTTTGGACTGCCTTACTTACACGCTTCGGTCGCGCCCGGCGTCCAGCAGGCTTGCGCGACGACGACAGCGGGCGCTGGGCCGGTGGTTGCGGCGCCGGATCCACTGTACTTGCAGGATCGGCGGCATGGCGCCGACTCGTGGCTCGCGGCGTCCGTGGCGAGCGCGAGACTGGCCGGACTCGTCGCGGCTGCGGCTGGGGCTGCGGCTCGGGCCGCGGCTGTGGCTCGCCAGCCTCGCGCCGTGACGAGCTCCGCTTGGCCGACCGCCGCGGCTTGCGCACAGCCCGCGATGACGCCCGTGCGAGATCAACCTCGCGCGCACCGCCAAAGGCCTCAAAGAGCGCGTCGAGCAGCGCAAACAGCTGACCCACGTCGCCGGCAGCTAGCGCGTCGTCGGCAAACAGCAGTGCCGGCGGCAAGCCCTTCGTGTCCTTGAGCGCCCCGAGCGCGCGCTTAAAGTTGGCCCGCCGCGCCGCAAGCGACCGTGGCCGCTCAGCCACGCCGGCAATGCCGCGCCGCGACTGGACCCCGACTCGCTCGACAAGCTTACACAGAAGCACGCCGTCGGCGAGCGACGCGGCCACAGCGCCAGCCTTCGAGCCTACGGTGGTGAGCCAATGCTCGATGACTGCCCACGATGGCGCACCTGTCCTCAGCGCCTGCGGTGGCGTCTCGCTGTTCGAGACCTCGTCCAGAGGCACGCCGACCATGAACAACCACGTGCAGATGTCTGCAACCCGCCGTTGCGAGAGCCCTGGATCCGTCGACACTTCGACGCGAGGCCGGGACGTCACTTTGTTCTTCTTGCTTGCCGTCTTGCGCCCACGCTCAGCCTCTTTGCACGACGTCTTGCGGGCGGGGGACGCCTTGCGCGACGCCTTGCGACGCGAAGTCTGGTGACGTGGCGGCGGCCGCTGCTGCTTCTGCTTCTGCTTCTGCTTCTGCTTCTGCTTCTGCGCAACGGTAGCTTTCCGCGAGTCCGCACATCGCTCGCTCGAGTTGTCGCCTGCAACTGCTGCAGCCTCGACCGACGACCGCGGCGCAACCTGCGACGGCCGCGGGATGCTCGTCCCTCGCCGGGTCACCTTGGTCTTTCCAGGCTCAGCGTCCAGGTCAAACTCAAGCGCAGCTGGCATGTAAAACTGGCCCGAGCTTGGATCAATACCATCCAAATCCCACGACGGCGGCGGACAAAGCGGCGTTCGCCGGTAGCGCGAGAGCGAAGCAAACATCGAGGCGAGCTCGTCCTCAGCCTTGGACAGCGCTGGATTGGGTGCTGGACTCGAGTCGGCCTCAGTGACCGCCGCCACCGGCTCTGAGCGCACCGAGCGGGCCAGCGCTTCGGCAGCAGCAGCAGCATTGGCGGCGGCATCTGAGACCACCGACGCCGACGCCAGCGGATTCCCCATCGACTCAGCATCGATGCCGAGCTTAGCCATCCGGATTCTTGCCAGATCCAGGACATATGCCAGTGCGAGCTCGTCAGCACCAGCGCAACGAGCGGCATTGTAGTAGTTGCTATCCAGCTCTGCACGCGAGACGCCGCGTGCGAGCGTGGCGAGCGCCTCCTTCCAGAACGCCAGCGACGATCTAAACCCGGGGTCGAGGGCCGGCGAGGCGGCGGCCACCTGCGCGGCGGCCTCATCGGGCTCCAGCGGACGTGTGGCCCTCGCACATAGCCCGATGATGTCCGCCAAGTCATGGACTACCACACCATCCGCCAGGTCGTCTGCCGACGTCACCAGCAAGGTCGACGGCAGCGGCAGAGTGGAGACCCAGTACAGCAAGGTCTCGAGCTTGGCCGGCATGACCACCCAGCGCACCAAGTGAAAGCTACCGTGTGTGGGAGGAAAGGCTACGGGACTGGAGTGGACTGGAGGTGGCCGTGAACCGTAGAGTGGAGTGGCTTTCCCGTCACCGCCACCACCACTACCCCTACCCCTCCCCCCCCCCCCCCTGTTCTCTTGCTCCCCGTTTCCATTCGCCCGACCCAGTCGGCTAACCTGGCCGGTGGCCGCCCGGCTGCCGGTCGGCGCCAAACTGGTGTCCGTCGCTTCCTCCAAAAAAAGGCGCCAAAGCTCGGCGGCGCCAAAAAGCGGCTCCGTACCGACACCACGGCGAACCCTGCCGTCATGCCGAGTAAGGCGACCAAGGCGAGTGACTCGCTGCGTTGCGAGCCAGGGTCCCCACCCACCCACCCACCCTCAGGCCCGGCTTCCACACCCACCCTTCTCACACTCATATCATGTCTGCAGGCAACGAGGTGACTGACGTGTACGGGACCGACGTGGAGAGGCTGACGGCGCTGCGTGCTGCCGAGACTGCGCTGAAGAAGACCTTGGCGGGGCTGTCGAACCCGGTGCAGGGCGTCATGAAGGCCCGCATCTCGCTGCGTAAGGCATCGGCCGATCCAGACCAGGCTGGCCGCGCAGAACTGCTGGAAAAGACGCTGACCAAGAAGCAGGCCGAGCTCGATGCGCTCGTCGCTGAGCTTGAGACGCTCAAGGCCTCATTCCCGGCAGCCGGTGAGCCCGACTCGACCGAGCCGTCCAAGGCCGAGATCATTGCGGGCGTGCTTAACGCGCTCGAGCCCGGCAAGCTCAAGTCGAAGAAGGACTTTATGGAGTTTACATCGACCGTTCGCACCTTTACCCAGATCCTGTTCAAGGAGATGGGCATCCTCCTCACCACCATCAAGGAACTCAAGCGCGCGCAGGCCAGCAACGACGATGACGAGGCGTAGTCGGCCAGCACTAGCCACACATCACGTGATAAAGGCACACATCCAACACAAAGTTACGAGCCTACACTTGCCCTTCGTCCGCGCGCACAATCGAGACAAAGACCTCCTCCAGTGACGTGCCAGATACAGAGTAGTCATGGACAAGGCCGCCCAGCCTCGTCTTGATATCCTCCATGACGGCAAACAGGCCCGATACAGCCACGCCTTCGACCGAGAGCGTGACGGTGCCCTTAAACCTATTGAGGACGCGCGCGCTCTCCAGCTCCTCCTGAACGGCAGCGACGACATGGTCAACTGCATGTACGGCAACCTTGAGCACGAGACGGTATCCGGCGCCGTACCGCCGCTTGAGCTCGGCCTGCGTTCCAACGCACTGCAGGCGCCCACGCGACACAATCCCGATCCGCGAGCAGAGCACATCGGCTTCCTCCATCGAGTGGGTGGTGAGGACAATGACCCGCCCACGGCGGGCCTCGGCCACAATGGCCCAGATTGCCCGCCGCTCCTCGACGCCGAGCCCTGTGGTGGGCTCGTCGAGAAAAACGACGCGCGCGCCGCCAACGAGCGCAATCAAGATCGAGAGCCGTCGCCGCATTCCACCGGAAAGCTGTGGCGTCAGCTTCCCACTAGCCTCCTCCAGCCCGCATTGCGCGAGCAAATCGGCAACAGCCGTGTTGGCGGCGTCAGGGGCGAGGCCCTTGAGCCGGGCGTAAAAGATTGCGGTCTCGCGGACGGTCAGCAGCGGGTCGAGGATGTCGTGCTGCGGACAGACGCCGAGGAGGCTGCGAATCTCGGCGAGCTCACTCGCCAGATCATGCCCATACATCACTGCTCGTCCAGAGCTCGCCGGAAGCAGGCCAGTGAGCATGCCGATGGTGGTCGACTTGCCCGCACCGTTGGGCCCGAGGAGGCCAAAGCACTCGCCCTCGTCGATGGCAAGGCAAAGATTGCGCACTGCATGGTGCTTGCCAAACAGCTTGTTGAGATTGACCACCGCCACAGCCGGCGAGCCTGCTGCACTTGTCAGCCCGCCTGCCGCCCGCTCAGCCTCGGCCGCCACGTCCAGCCCCATTTCACGCGCGTCGTCATCTGGGTACGGCTCGGTGCCGCTGCTCCATCCGCCATCGACTCGGTTGTCACGCATGCACGGCCAGAGCAGCGGCCGAGCGACGCCAAAGGCCTGCGGGATGACCGTGTCGAGATACGGCGCCGCGGCGCTCATCAGCGCCGCCTCTAGCGTCAGCAGCAGGCAACAGAGTCCAAACTCATGACCCGGCGAGAGCGCACTGGCCACGAGCGCGTCGCCCTGGAGCACGCCGTTGGCGATCAAGTAGATGGTCCGGGTGAGCGCAAACGGTGGCCAGAGGAGGAACCACACCGGCGCCCGGCTGTTGGACCACACAAACGCGTTAAGATTCGACGCCGTGAGCACCGAAGCGAGGACGAGCCCGTAGATGACAAGCACCGCCAGCCGCGGCTTGGAGAACGGGACAGAGCAGACCAGTGAAAACGCCACGCCCGCCAGGCTCCACACCAGCACCAATGCGAGGTAGACCAGCGGTGAGGTCTCGGTAAAGAACCGCAGTTGGAAGCAGAGCGATGAGATAAGAAACACGGCCGACGCTGCAAGCTGCATCCCCAGGTTGAAGGCTGCAGTGACGCCCCAGTACGCACCCAGCGAGAGCCCGTTCATCCGCATCAGCTCGCGCTCGCGCGAGGCCTTGACTGCCACGGCGGCGTACACAAATGACGGGACAAGGACAGTGAGTGCAAGCGGAAAGAGAAAGCCAGAGATGACGAGCGAAAGGTCAAACGGGAGGCCAAGAGCGATGTACGGAAGCTCGCCGGTGGTGACCTCCAACGCGTAGTCCAGGCCTAGAAAGTCCAGCATCGCCGCCGGCAGGTATGTCAGCCATCGGGCGTACTCAGCCGATGGATCAAAGTTGAACACAAGATACGCCCATTCTGCGTTTTCGAGCGCAGAAGAACGCGAGTACTGAAGGACAATCTGCATCTCGCGGGCCGAGGCGTTAACGCGCTGCATGTGGATGACGCCCTCGGGCATGATCTCGGTCAGCGCGGCCGCGCCTGCCGACGAGGTCGAGTCTACGCCAAAGTGCGCTGAGGCCTCGGCCTGAGCGGCAAGCAGCGCAGCGTTGATGTCGACGCCGGGCTCAAAGCGCGTGAACGACGGCACAACGAGCGTGGTGCCCGGGATCCACCCTGTGAAACTTGCCGATGGAACTCTAGCCATCATCCCGCTGCCGTCTCCAGTCCAGTTCCGCCAGCCGACATCGATATCTGCCATGCCAGGCTCGGGCTCGACAAGCCAGTTGTTCTGGTAGCCAAAGGCGTTCGACATCGAGTGGGAGGCGTCAAAGGAGTCGCCGGCCAGAGTGCCTTTGGCCGGCCCCATCACCAGCTCCTTGTCCAGCAGCAACTGGAGCAAGCCGATCGTAGTCACCACTAGCAACGGCACTACAATAGCAAAGATGGTCGAGACACGCTTGCGCGAGGTTCCACTCGCCAGCTTGCGTGCATACGCCATGCTTTGCTGCCACAAGGTCGCCCCGACACGCTCGCTCGCGCCCGCCCTCGCCACCAGCGGCGTCCTCTCATGCGCCCCGACACGTCCACCTTCTCCCCTACGCTCTCGCCCGTTCATACTAAGATTGCCAGGGCAAGTGAGAGAGACTTGAGAGTCAACCAGTTGGGTGTAGGGCCGTGTCGCAGGCTCCGTGCGGGGGGTGGACCACGACGCACGTGCGATCCCCCCTCCTCTCCCCCGCCCCAAAGATCAGCCTCGATCAACATGAGACGACCACGCCAGAGCATGGCTAGCCACGCCAACGCATTGCAAGCCACGCTAATGCATGGCCAGTTGCTCGATCCATGGCTCGATCGCTACTTGAGCCGCCCTGGGCCTGCCTCGGCTGTACCTGGCCAAGGTAGGCCCTGAGGGGGGCAGGTGCAGGTATCAACATGATGCCAGCATCTGTTGATGAGCGTCTCGTTGATGACAGGACTACCATGGCTCGTGTGTGTCAAGCACCACCACGGATCCGATCCGCTGTATTCCGCTACCATGTCCCCAGCCAGGTCCGAATCGAGCCCGCTAGGTGACATGACAAGCTTCGGCTGACGCGACAGCTACCTCGAGCTGAGCACCTCACCACCCCACCCACACCAACTCACACACCCACCTACTTTGCCATGCTCGCCTCCATACAACGCGTTGCATGGAACCAGGCCCGTCGGTGGGCGTCGACCATCAACCCGGCAGAACAGGCCAAGTTTGCGGCCCTGGCGCCGTCGTGGTGGTCGGCCGACTCGCCGGCGGCGGCGCTCCACGCGCTCAACCCGGCCCGGGTCAAGTTCATCGCCCTCGCCTATGCTTCTGCCCAGGCCAACGCCGGCCTTGCTCCAAATCATGCCAGTGCCCGTGTGCTTGACGTCGGATGCGGTGGTGGTGTTCTGGCCGAGCCGCTTGCCCGACTCGGCTTTGGCTCCGTCAAGGGCATCGACATCTCGCAGGCCAACGTCGACGCCGCTCGAGCTCATGCCAGCTCCACCATGGCTGTCGGCTCGGGCATCGGGTCGCTCGAGTACGAGGCCATTGCCGCCGAGGATCATGTTGCCAAGTACCCTGATCAGCTCTTTGATGTCGTCGTCGCCTCGGAAGTCATCGAGCACGTGGCCGACGTCCCGCTATTCGTCTCCTCGCTCGCCTCGCTTGTCGCACCCTCCGGCACGCTCGTCATCTCCACCCTCAATCGCACCGCGCTCTCCTACGCTACCGCGATTGTCGGCGCCGAGCGCGTCTGCCGCATCCTCCCAGAGGGCACCCATGACTGGAACGCGTTCCTCACTCCCGACGAGCTCGAGGCTCACTTTGACGCCGCTGGCCTCGACCTTGGCCTCATCGCCGGCATGATTCCTGATCCGATTGAGCGGGCCTTCACCCTCCACCCAGACCATCTCTCTATCAACTACATTGCCGCCGCCACGCCCCGCCCCGCACAATTGTGATGCTCATCCAAGCCATGCGTCGATCATCTGGCGAATCGACCCGCTTTGCCAGCCAGTCTGCCCGCCGATCCGGCGGCACCCGCCGCACTGTCGCGGTTCCCGCCGTGGCTAACCAATATTCAAGCCGGATTCACTCTGCTGCATCCCCCCCCCACCCCCACCCTCATCACTGCCAACTCTGGTCCCCCCCCCATCTCAAGTTGCGTCGCCTGCAAGGACCAAACGCCACAAATTGATACTGTTGTCAGCTGCCGCTCTTCCGCCGCACCGGCCGCGACTGCACTGCGGCACCGATCAAACGACCGCGACAGGACGCCGCCACCGCCCACCCCACCGCACCCCACCCACACCCCTCCCTTCACAGTACCTCACTCCTGCGGCGTGATGTTCACCCCCAGCCATGCGCGGCGGACAGAGTCACGGCCTCGGCGGAGTGTAGAGAGTGAGCCTCCGGGAGAGCCATGGTGGCATGCATGGGCTGACGTGTATGGAGCCGCCCTGACATACACCGAGAACAAAGCCCAAGCAGAAGCAGACAGAAAGCTCCGAGCACTCTGGCGCCGGGCCTCACGACGGAGGACACACCATGCCCTGCTGGCTGTCTGTCTCAATGTTGGTGTTCCACCGCCTGACGTGACTGTTCCGGCCCGGGCCTCCACCCTCGAGGCCTGGCTCGACCCCACCCTCTTCCCCACGCCCGAGCAGGCTGTTGACGCCGTCGGCGCAGGCCTCGCCCGCCAGTTCCGCTCGCTCCAGGCATCCATGGTGTTCCAGCCTGCACTCGACCCGTGTGGCGCGGCGCTTGAGGCCGCATGCACCCGCCTCCGTGCAGACGCCAAGGATGGTCGTGCCCTGTTTTACTACAACGGCCACGGCGTGGCCCGGCCGTCGCTCAAGGGCGAGCTCTGGATCTTCAATGAGGACTACACCAAGTACGTCCCGGTCTTTGTCACCATGATCCTCCGCTGGCTTGCCGGGCCATGCATGTTTGTTCTTGATTGCTCAGGCGCAGGCCGCATTGTCAACTACCTTGTCGAGCTCCGCAACACGGAAATGGGCTCCAACGCGCACAACCTCGCCAACGTTGTCCTCTTTGACCTCATCATCATCGGCGCCGTTGCTGCCGACGAATTTCTCCCCTACGCCACCCACCTGCCTGTGGACATCTTTACGGCATGCCTCACCACCCCACTCAAGACCGCGCTCACCTGGGCCGCCTCGCGCACACTTGTCGATGGCCTCGACGACCCCACCACGCTCTTTGCCCGCATCCCCGGCAAGATTTCGTCGCGGTCCACCCTCCTCGGCGAGCTCCACTGGATCTTTGGTGCCGTCACCGAGTGCATCGCCTGGTCTGTCCTCCCCAAGGCCACCTACCAGCGGCTGTACACCTCGGACGAGGCTGTCGCCTCGCTCTTCCGCAACTTTATCCTCGCTACTCGCATCATGCACTCGCTCAAGCGAACCACGGTCTCGTACCCAGCCATTCCTCCCACGCACAACCACCCAATGTGGATGGCTTGGGACTTTGTCGTCGACGTACTCCTCGAGAAGCTGACCACGCTCGCCCTCGTCGGACCAAACTCTCCGCAGGCCGCCGCCGTCCTCGCAGAGCCGCTGCCGTTCTTCGACTCGCAGCTCCAGGCCTTTGAAGTCTGGCTCGGCATGGCCCAGATCGACGTCACTCTCTCGGACGCCAAGATCCAGCCAGTTCAGCTCCCGGCCGTCCTGCACGCCATCCTCGGCGCACGCTACCGCGCCCAGGCCCTTCGCCTTGTACAGGTATTTTTCCTCCTCGGCGACTGGGCGGTTGACTGCGGTCTCAAGGTCGGCATGGGCCCGTACTTTGTCCAGCTCCTTGGCGCCAACCAGCTCCACTCGCACTACCTCGTCACCATCTGGGCCCGCATCCTCGCCTTTGACCCCACCTTCCGCAACCAGGTCATCAAGGACTCCAAGCTGCCGTTCTTTGGAGCTATGGTCCACTCGGGCCTTACAGAGCTTCGCGACACTGGCTCGCTCACCTCACTCAAGACCTGCACCGACTCGGTTATGGCGCTGTTTGCCATCTCGCTCCTGGTGGACAAGCATCCGCAGGGCCAGGCTGTCGCTGCCCGCGCCAACATCGACGCTGCTCTCCTTGCCTTTGTCGTCACTTCCTCGACGGCACCTGTCCCGCCTCTCATTGTCAAGTGGGCCATCATTGCCATGGCCAAGCTCTGGGGTGCTGCGCCGGCGACCTTTTTGCTGGACGCCACCCTCGCCGCCTGGCGCGCTCTCCAGCTCCAGGCGCTCTCGTCACCGCATCCGCAAATCCGTGCCGTTGCCGTCTGCGCGCTACGCTCGACCGTCTCCTCGCTCGCGCTCGCCTACCTCGGGGCTGATGGCGTTCTGCCCCTGCGCACGTCCACTGAGGGCATGCCGCCGCTTGCCTCGGGCCGGTCGCGCAAGCGCAAGGAGTTTCTCGCCGCCATTCCGGGCCTCGACGAGCCCGAAGCGGACCTCACCCGCTTCTTCAACGAGCGCAACGTGCTCGCCAATCTGCTCATGGACCTGCTCCCCGCTGCCCTCTTCGACTCGTCGTCGCTTGTCCGCCACGAGCTTGTCCCGCTCTGTCTTGTTGTCCTTCTCCGCTTCGATGATGACCTGCGCTTCCGCGGCATCATTCCGCATCCTCACTCTGTCCGTGACGCTTTTCTCTCTGCCACGGCTACGGCCGCTACCCCACGGCCGGGCGACCGCAGGTCCGAAGCCGGCGATCCGGTCCTGCTTGTCGCCTTTACCTGGCACGCCCTCTTCACTCTTCTCGCCGACCCGTTCCCAAGGTTGTTACCAAGGCTGTCATTGTGGTCCGCTTTCTCGAGTACTACGCCGCTGCACTCCGCGACAAACTGCAGGTCGGCGGTGGCGAGGACGCCGATCTGGCCTCGCCCGAGCTCCCGCTCCGCACCCCTCCGCAACAGGGCTCGGACTTTCTGGCGCTCGACGCCAACTCGGGCTCTGCCATCCGGTCTCGAACCGAGTCCGAATCGGGCACCGGCACGGCAGGCTCCCCGCAGGCAGCGACGACCATGATCGAAGGCAACATGGTCCGCGTCCTCTCATCATCGAACATTGCCGGCGCCCTTGCGTCGCCGCGCGGGCGTGAGGCACAGCGGTCACCTCGCAAGGCGGCCCGGACCCGCTCGCGCTCCCGCCAGCGGCACGTGGCGTCGAGCTCGGTGGGGCGCAGCTCCGGCCGGGTCCTCTCGGCTCGCGGCACCTCAGCCGACCGAGTCCGCTCTGCCGCCGCCGCGGCGCGCCGAACCTCGCTTGACTACTCCACGCTCGATCGTGCCAAGCGCAAGGCCGCCCGCAATCTCGCGTTTGACGCCACCACCCTTGCCGGTGCAGACGCCATCGGTGGGCAGGTCCGCTCGCCTGTCGCGCTCCCACCGCAAGAAAAGTCCATTGTCGACCCGCTTGTCGACGCCGCTGTCGCCGTCGAGTCCAACGCCGCTGCTGGCGTTGTCATGGATCTCCCACTCGACGCCTCGCCGCATGCGCCGTACGTCTTTGGCTTTGACGCCATCTACGACCGCCAGCCGAGCCTCGAAGAGCTGGCCACCATGGGTGGCGTCGCCCTCGAGTCGCAGGCCATGGACTGGTCGTACAAGGTCTTTCTCAAGGAGCCGCTCATCCGCGAGTTTGTTGCGGCCGCCACCACCACCGTCAAGTCGGCTGCCACCCGTGGCTCGCCGCCCGGCTCGGCCGGCTCCACGCCACGCTCTCTCACTTCGCCAAATCCCTCGCCTCGGGCCCCAGGCCAGGTTGCTCACAACGCCAACGCCCTGCCTGTCGACGGCCTCGACGCCTCGCGCGAAGCCCTCTTTGGCTCGCCGTTCTGGTCGCCGGCCGCCACCTCACTCGGCCACACGGTGTTTGACTCGGCCGTCCTCGCCTCCTCGAGCTCTGCCCCGTACAACGCTGACGCTGCGGCCTCTGCGGCTGCGGCTGCCGCAGCCGCAGCCGCAGCCGCAGCTGTTGCCGCCCGTGCTTCGTCGTCGTCATCATCTTCATCGGACAAGCTCGAGCGGGCGGCCGAGATGGACTTTGGAACCAACGTTGTACGGGCGACTGCGTTCCACTCGACGCAGCCGATGCTAGTTGTGGCCTTTGCTTCGGGTCATGTCGTGGCATACATGCACGATCCGGCAAGCCTGGCCATGGCGACGACGCCGTCTGCCTCTACGCCAACAACGCTTGCGTCGCCACGACGCAGCACCGACTTTATGGGCGCCTCGGCGGCGGCCGGCGACGACGCTGACTCTCCGCGGGTTGGTCCTGAAGCCGGCCTCCGGCGAATCTCGTCGCTCTACGTGCCGTGCAACGAGCGGTTCACACCGCTCGGTGTGACTGGCATGCACGCGCCAGAGCCAGACTCGACGATGTCTTCGGGTGGCTCGGCGAGCACCGCACTCGCGATGCTCTCTGCCATTTCCGAGGAGCAGCCGGTCGACGCCAAGCGCCACCTGCAATCGTCGCGCGGCCCGTCCGGGTCTGGCGAAGAGCTTAATGTTGACGTCCACGCCGGGTCGGCGCCGTCGGAGCTGCACGGCTCGTCGCTGTACTACGCTGGCGGCCACGGCGGATCGGTCGAGTCAATGCGCTCAGGCTCGCATTCTCACTCGATTGGGAGCCTCACCCGATCGATGTCGCACTCGCTCTCTGACGACGATGTCGACGACGAGGCTGACGCTGACAACGCGGCAACAGGGCTCCCGACCGGCCCGCCACCGGTCATTCCGCGGCTGGCGCTGAACAAGCTCCGCCGCGACTCGAGCGAGGGCCCGCCTCCGGCTCCGGCACCGTCGCCAGCCTCGGATACGCACACCTCCAAGACGCTGCCAGCACTCTCAGTGACGACCGACATGACAGCGCGGTCGTCGCTCTCCTCGCCGCATGTGACGACGCCGTCGGCGGGCGCGTCGATCAAGGCGCGAATCACTCAAGTCCTGCTCGAGCAGGACCCGCGCGGCGAGGACGTGCTCCTGGTGGGCACGTCGGACGGCGCCGTCCGGATGTATGCAGACGTGACAACAAGCTCGCCGCGGCTGGTCAAGGCGTGGTGGGCGACGAAAGACAGCGAGGTCTCGCAGCCTGGAGTGGCACAGCTTCAGTCACGCGGCAAGTTCCTCATGGCCGTCGGCGGATCGAGCGCGGGTCGGCGAGTCTTTACCACCGGCTCTCGGGCACGGCTCCGGGTGTGGGACATGTCGACGGGCCTCTACGTCAAGTCGCTGTTCTTTGGTGGCGGCGACGATGTGGCCATCACCGCCATCACGCTCTCGCCGTCGACTGCGCGCGGCGTTCAGCTCGTTGTGGTCGGCTGCTCGGACGGCTCGGTCCGCTGGATGACCGGCATCGAGTCGCCGCTTGTCTCAATGGTCCGGCACCAGACCGGAGCAGTCCTCTCGCTGGGATGGACCAACATCGGCGCGAGCATGGCTTCGCCGCTGCTGGTTGTGACCGGCGCCGACGGGCTGATGCGGACGTGGGACGTGGCTACCAAGCGCAATGCATCAGTGGTCACGCTCAACGAGTCGGGCGTCTCAGCCGCAGCCATCTCGACTGGCGCTGGCCACGTCGCGGTCGCCTACGGCTCGTCCATGTACCGCTACGTCAAGCTGGTCCGCCTCGACGGACGGGTCTCGGCCTCGACCCGCAAGTACGACGGCCTCATGTCGCAGCGGCGCGGGCCGGTCTCGGCGCTCTCGTTCCATCCGTCGCTCATGCTAGTCGCAGCAAGCTCCAACAACGGATCGATGCTCACGCTGTATCGCGGAGTGGGCGCGGCCATGCCGCGGCGGTCATGATGATGGCTGCTGCGAGAGCAACAACAGTAAACGTTGCCGTGTCGACCCACGACTTGTCAGCGCCCGTGCCGCGAGGCGCATACGCCACCACCGAGCCCACCTCGCCGGTCACTGCACAGGCCACGAACGGCATCGGCGTTCGGTCGCCGGCCGGGTCAAGCAGAGCGGCGGCGGGAGAGTCACTGCAGCCTGGACCGCCTCGCCATCAGCCACAGGTGCTTGATACCGGAGGTGCAGGTCAAACTGGTAGCAAATGTCGTGCTGAGACGCGGTGTGTCCCAGCGCAACTAACACGAGCCCCGGCTTTCCGCGGTGGGCTGGAGCCTCAAGATCCATGACCTCGAGCGGCGCGGCAAGCGGGTAGTCTGCATCACTAGCCCGGTCGCGGGCGGCATCTGCCAGCGCGTACGCATCGACAAACATCTTGTGCGAGAGCGTCTCGACCGCATACATGGGTCCAGAGCCCGGGCTCGGCGCCACGCACGTCGTCAGAGTGCAGTGAAAGCCGTTGCAGGCAAGCGATCGATTGGCAATGTTCAGGAAGTGTGGCAGCGACGGAAGATCCTCGCAGGGCGAGTCGGCCCTCACCACGCCATGGCTGTCCGTCCGCACCATCCGCATATCGCCCGCAGGCAGCTCTGCCAAGCAGGGCGGCAGGCCGGCCTCATCCTCCTGCGGACAACACGGCGACGACTCGATGACAGCAGACGCCAACAGACGAAGCCTATCATGAGCAGCTGCAGTAACCGGAAGCACCGGCATAGGAGCCAGAGCTGTGGGCATGGCCACCACCAAGGGCACGATCTGGTGGCCCGAGTCCAGCCGGCGGGCAGCAACCGCTGAGGACGGAGGGAGCGGGCAGTGACGAGCAGAGGCCGAGGCGGCGGCGAGAGCAAACAACAGACCGAGGCAGACGAAGACAAGGTGCGGGATGAAGGTCCGGTAGACACAGAACGAGGGCATGGCGAGCAATAGGGAGAGAGGGGTGGAGGGGCAGAAGGGTGGCGGCCACTCGAATGGTGGCTTTGGAGGAGCAAATTGGTGGGGACGAAGGCAAATAGCCCCCCCCATCTGATTCCTTCTGCTGCCACTACGCTCCAATCGGAGTATGACGAAGGAAGAGGGTGATCCACTGTATTCTGCTATCCATGCTTCTGTTAGACTGTTATCGGGGCGTGGACGGGCCATGCCACTGCCACTGCCACTGCCACTGCCACTGCCACTGCCACTGCCACTGCCACTGCCACTGCCACTGCCACTGCCACTGCCACTGCCACTGCCACTGGCAGCCCCACCACCTTCCCCCCTCCCACTCACCCCTCACCCCCACTCCCACCCCGACTGCACTCCACTTACACCACCAGGTACGCAGGACTCCTTCCGTCTTCCCTCTATGCAAGGGGAGTAGATAGTGACACAAGGCGGGGGACGGGGGGACGGGGGGGGGGGATGGCTATACCTATGCGGCCGGGGTCGTGGGGGCTGGCGACTCGGTCCTCCTTTGGCTCTCCAAAAATTCAACATTTGGGCATAAGACGAAACGAGGTGATGGTGGTGGCCGCGGGATGACAGGGGGGAGAAGGGGGGGGGGGGGAGGGGGGACTGACTAACTGTGGAGAGGTGGGAATGGTGGGGATAGGGTGGGAGAATGTCTGTTGAGGAGACTGGACCTGTATGGCGGAGGTCAGAGGTCGAGGCGTTGTATGAGGCTGTGGTGGTGGAGAAGGTCTCCAATCCGAGGTTGCTGGCCACGCGATTCCCACGGCATACAAAGGACAACATCAAGGCTATGCTGACCAGGCACGCGCCCGTGCTGGAGATGGATGCCCGGTTCTCATCGTCGGCTATGCTGCTAGCTGTGGTGGAAGAGGTTCAGGGCATGCAGCCGTCAAGCCCACCATCGAGCAAGAAGCGCGCCTCCGAGTCCGAGTCTGATACCGATGACTTTCGTCCAAGCAAGCGCAAGCGGTCGCTAATGGCCGGTCGACGTCCGCAGGCTGCCGCTCTCGCCAGCGCAAAGATTGCCACCCACAGTGCAGCATGCTTTGTGGGTGACGTCGGCATCGTCAACATGTCGTCGCAGGGCTTGACCGTCGAGACGGAGGAGGCCCAGCTTGGACGGGCGGAGCAGATCCAGGCCGCGCTGAGCGTCCTGGACACGTATCGCGAGGACGAACCGTGTGCAGCCATGATTAGCACCATGCTCGCCAGTCTGGCGGTATCCAAGAAGCTCCGCAACTGGACCAACTATGAGTTTCTGTACGCCGCCGTCGACGAGCCGTTTTTCGCCGATAACCCGTTCGAGGCTGCGCTCGCCGAGCTCAATGTCCACCCGCCGAGCAAAGACGAGCCGCTCCGTCTCACTCGGCCCGAGTGGCGGTATTTGAGGTCACTCATGCCGCGGCCACGGCGGTTTTCGGCCGCGTTCGTCCGTGACCAGCGGGCAGCGCTCAAAGCTGCGCGGCGTGCGGCGCGCCTCGCCCCAGATGCCATCAGCGTCGGCGCATCGGTGCGGGCGTTGCACCCAGCGTCTGGCCTCGCCCACTCTGGGCGGGTTCTCGCGCGCGCCAAGGCTCGCCTTTGGGTCCAGTTCGACCGCGTCGAGCTCGGGACTGTCATGGTCCACGACACAGAGGTGGCCCACAAGGTGACCAGCGCGACGACGGCATCCGAGGCCAATGAGGCCAACGCCACGCCGCTATCGTCAGTCCGCAAGGCCCGGTCACGGTCGCGGTCGGAGTCTTGGCCAGCGACGCCGACCGGCCGCACCGTCAAAAAGCGGCTTAACATGGATAGCGAGGCGTCGGTCGCGCTGGCGCCGGTCCTGCCGGCTGTCGCTGCCGCCGCCGCCGCCATCCGCGAATGGGCGTCTGACCGCCCTGCGTCGTGGCCCAAACTCGAGACGGCGTTGACGGGTCTGGCGAACGTTGTTGCCGCTGTTGCCGCCAGCTCCAGCATCCGGGCCGACGCCGTATCGTCCGAGCTGGCGACTGCGGTCGCCGAGCTTGACGCCGCCGCTGCCGCCGTCCCGCTGGAGGGAGTTGCTGCCCACGCCATCGAGCAGAATGCTGATATTTCCGACCGCGGCCTGGCCGCCGCTGTCTCCGCGCTTCGCCTTTGCAGCTTGCTTCGGCTGCAGCGGCCGCAAGTGGCCAAGGTCTTGCGGCTTGTCGCTGACGCGCACCCCTGGCGCCATGACATGAGTGTCTGTAACCGAGAGATCGACAGCCTTGCTGCTGCCTTCACATGAAAGCAAAAGCCTTGTGAGTGTTTACAGTTCATCGTGATCAACCGGGCTGCTGTGCTCGCGCATGAACTCAAGAAGCGCATCCTCGGTCCGAGACGCCTCGTACTTGATCGACGAGCTGGCGTCGGTAAAGTGCAGGAGGGTCGGGTAGGCGTTAGCGCTGTGACGGGCGCACAGATCTCCGTCGATAGTACAGTCGACAGCGGCCAGCGAGCCGAGGCCCTCAGCCTTGACGGTGGCGGCCGCAGCCTTGTAAGGCTCCTTCATCGCCTTGCAGTGGCCGCACCACGGTGCGTAGAACATGACGAGCGTGCCGGCGGACTCTGAGTCCACAAACGGCGCAAAGGTGTCGCTACGGAGCATGATCACCTCGCCGTCGCCATCCTCGGTGAAAGGAGTGCGGGTCGGCGGCGGCGGCGGTGGCGGCGGCGGCTGGGGGTCGCGCATAAAGGCAACAAGACCCTCCTCGGTCCGCGGACCCGAGAACGCCATCTGCTCTCCGTCTGCAAAGTAAACCACTGTCGGGTAGCCCTTGACATCGTGCTTGCCACAGAGAGCACGATCGATGGTGCAGTCGACGGCAGCCAGCGAGCCGAGGCCCTCAGCCTTGACGGTGGCGGCCGCAGCCTTGTAAGGCTCCTTCATCGCCTTGCAGTGGCCGCACCACGGTGCGTAGAACATGACGAGCGTGCCGTCCGAGCCGTCGAGGTGATCGTCAAAGGTCTCAGGCGTGAGCATGGTGACGTCGCCGTCACCGTCTTCGGTGAAAGGAGTGCGGGTCGGCGGCGGCGGCGGTGGCGGCGGCGGTTGGGGGTCGCGCATAAAGGCAACAAGACCTTCCTCCGACCGGACGCCGGCAAACGTAATCTGCTCATCGTCGGCGCCAAAGTAAACCACTGTCGGGTAGCCCTTGACATCGTGCTTGCCACAGAGAGCACGATCGATGGTGCAGTCGACGGCAGCCAGCGAGCCGAGGCCCTCAGCCTTGACGGTGGCGGCCGCAGCCTTGTAAGGCTCCTTCATCGTCTTGCAGTGGCCGCACCACGGTGCGTAGAACATGACGAGCGTGCCGTCCGAGCCGTCGAGGTGATCGTCAAAGGTCTCAGGCGTGAGCATGGTGACGTCACCATCGCCATCTTCGGTGAAAGGAGTGCGGGTCGGCGGCGGCGGCGGTGGCGGCGGCGGCTGGGGGTCGCGCATAAAGGCAACAAGACCCTCCTCCGACCGGACGCCGGCAAACGTAATCTGCTCGTCGTCATCGCCAAAGTAGATGAGTGTCGGGTAGCCCTTGATGTTGAACTCGTTGCAAAGACTGTTGTCGACGGTGCAGTCGACGGCGGCCAGCGAGCCGAGGCCCTCGGCCTTGACGGTGGCAGCCGCAGCCTTGTACGGCTCCTTCATCGCCTTGCAGTGGCCACACCACGGAGCAAAGAACATGACCAGCGTGCCATCAAAGCCATCGAGATGGTCGTCAAAGGTCTCGGGCGAGAGCATGGCGACGTCACCATCGCCATCTTCTGTGAACGGAGCACGGGCAGGCGGCGGCGGCGGCGGCGGTGGGGCCTGCGGATCGGCGACCCACTCAAGGAAGGCAGCCTTGGTCCGAGCACCCTTGTAGCGAAAACGCTCGATGTTGCCGTCAAAGAGGACAAAAGTGGGAAAGGCGGCCACGTCGAGCATCTTGCCGATGGCGCCATTCTCGGGAAGCGAGAGGTCGACAGCGGCAAAGAGCGGGAGGCTGTCATCGTCCAGAGCAGCAGAAGCAGCGTCCATAAAGTGCGGGATGGTGTTCTTGCAGTGGCCGCACGACGGCGAGTAGAGCATGACAAAGGTCGAGGGCGAGGAAAGGAGGACGGAGGAGTAGTTTGAGGTGGCGAGGATGACGACATCGCCGTTGCCATCCGCGGTCAGTGGAGTCGGCTGCGGCGGCGGCGGCGGAGCCACAGGGTTCTCCATGTACGCCAGTAGACCAGCAGCCGAGCGCGGGCCAGAGTAAGGCCACTTCAGCTCGCCATCAGCAAAGTAAAGGACGGTGGGGAAGGACTTGATCGAGTAGGCAGCAATGACATCCCGATGTTCATCACCGTTGACTGCGGCAAAGGCACCAAGACCAGCATCAGCCACATCACCAGCAGCTTGGATAAAGGCCGGTTTGAAGGCAGTACAGTGCGAGCACCAGGGCGCATAGATCATGACCATAGCAGCAGGCACGGTGCTCACAAAATTGTCAACCTCCTTGGCAGAGGTAAGGACACGGACAGGGCCGTCTTGAGGAAAGATAGACGCTCCGGCAACAGTGCTGCTGAGCACCGCTACCACAGTAGCAACCACAAAGACCACAGTTTGGACCTGCATTGCAATGGGGGGGGGGAACAGCCTCGTCTGTCGGTACTGCCGGGCAATGCCGAGAGGCAGCACATCAGATAGCCGATAAAGACAAGTCTGCAGGCGCTATCGGATCAGCGCCATCTTCATCACAGGTATTGTGGTAGTGGGTATCGCCATCGCCTTCGTCATAATCTTTGCCATTGGTCACCGCAACACAGGCGGTTTCAACCTGGCGTACAGAGCCAAGGCGCCCGACTTTAAACTCGACGCCAATGCCGATCCCGATCCAGTGGCCGCCAGCGAGGGAGTAGGGCAGCTAGTCTGGAACAACACCAGGCATGACCACCACCTGCCAAACCGGCCAACCGCCCAAAGTGGCAGGCACGCGACTCCAGCACACACAACGCTTTGGCCGCAATCACATACACGCAACATGGATGATCCCCGCCATACCACTACGCTGACGTCTCCAAACGCATCCCTGCCGAGTGATGCGATTGCTACACCTGCTAGCTTCTCAGTGGTGGCGAACGCCGAGAAGGCGGCGGCGTTTGCGGCAGCCGAACGCGAGCGGTTGATCGCGATCAAGGCTGCCGGCGCAGCAACGCGCGATCGGGTAGCGGTGGAGTACGCCCAGACGTGCAGAATCGGGCAGCAAATCAACCATGTGCTCGCCCGTGTCTTTACTGCCCGTGCTGACGAGTGGAGCGCACGGTGCGCAGCCGCAGTTGATGCCCAGCGGCTGGTGGCAGTTGCCAAAAGGGGATCACGCATCCAGGAAAAAGCCGTCAAACTTGAAGCTGAGCGTGCGGGGTGGTGTGGCAAAGAGACATGGATCAAGGATCAGATCGAGCAACACAAGAGGGCGTGCGCGTCTCGGGTGGCCAAGCTTCCGCAGCTGGATCTGGTTGCAGAGGCACTAGCTGGAGCTGAGAAGGCAGAAGCCGCGCTGCAGCAGGCGACAATCGCGGTTAAGCGCGAGAGGGCGTGCCTGACCCGGGCGCTGCGGGCGTGCGAGGCTGCCGAGGCTGCCGTGAAGGCGATGGAGGAGAAGCTGGCGGCGTGCAAGCAGCGGGAGTTTGACTCGCGGATGGTGGTGGCGGATGCAGATCGGGTGACACTTGGGGCGCTCGAGCGGCAGGTTACGGGTGTCGAGGCCGAGCTGGCCGAGCTGGAGAAGCACAACAGCGAGCTGGAAGCCGAGTGCGCCGAGCTGGAGGCGTTTACCGGATGAGAGAGTCACACAGCGAGAATCAGAAATCATCGAGCTCGTCCGACGCCAGCAGAGTAACACCCTTTTCTGCCCAAGCCGCCTTGGCCTTATCGCAGCCGGCTGGATCGATGCCACGGCAGGCGTCGTCGAGGACGGTGACAGCAAAGCCCGAGTCGACGGCGTCGATGACAGTGAACGAAACACAGTAGTCGGTAGCGAGGCCGCATATGTAGAGATGGGTGATGTTGGCGGCCTTGAGAACAGCCTCGAGTTCAGTCTTGTTGACGCGATCGTTGTCCTGGAAACCCGAGTACGAGTCGTGCTCGACGTGTGTTCCCTTCTGGACGACCGGATCGAGATCGGAGCGGACGAGATCGGCATGGAGGCGAGCGCCGTCCGAGCCCTGGACACAGTGATCGGGCCACATGACCTGGTTCTGGCCATTGATAGAGCGAGTAGAGAAGAGCTCTGCGCCATCGTTGTTGGAGGCGAACGAGACATGGTTCGGCGGATGCCAGTCCTGGGTAAAGACAACAAGATCAAAGGCATGGCTCTTACGAACCTTATTGATCACCGGCACAACGTCTTGTCCTCCAGGCACAGCCTGCCGGCAATCTCGCACGGGACGAGCTTGTGAGTGATGCGGAAAGTGATGCCAATGGAAGGTGATGACGACATGAGGCGTACCAGCGACCCACCGTCCATAAAGTCGTATTGGACGTCGACCACCAAGAGGGCTCGGCGGATAGGTGCCTCGGACATGATGTTAAGTGTGTGAGACGTGTGTGTTCGCGGGAGTAGTTGTTGGCTGTGGCTGTGGGCAGGTGACAGTATGAACGAAGTAGGGAAGAGGTGGTGCGGGGTCGGTGTGGGGAGTGGGTTGGTGGGTGGGGGTGAAAGAATAAAAATGGTTACAGCGAAAGCTCATTATGGTGGCCATGCATGCACAGCTGATCTATTGGAAGCATGTGAATGACTGGAAGAGCAGCACATCAAGTGCGGTGTGTATGTTGTAGGTGTGTAGCTGCGTAGGCGTGTATGGTGTCTGGGTAGTGGATTTGTGGAGCGTAGTGGCAAAGATTGTCGAGTTGGTTGCTGTCCCGGTGATTCGTCGTTGTGCGGAGTGTGTGGTGGTGTGGTGGTGACTGTTCCTTTTTCCCACCCCCCCCCCCCCACCCCACCACACCAATCATGGCTCGACGCGACGCGTTCGACGCGCCCCGAACAATCATGGCAGACGCGGGCGGGGTGGAGTGGGACACATTCGACGCAGCACGGACGGGGGGCACAGGCAAAGGGGAGGAGCCGACAAGTAGCAAGGCTAGAGAGCGTGTGGATTACAGAAGAGCATGGGTAAGGCGCTGAGCCGAAAGAGCCCACCGGAGGAGAACCCCGGAGCCAACAAGTGCGGCAATCGCGAGGGAGGGCGAGGGCGGAGTCGGTCACGCGGCGGCAAGTCGCTTCCGTCGGACTTGCTCTACCCACACGGCAAGCTCTACACCGAGCCATGCTCATGGGAAAGGAAAAAGCTGAAGCGAATGGTCAACGGCAAGCTCCTGGCACCGTTTCATGTCGGTGCTGATGACGAGGCGCCTGGCTTGGAAGAGTGTCCCATCTGCTTCCTCTACTACCCAGGCGGGCTCAACCGGGCCACGTGCTGCGGCAAGCCACTCTGTTCCGAATGCTTCGTCTTTCTCGCCCCGCCGGTTCCGGGCGCGCGATGCCCGTTCTGCATGCGCGGCGGGTTTTCTGTCGAGTTTCGCGGGCCCAAGACAGCCAAGGAGCTCGCAGACGAGGCAGCCGAGGAGGCCCGGGTCGAAGAGCTGCAGCTCCAGGCGCGGATCAACCAAGCCAAGGAGGATGAAGAGCGGCGGAAGCGGCGGCTGTCGATGCCGCCGGGCAAGCACGGAAGCGGCGGGCCCGACGGCGGGGACAGCAACGTAGCTGGCTCACCCGAGTCGCTTGCGCCGCTGCCGACGCTGCGGCCGGAGGATTACCGGCCGCCGGTGATGTCGTCATCATCGTCGCGGTCGCGATCGCGGACCGAGTCTCGCGGCGAGTCGCGGTCGCGGAGCCGGCGGCGCGGCAACGGTCAGCGGTCGCGGGCGCCGTCGACGCCGGCCAACGGGCCGCCACCCGGGTTCATGCCGTCGTCAGCGCCGACGCGGTCATACGCCGGCGAGCGGGTCTCGTCGCTGGTCGACGCCAACTCGCCCGGAGCGATGGTCGACTGGCAGCGGTTGCGCCACGAGCGCGGGGTCGATCTCGAGGAGCTCATGATCATGGAAGCAATTCGGCTCTCGCTGGCAGAGCAGGAGGCTGCCGAGGAGGGCGGCGCCGGGTCCGGAGGCGCTGACGCCTCGGCGCCGCCGTCGAGCCAGCTGCTGGAGACCCAGATGACGCCTGAGGAAATTGAGGAGATGCATATTCGGCGGCTGATCGAGGCCACACGGGTGTCGCCGTCGTCATCAGCGGCGGAGGCGCATGGCGGCGACGGCAGTGGCTCGGACAATGACGGCGATCTGCAGCCTGCGGTTCTTGAGTTTAGTGACGGTGTGGCGACAACGACGACGACGACGACGACGACCACCACCACCACGGCGGCTTCAGTCGGCGAAGTGGATGAGGGTGAGGCCGAGGAAGCTGTTGAGGGCGAGGGAGCGGTTGAGGCCGAGACTGAGGTTGAGGCTGAGGCTGAGGCCGAGGCTGAGGCTGAGGCTGAGGCTGAGGCCGAGGCTGAGGTTGAGGCTGAGGCTGAGGCTGAGGTTGAGGCTGAGGTTGAGGCTGAGGCTGAGGTTGAGGCTGAGGTTGAGGCTGAGGCTGAGGTTGAGGCTGAGGCTGAGGTTGAGGCTGAGGCTGAGGCTGAGGTTGAGGTTGAGGCTGAGGCCGAGGCCGAGTTTGAGGCTGAGGTTGAGGCTGAGGCCGAGGTTGAGGCTGAGGTTGAGGCTGAGGCCGAGGCCGCACCTGAGGCTGAGGCTGAGGCTGAGGCTGAGGTTGAGGCTGAGGCCGAGGTCGCACCTGAGGCTGAGGCTGAGGCTGAGACTGAGGTTGAGGCTGAGGCCGAGGCTGAGGCTGCGCTCGACGCCGCCGGTGTTGTCGCCGACGAGGTCGAGCCCTCCGCTTCAGCCGACGCACCCGAGGCCAACACCAACACTCCCACCGCTGATGCGGAGGCTATGGAGGCCGCCGCATCCGGTACTGTTCAAGATGCGGCTACAGAGTCCGAGGCTGAAGATTACGCACCCGACGGCACAATCGACGAGGCGGCCGAAGCCGATGTCGAAGCCGAAGTCGAAGCCGTTCTGCTCGAGCCTGCAGGCCTTTCGGAGACCATCAGCGCCGAGGCTGGAGTCGAGGCCACCGAAGTGGAAGTCGATGTGCAGGAGGACGTCATGGAGGAGGAATGAAAGCAAAGGCTGGCGTCGACGGTGCTGGTGCCGGTCGAGGTGCTGTAGCACCAGCCGCCCCGGCATTAGCACCAGGCTCGGCCGAGTTACCATCGTTGCCCTTGCGCTTTCGGTTGCGGTTGCGATTGCGGTTGCGGTTGCGGTTACGGTTTCTCTTCTTCGGCTTGCCTTCGGGAGGACCACCATTGGCAGCCGGCACCGAGCATTGGCCGGCCCCACCACTACCTCCAGTGGCAGTGGCAGGGGCAGAGCTGGCAGCACCGCCGGCGGCAGCGGCGGAAGCAGCGGCAGCGGCCTTGGCCTTCTTCTTGCGGTTGCGGTTGCGCTTCCGCGGCTTGCGCTTGCGCGCCGGCGGATCGCCGTCGGCCGGCGGTTGCGCAGCTCCACTCTGTGGCTGCATGTTGGACGGCGTGCCGGCATTGGCGCCAGCCTTGGTCTCTGCGTTTGTGTTCTTGTTCTTCTTGTTCTTCTTGTTCTTCTTGTTCTTCTTGTTCTTCCTGTTCTTCTTGTTCCGCTTCCGCTTCTGATGCGACATCGACGCTGAGCCGTCGCTGATCTCGGCGTCCTTGCGGGCACGAAGAAAGGCGATGAGCGGGGTGACTACCGGCTCATCCGCATTTGCACGCTTCTCACGGGCTCGTGCCAGGGCCTCTTCACAGGCAGCAGATCCCGCAGCAGCCCTCTGTGCGCGATCGGCCTTCATCTCCTCCCAGGCCTGATACAACGGATGCGCGGTAAGAGCAGGATCCAGCTGTTGCGGAGCATGATGCGGCAGCGTATGAGACGGAACATGAGGAAAGGGAGCATGTCGCAGAACAGGATGATATTGCTTTCCTGTGGCAGGATCAGCCAGACCAGTCGTCGGCGGAAAGACAGCCGCAAACGCAGCCAGTGCCGACTTGCTAGCAAAGGCCAGGACAGCGTAGGCGCCACGAACCATGGGTGCAGCCACAGTGTCCATGTTGTGTGGGCCAAGTCTGGAGGGGGAGGAGGAGGAGGGGGGGGGGGAGGGTGAGTCGGGGACGAGGGCGGGAGAGGGAGAGAGGGAGAGAGGGAGACAGGGAGGCCGTACTCGACGGTGTGGCGGTGGAAGGCGACCATGGTCATGCTTGCCCGCCATGGTGATACAAGAGACTCAAAGCCCTGGGTGCCAAGTGAGGGCGGGAGGTTGTGCACCACGCATTTGGGCATGGGCAGAGCAGGGCAGGGTGGTGGTGGTGGTGGTGGTGGTGGTGGTGGGAGGGGGAGGGGGGGGAAGAGGAGTGAGAGGAGAAGCAGGTCAGAGGGTGGGCAAGAGATAGGCGGGGGGGGGGACAGGCAGGTTGGGTTGGAGACGGGTTTGAGGTCGATAAAGGGCAAGTCGAGTTACAGCGGAGCAGCTGGATAATAGGGATGAGCAAACTTGGATCAACCGTAGATAGCCTGAGACGGTGGCGGGGGACCGTTGTCGTCATTGTCGTTGTCGTCGTCGTCGTCGTTGGCGTCGGTGTTGGTGCTTGTGACGCCTGCTGCAGGGTTGGCAGCGGAGCGGCGGCGGGCAACCTCGTTGGCGGTCGCCGCCGAGTACGAGGTCATGGTGGCGCCAATGGCCTGGGTGACGCCAACCAGCAGGTCAACGCCGGAGCGAACTCCCGGAACGGCCATGGCCGTCTGGCCGACGGCAGAGGCGGCGCCGACGGTGACATCGGCGGCCTTGGAGACGGTCGACGAGACGCCGAGCTTCGAGTCGACAGCCTTAGCGGCAGCCGACGCGGTTTGGGTGGCAGCGCCGACGGTTGACGAGATGCCGAGGGCCTTGTCGACCTTGGCCACCTTTTCCTTGGCCATCTCAACGCCGAGCTGCATCCGGAGGCCGAGGTTGAAGTGCTCCTCATCAAAGGCCCGTGCGCGGCCCAGGGTGTTGGCGCCGAGCATGTAGCCCGAGGCCGTAAGCTCGGCCATGATGGCAGTTTTCGACTTGGCCTCCTGCGCCACAGACGTGCCTGGCTGCGAGTCGCCGGCTGGCGGAGCCTCATCAGCCGGCGACGACGCATCCGTCGGCGGCGGATCGGCAGGCTCAGTCTCTGCCGGAGCAGCGTCGGGAAAGGCAGCCTGATAGGCAGTGACAGCAATGGCCGAGTCCCCGATGCGGGCGTTTGTGAGGAGGAGCGCTGTCTGCCAAGCCGAGGGCGCGGCAAAGACCACCACCGCGTGCTGAACGCCATCGCCACCATCCACCGGTTCGAGATGAAACTGATCCATGGCACCACAAAAGGCAAAGAAGTCACGGACTGCCTTTTCCGTCGCTCCCGCGGACACGTTGCCCACATACACCGCACGGCTGGCTGCAGCCGGAGAGAGAGTCTGTGTGCCCAGACGGAGATAGGCTGTGTGAGTCGTTGTCGCTTGTGGGGGAGGGAGGGAGGGGGGAAGGGGATGGGGCGGTGGTGGTGGTTGGGAAGGTGTGTGCATACCACCGGAGCTATTGCTGCCATGGTTGACGAGGAGTGTGCGTGTATGTGTGTGGTGATGTGGGTATTTGTGGTGCGTGTGTGGTTTTGAGAGGGGAAGGGGGAGGGGAAGGGGGAAAGGGGGTGGGTTCTTTTTGGCGAACGGAACGGATGCTGGCATGGTACAGACAGCGTCTCGGGCGCGTCTCGGGCGTGTCGTCGGGGGGGGGGGGGGGGGGGGGTTTAAGAAGAAAACGGCCAGAGAGGATTATGCTCATTACTGCGATCTTCAGTGATCGAGATCGATCGCGGCCGGAGCGCTGACGATGGGGTGCGCGGTGAGGCATGTTGACCCTGTCGACGAGCCTCGTACTCGGCAAAGGTGGTCGCTGGGCCGATGCGCGGCGATCGTCCAGTCGCCAGCCGGCCTGGATGCCGTGGAGGTGGCAGCTTGACGCCCAGGGCGGCTGCAATGTCGCGGTAGACAGGGACTGCCGGTGCGGCACCGGCTCGACGGTGCTCATCGTCGTCAAGTTGGGCTGCTGCCCGATGCGCGGCCTCCTCAGGCACCGTCAGGATTCGGTCCGCCTCCTGGAGTCGCTTGAGCACCGCCGAAACCGATGTCGCCTTGGGAACGTCAAAGCGGCTGCTACTACCGCTGGCAAGCCCGCTTTGTCCCGGTGTCGCTACCTCGAACGACATCACCGCCGCAACCTGCGCGTTGGCCGCGGCGATCCGTGCCGCGGGCGTTCGATTCGGCGACGTTGCAGACTCTACCACCGCGGGAGTCGGCGACAACGACGACGCACTGCCGCGATGTAAGATTTCAGTTGCCGCCGTATCAGCGCGGGCTTGGGGCGGTGACACAGGGCGCGGCGTCGCTTCCTGATAAGGTGTCGACATCGCCGACGCGCTGCCGCGGTATACAACTGGAGCCTGACTCCCGGAGACCTCGTTCGCCGCGGCCTGACGCTGCGCCTCCACCGCCACTTCCGGCGGTGGAGCAATATCAAAGGAGACACTGTTGGCGGCATGCTCCAGCGACTGCTCATGCAAACGGTGAGGCACGTCGGCAACGTGGCGATGACCGGTAAATGGCTGCTCGGGGTGCGACGGGAGGCTCGAGGCTGGGCCTGGATGCAGGGCGGGACCCAAGACGGGTGCGGGCGCAGGCGTCAAAAGCTCGGCCTCGACATCACACATGATGCCCTCGTACTCGACAAGCTTGGATCGCATTTCGTCGTTGGCGATGACAGCGCGGGCGTACTTGCCGTCGACAGTGGCGTGCGATCGCTCGATGCCAGCCAGCTCGCCAGCCAGCTGCGTAGCATGCGACTGAAGTGCTGTCAGCTGGTCGACTTGATCGGCGCACGTCTTTTCTAGTGTGGCAATGTAGCGCTCGGCATCAGCAAGTCGCGAGGCGGTGACCTCGCGCTCGTTACTGGCTCGCGACAGCGCCGCCCGCAGCTCGTCCATCTCGGCCTCGTAGTGTGCGGCAGCGATCGAGTCCTGGCGTGCCGCGCCACGTTGGGCCTTGTCCTGCTGCGCATCCAGCTCGTCCTCCATCTGCCGCAGTGCATCCGCCGACTCGTCCTCTAGCCGTGACAGCGCCAGCTCCAGTTGCGCCACACGGCGTGCACCGGTCTTGAGCAGTGCCCGCACCAGATCAGGAGTCACAGCATCGACGACTGTGCACTTTTCCCGCTCGCGCAGAGCCTTGCCAGAAGTCAAGTGCGCGTGCGCAGTTGTGTGCTTTCCCGGCAGTGCGTGGAGGAGGCGTTGGAGGACCGCAGCCTCGGCGCGCGAGTAGGCATCGGGAGTCAAGACCGCGCGCCAGTCATCAAGGGCCGCAGCAGTGCGGGACACCTCGGCACGCAGAGCTTCATCTGCATCCAGCAGCGGATCGAGCATGGCTCGAATTTCCCGAGTCAGATCAAACAGCAGCCGCTTGGCCCGGCTCGCTGGCCCGGCCAGTGCTGCCGCCTTGGCCTCGGCTCTCCGGCAGCTACGGACAACTTGGCGGAGCGAGGCTTGTGGCAGAGCCCGAAATGAGATGCCTGACGACATCGCATTGACATGGGGCACCAGCATAGCAGCAGCATCAGCAGCCTCCACCTCTGATGGCGGTGGGGGTGCGGTGGACCGTCCCACCCGTCCATGCCTCGACCCATGCCTTGGCCCTGACCCTGGCGCTGGCGTCCTTTGCTGCCGCCTCGCCTCCCTCCTCGACGCGCCCACCACCACTGCTTGCATAGGCCGCGCACGACGTGGCGAGCCATGCAGACTCCGTGCCAACGACATAATATCTTTGCCTTGCCTTCTTCCGCCCCTTTGCCCCGGCACTCGTCCACCGACTGCGTCGAGTGTGGCCAGCTGGCTAGCCCCCACCCCCACCCACTCCTGCCTCGTCGTTGAGCAAAGCCTAGTCGGCTACCCTCCCTCCCTCTCTCTTTCCCCACGCATCACACTCACACTCGCCACAGCTCCTCGATCATCCTCCACTCCCCATCGACTTCCCATCGAGTCTCCATTCTTGTATGTAATCAACTCTTTCCCATCAGATTAACCGCTTATCGTCTCGGAATATCCCCTTGCTCATCTCTCGTACCCCCCTCTTCTCCTTGCTCCTCTGCTGGCTCGTCGCCTGCATTGGCGACCGTTGGACGGCCGAGTCACTCCCGGTCACAGCTCCGAACCGTCTCACAGATGAAGACGGCCAGGTACCAGCTACTCACCACCTCAACGACGGTCTGTACACGCACTTTTCTCAGTTCCACCCTCACTTGTTGCCAACTCATGGCGGTGTCTTTGGACGGCGTATCTACAGACGCTCCCGAGTACACCTACTCGGGTGAGTACTCGGTGGTGGACTCGGAGTCGGCGGGGGACTCGGGCTCGGAGACGCCGGTTGGACCTGATGTTGCTGATGGCGATGATAGTCATGGTAATGATGATGACCTTGGTGTTGCAGAGGCAATTCTCGAAGAGCCACACACTCCAGAGCCGAGGTCGCAGCGTTTGGAGAAGCCGGCGGCAGGACGGGCGGCGCCATCGCCTGCTACCCCGGTTCGAGCGAGTCCTAAGCGCCAGCGACGCGGGCGTCCGAGGCCTTCCAACGTTGTGAAGCGATCGCCGGCAAGGAAGCGCGGTTTGCCACGTCCGATGACTGCCGGTAGCGGGCGCAAGAGGACCGGGCGATCGCCGCGAAACTCGCCAGATACAAGCTGGAATCGATCGACAGTTGTTCGGCCGCAGACAGCAAGCGCGCGTGGCTCGCCACTCCTTCGCCGTCGTGGGCCTGGGCTCGCCTCGCCTCCTTCCCGCTCCGGTATCTTGCTCGGCCACGAGGACTTGCTGGCACAGGTGGAGGCTATCCGCATTCCGAGCCATGCCCGCAAGCGTGAGGTTCCGGGCCTACTGGTCCAGCTCGGCTCACTCCGCGAGCTTTGCCTGCTGGCCTGCGAGCGGCTGCGAACAGCATACACTACAGCATCGACTGCAAAGTCTGACGCTGACAAGCTGCGGACGGCTTCGGAGCGTGCCAACGCTCGTGCCGACGCAGCGGCAGCCGACGTGTCGGCATCCCAAGCTGCTGCTAAGGCCCAGCAAGCGAGACTCAAGAGCGAACTTGCCGCGCTCACCGCTGACGCGGCTAGTCGTGAGAGTGAGTTGAGCACGGAGCTTGAGCGGGTGCGCGCTGAGCTCAAGCAAGCGCTCACGACCATCAAGCGCAAAGACACCCTCATTGCCAATCGCGATGCGGCGCTGGCAGAGAGCCAGGGCAAGCTCGAGGTGTCCAGCAACAAGTTGGCATCGTGTCAAGCTGCGCTGCAACGGGCGCGCATTGACGCTGCCGAGGCTTCGCGAGCCGCGGTTCAGGCCAAGGTCGCGGCCGACCAGGCCAAGTCGGAGGCATCCAGCGTCCAACGGACGCGCGAGATGGAGGCAGCTGAAGAAGAAGCCGCGCACGTCACCGAGCTCAAGCTCAATCTTCGACGCAAGACCAGGCATCTGGCTGAGGTCAAGGCCGCGCTGGCCCAGGTGCAGGCGCAAAACGAGGCGCTTGAGGCCAAGGCGGAGAAGCGGGCCAAGCTCCGCAGCGCGGTCCAGGCCGCGCGCGAGAGCGAGGCCCGGATCAACGACCACGCCGCGGCCCAGAAGCTGCGCATCGACCAGCTCACCCACGAGCTGCAGGCGACCCAGATGGAACTCGGCACTGTCCACGCCAAGTATGCCAAGCTGCAGCGGAGCCATGCCAAGCTCAAGAAGCGACTTGATTCTGGCTCATCACCGTCACCCAAAAAGCGGCGCAGCAAGCGTCAGGCGGCGGCTTCGTCGTCATCGCTCCACGGCTCGCGCAACGCATCGCCCCAACTAGACGCCAGCCCAGAGCCGGTCGACATCCATGTCCAGCAGTATTATTGAATTCTGCCACAGCTTGTGGCACGCCATCACACCTCAGACGAGTCGTCAAAGGTAAAAACTTTGGCGTACTGGGCGACTTGACCCTTTCTGGGAGGCATGCCCGACGGCGAGGTGACCGAAGAGTCGTCCGATGAGGTTTGGAGCAGGCGGCGGCGGAGGGCACGCGGCTGCGGCGGGGGTACCAGCCGCCGCTTGCGGGTGGGCGCTGGGCGGACAAGCCGCGGCGCGACGATGGGGCGCGGTGCGGGATGTACTGGTTGGGCCGCCGGCGACGATGAAGTCTGCAGAGTTTGGGCCTCGATGACATCGGTCATGGGCACGAGCTGAAAAACAACAGTGCGGCAGTTGCGCCGGACGGTTGCTGCGAGCTCTGCCTCCGCCACAACCGCCGAGCTGAGCGAGCCCAGGAAGAGGCGGCAGACCTGATACAGCTTGCGGTAGCACTCCTTGAGCATCGGGTGTGACTTGCCGAGCAGGCTTTTGAGTTCGGCCAGAACTGCAGCCCGAAGCCGGGCCTTGTTGATGTCCGCTGGCCTGCGCTGATCGGGCATGGCCAGCGCAAGCGATGACTTCGAAGTCGCACGCTGCGCTGCTGACACCTGCTTGCGCGCCATAGAGCGGAAAGATGGTTGCCTGCGTGACGCAGGCTGCGCCGCAGTAGCTTGTGGGGTTCGGACCGGGACTCGCGGAGTCTCGGGCACGTCGCGCAGAAGCGAGCCACGCTCGTGAATAATGCCATCGCCCATGACTGCCGCGTAGGCGCCGGCTCGGGACGCTGCACTGCCGTAGTAGTGGACGCCGTGGAGTTGGCGGGCATCGCTGTGTGTACCCGGTGCTGGAGCCAATGCCGCCTCGACGGCTGCCCAGTGAGGTCGGCCAGTGTGGGCACTCTGCGCTCGGGCAAGCGCTGCGTAGTCAAAGCGCTCGTTGCCGGTCAGTGCTGGAAAGACCGAGGTTACGGCGCGCGAGCCGAGCAGGCCCGGATCCGGCAGAACCCGCCCCGACGGGGCAAAGCACGCCGCGACGGAGGCCGGCTGGTGCTTGGTCCGTGGTGTGAGAGGCGGAATCTGTAGCCGGTTTGGACGGGGCAGCGGTGGCGGCTCAGTCTCTTCGACTGCATCAGCAAGCAATGCAGCCAGTGCGCGATCTTCGGGCCAGAGCTCCGAGTCGGGGTCCGCGATTGGACTTGCCGCCGAGCACACAATCGGAGCCAGCGGCACAGGCAACCGGGCCAGTGCATGCGGTGAGACAAGACCAAAGAGTTGCAAAGAGCCTGGATGCGGAACTGCAGCGAAAAGCATGCCGCTGGTGGATCGGAGGACCAGTGTGGCCGCGTCGGCTGCTAGCACATCGACCAGCTGGGCCACATGCGGAAGAGTTGCGGACGACGGCATGACGTACGCCATCCGCCAGTGAAGGCCGGTGAAAAGCCACGGGACTGTAGCAGGGGCAGCAATTCTGTTGATAATGGTGAGACAAGAGTCCGAGCCGCGCGGAAGTCTAGCTCTCAGCGAGCTAGCATCTTCGGCAAAGGCCTCGACGCGGCAGGACGGCCACTTTCCGAGCTGTGGATGAAGGGCCAGCGAGCCGCGCCAGCACGACGGGTTGGCAACAAGAGCGGTGAGCTTGACTTGAGAGCCGAGGTGGCTCGCATCTGTTAGCAGCACCTGCCAAGCTGCAGCAATGGCGGCAACGTCGACGTCTGGAGGTGGCGCGGCAATGAGGATGTGAACGCGTAGCGCCGATCGCCATCGGGCAGACTCGGCGAGCTGAGCGGTAAGGCCGACCGCAAACGCATGCGTGGCTGGCGGTTGGGCCTTGGGCCCCGGCAGCGGCAGGCGAGCCTCCACTACCCACACTAGGTCGAGGACCTGTGGGTCATCAGCCGTCGCAGACTCGCCACCGAGAGTCTGCGCCAGCATCCGGAGCATGTCCAGGTGGGCATCGCAAGGCAAACGGGCGTCATGGCTTGGAGGAGCAAGCGGAGCAGAGTCAACTTTCCCAGTTTGTCCTGGATCTAACCATGTCAGCCGATGCGCGCTCTTCCTGGCGAGCATGAGCGAGGCCGGCGGTACAACGCGGGGCGAGCCGGGCTCGGTCCGCCAGCCGGCGAGCGCAGCCTCGCACACGACGTCCATCTCTTCCGAAGCCAAGAATGCAGCGTCGGTAAGGTCAACCACCACCACACCAGCCGACCGCATCGTCGGTTCGAGTCGGGCGCGGGTAGGTGAGGGTAGCTTTTGTGGAGAGCTTGTGTGAAGTGTGGTGGCTGTTGTACGGCGACTGGCGGGGGCGAGTCACGTCCAAACCTCGTTTGGCTTTGAGTTCAAGAGGGGCGGGGGGGGGGGGGGAGGGGAGGGCAGTCGTGTTTTTGGCGCGGCCGTTGCCGCCAAAACTGGGACCATCGCTCTCTTTCTCGCGCTTGACCATGTCCGGGACGCCGTCGCGGACACGTCGACCGACAGGGACAAAGTCACGAGACAGGGCGGTACAGAGAACACCGACAGGTAGAAGGGTGAGTAGCAAGCGGCCGGCAAGGTCGCCCATCTATACTGGGCTGGAGCGCAAGATTCAGCATGACGACTTTGAGCGGGCCCTCGCGTCGGAGCTTGGAACGGTCCAGGATGAGTCCGGCGAAGGCGTGCGCGGGAACGAGGTGGAGCGTCTGGAGCATGCGCTGGCGCAGGCGCAGGCTGAGCTCCGGGCGAACCATACGCAGTTGAGACAGGAGGAGGACTCTGCCAACGCCGCTATGGAGCGGCTCAAGGCTGAGAATGCCCGGGCTCGGGCAGCGGTGACGGCGGCGCGTGAAAAAGTGGCGGCAGCGTCGGCGAGCGCGGCGGCAGCTACGCAGGCGGCACGTGCAAGCGGTGCCAGGGACCTCGACGCACTTGCGGCGCTCGTTCTCCGCGAGGTAAGCGAAACCATGGCCGCTGCCAAGGACGCAGCCCGCGCCGAGTTTGCTGGGAGACTCGAGGAGAGCCAGTTGACGGTCGGCCGGCTCCGCGAGCGGATACAGCGACTGCGTGAGGCCGAGGGCCGCCACGCCGACGACGCGGCTGTCATTCGCAAGCACCAACGGAAGGAGCGGACGTTATATGCATCGATCGAGCTGCTGAAGCAAAAGCTGGAGGAGAAGGAGGCTTCGCACGAGCACATTCTCACGGTTCACACCGAATCGAACGAGCTCAAAGACCAGGTCGCGCTGCTGCAAGCGCAGCTTGCCAGCGCACGCAAAGAACGCGACGAAGCCGTGCTTGGGCGCGGTAAGCCGCGCACCGGCTCGGGTCGGGGGCGCGGGCGCGGGCGTGGCCGCGGACGTGACCAGTCGAGCTCGTCGGAGAGCGAGCGCCTCAACGCGCTGCTGCGCAAGCTGTCGAAGGAGCGCGACGAGCTGGCCAAAGAGAATGCCAAGCTTGCACGGGCGGCCAAGCGCGACGCCAAGCGGTATCAGGCGTATCTCGATGACGTGACTGCCCAGTTGGTGACTGCTCAGCAGCAGCGCGACGAGGCGCGGGCTCATCTCGAGTCACACCTTGCCGAGTCGGGCCGCGAAACGCTGGTGGCCAAGCTCGAAGCGCATCGCGAGGCGCGTGCCAAGCTCACCGATGAGGTTGCAGCTCTTCGTGACGCTCTGGCAGAGGAGCGGGCCCGAGTCCGGGCGCTGCGGTCAGCGCGGAGCGCATCGGGGGCCGAGATCCAAGCTCTCAACCGCAAGCTGCTCAATGCGTCGCACCTCGCGCGGCTGGCCGAGTTCCGAGTCACGGAGCACACGCCGCTTGCCGAAGTCGAGGCGGTGCTCTCGGCGCTGCAGGAGACCAACTCAGCGTTGCAGTCTCGCATTGCCGAGCTGGAGCGCGAGGTTGCGACCGAAAAGGCTGCAGTGTCAGCGGTGCGGGCGCAGTCAGCCTCTGCTGCCAGCTCGAGTGAGGAAGTCGAGCGGCTCCGGTCGGACCTCATCCGACTGAAGAGCCAGCACAACGAGCTGCGGAGCAAGTATGCGGCGGCTCGGCAGGAGGCTGCCGCGCCAGCCAGCCCGAGCGTAGGCGGCGAGTCCAACACTCGTGATGCCGCGCGGCTGGCCGCGTCCCGCAACCGGATGGCGGCGCTTGAAGAGCGTGTTCAAGCGCTGGCGGCGCAGCTTGCGGCGTCGCGCGCGCGCGAGGCCCAGCTGGAAACTCAGCTGCTGGACAGCTCGCACCGCGCGGCTCGTTCGCCTGCGGCGTCGAGCAGCGAAGGCAGTGGGCCTGTGCCTGCGACGCCGATCTCCAAGCTGGAGGCACGGGCGTCACGAGTTTCCATGCTCGGTGCGACGCCGCTCGGCGGACGGCCCGGTGAGAACATTGCCCGTGCGTGGGAGCCGCGACTCCTCCTCTCGGCCATCGAAAAGTCGCAGCCGCTGCCGCCGATTGACGCGGTTGACGACGGCGTTGTCTACGCCTGCATTGTCAAGCTTCAAGAGCGGCTTGCCGAGCTCAACGAGTCCGCGGCTGAGCATGCGCGGGCGCGGCATCCGCACTTTATGGAGCTTGGCTCGCAGCACCAAACGCTTGCCGACTACCTCCGCGGCATGCATGGACTGGTGGCCGAGGCTGTTTCGCTGGGAGCGTCCAGCGAGAACGAAGATGTTGCGACGCTGCGGTCGCGACGTGACAACACAAAGGCACTGAGCCAGGTTCTGGACCAGGCTGAGGCTTTCGTTAGCAGCGAACTCGCGCAGCCATCGTCGGCGACGCTGGCGGCGCTCGCGCGGCTGACCTCGCTTCGGAATGGCCTGGCTGCCAAGCACGGTGCGACCATCAAGGTCCTGGACGGCCTATCGTCGGTGGTGAGCTCGTCGCCGCTGCTGCCCGCGTCGGACCCACGCGCAGGCGCAACGCTGCTTGCAGCATTCAAGCTCCAGGCTGCACTCGACTCTGCCGAGGAGGCTGCTGTGGGGCTGACGCTCGACTTGGGGCGGCTGGACAAGGCAGCACTCCGGGCCGATGTCGAGGATGCTGCAGCTGTGGCAAGCCTTGTGGAGGCGATTTCAGGCCTGTTGGAGGCCGAGTCTGGCGGGTGCCTTGCGCCCGAACTGCGGGTGCGTACGAGCAAGTTGCTGGCACCGCTAGTTAGCATGGTGGCGTCGCGTGCACGGCTCCCACGCGACGGGTACCTTCCACTGCAGGTGCGGTCGTGGTGGAGTGAGGCCGGGACGACACACGCCAACATGCACCAGGAAAAGCTCAACTCGTCGCTGCTCCTGCTGGACGTGCTGGCCGACTCGACGGCGCAGGTCTCGCGCGAGTTTGAGAGCCTCGCCGCGTCTGAGGCCAAGCTCGCGGCGCGGCTGGACAAGTTGACCTCGCAGACTTCGCAGGTCAACGTTGCGCTCATGCCGCAGGCGTCGACGCCGGCCCGCAAGCGGGCGTCGCTCGCCGCGCAGCACGCAAGCCTGGCTGCCGAGCGTGAGCAGGCTGCCGAGCAGCTGCGCAGCGTGCGTGAGCGGCTCGGTGAGCTGCGGCGGTCCAAGCGGCAGACCGAGGCTGATCACCAGGCACTGTCGGCCGCTCTGGCTGCGTTTGCCGAGGCCTCGCAGCGGTTGGACGGCGGTACCGGCAAGGTCCGGTCTGCGCTGGACGCTATTCTGGGCCTTCTCGGCGAGCCACTGCCCATGCCGGGTGACCGCAACCGTGGCAGCAGTAGCTCGAGCGGGAGTGGCTTGACTGGCAGCTCAGAGACAGAGCACCTCAAAGCGCGGATCCGGCAGCTGCAGGACCAAAGTACGCCATTTACTCGCGACTGCATGATCTCAACGCACGACTGGTTTCTACTTCAACCGACAGGGCAGAGCTGGAGGCGCGCCTGGCGCACTACCGGCTCAATGGCTCGGTGTCTGAGGCCGACAAGGCCGACGAGGCGTTGCTGCAGGCGCAGCTCGCGGACGTTTCCCGCGAGCGGGAGCGACTCAAGTCGACGATCCAGAAGGATGCCAGCGAGTTGCGTGGTGTCGAGTCTGAGCTCGACCAGGTCTTTGCGCAGTACAACCTGCTGGTGGCTGCGCCGCCTCTGGCGTCGCCGGCACAGGTCGGCGACGGTGGTGACGGCCGGCAGTCGCGGGCGGCAGCCGAGGCTAGCGGAGCGCCCACGGGGACGGCGCGGGTGGTTGGACTCGCGCGCGACGGAGAGGGCGGCACGTCGCTCGAGCGAGCGCGCTCCATTCTCTCGTCGACGAATGTAACCTCGCTCATTCCCGAGTACGCAGCTGCTGTGAAGGAGGTGTCGGACCACCTTGCGGCTGTGGAGCAGTATGCGCTCTCGCTTGAGGCGCGCTCGGCCCAACTGGCGAGCGAAAAGTCGTCACTCGAGCGTCACATTTCCGAGCTCTCGTCAGACCGGGCGCGGTTTGCAACGACTCTGGAAGGGCTGCATGCGCAGCTTGCGGCGTTTGGCACATCTGACGAGAAGGGTGTGCGCGAGCTGAAGTCGCGAATTACGAACCTCGAGAGCCAGCGAGCTCTGCTGGAACAGCAGCTTGTGGATGCGGAGCAGGATTTGGAGCATGCGTCGACGCTGCTGCGGGAGACCAACGTGGTGCTCACGTCGCAGGTGGGAGGACGGCACGCGGATTTGGCGGCGCAGAAGCGTGCGCTTGACGAGCGGGCAGCGATTCTTTCGTCTGTGACACAGTTCTTGCTGCGGTCTCCTGATCTCGACGCGTCGTCGCCGGTTCGTGCTCAGCTGCAGGTCGTGGCCGACTCGCTGGAGCGTGAGTCGCGGACGCCAGGTGAGAGCCACCGCGAGGAGCGGGCCAGTGAGAGTGCTGCCGACGAGCACGCGGCGGCCCGCGAGCGCGAGGAGCGCGTGGCCGCGGCTGCTGCGCTGGACGCGGTGCGGCGGCACAACTCAGAGCTCCGCGCGGCGCTAAAGGCGCGGGCTGAGAACGCGGCGGCGCTGTCGCGCAAGGCTACTAAGATGGAGGCTGCACTCGGCGAGGCCAACGCGCGCGAGTCTGAGCTCGAACTGGAAATTGACGAGCTCCGCGGGCAGCTTGATGGCATGGGCCAGCTGATGGCGTCTGCGTCGCGGGCGGCGACGCTGCAGGCGACGAACACTACGCTGGAAGCCGAGCTGGCTGGCATGGCCGAAGCGCTCGCTGCCGAGCAGGAGCGTGCAACCGAGGCACGGGCGCGATGCGCGGATGCCACTGCCGAGGTTGCGGTACTCAAAGATAAGGTCCTGGACTTGAATCGTGCGCTGAGCACGGCGCAGGCCGAGCTGACGGAGCTTCGTGACGGCTCGACCGAGCTCAACGAGAGTAAGGCTGAGGTGGAGTTCCTGGCGGAGGATGCAAAGCGGATGGCGACTGCGATTACCGAGCTTGAAGCCGAGAACGTGCACCTGCTTGCAGTCCTTAACGATGTTATGGCGTCGGAGGCCGAGCGCAAGGACGAAGCGACGGCGCAAGTCACCGAGATGGCCAACTTGAAGCTCAAGGTGGTCGGTCTCGAGGAGCAGCTGGCAGCCGCTGAGGCTGCGCTGGCTCTGGCAAGTACTGACGAGGAGAGCAAGGTGAATACGGCGGGCAGCCCCGCGCGGCGGGAGCTCTCTTCGGACCCTCATTCTAACGTGTCTGGCGACTCGCGGTCGCACTCTGTGTTTTCGGTGGGATCGCCGGGCTCGCCGGCGCCAGTGACGTCTGCGGCACCATCGTCAGCCGCGGTGGCGTCACTGGAGATTGAGCTGGAGGCAGTGATGGCTCGTGAGCGGCTGCTTGCGGCCGAGAACGCCGAGCTGGAGACGCGGCTGGTCTCGTACCGGTCACGGCTTACAGCTGTCCAGGCGCGGGAGGCCGAGATGGAGGCTGCACTTAACGTTCCTGTTCAGGTCGATCGTGCGCTGTCGGGTGAAGCAAGCATGCCAGCTGTAGCGCAGTCTGCCGGGGTGAGGGCGGGTCCTGAGCCGCAGCTCGCGAGCAGGGTGACCGAGCGGTCGCTGGCGTCGCGTGCGGAGGCGAACGTGCCCATGGTGGATGAGTTTGGTCGAGCTGTGGCTGTAGGGAACGTGGCGCATCCGGCGGACGCGGCGGTGACGTACGTGTCCGTGGAGCGGGTGCAACACCAGCGGAAGACAGCAGGGCCGATGGACGACGCGCTGCGTCGGTTCCTGGAGGACCAGCTGACTCAGGCCGAGATGGATCTTGCCGAGGCCGAGGCTGCGCTGGGTGAGGCGCAGATTGAAGCGGCGGAAGCGCGTGAAGCCAAGGAGACCATGGCTGAATCCATGGGTGCTCTCGAGGCTGATTTGGAGGCGGCTCAGAGCCTTGTTCAGGCGATGGATGCCGAAGCGGCGGCGTCGTCGGAGCAGATTCTGGGCTTGAAGAAGGCACTTCTTGAGGCTGGCGAAGAGATGGCAGCGCTGTCGGCGTCGACTAGGGCGCTGGTGCAGCAGAATGTGTCGCTTGGCGGCGAGGGTGCTCGGTTGTTGCAGGAGCACCAGCGGCTTCAGGTGGAGAAGCGGCGGGAGGCCAAAGCGCGGATGGTGGCGGAGCGCAAGGCGACAGCGTCTTCGGTGGCCACGTCAGAAAAGGACCCCAAGTCGATGATTCCTCAGGAACTCTTGGCCGAAGTGGAGCACCTGCGGACGGACGTGCTCCTTGCGCACCAGCAGTCCGAGGCCCTGGCCAATGCGCTTGAGGAGGAAATGCGTCTGAGTGCTCAGCTCCGCGGGGTGCTCAACACTCTGCTGGCCGATGCTGACTCGCTCGACATGCACAACCAGGAGCTTGCGGCGCGACTGCGGGCAGCTGTTTCACGTGTCCTGCATCCCGAGTCCCATGACGGCACTACTGGCGAAGCTGTCAGCGAGATGTTGAGTGGGACGGGTCCGGCTGCTGTCAAGACGAGCACGGCTGCCGAGCTGCTGGCAGCGTCGGAGGTGCCGACAGTGTCGGCGGCAGCGCAAGCACCCGACGTGGCGCGCAAGCTGCGGGAGCTTGAGCGAGCGCATGCGGATCTGTTGCGCGCCGGTCCTCACGCGTATCTTGCGGCCCAGGTCGATGAGCTCAAGATCGAGCTTGCCGAGGTGGAAGAGCAGCTGCTGGAAATGACTCGCCGAAATGCGATGTTGACCCGGGACCGGCTCCGGGTGGAGGCTGATGCTCACGCGGCGAATTTGTCGATGAGCGACGAGCGAGCTGTGTCTGTGGCTGGGCTCGTGAGTCGGGTCCTGGGCGAGTCTGAGCGCCAGGAGCTGCAGCAGCTGCGGGCCGAGGTTGCACGGCTGCTTGGCGATGCTGTGCCGGGTGCACGGTCGGTGGCTGAGCTGGAAGCGCAGCTGGAAGCGATTTCTGGTGAGCAGATTCGGGCGCTGTCCGCAATGCGCGAGCTGGATGCGGTTGCGCCAGTCTCGACGGAACTCTACGACGAGCTCCATGCCGGCAAGCCGCTTCTCGCGGTAGCAGAGCAGGTGCAAGAGTGGCTTCAGTCGACTCGGCTGGCGTATACCTCGACGGCGCAACGGGCCGAGAGCCAGCTCGCTGCAGTTCAGCGGCAGTTGTCGGAGGCGCACGTTCGTGGTATGGAAGCTGCGGAGCGGGAGTCGCTCGGCGCCGAGGTTGAGTCGTTGTCGAATGTGAGCGAGCGGGTGCGTAGCTCGCTGGCGACGCTTGATGACGTGGAGGCACAGCTGGCGCGGTTGCTGGTGGTCATTGAGCCGCATGCGACTCTGGTCGCGTCACCAGCGCACGGCAGCCAGCTGTTGGAGCTCATTGGCCGGGTGCTTGTTGCGATGATGGGCAACGAGCTGGCGAGCTTCCAGGCACGGTTGCAGAACGAAAAAGCACGGGTGCTGGGCTCGCATGCTGCGCTCCGGCGGACGCGTGACGACGTGCGCGCTCTGCGGGACGAGCTGGGCATGGCGGCGCTAGTGCCGACGCTGCAGTCGGTGCTAGCCGAGGTGGCGCCAGTGCCTGGCGCGGCTGCCGCACAGCTGGAAGGTAGTTTGCCCCCGGGTGCCGATCCGCGCGCACGGTCGGTCATTCCGGCGCTGGAGACCCTCTCGGTGGATCTGGCCGAGCTGGCACGACTGGTTCATGAGCCGGGTACCCTCTACGAGGGAGACACAAGTCTTGTGTCGCGGCAGGATGCACGCGCGGCCCTTGTCGATGAGCAGGTCGAGCTGCTCGGAGGAGTCGACTACGTTTCGCGTTCGCGCGGTAGTGGCGGCGGAGATGCCAGCGGCGGAGCCGCCGAGCCGGAGCCGACGGTTGTTGTGGCTATGGCGGCCCGAATGCAGCGTTTGGAGCAGCTTCACCAGCAGGCACTTGTTCAGAACGAAGCACTGACAGATGCTGTGCGTCATGGTGGAGGCTCGCTCGGTGAGGCTGCGGCGTGGGATACCGTCTCGCAGCTGCGGAGCGCACTGGAGCAGGCTGTGGCCGAGAATGCAAACTTGGTGCGCAAGGTGCGGAGTGGTGGTGCAGCGCCGGACTCACCGGGTTCGTCGAGCTCAGGTAGCGACGACGAGGAGAAGCGAGTTCTCGCCCGTGAGCTGGTGCGGTTGACAAACGAGTACAACGCACTGGTGGACGGACGTGTGCGTCAGGGCCGGCGGACGGCTGGGACCGAGCGCCACGTGCCCTCTGTCGCGGGTGGACGAATCCGTGGTGAAGCGCTGGATCCGACCGAAATCGATGAACTGCCGCATCTACAGGCACTGGTGCTGCAGGAGCGGACACGGGGTGACATGCTGGAGATGCAGCTTGAACAGGTGCTTCTCACGACAGATTTGGCCGCGAGCGCCCCCAATGGAGATGTGAGCGCCTCGCGCCGGTATGTGGACCAAGCGCTAGGACAGTCTCGGGCGCAGCGTGAGGCCCTGATTTTGTCCCGCTTGGAGAACAGAGGCAATGTGCCGAAGACCGATACTGGGTCAGAGGCCCGTGAGGTTGCGGTTTGTCGCGCGTCTCTGTGGAGGCGTTGGAGACCCGGCTGGCTGTGGTGCTCGATCAGTTGGACGATGCAGTCGTGAGCAACGCACAGCTGGCGCGGGACTACGCGGTGCTGGTGAAGGAGCACGAAGGCTTGCGCGCCGAGCGGCAGGCCGCCGATGCAATGCTCGAGTCGACCCGCGGCGAGCTGGGTGAGTTGAGGCGCCGCTGGCGCGAGCTGGCGCAGGATGAGCTTGCGGCGACGTCGCGAGCGGAAGAACTTGCCGCGGAAAACAGCTCGCTGCGGCGGATGCTGACGACGCCTGGGCTCGCGCCTGCTGTGGGCTTGCCTGTTGCGGTGGGCAAGGCGTTGCGGTCTGAACACGGCCCACTTGCATCGCGCGAGTCCAGCCACGCTGTGCGCGATGTCGTCTCGGGGCAGGACGCCATCGTTCAAGAGCTTGTGCTGCATTCAGCCGAGCTGAACTCTTTGTCTGGCTTTGCGTCGCCGCAGGTTGTGGCGATGGAGCGGGCAAAGATCGAGCGCGAAGTTGCGGGCGAAGCGGTTGGAGTGCGTCGGCTGGTCGAGCTTGAGCAGGATGGAACGCCGGACTCGAGCTCGCTGTCGACTTCGTTGACAGGATTTGACCCGGAGAAAATGGCGCTCGTGGCAGAGCTGCAGGCGCTGGCGGAGCAGCTGGCGGAAGCGCAAGCAGACAACGCAGATCTGGCGACTGAACTCGCGGCTGCATCAGCGGCGAATGCCACGCTGCACATTTCGAAGGAGCAGCTTGGCGCCGACCTCAACGAGACCAAGGTTCGCTTGAGCGAGATGGACCGCGAGTGGCGAGAGCTTGCTCGCGACGAGAACGCGTTGTTCAGCAAGGTGCAAGAGCTCGAAATGCAGGTTGCGACCTCGACGCTTAGCGACGAGTCCAAGGCTGCCGTGGTGGCCAAGCTTGCAGCTGTACGGGAGATGCGGCCAGTGGAGCGGGTCTCGCTGCTTGCTAGCGCAGATGAGGTGCGCAACGTTGTCGCCGGGGCTAGCCACGACGGGCCAAGTGGATCAGGAGAGAGTGTCGCGTCGAGCGAGCTCGAGGCTCTGCAGCAGACCATTCGTGTGTTGGAGACGGAGCTGGAGAGCGCAAACCAGGCTGCGCTTGATGCCGAGCGGATGTTGACAGCAGAAGCTGCGGAAAAGGCGGCGCTGCTTGCCAAGATCGAGGGCCTTCAAGACGATGTCGAGGCTGTCCTTGCAGACAAGGAGGCACTAGTTCAGCTTGTGGATGAGTTGCGGCGTGACTACGGCATGGCTCAGGATGTCGAGGGCGATGTCGAGTCGCAGGTCATCAAGTATCAGGTCGAGGCCGAACAGCTGCAGCTAGACAACCAGGCGCTGCGGGAGCAGATTACCGAGCTGGGCGGAGTGGCTGCTGTTCGCGAGAGTCGCACCCGCGACTCGGCTGGCGCGACGGCGCTGACCAAGCTGGTGTCGACAGAAGAGCGCAACACGATTCTTTCGGAGCAGCTCGATGACCTCAACGAGGCTTACGCCGGCCTGCAGAGCGAGGTGCGCGAGCTGACGTCAGCGCGGACGACCGACATGCGGCGGATCATGGAGCTCGAGGCGGCGCTCGAGGAGTCTCAAGACGAGACGGCGTTGGCCCACAGCTCAGTCGAGCGGCTGCAGCGCGAGCTGGAAGAAGTTGCGCGCGAGAACGCCGAGCTCGAGAACGAGGTTGCTCGCTCACAAGTGGCACTTGCACGCTCGTCTCTCGGCTCTCACGGTGGCGCTGACCTGACTGCGCCGACCGCGGAGGATGGCGGTGAACAGCTTCGTCATCATGGGCTCAGCGCATCCCCAGCGGTACAGGCCTTTGAGTTGCAAGCGCGCAACGAGCTGCTTGCGGAACAGGTGAGCGATTTGGCCGAGACACTTAAGGAGCTTGAGGCCGAGCTTGACGGGATGGCCAAGGAGAAGCTGCGTGTGGAAGGGCTCAACCGTGAGTTGACGTCGCTGGCAGAGGAGCGCGCTGCCAAGATCGAGGCACTCGAAGCCAACATGGCTGCGATGAGCAATGAGCTCGAGGCTGTGACGGGCGAGGCCGAAGAGACAGCTTCTCAGTTGATTGCAACCCAGGTCGAGCTTTCCAAGGCACTTCTAGACGCCGGGCGTCCCAGCGCCGACGCGTCGCTTCTTGTGGCGGCGCGGAGTGAGGCGCGGCGCGAGCGTGCTGCGCACCAGGCACCTGGAAGCGGGAAGCGGACCGAGTCTGGACGTGAGACGCTGCTGCAGATGTCGCTTGACAAGACGCTTGATGAGCTTGACGAGCGCGATGACGAGGTTGTGCAGCTTGCGCGCGACAAGATCGAGCTCATGAACGCGGCTGCGGCTCTTGACAAGGAGCTGGCACAGCGGCGAGCCGACGGAAGCGATAATGCGGAGCTAGTGGAGTCACTGACACGTGCACTGCAGGAGGCGCTTGTCGAGGGCGAGACCAAGGATGACCTCATTGCGGCGCTGCAGGTGGAGGTTCAGCAGCTGCGGCGGTCCCTGACAGATGCCGGAGTGGCAAATGTGAGCGAGGATGGTGACCAGCCACGGGAGCTCGTGGCTGCTAAGCTCCGGCGTGAGCGGGCGGAGCGGTCGGTTCGTGTGCTCGAGTCGCGGCCAAGCTCGGTCGACAACCTTGTGGCCCAGTTGGAGTGGCCTGAGCTGCGCGCAGGCCACGGGCCGTCTGGGGGCGAGGCTTCGGACGAGGTGACCAAGCTGCAAGAGCAGCTGCTCGCGGCGGAGCAGGCGCTCAGGCAGCGGGACCGGCACTTGGCGGAGCTCGCCGAGTATGTTCGCGAGTTGGGCGGGACTGACCTTGCGCTGGCCCCGTACGACTTTGTGCTCGACGACTCGTTCGACGGGGTGGCGGCCGGCGCGCGGATCGAGTTTCTGGAGGAGCAGGTGCTTGCGGAACAGGTGGCGAACGAGCGGGCACAGGGCGAGCTGGCGCTGTTGGCAATGTCCAAGGCACACCTGATGCGTGAGTGGAGCAAGCTGCGTGACATGCTGGAGGCCAACGGCGTGAGTGTGGCGCCGCTCGACCTGGCGATTGTAGGCGAGCCTACACCGGAGAAAACCCGTCGAGCTGTTGCAGAGTCCGAGATCGCACCGGGTTTCGAGTACAAGTGTGGACCGTATTCCGATTTCTACTCGGAGTATTACTCGGACGACGAAGTGGACGACGATCTTGACGTTGCACCCGCTCGTGAAGGCGCCAAGAACGGTGGGACACAGCTTACGCCGACTCCAGCACAACGGCAGAAGCATCCTCGGCGGCGTCGGCAGCATCGGGCACGCCACGATGACGGCGGCGTTGAGACTAGTGTTGGCGATGGAAGCGCAGACGTGGTCGGCGTGGAGCCCCAACAGCAGAGACAGCAGCGGCGGCGTCGGCGGAAGCGTCGACCCGCAGACAGCACAGACGTTCCGGACAGTGCGGCGTCTGGTGGCGCTGGTGAGCGGAACAAGTATCGCCGGCGTCGGAGCCGTCGGGCCGTCGGGACTGGCGAGTCCGCGGTCGAGCCTGATGTCGACGGCAAGGCCGAGACCGAGGCCCACAGCTTGCTCGAGACGGTTCGAATCGGGCTGGAGGACAAGCTAGAAGCAGCCGGTGTGGTGCTCTCACCGCTGGAGCAGCAAATGCTTCGTGCTGCACACCCGCACACGGGGATGAAGGAGAGGCACCATTACCACCGGCGAAAGCACCGGACGGACGAGCCGGGGCTAGAGGATCGAGTGCTGGCGCTACAGGATGAGCTTGATGCACTTCGGCACGAATATGCTATGCTCAAGCGGCAGTATGGAGCCGCGATTGAGCGCGAGTCCGAGCTAGAGTCACAAGTGCTTGCGGCACAGGTGGAGGTCGAGCGCGGGAGCCGTGGCGACAGGGGTGCCGGTCTGGTTGCACCGTACTCGCTGGCAGATGCCTCGTTTGCCCGGTATGGTGCTGAGGGCGGGTCCGAGTCTGACGAGGAGATGGTGGACATGATTGCGTTCCGCAAATTTGCGCAAGAGCTGGGCTCGCCGGTGGCCAAGGTGGTTGAGGTTGATGTCGCCGGACAGCCGCGCAACATGGCCGAGACGCTGCATCTTCAGTCGCGGAAGAACATGCTCGAAGAGGACATTCGCGACATGGAAGACGAGCTGGCAGCGCTGACCAAGGCGCTGTCACAGGAGCGAGTCAAAGTTCGCGAGCTGAAGAAGGTCAACCGGTCACTGCGGCGCAAGTTGCGGCGTGCTGGTGTCAGAGGCGGCGAGCCGCTCGAGTCGAGCTGCGCTGAGACTTCGGACGGCGAGCTGGAGCTGGAAGAGGTGCTCAAGGCGTCCCACGTGGCGCTCGAGACTCCAATTCCTCGCGATGATCCGAGTGTGTACGTTGCGGCCAGCATGCCTGCGGCTGGAGCAAACGACAGCGTCGAGTCTGTCGAGGCGGTCAAGCGGTCGATGGAGGTTGTGCTTGGCAGCGGCGGTAGTAGCGTCGACGCCGACCTTGTGGAGCGGTTCCGGACGGTGCTGCAGCGGATGGAAGGCGAGGTGGTTCAGGCCGACGGCCAGGTGGAGGAGCTGGAGGGCGAGCTGGCAGCGTCCCAGGCAGAGACTGCGATGATGCGCGAGGTTCGTCGCCAACTGCTAGCCGAGCTGGGTGTGGTGCGGCGTGAGCTCCTCAAGGCTCAGCATGCAAGGCAGGAGACACTCGATGTCGTTCCGCCCAAGGCACAAGAGCTGCTGGGCGCACTCCAGGAGCGCGAGACGAGACTGCGCGATGAGACGAACGAGCTTCTCCAGCAGCGGGTGGCGCTGCAGACGACGGCGACCGAGTTGACACTTGTGGTGGATGAGGTGCAGCGCACGATGGACCGGTTGCGGCGTGAACCAGTCAAGGCAGGTGACAAGAGAGCCGAGCTGGAATCCGAGGTTGCTTTTGCAGAGGAGCGACTGCGGATGTCGGAGGCGCGTTCGCGACTTGCGCGCAACAATATGGAGCTGCGTGCGTCCGAGGCCAAGCTTGTGCCGCTACAGGCTGAGCTGGACAACGTTCGGTTGCTGATTGACTTTCTGGGCACGGTCTCGCTCGCGGACCTGACCGCGTCAGGGAGCCCGAGGCGCGATGGTGACCACACGTCGACTGGCGGTGTTGCGAGTGTCAAGGTTTCTGAATTGATGAAGGCCCGGAACATGTTGCTGGTGCGCGTGGCGGAGCTCGAGGCTGAGCAGGAGGCAGCCGCGGGCGACTTGGCAACGGCCGGTGCTGGGTCTGCTGACGAGGTTTCAGCCCTGCTCTCGGAGCGGACGGCGCTCATGCGTGATCGCGACGCCCTGGCGGCTCAGCTCGCTGAGGCGAGACGGGCAGGTGGTACAGTGTCCCCCTCTGACATGGCGGAAGGGAGTGCACGCCCCACGGCGCTGGCACCGTCGTCGTCGTCTGGGAGTCTTAGTTCGCCAACGCGCGACATGGCGGACGTGGCGGTCGATAGTGTCAAGGAGGAGAATGCAATGCTCAACGCGCAACTGACTGCGAGCGAGAACGCGCTTGCTGTGGAGAAAGAGTACTTTGCCGAGTTTGCCGCGCAGCAGCTTGCGATGGTTGCGCAGTTGCAGGAGCAGCTGAAGACGCTGGCAAGCCAGGCTGAGAGCGTGGGTGCCGATGGTGACGGTGGCGCCTCGGCGGACGAAATGCGCCAGTTGCGGCGGGCACTGTCGCTTGCACAGGCAGATCAAGAGGTGATGCACCATCTGCTGGCCTACCATGCCGGAGACAAGTCGAAGGGCCTGGATCGACAATCGACGTCTCGACTGTCGGCCGTGTCATCGGTGGCTGATTCGAGCGAGTCGTCTGCGCGGTCCACACCGAGCGACCTTGGGCTTTCCGTCATCCGCGGTGAGCTTGCAAGCTTGAGTGCACAGGTTGACCTTGCGCTCGAAGACGCTGGGCATGCCAGCGACAACGATGTTGGCCTGGAGCGGTATGTCGACACGAGGGTTGCGGTCCAAGCCGCGGCGATGGATCTCGCTGCGCCAACGCCACGTATTGCCGCAGTCCAGGCCACGCATCAGGCTTCGACTCACGAGGTTGGTGTCCTTCACCGTGCTCTGGACGATGCGCAGATGCTTGTTGCTGCCCTGACAGCAGCGCAACAGGAGCGGGCGGTGCAGCTCAGCGCAGTCAAGGCCGAGTTGGCGTTTGCAACGTCGCGGATCGACGGCTATTCCAAGCAGCTCACGAGTGCTCACCAGCTTGTTCTTGATCTTGCAGCGAGGCCTACCGCAGTGCACACTGTGTTTGGCGAGGGTGACGTAGACCCCGACTCTGTCCCGGATCGTGACTACGACCGTGACGGAGCTGGAGGTAGCGGCCATGGCGACGGCAAAGACGGTACAGACGGCCCTGACGCTGAGAGTGATGCCCCAGCCGAAGGTGATGACGACGACGACCGTGGCGGCGGCAAGCTGCCCTCAGGTTCGCAGTCGCACTCTCAAGGCACGGATGCACAGACCGTCGATGAGCTCAAGAATGCTTTGAACATGGTCTACGCCGACAACACCGAGCTTCATGAGAAGAACATCGAGTTGCTCGACTTGGTGAGCCGATTGCAGGAGCGTGAGGGCGAGCTTGAGGCGCAGCTGGCCACCCCGTCTCCTGATCATACCAGCGTTGAAAGTGCTGGCGAGCTGGCGACTGCTTTGCGCGACTCGGCAGCTAGCAACGAGGTTCTGCTTGAGCGGAACGCAGCGTTGGAAAAGGCACTTGAGCAGTTGCAGCTGCGCGAGGCGTCGCTCAAGGCCGAGCTGGAAAGCGCGAAGATGACTGCCACTGTCGGGCGCGAGGAACTGCTTTATCGGGTGGCCGAGATGGAGGCGGTCAACCCTCTACCAGTCTTGGAAAAAGCGGGCGCGAAGGAGCCACAGGCGGTGCAAGCGCTGTCGGCCGAGCTCGAAGAGGCTCTGCGCGAGTCTGCAGCTGACAACGACGCTCTTTTGGCACTGAACCAAAGCCTTGTCACAAGTCTTGCCGACTTGAAGGAGCGCCTACAGCGCGAGATGCGCGCGCGGCGCAAGCTGAAGGCCGTCGCAATGGCGGCTGCTGTGGAGGCGAAGGAGACCGAGACCGCTCCTGCTGTGCTTTCGACGTCTGTTGTGGACGGAGAGGACGTGGCGCCGCAGTCCGAGACCGCGTCTGCTGTGCTTTCGACGTCTGTTTTGGACGGAGAAGACGTGGCGCCGCAGTCCGAGACCGCTACTGCTGTGCTTTCGACGTCTGTTTTGGACGGAGAGGACGTGGCGCCGCAGTCCGAGACCGCTACTGCTGTGCTTTCGACGTCTGTTTTGGACGGAGAGGACGTGGCGCCGCAGTCCGAGACCGCTACTGCTGTGCTTTCGGCGTCTGTTTTGGACGGAGAGGACGTGGCGCCGCAGTCCGAGACCGCTACTGCTGTGCTTTCGACGTCTGTTGTGGACGGAGAAGACGTGGCGCCGCAGTCCGAGACCGCTACTGCTGTGCTTTCGACGTCTGTTTTGGACGGAGAGGACGTGGCGCCGCAGTCCGAGACCGCTACTGCTGTGCTTTCGACGTCTGTTTTGGACGGAGAGGACGTGGCGCCGCAGTCCGAGACCGCTACTGCTGTGCTTTCGACGTCTGTTGTGGACGGAGAGGACGTGGCGCCGACGCCTGATTACTTGGACAGCACCGACAAGAACGTTGAGTCGTCTACCGCCCCCGCGTCCGACGGCGAAAGTGGCGGCACTGAGCGTGCGGCTGCCCTTGTGCGGGAGATCGATGCGCTACAGCGGGTGCTGGCGCGGACCGAGACCGACAATGGTGCTCTGCTTGAGCTCGTTGGTCACCTTCAGAGTGTTGCGCAGCGTTCTGCTGTGGAGCTCGAACCGCGGCCGGCGATGGTGCTTGCGGATACTGCACCGGAGCGTAGTGGGCGCAAGCACAGCGGCCCCAAAGAGGATGCGGCGGTGTTGCATGTGCTGGAGAGCAACTCGGATTTGCGGGCAGACCTTATGCGTGAGTCTGCATACAATAGGGCGCTTACAGTCGAGAATGCCAAGCTTGCGCGGGCGCAAGAGGATTTGACGCAACACGCCCAGGCACTCGAGGAGACAAATGCTCGCCTTTCTGACGCTCTGGGCAAGGCTGTGAGCGCGTCCACTCTCCGGACGTACCTCAGCAGACTGTCCGAGGCGTGGGACCTGGCAAATGCGTTCTTGCGCGAAGCAGTGACATACCGTGAGCAGGCCGCACAGGAGTTGACGGCAGCGGAGGAGGATCTCGCCGACGCCCGCGTCGATCGTGCCGCTTTGCAGTCGCAGAACGAGGCACTAACCGTTCGTGCCGAGGCACTGCGCAAGGATGTGGGTACGCTGGAAGAACAGGTAGCCAGCCTGGCGGCATTGCCGTTGCGGACTAGGCTTGGCGATGATCAGCGGCTTGGTGGTGACCTTCTCGGCGATGAAGCTGACGACGATGTGTCCAAGTTTGAGTCTGCGCTCCACATGAGCCGCGACCAGCGGACGGACCTTGCAGGCCAGGTTGCTAACCTGCAGGCCGCGCTCTCCGAGTCGACGAGCCGACAAGGCCAGCTCGCGGCGCGCAACAAGGACCTTCAACGTCTGCTGCTTGTGGGCGGCGGCGGCACGCCTGGGTTGTATGCCACGACACTCACACCCATCCGGGCTGAGCGGTCAACGGTGGCGTTTGTGGAGGCCGAGAACTCGTTTGAGGCGCCGACCCTCGACTCGCTGTTCGGCGATGATACGGTTGCCGACGCCAACGCGCCCAAGGCGGTCTTGCTGGAGCAGTTGGCTACTGAGCGAGCTGCGCTGGAGATTTCGCAGCACCATGTGGCGCAGCTGCAGGCGCAGATGCAGGCGGTTATGGTCGACGACGAGCGCGAGACAAGGCTGGGTGACAATGGTGGCAGCGTGTCGTCGTCTCATCAGGCCTTCATGTCCATGACCGAGACTCTTCAAGAGGACATGGACTACTTGCGAAACCGAGTGTCTGAGTTGGAGGCGCAGAACGAGGTTCTGGAGGAGGCGCTTGCGCTGGCACAGACTGGCACTGCGAACCGCGACCATGCTGTGGACAATAACGCTGTTGCTGTTGAGGCACAGCTGCGGGCCTCCGAGCTTGAGGAGCGCCTGGCTGCAGTCCAGGCGGCGAACACTACGCTCGATGACGAGAGCCGGCGTGCCAAGCAGGCATCTGCAGCTATGATGCAGGAGCTGATTGACGAGAGCGAACAGCTCAGGAGCCACAACGCCGAGCTGGTGGCAACAGTCACGTCGCTCGAGGTCGAACTGGATTCGATGAGCCAGGTGGTGCAGGAGAAGGAGCTTGAGCTTGACGAGGCATCACAGATGCTGGTTGAACGCGAGAATGAGCTCAACGAGCGAGTTCGGAGCGCCGAGGTCGAGCTTCAGGGCTTGCGGGCCCAGCTGGAGGTGGCATCAGCGGAGCTGACCTCGCTTCGTGACACAAACGAGTCGCTGATGTCACAATCGATGGCACTGCAGTCGCAGAACTCGTCCGTGGTGGCACGGACTCAGAATGGGCTCCAGGCGGCTCGCGCGGCGCTGACTGCACTCATGAACGACCATGCCGCCGAGACGACGTCCAAGCGCGAGATAGAGGCCTGGGTCGCCTCGATGCGCAACATCATTACGGACCAGGAAAACGAGCTGCACGAACTGGAGCGCGAAGCCAGCGCAAGGTCGCGTGCACTCCAGCAGCAGCTAGCTGCGGCACAAATCGAGGCGTCGCGGCTTGCGGCAGCGAAGGAGCTGGCCGAAACCCGCGCCGCCGAGTTCAAGGAGCTTGCGGCGGCGGCACACGAGCGTGCCGAAGCAAGCTCGGCTGCCGCCGCAGAAGCGTTGGCCCGTGCGCAGGTGGCCGAGAACGAGGCCGCACACGCTCGTGAGCAGGTCCGGTTGGCGCAGCGCCCGAATGCAGATGGCATGTCTGCTCTGAGGGAGGAGCTGATCGAAGTACGACAGGCACTCATGGCAGCCCAGGTGCAGGCCCAGGTTGCAGCGTCTCGGACAGCTGGCAGCGGCAGTGGTGGCGACGAGAGCGCATCCCTGGCTCAGGTTGAAGCTGCGTCGGCCAAGGCCGAGGCGCGGGCCTGGCAGGAACGCCACGCCGAGACTGTAGAGCGGCTGGCGGCGATTGAGCACGAGCGCAACGAGCTGGCACAGGAAGTGGCGGCATTGAGGGAGCGCACGAGCGGAGCAGAGACTAACGCAGTACGTGCTGAGCAGCGTGAGGCAGGCGCGACCAAGCGGGTGGCAAAGCTTGAAGCATCGCTCCTGAGTTTGGCCGAGAAAGAGGCCCCTGCTGAGGATCAGGCTTTGTCGTTGCTAGGCGAGACGTTGAAAGCTACCCGCGACGAGCTGGCTCAAGCGCGCACGCGACTGGACGAGGTTACGTCCGAGAATGTTGAGCTGCGGGTCGCTGCCGCGGCGATGGAGCAAAAGCTGGCGTTTGCCCAAGCCCGGGGCGTTTCCGTCGACGATGACGACGACGGAGTCTCTGACGAGGAGGCATCGATGGAGCAGGTGCCGACGGTGGTGCTCAAGTCACAGGTTGCTCGGCTCAAGGAGCGCCTTGTGGCGGAGGAGGCGCGGTCGCGCGAGCTGCTCAACATGTCGGAAGATGCCGGACGCGAGCTTGCGGCGATGGAGGCGGAGCTTGAAGAGACGCGGGAGGCGCTGGCGGTGGCACTTGCTCGACGCGAGGCAGAGCTTGACTCCCGCCTCGCAACCGCGTTCGGCGATGTCGAGGCCGAGCGTGCACGGCTGGTGCACGGTCTTGAAGAGGCTGAGCGGACGTCCGATTCTGGGTTGGGTGATGAGGACGACCCGCAGCTCAAGCTACTGGGAGATCTCCGCAAGATGATCCGCCTCAACGGCGAGCTCAAAGAGGAGATTGCGCTGATGAAACGGCAGCTTGCGGCGGCACAGGCTGAGGTGTCGCGCCTGGAGCGCGAGTTGGCGGAGGCGACCGAGGCTATGATGAATGCCTCAGACGAGGATTCGCAACGCCGACAAAAGGCAGATCAGCGGGATATGGAGCTGGTGACCGAGTTGCGGTCGGCGCTGGAGGCGGCACTGAGCGAGCGTGATGCACTCCGCGCCCAACTGCTTGAGCATAGCATTGGTTCGCGTCAGGATGAAGGACTTGCCCCTTGTTTTGTGGAGAGGAGCGTAGCTAAGGAGCGAGTGTTGACGTTGCGCGCAGCCCGGCAGTTGGCCGAGTCGCTGCTTGCGTCGGCTTCTGTGGGTCGAGGGGTGGGTCGGCGCCGAACCGGCGCTCTGTCGAGTGAGACTGACGACGACGCGATGCCCGACCCGGTCGCCCGGGTTGACGCTCTCCACGCCGAGCTCGAAAACCTCACGGCCGAGCTCGATGGGGTGGCTGCTTCGGCAATAGGAGACGAGGCGTCGGACTTCTGGGATGAGTCAATGACTGCCACGGTGTGCGCCACACCGGCTCGCAGTGGTCGTGACAGAGTCGCCGCAGGGGAGGTGAAGAAGCTCGAGGAAGAATTGTCGCAAGCACGCGACCAGCTGGACAGAACTCTTGCTTTGTACGAAGACAAGCTTGAGGCGATAGAGCTGCTGGAGGGCGAAATCGACGAGGCCAATGTCGAGCTGGATGCAATGGTTGTTCAAGTTTCTACAGGGCGTGACAAGCTTGCTACTGCCGAGAAGCGCGCTTTCGATTCCGAAGCGCGCGAGGTCGAAGCGCGCATGCGGGCGTCTATTGCAGAAGCACGTCTGCGCAAGGCCGTAGGAGCCATCGGTGAAGCTCAAGTCGCGGCTGAAGCGACAGTGAGCGCGTTCGAGGCGGTTCTGGACAATGGTGACGAGGACCATGCGCTGCGGCGTGAGCGTGAGCTGCGCGCCGTTGCCGAGTCGAGGGCCGACGCACTCGAAGCAGAGCTGGCTTCTCTGAATATCAAGATGGATGCTATTGTGGAGGAGCTTGTGGCGACTCGAATGTCGCGCGCAGAGCTCGAAGCCAGCGTGCCTAGCCTGACAGCGGCACTGTCTGACGATGTGCTTGAGAGTGAGCGGCAGGTGGAAACCGCACTGCAGGCAGTACTTCAGACTGAGCAGGAGCTTGCTGAGGTTGAGCGAGCGCGGGCGGACGCAGAGCATATGCGGGCCACCGGCGCAGCTGATCAGGCTGCGCGTCTTGCGCAGCGGGTACAGGAGCTCGAGACCCGGCTTGAGATGAGCAAGAGTGCGCTGGCGCGAGCACATGGCGATGTGGCTGTGGCTCGGGCCGAGATTATTGAGATGTCGAGGACATTTGGCGACCGGGAGCAGCAGCTGAGCGATGCGCCTGGTGATGATAGGGAGCGTTCTACCAGAGGTGGACATCGTGTTTCTGCTGTGGCTACGCTGGAGACTGCACTTGCTGGCGAGCGTGAGCGAAACGCTGCTGCGATGGAAAAGGTGGAGAAGCTGGAAGCCGAGATGGCCGAGCTTAACGCGCAGGCCGACTCGCTTGCGGACCAGCTTGTGGCTGCACGGGGGCATGCCGCACACCATAGTAGTGAGAGTGATCACGTTGCGGCTCTTGAGACGCGCGTTGTCGATCTCGAGGCTGAGCTGACGGTTGCTACTGCAGCACTTTTGCGGGCCAAGGGTGGAGTGGGTGAGGCTCATGGCATGGTTCTGGCGATGTCGACAGCGTTTGGCGACATGGAGCAGCAACTGCGAGAGAACGCACAGCTGGCTGTTATGGATGGCACAAATACTGAGATGGACGATGCACTGGGTGTGTGGCGCGATCGTGTTGCTGTTGCCGAGGCACAGATCGATGCACTGGAAGCTGATGTTGCCGAGGCAAACGCTGCAGCGGATGCCCTTGCCAACGAGATTGTCACGGAACGACGGCGTGTTGCTGATGTAGCGGACGAACTCAAGCGGAGTGATGCGGCAGTAGTTGCTCTTGAGGCTGCGCTGAACTCCGAGCGTGAACGACTTGCAGCCGCCACTGCCAAAATTGAGGAGCTGGAAGGCGAGGTGGCCGAGCTCAACGCCCAAGCCGACACGCTCGCGGACGAGGTCGTGGCGGCGCGCGAGGCAGCTGAGGCGTCAGCAGCGCCGGTCGTGGTTGATGCCGAGGCGGCGCCACCGCCGCCAGCCGCAATGTTGTCAGATGAGAGCAGCAGTGCCGGCGAGAATGCACGGGTGATCGCACTGGAGGCGGAGCTGGCAACTGCTGTGGCTGCACTTGGTCGCGCACAGGACGGCATGGCACAGGCGCGCGGTGAGGCGTTGGAGATGACGACGGCGTTTGACGATGTCGAGACACAGTTGCGCGAGAACGTGCTTCGTGCGTCGGCCGCCGAGGTCGCTGCACTCAAGACCGAGCTGGCAAGTGTCAAGGCGGCCGCGGCGAGCGACACGCAGGTGGCTGAGCTGGAGGCCGCAGTGATGGCCGAACAGGCTCGGACTGCAGCTGCTACAGCGCGAAACACGCGGCTGCCTTAGCAGCGGCAAGGGCAGCCGCAGAGGAGGCAGTTGCTGATGTGGTGCTTGTGCAGGAGCGTGAGGCGCACGTGGTCGAGGTGGCCAAGCTCGAGACCGAAGTCGATGCTCAGAAGCACGGCAAGGACAGCGCGGCTGCCGAGTGTGAGCATGCGGACGAGGCGGTTCTGGTGCTCGAGGCTGCGCTCAAGTCTGAGCGTGAGCGACTTACGGCCGCTACCGCCAAGATCGAGGAGCTGGAAGGCGAGGTGGCCGAGCTCAACGCCCAAGCCGACACGCTCGCGGACGAGGTCGTCGCGGCGCGCGAGGCAGCTGAGGCGTCAGCAGTGCCGGTCGTGGTTGATGCCGAGGCGGCGCCACCGCCGCCAGCCGCAATGTCGTCAGATGAGAGCAGCAGTGCCGGCGAGAATGCACGGGTGATCGCACTGGAGGCGGAGCTGGCAACTGCTGTGGCTGCACTTGGTCGCGCACAGGACGGCATGGCACAGGCGCGCGGTGAGGCGTTGGAGATGACGACGGCGTTTGACGATGTCGAGACACAGTTGCGCGAGAACGTGCTTCGTGCGTCGGCCGCCGAGGTCGCTGCACTCAAGACCGAGTTGGCAAGTGTCAAGGCGGCCGCGGCGAGCGACACGCAGGTGGCTGAGCTGGAGGCCGCAGTGATGGCCGAACGGGCTCGGACTGCGGCTGCTACAGCAAAGATCGAGGCACTCGAGGCCGAGGTGGCTGAGATGAATGCCCAGGCTGACTTGCTCACGGACGAGCTAGTCAAAGAGCGTGAGGCGCGTGCTGTGGCTGCAAATGCGGCTGCAGATGCGGGTGAAGCTGAGCGGGAGCGGTCAGCTGCTGCGGCTGCCAAGATTGATGAGCTCAAGGCCAAACTGGCTGGTGAGCATCAGACCCGTGCAGCGTTCGCAGCTGCAGCCGAGGCCAAGCTGGAGGCCGAGCGGGAGCGGTATGCTGCTGCTGCCACCAAGATCGAGGAGCTCGAGACCGAAATCATCAGCCTCGATGCTCAGACAGACGTCCTGGCCGACGAGTTGACAGTAGCGCGCGATGCCGTGGCTGTTGTCAAGTCTGCCGCTGTGGAGGTGGCAGTTCAAGTTGAGCATGTCGTCAAGGAAGAGGGTGGCGGTGATCGTGTGGTGGAGCTCGAGGCGGAGCTGGAAACTGCGACTGCTGCACTGGCCCGTGCACAGGACGGCGTGGTGCAGGCTCGCGGCGAGGCACTGGAAATGACGACGGCATTCGATGATGTCGAGCAGCAGTTGCGCGAGAACGTGTTGCGGGCATCGTCGGCCGAGGTTGCTGCGCTCAAGGCGGAGCTAGCGGGAGCAAGGGCTGCTGCGGCGAACGATATGCACGTCAGCGAGCTTATGTCGGAGCTGGAGGCCGAGCGGGACCGGGCTGCGGCTGCGGCACTCAAGGTGGAGGAGCTGGAGGTTGAAATTGGCGAGCTACGCGAAGAGCGCGGTACTGCACGTGTCGCACCTGCAGCTCTGGAGCTTTCTCCGGACGAACCCTCTGTCGACAGCCGTATTGCGACTCTACAGGTTGCTCTCGATGCTGAGCGGAAGCGGTCTGCTGCGCTTGAAGCGCAAGTGGCAGAGGTCAACGCGCAGGCGGATGTTCTTGCTGACGACCTTGTTGGCACGCGCGAAGCGCACGCCACTCGCGAGGCCGATTTGGCTTCGCAGGTCAAGCAGCTGATGTCGGAGATTGATGTGGCTGGTGTCAAGCTGGAAGAGCTTGCGGCCTCCAAAGACCAAGTGGCGACCCTGGAGGCCGAACTTGCAGCAGTGCGCGAAAGCGAGGCCGAGGCGATGGTGGAGATGCAGACTCTGCTTGATGCCGAGCGGCAGCGAGCAGAAGCAGCTGAGGCCATGTTGGTCAGGCAAAGCTCTCCGAAGCAAGTTCGGTTTGCGTCGGCAGCGCCATCATCGCCATCAAGCGAAGACAGCACTCATGCGCTCTTGGCGTCAATGGAGCGGTCGGAAATGGAGACCCGGATTGTGGAGCTCGAGGCCGAGGTCCGCGACCTCAACGAGCAAGCCGACGTGCTTGCCGACGACGTGGTGTTTGCACGCCGCAAGGCAGTCGCGAAAGAGACTCGAATTGCCGAACTTGCAGCGCATGCGAGCGCTCTCAAGCGCGACCGAGTGGCGGTGCTGGGTTGCAGGCTGACACAGGTTTCAATTGCGGCTGCCGCGGCCAAGGACCTTGTGAGCTTTGTATCGTCTGGTCACCGCAAGGAGAGGGATGGAGACATCGCTAGTCTTTCTGTTCGTCTGGCCGAGATGGAGACGGAGCTTGCCAGCAAGGCAATTGCCCTGAAGGCGGCGCAGGCCGAGGTTGAAGCTAAGGAAGCCGAGCTGGCGAATGTCCCTGCTCAGATAAGCGGAGCCAAGTTGCGTCTGGCCGCGATGGAGGCGAAGCTCACCGACAAGACCGCTGCTCTGGAAGCGGCACGGGCTGAGGCCGATGCCAAGGGGGTCGAGTTAGCAGCAGTGCTTGCTGAGAACAGAGCCCAGGCAGAGTTGGGCCGTGTTGCAGTTGAAATCGAGGCCATGGAGATCATGTCGCAGCCCGAGGCGGGTACGCCACCGCTGGACGTGAGCGGTGCGTCGTCACACAACGTATCGACAATTTCCGACGGGACTACCGGTGAGTCGATTATTGCCGAGGCCGAGCGGCATGCCACGGAGCTCTCGGAGGTTCTTGACGCCGCCATCACGCGGATTCAGGAGGGCGAGGAAGCCGAGTCGCCTGTCGAGCTTGCAGCCCTGACCGCGTCAATTGATGCTCTTACTCGACAGAACGCCGAGTTGCAGGCGGCTGTGGCTGCTTCGTCATCGTCAGCCATCACCGACTCCCAGGCTCGCGCTGACGCTGTCCACGACTACCTAGTGACCGTCGAGGCACTCAAGCAGCAGGTTGCATCACTTGTTGAGCGCATGGACCGCGAGCGGGCCGACGCCGACATGCGCATCGCAGAGGTCGAGGCCGAGGTTGAGCGTGCAAACACCGAGGCAGCCTCGTACAAGGCCCGTCACGGCCAGGCTCGCGCCCAGCTTGAACAGTTGCTTGCCTCGTCTGAGGCGCTTGTGGCTGTCAAGTCAGACGACGCTTTGACCACCGCCACGCTCCGAACCCGGCTGGCAGAGGCTCGGGCCGAGATTGCAGCGTTGGAGGCAGAGTGTGAGCGCGCAATCGAGCGTGCTGATGCTGCTGAGACCGCGAACAACGCTCTGAGCAGCCAAGTGGCGGCCGCGCTAGAGCGTGCAACGGTTTCCGAAACGACGGCGGCGATGCGTGCCGAGCAGCTGCGCTCACTCTCCGACTACCTCCACGATGTAGGAAACGCCAAGTCGCTGTCTGAGGAGCTTGTTGCGTCGCGGGCTAGCTTGCTGGCGCGTGTGCTAGAGCTTGAGCGTGACCACGAAGCTCAGGGCTCGGTGGTTGTTGTCTCGCGTTCGAGCGACGAGTCGTTTGCGTCGGCTATGTCGTCGCTAGACACGTCGGCGATAGAGTCAACGACGAGCGAGGCAAGTCTTCTGGTCTCCGCCGTCGCCGAGACTTTGCGCGATGAGATCCGACTTGCGGCCGAGCTGGAGAAGGCTCAGGCTGCTAACGCTCAGCTGGCGTCAAAGCTTGCCGCCAAGAACACAGCAGACGTGGTTGCTGAGGCCCGCGAGGCTGAACTCCGAGCTGCGTTAGAGGTGCTGCGCTCGGAGCTTGTGGTGCTCGAGGCCGAGGTCAAGGAGCGGGACATGAGCGAGTCCCTTAGAGCTGCCGGCGACGCCACGTCCATGTCCACGGTCTACGCGTCGCGCGTCTCGTCGTATGTCGACGACATGGCGCGTGTTCGCGACGAGCTTGATGGTCTGTTGGAGCTCAAGCACACGCTGCTGAGTCACAATGCACACTTGCGGAGTCAGTTGTCAGATGCAAGCGCGCGCATGGAGGCGAGCGAATCGGCGGCGCGCGCTCTGCGTGCCGAGAAGCACGAGGCCGAGGTGCTGATCGAGAACCTCAAGGCAGCGGCGGCACTTGCCGACCAGCGAGTGGCGGCGGCGGAAGAAGCGGCGGCTGCGGCGTCTGCAGCGATGTCGGACGATGCGTCTGAAGCGTCAACGGCGACCACACGGACGGTGCGCCTCATTGCCGAGCACCTCAACGGAGTGCTCCGTGTGCACAGCTCGCGGGTGTCAGCAATTGCCACTGACCAAGCGTCGCTTGCGGCCGGGCGCGAGGCAAATGTGGCGCACCTGAACGTTTTGAAGCGTGACATCGAGGCCCTCACTGCGCTTGACGCCGACGCCGACGCCGAGCTCGGACCAGAGGTTGTGGCCATGCGCGCCGCGTTGCGCGAGCTGGAAGGCTCGATTGTCCGGGCGGACGAACAGTATGCTGATCTTGAGGCCGAGCTTGTGCAGGTCCGCGCTGAAGCGGATGCTGCCGAGGCGTCTCGGTCGGAGCTGGAGACTGCGTTGGTGGGTGTGCGGTCGACGCTCGATGAGGCTGTTGACCGAGCGCACACCTCGCACATTCTGCTGCAGGCGTCGTTCTCTCAGTCGCACCTCAACGCGACCGCGACGCAGAGCATGATGGACGAGACGGTACTTTCGCGGGCGGAACGGTACATGGAGCGCATCGATAGTGCGTTTGAGATCATCGAAGACGTACTGCCGGGGAGCATTGCTGCCAAGGAGGCGCAGCTGCTGGAGGAGCGGCGGTTGGCAAACGCCTCGGTTCTCTCGGGCAACATCTCGCGCGACAAGGTGGCGGCGGCGCATGCCCGTGCCCGCGAGGCCAACGAGAAGCTAATCAAGCTGGCTTCGGAGCGTGATGCCGCTCTGAAGAGCATTCGCCGCGGCATTGACAAGCTGCAAGGCCTTGTCACCGTCTCGGATCCGTTTGCCGGCGACTCAAGTGACGATGGCGAGTCGTCTGAAGAGGAGATTATCCGTTACATGCGGATGTACGTCGAGAGCCGAATGGAGCTGGTGCTCGAGCGGCACACACATGAGATGGTCAAGGTTGTTTCTGCCTCGCAGGCTCGGCAGATCACCCGCCTCTTGAGGGCCCTCGACGATGCAAAAGCCAAGTCGGCCGCACTCACCACCGAGATCGACGAGGTCAAGGCCGAGGCTGACGTCCGAGTCCAGCGAGCGCTGCAGCGGCTTGACACCATCCGACAAGCTTGATCGGGTTCGAATGAGATGATAGAGCCCTAAATGAAGTCAAGTGACACGTAGAGATTCAAATGTAGGGATGGAAAGCCTTGTCGCCGCCGTGGCCTGCGGCCGTCGTCGGCACAGCGGATCCCACGTTGTGGAGGCGGAGTCGCCAACTCACGAGCACACGACTTGCCAAGCAGCCATGTTCCGCGGGTGGCACAGAGCAGGAGTCAGTGTTGGACGGACTGTACGGTGGATGCAGCATGTGGTTGGTGGTGGGAGTGCGAGAGTGACCCGGGCTGGTTCCGTGTTTACTCCGACTCTGGCAGACGTGCCGGCCGACGCGTCGACGTTGTCGCACGGATTGCTGCTTCGGGCTGGCTACGCCCGTGCACTGGCACCTGGACTGCACATGCTGCTCCCGATGGGCCGCCGTGTCCTGGAGAATGTGTCGGGTGCAGTCCGAGCGGCGATGGATGGCATCGACGGCAACGAGTGCACCATGCCGCATCTGGTGCCTCGCGAGCTGTGGGAGATGTCTGGCCGGTTGCTTCCGCAAGAAGCCGACAGCGAGCAAGGAGACGAGAAGGAAGGAAGCAAGGGAGGCGGAAGCGAGATATTTGCTTTGGAAGATCGGCGTGGAAAGACGCTTGTTCTGGCACCTACTCACGAAGAGGTCTTTACAGCTCTTGTCGCAGCAGAGCTCGACTCGTACAAGTCGCTGCCGCTGCGGCTGTACCAGATCGGGACCAAGTACCGTGATGAGATCCGGCCACGGTTTGGGCTGATGCGTGCGCGCGAGTTTGTGATGAAGGACATGTACACCTTTGATGTCGATGAGACTGCGGCGCGGGAGACGTATGCGACGGTGACTGCCGCGTACACGCAGCTCCTGGTCTCGCTCGGGTTGCGGCCGCTGATGGCTGCGGCGGACACAGGCAACATCGGCGGCTCGCTCTCGCACGAGTTCCACGTCATGGCGGATGTGGGCGAGGACGCTGTGCTGCAGTGCAGCGGGGCCGATGACGGGTGCGGGTATGCGGCAAATGTGGAGGAGGCCGGCGGCGATATGGCTGCAAGAGCTGCAGGTGCGGCGAGTGTCGAGCACACGGTGCTGGCCGGCAAGGCGACGTACTCGCTGCAGCTGCCTAGCGGCATTGAGGTGAACAGACTGCGGCTGACGCGGGTCCTGGAGTCTCTGGGGCACAACGGACTGGACGGCGTGGATGTGGCGGCGGCGCCGTCGGGTGCGATGCCGCTGGAGCCAGTGCTGGCGTCGGCGTCGCTGGGGTGGGAGGACGTGGCCAGCGCTAGAGCGGGCGACGGGTGCCCGTGCTGCGAGGCTGGCGAGCTGGTGGAGCGGCGCGGGATCGAGGTGGGGCATGCGTTTCTTCTGGGAACCAAGTACTCGAGTGGGATGGGCGCGGTGGTGCGTGTGCCGACGCGCGACGGCGGCGGGCTGACGGCGGAGCGGCCGATCGAGATGGGCTGCTACGGCATTGGAGTCTCGCGGCTAATGGCGGCAGTGCAAGAGGTGCACGGCGACAAGGACGGGATGCGATGGCCGCTTGCACTCGCACCGTTTGTGGCGACGCTCATTGTGCCGCCGGCGCGCAAGGTGGCGCATTCGCCCGAGCTTGCCGCCCGGGTGGCTCGGCTGGAGGCCGCGCTGAGCGTCTTGGGCGAGGGCCGCGTCCTTGTGGATGATCGCGACATGTCAAACGGGCGCAAGAAGCGCGAAGCGGCGTTGGCGGGCATCCCGGCCGCGATATTGGTCCACTCCAAGGCGCCGGAGCGTGCCGAGGTCCACATCCGTATGGTGACCAGTGGTGGAGCTGCACATGACGAGGTGGTAGTGGTGCACGAGGACGCAGCGATCGCAGCAGCGGCACGACTTGTGCAGAAGTAGCTGGAGGGACAGTCAGCGGGGCGGGTGGGCCCTAATTAGATGTCGACGATGACATAGATGTCTGTACGGTCGTCCTTGACGTTGATCTGCATGTTGGAGTAGGTGATGGCCTTGATCTCTGTGCCACGGACATGGCGATCAGGATTGAAGACCTCTCCACGAGCGCGGACAGTGACAGAATAGGCTTGAGTGTCGAGGGCGGCGACAAAGACGGAGGAGGGGACCCAGAGGTCGGTGCAGAAGATGTACAGCAACTGATCGAGAAAGTTGTAGATGAGCGATGGCATGTCTGTGCCAGACACGGTGACAGTCCGCTCATCGACAGGTCGCACACCCGGCAGTTCGGTGGCGTAGTCAAACATGGCCAATGCCACGTTCTCCATGGCCTCGCCCACATCGTAGCCCCAGGCGTGGAGCTGGACATCAGCAGTGTGGTCAAGGTACTCGTACATGACCGGCCGTCCATGGACGACCACCGTCTCCAGGGCGTTCACCTCGGGAGCTGCGGACGACGACGACGAGGCCGAGCAAGACGAAGCCATGGTGGTGGGAGAGGTGGTGGAAGAAGTGAGTGTGAGAGGCCAAAGCGGGCGGGGTGATGGTAGTGGTGGGGTAGGTGGCTGAGAAGATGGTCATTGTGACGGGCATGATTATGATGGAGATGATGATTGTAGTGATTGTGCTGATGGGGTAAGTAGTGGCATGGTAGTGATGGCGTCCATCATGACCATTAAGCCCATCTCCATCACCTTCATTGCGTGTAAAGGCCTTGCTCATGCTGCGATGATCGTGCCCTCATCACAGCTTCATCCCGCCCTGATGGTGTGCCCTCATCCCAGCCTAATGGTGTGGATCGTGCCCTCATCCCAGCCTAATGGTGTGGATCGTGCCCTCATCACAGCCTATTGATGTGCATCGTGCCCTCATCCCAGCCAATTGGTGCCCAGCCCAGGGCGGCCCGCCCACCCGGCGAATGGACGAATATTGGCCATCCACGGCCCATGGACGAATATTGGCCATCCACGGCCCATCCCGCAACAGGCAGAGAGAGCGGTGGGGGAGGGAAGGCAGGAGGGAGGGAAGGAAGAAGGGTGTGGAGAGGGGGGGCACCTCTCGTCGACACAACGGGTAACAAGGGAATGGGAGACCTTGGAGAGGGACTTGTGGGTGCACTGGCAGCTGCGTCCCGTAAGACGCGGCGTCTTCCGTCGGGTGACGACTACGAGTACTACGCCACCTTCCCCGAGTTCATCTCGCGGACACGGGCATCGGGGCGACGGATTCTGGACTCTCTGCATGCGCTGTGGGTGGCTACCGAGCCACAGGTACCTGCGGATGTTCGGGGCATGGACAGTGCTGACGTGCCGGATGCTTACAAGTTGCTCTCGGAGACTCTCGACTCGCTGCTGGAGAAGGCCGACATGGCCCTCGACCGCGACCGTGGCTTCCTCCGCTCCGGTTCCAACGCCAAGGATGATGCAAAGTCGGATGCCGCGTCCTCGCGCCGCGACCCGTCGGCTCGCCGTCCTCAGGACTCGTTTGCTGATCATGTGGACAACTCACGCGAGACTCCGTTCGCCTGCAAGCTCAAGCACAAGTACCATGCTCTCGAAGCGCCTGCGGGCGTGTCGTCGACCATGAAGGCCCACATGTCCGGGCTCGGCCTGCCAGCAGAGAACGAGGCCCACGGCTCGGATGGAAGCCATCCATACGCTGCCGAGCTGGCGACACTCTCGTACACCGAGGAAATGCTCGGTCCCGTCCAGCCGACGCTCTACGCGCCGCTGGAGGAGACGCCGCTGGTGTGGGTCGACACCGTTGCCGGCCTCACCGACCTCATCTCCGCCCTCGAGGACGTTCCTGTTGTTGCCATCGATCTGGAGGCGCACTCGTACCGCTCGTTCCAGGGCTTTGTCTGTCTCATGCAGGTCTCGACCCGCTCGACCGACTACCTGGTCGACACCCTGGCGCTCCGGAGCGAGATGCACCTGTTCAACAAGATCACCGCCGACCCGCGCGTTGTCAAGGTCCTCCACGGTGCAAACTCGGACATTGTCTGGCTCCAGCGCGACTTTGGCGTCTACGTCGTCAATATGTTTGACACCGGGCAGGCCGCCCGGGTCCTCGCCTACCCCTCGTTTGGCCTTGCCCACCTGCTCAAGTTCTACTGCTCGGTCAACACAAACAAGTCGTACCAGCTGGCCGACTGGCGCATCCGCCCGCTGCCGGAGGACATGGCCAAGTACGCCCGGATGGACACCCACTACCTGCTGTACATCTACGACCGACTCAAGAACGAGCTGGTCGCCCGTGGCTCGGTCAGCAACAACCTGGTTGCTGCCGTCCTCGCCCGCTCGCGCGAGATCTGCGGCTTTGTCTACGAGAAGCCGGCCTTTACACCCGACGCCTGGCGGCGGGTCTACGAGCGGTCGTCAACCCGGCTCTCGTCGGAGCAGCGCGCCGTGTTTGCGGCGCTCTACGACTGGCGTGATGCCCAGGCGCGCAAGCTCGACGAGTCGACCGGCTACGTCATGCCCAACGCGCTTCTGGCGCGGCTGGCCCATGCCATGCCCACCCGCGTCGGCGACCTGCTTGCGGCCTGCAACCCCATTCCGCCGCTTGTCCGCCAGCACGCCATGGACATTGTCCAGGTTGTTGTCGCGGCTGCGTCGGCGCATACCAAGGCCGGCGGTATGCCGTCGCCGTCGCGGGGCAAGGCGGTGCGCTCCAAGTCGGCCGGGTGGGCCAACGCCGTGACTGGCGGTGCTGCAACGAGCTCCAGCGCGGCCGGCAGCGGCATGAGTGGCGGCCCGCGCCGTGGCGCGCGGACGCCGCGGTCGGCACGGGCTTCGCCGTCGCCGTCGGGTGACACCTCGGCCACGTTTTCCGAGGAGCAGTTCCGCGCCGCCGGCTGGCTGGAGAAGCCGGTGCTCGTGGCCATGGCACACGCCGAGTCGGGCGGGAGCGCCGGCGACGTCGTCCCGCGCACCGCGCTCGAGCATGCCCTGGTTGGCGGCGACGGCTCCGCCGGGCCCAAGCCCGGCAGCTGGACCGGCGCGTCGGCAAACGAGGTGAGCGCCGGGCTGGCGGCAACGACGCACGGCGCGTGGACCAAGCCGCTGTCGACGGCTGGCGCCGAGCGTGCCCGGGCCGAAGCAGTGTACAAGGACATTGCCGACGGCATTTCGTTCCCCAAGATACAGCCGCTGCTTCAGCCCGTGGTCTCGGACGCCGCCGCGGCCGAGGTCATCAAGGCCATTCCGCAGCCGCAGACCATGTCCGACATCTACGTCCTCTCCAACCTCAACCGCAAGCAGCAGCAGGAGCGCAAGCGGACCGGCGACGACGGCGGCGAGGGCGACCGTGCCCCCAAGCGTGCTCACCTGCTTGTCGAGCCGGGTGTGCCGCAAGACCCGGTCAAGCTCATGGAGCAGATGGGCTGGCCGGCGAACCAGGCCATGGCCTCGCTCGACGCCGAGGACCTCTCGGCTGCCGCCAACGCCGCCTCTTTCAAGGCGCACGACTACTCGGGCGACAAGGGTGGTTCCAAGGGCTCGCGCTCCGCAAAGGGCGCCGGCAAGTCGGGCTCGCGCCGCGATGGCGGCGCCTTTGATCCCTATGGCCAGGGCGCTAACTCGCCGCGCGGACGCCGCGACAACTCGGGCGCCCGCGGGCGTGGCAACAACAACAATGGCAACGGCAAGAAGCGGCGCGTCCGCAGGCGCGACCAGAATCGTTCGGCCACGCTGCCGCGTCACAAGTAAAACCAGAAAAAGCCGGGCGCTGGAAAAGGAACAACAACAACGAACTGGAGGGTGCGTTTACGAGCAAACAAAGGCCTTACTTGCCGTACTTGGAGGCGGTGTACTGGCCAACAAACTCGGTGCAGACAGCCTTGAGCTTGGCGTCGATCTCATCGGTGAGCTCGAGCTTGTCCTCGATGGTGGTGAGGAGGTCGGCGTGCGAGCCGCGGATGTAGTCGAGGAACTGGGCCTCAAAGTCGACGACGTCATCGACGGCGATGCCGTCAAGGAAGTCGTTGACGGCGGCGTAGACGACGGCAACCTGCTCCGAGAGCGGCATCGGGACGAGAACGCCCTGCTTGAGGGTCTGGGTGAGGCGGGCACCACGGGCAAGCTGGGCCTGGGTGGCGGCATCGAGGTCCGAACCGAACTGGGCGAACGAGGCCATCTCACGGTACTGGGCAAGCTCGAGCTTGAGCGAGCCAGACACCGACTTCATGATCTTCTTCTGGGCGGCGGAACCGACGCGCGAGACGGAGAGACCGACCGAAACGGCAGGGCGCTGGCCCTGGTAGAAGAGCTCAGTCTCGAGGAAAATCTGGCCATCCGTGATCGAAATGACGTTGGTCGGAATGTAGGCCGACACGTCACCGGCCTGGGTCTCGATGATGGGCAGGGCCGTCAGCGAGCCGCCGCCGAGCTTGTCGGACATCTTGGCGGCACGCTCGAGGAGGCGCGAGTGGAGGTAGAAAACGTCACCGGGGTAAGCCTCACGGCCGGGCGGGCGGCGGAGGAGGAGCGACATCTGACGGTAGGCCACGGCCTGCTTCGACAGATCGTCAAAGGTGATCACGGCATGGCGGCCGTTGAGCGAGAACGACTCACCGATGGCGGTACCGGCGTACGGGGCGAGGAACTGGAGCGGCGCGGCGTCCGAGGCCGTGGCGGCCACGACGCACGTGTACTCCATAGCACCGGCCTCCTCGAGCTGCTGCACAATCTGCGCCACGGTGGAGCGCTTCTGGCCGACGGCCACGTAGATGCAGAACAGCTTGTCCTTGTCCGACTTGGCGCGCTTGTTCAGCTGCACCTGGTTGATGAAGCAATCGATGGCGATCGAGGTCTTGCCCGACTGACGGTCACCAATGATGAGCTCACGCTGGCCACGGCCGATGGGGATGAGGGCGTCGACGGCCTTGATGCCCGTGAGCATCGACTCGGAAACCGACTGGCGCGGAATAATGCCGGGGGCCTTGACCTCGACACGGCGGCGCTCCTTGGCGTTGATCGGGCCCTTGCCGTCGATCGGGTTGCCGAGAGCATCGATGACGCGACCCAGAAGGCCCTCGCCGACCGGCACGTCCACAATGGCGCCGGTACGCTTGACGGTCTCGCCCTCCTTGATGAGGGTGTCGTTACCGAAAACCACAACACCGACGTTGTCGTTCTCCAGGTTGAGAGCCATGCCCTTGATCTTCGACTTGAACTCAACCATCTCACCGGCCTGGATGTTGTTGAGGCCGTGGATGCGCGCAATACCGTCACCCACAGACAGGACCTTGCCCACCTCGTTGAGCTCGGTCGGGGACTCGTAGTTGAGGATCCGCTCCTCGAGCACACGCGAGAGCTCCGCCACACCCACGTCCTTCTTGGCCGTCACGGCCGCGGCAGACGCGAACAGGCGCGAGGCCTGCGAGGTGGCAAACGAGCCAATCGAACCCTGTTGCCCGTCAACCAAACGCACCATAAGTATCGCCCTCGCTTCCCCCTTTCCCCGCCCCGCCCAATGGATGGGCCCGCGCCATTGAAAAAATTGACGCCAGCTGGCCCCATCCCAGCCCGTCAGCCGCAGCGCCCTGCCGGCCCTACCGCAGCGACATGGCACGCCCTTGCCTTGCCAACCACATGGCCACCATGCACAACATGCCTCACACCAGGGCCTCACTGGCTGGCTCCCTGTTCCGTCTTCCCCGCCTGCTACGCTCCAAGGGGGGCTGCCTTCGGCGCCGACGACGCGTTTGGCCGACGGCCCATTTTTTGGCCTCACACTGTCCGGCCCCCCTTGCGCTACCATGCACCTTCTGTCCGCACTACGCAGCGCGAAGAACTGGTGCAGATTGCTGCAAGTCCTTTACAACCTCTCCCCCCTTCTACGTACAAGGCGAAGGCTGAACATGTGCGATCCAGCAGTTGAATGGTGCCCCCTTTCTCCCCGCTGGCCACTCGGCCGCCCGCGACCGACCAACCAACGCAGCACGCCGAACGACCGAACGAACGACAAACCGAGAAGAACGAAACACCTCCCCCCCCTTCCCACCATTCATCGACTGAACAATTGATCACACGTACCATAGCAACCATTATTTGAACGACAATCAAATATATGTGTGATTGTCGTCATCAGCCAGCCCGTTCCTCCGGCCCCCCCCCCCCCCTCCCTTCCTTCCTTCCTTGTGTTGCAGGCGAGTCACACGGACGGCGGCGGCAAAGACGACAGAGTCGGCAGGGACTCGCCAGGCTACTAACGACCAGACCTCGCTTGACACACGTACCGCAAACTCACCTCGGTCGTAGCCGTAGCAAGCTCTCGCTCTCGCTGTACCGCACCCCGCTTACAGCCGTGCCTCTCTCGCTCGCTCCCTCGCTCGCTCCCTCGCTCGCTCCCTCGCTCGCTCCCTCACTCGCTCCCTCGCTCGCTCCCTCTGCTCACTCCCTCGCTCGCTCTCTATCATGGCAAAGTCGCAGTACGAGTACGTGCGCAAGTTTGAACAGGACGATGCATTGTTGCCGCTGACGTGGGTGGTGATCCGTGTGGACGGGCGCGGGTTCTCGGGCTTTGTGGCGCGGCACGAGTATGCCAAGCCAGTGGATACCCGCGGGGCGGCCGTGATGGACGCGGCAGCCAAGGCGGTGATGGAAGACATGGGCGATCTGGTGCTGGCGTACGGCCATTCGGACGAGTTCTCGTTTGTCCTCCCGCCGTCGTCAAACGTGTACAAGCGACGCGCGTCCAAGCTCGTCTCGACGGTTGTCTCGCTCTTTACTGGCGCCTTTATCGCAGCCTGGCCAGCCGCCTTTGGTCCCGACGTCCCGCTGATGGAGATGCCGGTCTTTGACGGGCGGACCGTTGTCCTTCCCACTCGGGCCGTTCTCCGCGATTATCTTTCGTGGCGGCAGGTTGACTGCCACATCAACAACTTGTTCAACACCGGGTTCTGGGCGCTGGTCGGCGACGGCGATGATCCAGCCGTCGCCAACAAGCTCCTCTGCGACGCCAACTCTGCGCAAAAGAACGAAATCCTCTTCTCGCGCTTTGGTATCAACTACAACAACGAGCCCGAGCTCAACCGCAAGGGCTCGATCTGGATCCGTGACCTCGAGGTGACCGACTACGTCGACGCACGCGGGCACGCCGGCTTCCGCGTCTCGCGCAAGCTTGTCAACGTCAACACCGATCTCATTGGTGACGCCTTTTGGACGAGCGCCTACCCACACCTTCTCGCCGACGTCAAGCTCAAGGACCATCACAAGCGGATCAAGGCTGAACGCGCCGCCGCAGGCCATGGCGCTGACGCACCCGGTGCCAGCCAATGAACGCATGCACAGCTCGATGGCCGACTCCAGGCGCTCCACAATTTCACTGTTGCCTTTACGCAGACGCCGTCGCGCTCTCCTCCTTGCGGGCGTGCTTGGCCAGGACCTTGTCGATTCTGTCCGAGAGATGCAGCTGTGTGCGAATGAGGTCCGAGAGGTAGAGAACCATGAGCAGGTCCTTGATGTTCGAGTCGAGCATGTCGACAAAGGCGTCGGCCTCGATCTGCGGAACGGCCGAGACGGCGGTGAGCAGGAAGCGGCCAATCTTGTTGTCGGGCTGGATGGAGCCGGCCAGGACGCCGTCAACGTAGTTGGCGGCCTCGTCCAGGTGGTCCGCCAGCTGCGCGAGCGAGCTCTCCAGGTTGTTCATCTCCTCGGCAAGCGGCGTGGTGCCGTCAGCCGAGTAGAGGCCACGCGAGATGAGGTTGAGCCCGATCTGCTCGGCCTCAAACGAGGCCATCCCAACCTCGATGGGGTGGAACTGCGTGCCAAACGAGGCCGAGCCCATCTGCAGGACCGACGAGACGTAGCCCTGGATCGCAAGCCGCCCGTTCGAGAGCGTCGTGTCCACCGTCACGTGGATCGGATGCCGCGAGCCCGACGACGCAAAGAACTCGTGCAGCAGGATCGAGTACTCTGTGATCTCCGGCCCCGTCGCGTACCAGCCCACAATGTCGTCCTCCGGGAACGTCTCCATGTGCAGCTCCCTCTGCACAGCCATAAAGTCCATGTCCACCGCAACCTATCCCCATCCCCAATCACCGTTCCCATGAGTTCTTTCCGCCTCCTCTCGCCCACCATCGCTCGTCATGGCCATCGCCATCATCATGTCCCATCGATGTGCTCCTCCTCCTCGGCAACCCATCCACCAAAAAAAGCCGCAGATTGTCTGCACTGCGACCACCCCCAAGGCGACCACCCGCACACACTCTGCTGCGGTTTCTGCACCACCTCCATCCCTACACCCTTATTGAGCCCCAAACCAAGCTACTTATCGCCTCACCTGTTCCATAGCTTCCTCCCACACGACGTCGTCGTTTGCAGAAGGCAGGCTAAGCGAGGGTGGATGGGGAGACGGCAGCCGGCTGGCTCACCTCACGGCAGCCATCACGGGTGTGCGAAGGGAGGGGGGGCGGGGGGGGGGGGGGGGGGCGGGGGAAGGAGAGGAGGAAGTGGACAGAAGGCAGGACATAGCCGTGGGCAATGGCTGGTACGTACCTCGTCGGCGGTCTCCGAGTGCGGAACGGGGAAGGAGTTGCGGATCTCGACGACGCCGTTCACGCCGCGGGTCCCCAGCAGGGCACCGATGACCCTGTTCTGGCCCTCGGGACGGCGCATGTAATGGTCAATGACCGAGAGCACCACCACAGGGTGCATCTTGCCCTTGGGCGCAGACGTAAAGTTGAGGTGCAGTGCGTCCATGACGAGACTCAATGCAGAGAGATGTGCTTGGCTCAAGTACGTGCGGTGAGCCAGGAAGGGAGAGGGAGGAGGGAGAGGGGGGGAGTGGCTGCGCCGAGGCCGGGTGGAGGCGGAGTCGACGAAGCTGTCGGCGAGTTGCCGGACGAGGCGAGCCAGGCTCGTCTGGTGAAGCATGGAGACGGAAGATCGACCACCAGCAGCAATGGCAGGACATGACAATCACAGTGGCATGCTCATGCCGAACACATGGCTCGCCGTCTTCCATTCTTGCACCAATGACCGAGGGCGAGCGGGGCGCTGATGGCCGTGCCTGGCGGCTGGTCATGCATCGCCAGCTGCAGTGGCAGTGGCAGCGACAGCGGGGGCGTCACAGGTAGTCCCACGGGCGACACCTCCCTCGCGCGTCCTTGACTCCACACCCCTCTCCAAAGACGCTCATATGGTGTTCAAGGTAGGCGACATGGTGGCGGCGCGGGTCCGGGTGGAGAACAGGCCGCAGTGGGCCATGATGAAGGTGTCGGCGGTAGAAGGGACGGACGAGAGCAGCGAGCCGTCGAGCTACGTGGTGGTGGATCTGTATCCAGACTCTGACGACGAGGCCGTAGTGCACAAAGTGAAGGCAAAGAACATGCTTGCCTTCCCGCCGAACCCGGACCCAGAGCTGCCGAACGAGTCTGGAACACACATCTATGCCCTGTGGTACGAGAACTCGGACTGGTCCACCGTCTTCTACTCGGCGTACGTGGCCGGCCCGTCCGAGTATGGCGACGACTGGATCTCGGTCCGGTATGTCGGTTCGCGCAAGCTCTTTGACGTGCCTACCGACAAGGTCTTCCGCGATCCCAAGCCACGCAAGTCGGCCAGCGGCGGCACCAGCGCGTCTTCGGCCAAGAGCTCAAAGTCCGAGGCCGAGAAGCGCAAGTCGGGTCGCAAGCGCAAGTCGCGGTCTGCGGCGACACCAGCCGACACAAAGTCTGAAGGCGGCGACGAGGCCAGTGCGCCGCCGCCGGCCAAACAGGCCAAGTCCAACTCCGTCAGCGGGAGTGGTGCCCGCCCACGCATCTCGGTCGGGTTTGCCGGCGCCCAGCGCCAAAGCACCTCGGGCAAGGGCTCCGGCTCGGGCACGCCGACGACCGGCAAGCGCGACACTGCCTTTGCACTTGCCATGGCGCGGCAGGCCGAGGAGCAGGCCGAGGCTGGCAGCGCTCCGCGAATGGCGAGCGCGTCGTACGAGCTCGGCGAGGCCGGCGAAGAGATCAAGTTGGACTCGCTGCTGAGCCCGGGGCGGATCCAGTTTTGCCTCAAGAAAAAGGACATGGTCTCGGTCTTACACAAGAAGCGCGCGCTGATGCGGTCGTCCTGACAACGGCGCGAGCGGGCGGGAACGGTCCAAAGGCCGCAGACTGCTTTACTACGTGCGTGACCGCGAGCTCTCGACCGAATTACGGACGATCGAGCCACGGACGGTCGACTTGGGGTCGAGGGTCGACGAGGCCACCGACTCGTTCTCCTTGGCCAGGTTCTCCCAGTACATGCGGTTGTCGCGGAGCTGGGCGAGCTGGTCGTCAAGGCCAAGCTCGGGAACCATGTTGAGGGCCTCGTAGAGCGGAGTGACGAAAAAGTCGATGAAGCCGGTCTGGACCTTGGGCGTCTTGGTTGTGGCGCGATCCATAAAAGGCGAGATTGGGAGTCCTCGTGCGGACTCGGCCTCGCCCTGGCGGAAGAACTCCTCCATGACCAGGTGGGCCCACGTCTCGCAAATGGCGGTGTCCTTGGTTGGGTTCGAAATGTCCGCGCACTTCATGGCCATCTCGAGCACGAGGTTGCGCGCCTCGGTGACCGAGAGATCGAGTGACTCGGACTCGATCTTGAGCTTGAACTTGCCGAGGTAGTCAAAGTGCTGCGACATGTCTGTTGCGAGGACCATTTGTATGACCAGCGACCGCAGGTCCGCAAACTGGGCAGAGCTGAGTGGCGAGAGGATGTCGGTCGCCGGGTCAAACATGATCTCAAACGCTGTCGAGCAGTGAAAGTGCTCCAGCACACCCATGTCGTTGTAGCGGAGCGCGAGCGGCGACCGCGATGCCACCTGAAAGTTGTTGTTCGTTCCGGGATGGCCCATGTCGTGGACCATGGCGGCAATGAGAGCCGAGAGGACCTCGAGGTCGGTGACTACCGGCGAGAGCCCAGTGTTCGAGATGAGGTACGCCACCGTCTGGAGCACGTCTGTCGCGTGCATCGAGTTGTGGTACGGGTTCTCCTTGATGTACCCGTCCTCCACACGCTCAAAGAACCGCAGCACCTTCGTCGGGTCGAGGCCAAAGGTGCGCACAAGGTGGAACTTGCGGAAAAGCGTCACGGCCGTGTAGTACAGCGGCCGCCCGCCGGTCAGCTGTCCAATGGCAAACACGTCGCAGTTCCACTCGTCGACAAGGTTGGAGAGCTCGCCAAAGTCGATGACCTTCTTGGGCCCGACCGCAAGCCGGTGCCCGTACAGGTGGTCGATGACAACTTCGACCTTACCCCACTCGCGCGGGTCGAGCGCCCCAATGGCCGGCACACCTTCGAGCGCCTGCGCCACGCGCGGGCCGGTGCTGCTCGCCTCGCGCGCCTTGGCCCGCGCCTTGCGCCGCTCGCGCTTGCGGGTGGCCACAATGGCGCGCTGGATTCGGGCGCGAACAACCGCCTGGAGTCGCGCAAGAACCTGCGCCTGCGCCTGCGCCTTGGCCTTGATCTTGGCCAGCTTGCGGGCGGAGCGGCTTGTCTTGGTCCTGACCTTTCCCCGGGCCTTTCCCTTGCCCTTGCCCTTGCCCTTGGCGCGACCGCGCTTGGACTTTTTCTTGTCCTTCTGAACCGGGGCGACACCCAACGTGCCGTCGACTTCGGCCATACTGGCCGACGGCGCCAGCCGCGACGTCGACCGCGAGTGGCGGGCGTCGTAGATGGAGACAACCGTCGACGAGGTCGAGCCCGAGCCCGAGTCGGGCTCTTGTGTGCTGGCGGTGATCTTGCTCGAGCTGCCCAGTGCAGCATTCGAGAGCGATTCGATGTGGGTGAAGGAGACGGTGTCACCAAGTGACGACGACGAGTCCGAGCTTCCGCTCGACGACGAGTCTGACGAGTTCGACGACGACGAGAGCGACTCTTGCGCAATTTGGTCGGCAGCGAGGCTGTCAAGGACTCGGACAAGCGACGACGAGAGCGAGCCTTCGGTCGATGCGTCCGAAGCTTTGCTTGATGAGTCTGACCCCGAGTCCGACGGCGACGGGCCGGCAGTGGCCCGCGGCGTGTTGGTCGCGGTGGCGGCGGCGTTGATTTTGGCCTCAATGTCCAGGTTTGTGGCGTTAGAGACCGAGGCCTGCAGGCGCATTAGAAAGTCGGCGGCGAGCTCGTCGTCAACAGCCGAGGTGCCGGAAGCACCCATGGTCTTGAGTGTCATCTGGGCGGCGGTGTCTTGCCGCGGCGAGCCGACGAGCGAAAACCCGTTTTCGTTCTGCGACTCGGACGGGCGGTTGCGGTTGTTGGCAAGCATCGAGGCCATGTACGACTTGTACTCGGGATCGAGCGTGTCGAGGTTCTTCGGCTGGAACAGCTCGCCCGACGAGAGCAGCGTCATGGCGGCGCGGAGCTGGATCTTGGCATCGGGCTCGAGGTCCGAGTCATTGGCCACCAGGTCGCGGAGAACCTCCAGCGCCTTGGACATGGGTGAGTTGAGGTCAAACTCCTGCCCGCGCTCGTAGTTGGCCAGCATCGAACGCAGCGCCTTGTTGTCACGGACGAGGCGAGCGAGCGACTTTTCGTTACGCACAAGCGTGCCGGCAAAGTAGTGCGTAAAGTTCTCGAGCATGGAAAAGGCAACAGCTTCCATGGCCAGCGCCAGGAGGAGCGTCGCCTCCTCGGCCCACGAAATGGGCGGGTCGAGCGCGCGGCCGTGCGACTGCGACGTGCCGGTTGTGTCGGTGTAAAACCACTGCATAACCGCGACGCAGACGGCGTAGACCACAAGGTACGTCAGCGCAAAGAGCGGGAGCTGCGCCCGGAGCCGGTGGTCGCCGTTCTGCATGTTGATGGCGAGGACCGTGGGGAGGAAGAGGGCGGCGACAATGATGTGGACCTCGCGCGCAATGAGGAGAAGCCACACCAACGGGCCGAGCGAGAGCCAGAGCGCAACCTTGGCCTTGGGCTTGAACGCTGTGATGACTCGCGTCACCTCCATTACTGCAATCACCATGACCACGTACGGGTACAGGTTCTGGACCCGGAGCGACGGCGCCCAGCCAAAGACTTCGGCCGTGCCGAGGAGCACGAGCATGGCGATGTAGAGAACCCACATCTGAGCCTGGATTGGACCCACAACCTCAGCGTCGTACTTGGCGTAGCCCATGGCTTCCTTGCGGCTTATCCGCGTCTTGGACTGCTGGCGAAAGTCGGCCAGCAGCCGGCGCGATGTCTCACGCGCCGTCAATGTCGGCCGCAGCGAGTCTCGACGGAGCCCGCCCACCACAGACTCATTGGAGACCTCGGACGGCCGCCCTGGTACGTTGGGCGAGGTCGGCGTCACCGGCGGCTCACGGGCCGGCCGTATAGCCGCCCTTGATGCCATCCCCAGCCTGTTTCTCTCGTGCACGAGGGCCCGGAGGGAAGGAGGGGGGTGGCGACCTGGTCTGGAGCAGTCGGAAACGGACGCAACAACGACCTGCTTGGAGCCGGCGGTGGCGGAGGCGCTTCTTGTGGTCCTTGTGGAGGGAAGAAAGACGGAGGAAGAAGAGGGAGGGTGGGAGGGCAAGAGTTGGAGTCGGCGCGTCTTGTTGCGAGAGGAGTTGGGGATAAGTTGTAGGTGGAATAGGGAAGGGGGGGGGAGGGGAGCTGTCAAGCCGAGCAAGTGCTGTGGGCGGTGGCTTGGGCGGCGTGTCAACGGCCAATTTATCTCATTGGTGATCAAGAATGGGGGGGGGGGTAGTAGCAGACTCGTTCTACTTTTGGCGAGATGGGAAGAAGCGGACGGTGGGGGAGGGGAAGGGGATAGAGGCGATGGCGGTGATTGAGACTTGATTGGTCCTCGTGCGATGATGACGTGATGATCAGCCGTTGGTGCGGTGAACATTGGGTCGGTCAAGTCCCGGCGATATTGCAGATTCAGCTGGGCAGGAGGTGGAGTAGGGGGCAGGGGGGGGGGGGGGGGCATGATGCGGTGTTGGCCTCTTGCTTGGTTTTTGATTAATTCAGCAGTACCAATATTGGGTTTAGGTGTTTTGGCGCCATTTGGGGAAAAGTGCCAGCACCGAGGCGGAACGGGCGGAAGGCGGCGGCGGTGGCGCGTGAGTCCGAGTTGGGCGGCTGGCTGGCTGGCTGTGGCAGTCGCCGTCGCCGAGGGGTTGGTGAGGGTGTTGGTGAGGGGGCGAGGACGAAAGAGAGTCTGGGTAACACACTCCTCGCCAGCGAGCAGTTGCACAGGGTCGCCGCGTGAGACTCGGAAGGAGGAGAAGGCTTGTGTACGGCGTAGCACACAGGTTGGCTGGAGTTCAGGGCATTGGCGGTGGCGTCGCAGGGAAGCTAGTATGACGGAGCAGCGTGTGTTTGAGGCGCGCGAACATGCGGACTACACAGAACGGTTCGACCGGGCCGAGTTTGACGTGAAGCGGTACCGGGTGACGTGGACCAAGACGGATCGGTTCAAGATGGGGCGCAAGGTGGGACAGGGTCACTTTGGCGAGGTGTTTGAGGCCAAGGACACGCAACGCAAGTCCAAAAAGGTGGTGGCCAAGATGCTCAAGGATACAAGGAAGCAGAAAGCCAAGCTTCGACAGGAGATCAAGATGCTGGAGTATGTACGCGGCGGGCCAAACATTGTACAGTTGCAGGACACGGTGAAGGACCTCAACACGGGCAACAAGCTGCTCATCTTTGAGAAGATCAACTACGTCAAGTGCCGCGACCTGTTTCCGCAGCTGGACAACGAGGAAGTGCGGTACTACGCGTACGAGCTGCTGCGTGCGATTGCGTACACGCACTCGATCGGAGTCATGCACCGCGACATCAAGCCGTCGAACATCCTCATCGACCCGCGCAAGCGCAAGCTCCGGCTCATCGACTGGGGCGTCGCCGGCTTTTACTTCGCGGCGAGAAGAACATCCGCGGGCCAGGTACGCGGTGCTACAAGTCGCCCGAGCTCAGCTTGCGGTACGAGTACTACGACTACTCATGCGACATGTGGGCCTTTGGCTGCACCTTTGGCTCCATGATCTTCCTCGAGCACCCGCTCATCCGCGGCAAGGGCTCGTGGTTCAACCAGCTGCTGGCCACGGTCAAGATTGTGGGCTCGGACGAGCTCTTTACCTACATGCGCAAAATCAACGTGGTGCTCGACGACGACCAGATGGCGGCGCTGTCGGGGTATCCAAAGAAAAAGTGGGAGTCGTTCATCGACGACGATAATCGGCACCGGGTGACTCCTGAGGCCATCGACCTCATTGCCAACTGCGTGCTCACCGACCACGTCCGCCGCTTCACCGCCACCGAGGCCATGGCCCACCCTTACTTTGACGCCGTCCGCCCCTCGTCGTCGTCGGCCTCCTCGTCACGCACCCACCGCCACAGCAAGCGCAACGCCGCAGACTCGGCAGGCTCGAGCTCGGACTCGGGTCGCGGCGGCCCGGCCAAGCCGGACGTGGCCTCGGGCTCGTACTCGTACTACTACGAGAGCACCTACCAGTACGTCTCCTACACCGGCTCGTCGTCGTCATCGGACGACGCTCCCAAGGCCCGCACCGGCAAGAGCTCGCGCGCCGGGAGCTCGCGCGCCAGCAGCTCGCGCCCTAGCAAGTCTGCCTCCAAGGCAGCGAGCAAGGCCTCAAAGTCCCGCCGCAGGTAAATGGCCTTGTGCCGTGGAAAGAGCTCGGGTGGCGGGTGCGCGGAAAAGGGTAACTGTGTTTAGTGGGCGCGAGCCTCGAAGGGCCGTCACAGGCTCCAGCGTGCTCGAGTGTGCACAATCGGGGAGAGTTAGTACTCCTGCGACTGCGACGAGCCCTTGCGCTTGCCCTTGGCCTTGTTGGGGAGGAGGACGGCGTGGATGTTGGGGAGGACACCACCCTGGGCGATCGAGACATCCTTGAGCAGCATGTTCAGCTCCTCATCATTGCGGATGGCGAGCTGGATGTGGCGCGGGTTGATGCGCGCACGACGGTTGTCGCGGGCAGCGTTGCCAGCGAGCTCGAGGATCTCGGCCGCGAGGTACTCGAGGACAGCAGCGAGGTAGACCGGAGCACCCGAGCCGATGCGCTTGCCGTAGCGGCCCTCCTTGAGGAACCGATGGATACGGCCAACCGGGAACTGAAGCCCGGCGCGCGAGGAGCGCGTGCGCGACTTGGACTTGCCTGCGAGCGTCAAGACAAAGATGATGATGGTGAGTGTGCCTGAAAAATATCTCCCCTCGTTGTCGGGGTGCGCTGAAAAATCGGTAGAATCCACGGGTGCATGACAGCATCGATCGCTGGGGCGAGTGCGAAGGAGGGCAACAGGGGTGGATACATAAAAGAGGAAGGGAGGACAGAGGGGGAGGAGGAGGAGGAGAAGGGGCTGGGAGGGAGGTGATAGAGGGGGGAAGAGTGAAGAAGGGGAAGAGGAGGTGGGTGGATGGGTGGGCGGGTGGGGGGGCTGGGAGAGGGCGCGCGCGGCGTTGGGTAGATTCAAAGGGGCGGCGGAAAGGCGGGTGGGGGGGGATTGGCGGTGGTGGGTATGGGCATGGGAGGGGGTGGGAAGGCAGGGGGAAGCATGAAGGAGAGGGGGAAGGTGGGGGGGGGGGGGGGGGGGAGGCGGGAGAACAGAGGGGAGACGGCTTGCGTACCTCCGCGGCCGCCCTTGCCCTTGCCACCCTTGCCAGCCATGATTGTCTTTTGTTGTTAGTCGAGAAACGTGTGACCGGTTTCAGAGGCGTAGGAGCCTGCGTACGCCTGCGCCTTTTTGCACACTTTGTGGTGGTCACTGGCAGACTGAAACTGCCGCGGACCGACTGCGTGGTCATTCCTCACATTTGCATGACAATCAAGCCGCCGCCACCGTTGCTGGCACGCTTGGCCGAGGCAGCCGGGCGCGGTCGCGAGGCAGGGCCAGTGGCCGCTTGAGAGCTGATGGCAGGGCCGCGCATCGGCGGCGACTGGGAGTTGCTGGTGACATCAGCGAGCGGCGCGCGGCGCGCGCGGGTGGCGTCGTCCTTGAGCGAGGCGACCATGGTCCGCAGCGCGGCCATGTCCTTGCGCGATTCCAGTAGTTTGACCAGGTCGCGCGAGAGCCGCTCCTTCTCGGCCTCCAGCCGCGCGTTGGCCTTGGCGGCGGCGGCGGCGTCGGCGGCAGCGGCCTCCAGCGCACGCTGCGCATCTGCAAGCTCGGCGTCTTTGTCAAGCAGGCTCTGGACAACGTACGCGTACGGCTGCTTGGCGGCGGCTTGGAAGGCCAGCGAGTCGTCGAGGCGGACCCGCGTGGCAGCGAGCTGAGCCTCGAGCTCGGCAATCTTGGCCGACGCGGTCTTGAGCTCGGCCTGCGCCGCGGCGTGGGCATCGAGCAAGTTGCCCGCACGTCCGGGATCAGCCTCGGTCCACTGCGGAACGGCAGCAAGCGCCAGCTGCAAGTTGGCGACCTGCTGCGAGAGCTCGCTTGTCCTGGCCTCGGAGCTCTCGGTGAGCGACGCGTACTCGGCCCGCACAATGTCGAGCTTTTGCAGCAGTGCATCGTGCTGAATGCCGAGTCGGGCATGTGCCTCGGTCAGCGCTTTGTGCGCGACCTGCAGTCGCTCGAGCTCGATGGTCTTGGTTGTCACCTCGGACGCCTGCTGCGCGGCCGACGACGTGATCGAGAGCTGAAGGCTCTGGTACTCGCCGAGCAGCGTGGTGTGCGCGGCTTCGGCAGCCTCAAGTTTGGTCTTGAGATATCGGACCTGGTCGGCGGCTTCGGCTCGCGCCTCGCGGAGGAGCGAGAGCTCGCGCTCGTATGCGGACGACGTGGCGTCAGTGACCGATGCGTGCGTCGCCGCCGTGTTGCGTTGAAAGAGGCCCACCAGTTCGGCGAGCCGGCCGTCGGAGAGTGTGTCCGAGTGCGACTTGAACTCCAGAAACTTGGCATACAGACGATCCTGATCGGCCTTGAGCGCCGCATTCTGCGACAGCGCAGTCTGCAGTGCCGCGCCGGCCTCGCCTGACGACTGCCGCAGAGACGCGAGCTCGTCCTTGACATGCGCTAGCGACGACGAGAGCACCTTGTTTTCTGACTCGAGAGTACCAGCCTTGGCTGCCGCCTGCGCTCGTGCGCCCTCCTCGGCCCGAAGCCGGGCGGTGAGGTCCTCGATCTGCGCCCGGTATCGCGCCGACTGCGATCGGGCCGTATCGAGCTCGGACCGGGCCGAGAGCGCGGCAGCCGACGCCTCCTTCACAGCTGCCAACTCCTCGCGGGCGACCGAGAGCCGCGACGAGAGAAGTGCGGCATCTTTGGCCGCCATCGACGACGTCGCGGCCAGCTCCGACTCGAGATGGGCGACCTTGGTGGTGAGCGCATCGCGCTCGCGAGTCAGCCGCACCACGTTGGCCTTGGCCGACTCGACCGTGTCGTCGAGGGCATGCAACCGGGTGTCGGCTGCAACCGCGTCGGCACGGATGGCTTCGGTCAGCTCATAGACCTTGACCGCCAGCTGGGCCTTGATCGACCGCCGCGACGCCGGCGTCCGCGACAGCTTGGCATACTGGGCGTCGGTTGGAACGCGAAGCGTGGCAATGTCGGCGGTCGAGAGCGCCATCCGCGACGCCACCACCGGCGCACGCTCCTCAAGAGCCGCAAGCTGTTCGCGGAGTGCCCCGACGGCCGCGTCGGCCTTGCGTCGCTCCGCCCGGAGCGCCGCAGCGTGCCTGCGATCGGCACTGTCGATCCTGCTCTCCAGCTCGCCTCGCTCACGCATGAGCGCACGGACCTGGTCCTGCAGCACCTTGAGCTCGAGCAGATGTTGCTTGCCAATGTTGGCAAGCATGGCGTCCTTCTCGCGGACCGCAGCCTCAAGCAGCGCAAACTGATGCCCGAGCGCGCCGCCGCGGATCTGGGCCTCGTCCACCCTCGGTGTGACCGAGAGCGATGGCGATCTCGACGAGCTAGCCGACCGCGACGAGCTCGGCGTTGCCGTCAGTGCGCTCGATGGCGAGCGCGAGAACGACATCTCGAGCGGAATGCCACCGACCGTTCCTGCCAGAGCCTCCAGCTCCTCCATGGTCACCGTCTCCAGGTCGAGCTCCGACACGACCGCCGCCAGCGGAGCCGCCTCGGGCGAGACCTCCCGCTCTCTCCTGTCTACAGGCGTCCCACCTGTGGTCGACATGTCAGCTATTGCAGCTGTCGCCCGTGGCAGAGTGGTACGACAAGTGCTGCTGTTGTCGGTGGTGGCGGTGTATGTAAGGCGAAGGAGTTGGGCCGGGTGCGCGCCAACGCCGAAAGTGGCGCCGGCAGCATTCAATACTTTTGAATGTCGTTTGTTCGTTCCTCTGTTCGTTGGCATTTTCATCGATCATTTCATCGTTGCTTCCGTTGGGCTTTGGCCACCGACCGTTGGCCTATGGCTCCTTGCCTCGCTCCCCACCCACCCTCCTCAGTCCGACACTGCACTCATCAGCTTTCGTTGCGACCGAGAACGAGTTGTGTGACATGGCAGACGTAGCACATATCGTGTTATCGTCGTCATCATCCGGGGATGGCGACGACGCCGTCACCAAGAGGTCTGCCCGTTCGCTTGCGCCCACAAAGGTCTCCAAGTGGCTCAAGCAGGACTCATCCACAGGCAAGGCCAGCTCCGCCACTGGCGGCAAGCCCGGCCGAGTCTCAGGTGGTAGCTCAGGCTCGGCTGGTCCTGCAGGTGGTGCTAGTTCTCGTCAACCGCAAACCGCTGCCCCAACCATCGACCCAGTGTTCGACTCGGCCGTCGGCTCGACCGTCGACCCGGCCGTCAACTCAGCATCAAGCAGTGCCATGGTCTCGCCCCGCAACACTGCCCAGCCTGCGTCAGGCCCTTTGGATGCATCTGATTCGTCTTCGGTAGACATCGATCTTTCCTCCGAAGACTACGGTGCGGATCCCAAGCCTGCGCCGTCAGTCCAGCCCGAGCCTGAGCCCGAGCCCGAGCCCGAGCCCGAGTCCGAGCCCGAACCCAAGCCCGAGCCCGAGCCCGAGTCCGAGCCCGAGCCCGAGCCCGAGCCCGAGTCCGAGCCTGAGCCCGAGCCCGAGCCCGAGCCCACGCCCAAGCCCACACCCAAGGCGGGAGCCCCACCCCCCCAGTCCAAGGCCCCACCCTCCGCCTCCGCCTCCACCTCCACCCCAGCCCCAAAGCCCAGACGCAAGCAAGCACCCACGCCCAAGCCAAAGCACGCCAAACTTACGCCGACCGATCCCGTCGTCATCAATGTGCCGCAGGTCCGCATCCAGACACCAGGTGAGGCCCCGGCTGATGCAGAGGCCGCCAAGCAATTGTCGCCCAAACGTCGCCGTCGCGTCCGGAAGTCGCCGGCGGCATCGCCGTCACCGGCACGAAAGCCGTTAAGCAAGGCCAACACGAAGCGATCCTCGCGAAAGCGGCGGAGGAAAAATGCGGGTTTGCGGAAGCGGTCGACGCCCGGCAAGAGCGCCAAGGGCCGCAAGCGGAGCAAGCGGAGCAAGGGCGGCAGGCGGAGCAAGCGGAGCAAGAGCAGTTCGCGTAAGCGCCGCTACATCTCGCCGCTGGAAAAGAAGAAGCGGATAGCCCGCAGAAAGCGTCTCCGTCGTATCCGTCTCCGCAAGCAGCGCATGCGGAGGAAGAAGGCTCAGGAAGAGGCCACGAAGTTCCGTGCCAAGCTCGTGCCCAAGCCAGTCATCTCCACTGGCCACGTCCGCTCTATCCGCCTCGCCCTTTCCGGCAGCGATGACCGCTTTCGTCGCGTCGTCACCGCCTCGCACGTCGGCCGCGTCATCGCCGCCACCCACACCACTATCGTCGAGTACTCGGTCCTCACGGGGGCCGAAGTCTTTCGTTTTGAGCCCGACCTCGGCGGCTCGGCCATTCACTCGCTTGCCGTCGACGACGCTGCCTCGCGAGTCTTTGCCCTTGCTTTTGACGGCTCGCTCGGCGCGTACAACGTTGGCCACGCCAACTTTGACACCCTCGCCCCGGTTCCGCTCCGCCCCGGGACCACCCTTCCGGACGTCGGCGTCCTGTCGCTAGATGTCGACGCCGGCGTCATCGTTGTCAACACCTCGGCCGTCGACAGCATGGTCCACTTTATCGAGCCTATTACTGGCTCAGTCATCCACTCGGTCTCCAAGCAGCAGCTTGGGCTCTCCCAGCCCGCCATTGTTGGCGATCTTATCTACCTCTCCAAGTCGATGCTTCTCGTCTACACTTCCAGTCGCTCGTCCGCCGCGCAGGTCTACTCGTTTGCGCTCTCGGCCGTCGTCGCCTCGCTCGCTGCAGACGCCTCGGTCCGCAAGCCGCGCATGGTCTACCTTCCGGGCCTCGAGGTCATTGCCCTTGGTATGGACGGCTGGCAGTCATCGTTCACCTCGCTCTGGCCTGTCGACGCCATCGAGACCGTCGTCGCCGCCCTCACAGAACCGCCGCTCCACCCCGACGACGTCCCCAAGCTCGGCCCGTCGCACACCCTTCCTGGTGGCTACGGTGCCATTACCACCGCTCACTTCCTGCCCGGCTCGAACGTCCTTGCCTCTGCAGCCCTCAGCGGCGCACTGCACGTCCACGACGCCGACCCTGAGTTTTTCATTCCGCCCCCGCCCGAGGACAAGCTTGTCGTCAAGTACTTGCGCGAGATGCAGGTCGGCGGCAAAGTGGAGACCGCCGACATGGGCGCAATGTCGGCCCCGCCGTCTGACCGCGACTCGAGTCCAGGCCGCAACGAGAACAACTTCCCGGCTGCATCGGCAAGCGGTCCCGTTTTAGGTCTCGACTCACCGCTTTCGGCCGCCCAGCTCGCGCCGCTCAATTCCGGCGGCCCGTTTCGCTCGCCGTCGTCTGTCGACATTTCTGGCCCCTCACCGACATGTCATCGCACGCGCTGCTGGATCCTGCAGAAGTTGCCGTTTTCAAGCGAACCTCGTCCGACGTCGACCTGCACACCCTACTGGCGACCGGATCGCTGCCTGAGCCCCCTCAGCCCGTTAAGGGCCCTGCCCGCTTCCAGCATGCGCGGTCCGTTGCGCCGTCGACTCTGCCCATCCACGCTCTCTACGGTATGACGCTCGGAGGCGCCCGCACTGGTCCCGCGACCACAGCTGCAGTCAAGGCCTCTGCGGCTGCCGACATTGTGCCATCGTTTGACGCCTCGTATCCCGAGGGCGCCTTTGACCTTGCTTCTCTCGGCGGTTCCGACTCGGCTGACACCGACGAGCTTCTTTGCGGCGTCTACGCTGTCTCAGACACAGAGCTTGTCGTCTCGACCTGGCTCGTCAAGCGCACAACAATGCTGGTCAAGGTTGCCGACTTTGGCCTTGCTCTCTCGGAGAAAAAGTACGCCACCATCGAGGCGGCAGCCATGACTGCCTGGACCTCGAGGCAGGCTGCTCACCGCGAAGCTGCAGACAAGGCCCTTGCCCGCCTCACGCAGCAGACGACTGCGTTTGAGACTCAGGGCACCCACTTTCAACAGCTCATCAAGCAAGCCATCCTCCTTCGCCCTCACGTGGCCGATCCGCCGTCGCACGCCCACATCTCCACTGCTCACGACCTCGCCCTCCGCTTCCCTTCGCGCGAGTGGTATCCCGAGGGACTGGCTCAGTTTATCCATGGTGGTGGGCTTTCTGTTCAGGAGGTCTACGCGCTTCTGCGGCTCCACTTTAAGCTCCCGCTCGCCCTCCGGACTGCAAACAACTTTCTGGCCTGGATCGAGTCGATGGAGCTGACGTTTGTGGCCGAGCTCACCCGCGAGGTCTTTGTTGGCCCTGGCCCGTTCCACGAGGAGCTCACCGCCAACCTCTGCGTCGGCGACACCGCACTGCAAATTGTGCTCCATCACAGCGATCCACTCTCGCGCGTTGTCACCTTTCTCGAGCGCCTCGCCTCGCTCTTTGCCGCCGGCTCGCAGGGCTCCGACGAGACTATTCCCCGCGGCCTCGCCCGCCATCCACTCGACGTCCGCTACCATCTCTGGCTCCGCGAGACATCTCGGCTCTACGCCGCGCTTCTGCGCCTCAAGAACCTCCAGCAATCACGTCTCGGTGCGTTCCAGCTTACATCTCTCGCAAAGCGCTTTGCTGCTTCTCTCCATCCCGAGCCTGCCGGCTCGCGAGCCACCTCGCAGGCTGCCCGCGAGCGCTCGCAGTTTGCTTTCGACAACACCGTCATTGCCGGCCTCGACTACGACCTCGCCCACCGTCTTCACTCGCGAGTCTCCGAGGACGTTCTACGCCGGCATGCTCTACTCAGACGACAACGGTACTGGCCGCTTTGAGCGTCCTGTCGCCGTCAGCATCTTTGACCTCGTCTCGCTCCGCACCGTTGTCGGCGTGGGCCTTCATGGTCGTCCGCTCTCGCTCTCGGACCAGATCGATGCCGAGCTGGCCGTCCATCGCTCGCTTTTCCTCCATCCTATCTTGGCGCAAGCACACGGAGACTACGCTGAGACAGGGGGTGACTCGACTGGCTCGGTCCTCTCGTCGGCGCTGTCGTCGCGCGGGACAGGGGCCGGCGCCGACGGCGGGTCGCGGCTCCGCGAGCGCCTCGTCGCCTTTGACCGCCTTGCCGACTACACCCCGCTCACACTCGTCTTTGAGCGGTGCTGCTTCCTTGGCGCGCCCTCGCAGTGGAGCATTGTGGCCCTCTGGGGCGCGCAGCTCGCATCGCTCCTGGCCGCCACCGCCAGCATGGGCGTCATCGTTCGCAACATCAACCCCAACTCAGTGTTCGTGGCTCCTGGTGGTGACTCGGTTGTCCTGGCTTCGCTCGGCGACATGGTTCAGCTTACCACTGCCGCCGACGACGCTACCGGCTGGTCAGTTGTCACCGCACCGACCCTCTCACCGGATCTCAACGCGCGCTCAAACCCTTACCTGCCGCCGGAGCACTTTGATGGCATTGCTGCGCTCTCGCCGCAGTACGACGTCTTCTGCCTCGGTGCTCTTCTCTATCACATGTTGCTCGGGCGGCCACCGCCGGCGTATGGCCTGGCGTCGAGTGCGCGCGGAACACCAGTAGAGTACTACGACCCGTTCATCGGTCTGCCCTACGTCCGTACCCCGAGTGCGACCGGTGCAGATCTTGGCTCTGACTCCGGCTCTGCACCTCACGACGAGCCCGAAGTTCGTGGAGCCATCGGCTCATCTGGCGAGGCCGTGCTTGTCTCGCAAGTCAAGGACGGCGACCCATCACCGTCGGTGGCTCGGGCTTCGGAGTTTCGGCTCGCTGCCCCGCGCGGCTCCGAGGCCGAATCGCTTGGTACCCAGCTGCTGCAAGTCATTGCGCTCTGCCTCCACCCGGATCCGCAAATGCGGCCGACGCCGCAGCAGCTGCTGAGCACGCCGCTGTTTGCGGCCCGCACGCCGCGCGGCATCGGTGCCGGCTCGTCGACCAACGGCCCGCTGGCCCGCGCCCGCTTTGCGGCCTCGCGCTACATGGAGAACCAGGACTTTGAGCTGCTTGTGGAGCACGACCTTTGGAACCGCATCCGGGTTTTGGACTCGGCTGTGTCCCGTGCCGGCCAGCTCGACACAACGCTGTTCTCGCTCCAGTTGGGCTACATCGAACATGTGGTCGCGTTTCTCGACCCGGGCGTCGACGGCGAGCTCGATGCTCGCCCGGCCACTCCGTCGTCGGCCGGCAGGTCGATCGGTCGGGCATCCAGCACCACCGGCGCCGAGTCACTGGCTCCGGGCGGCGGGACCATGCCGCCGGATCAGGCTGCGCTCCTCATCCACGAGATCATGACGTCAGGTGTTGTTGACGCACTCGGCATTCTCTGTCTCCGCCACACCTCGGGCACCCGCGACCCGGCCCTGCTCGCCGAGCTCGCAGCGTTTCTTGCTCGCTGCATTGGCGCACCAGGCATGCGCGACTACACCAACATTCTGGTCAATAACCTTGTCCGCCTCTATGTTGGCAAGGAGGCGAGCTTTGCATCGTCGGCTCTCGAAGACTATGTTGTCGAGCGTGCCGGTGCTGGTGGTCCCGAGCTGAGCCTCGCGGAGCGCGGGCTCTCGCTCATGGGTGTTGACGTTAGCCACGGGTACCTGCCCAAGGTGGCCCAGGGCACAGGCACTGGCGGTGCCTGGGCGTCGCGGGCGTCGGACAGCAACGCCGAGATTACCTACGACGAGCTTGTCGACGAGCTGGCGGCGCTGGAGAAGGACGGCGCGCTCGACGATCAGGCCGACGTTGTAGCTGCCAGGCAGGCCACAAACGCGACGGGCTTCCGCCTGGGTGCGGCCACCGTCTCCAAGCTTTTGCCCGCCGCTGTGTGGCGGACCGCGATGGAGGCCGAGTTGCAGAGTTACTACGAGGACGAGGGCCTGCATTGGTCCCTCGACGTCTTCAACACACTACACTCGACCATCGTGGCCCACTTTGGCACCGAGCCTGCCAGCGGCGCACCGCTGGCGCTCTGCGAATGGGCTCCGTTTGTGGTCGACGCACCGACCGAGTTTGACGGTGACGCCCGCGCCCCAGTTCCACACCGCGGTTGGGACTACTACGCCGCGCTGGCAGTCATGGGGGAAAACGTCCGCAACCTGGCGCTCACCGGGCGCGAGACCCGGCGGCAGCGCCGGTCCGGCATCGTCCACATGGGTACTGCTTTCCTCTCCGGCAACCCATCTCATGTTCAGCTCCTGCTCGACTTTCACGTTCTCGACAAAGTGGTCCTCCTCCTCGACGACGACGATGCCGACGTTCGCGCCGAGGCGGTTACCTTCCTCGGACTCATTTCGGCCAAGTTTGCACACTCTGACGAAGGCGCAGCCGATGCCGGCTCGTCGTGGCAAATCCGGCTCCTGCTGCACGCCTTCAAGCAGCGGCATGTTGTTGGCGCGCTCGTCCGGCGGCTCAAGTCGCGGGTCGAGAGTTGGCGGACCAAGATCAAGGTCGTCGGTGTAGTCCACCAGCTGGTTGTCGACGGCTATGCCGTGTCGGGTGTCGCCACCGAGTGCAGCATCTTTGCCGTCCTCGCCGCCCTCGTACTCAACACCAACGACCCGGCCGTCGACCACTACACCGGACCGGTTCTCGGTCTGTTCCGGGCCGTGTTTGCAGTCGGCAACCCGGGCTTGCTCCGCGCGCTGGAGCTCACGCCGCGGCTTCTCCCCTGGCTGCACAAGGTTGGCGTTGCTACTGAGCTCCCGTTCTCGCCAGGCAAGCTTGCTGTCCGGGCCGCGGCGCTGCTCGAGGAGCAAGGCCTCCTGGTAGGCGACATCGACGAGTTCGTCACACCGTGCTACACGCTCTTTGAGCACATCAAGTACTACGTGGCTGGGCCCTCTGATGTGGCGCGGCACGAAGCCTCGTTCCGGACCATCATCGCCGTCCTTGTCCGCGCCTTCCAGCAGTTCTGGTTCGAGGCCCTCGCCCACCACCAGGTGGCCCAGGCTGGAGTGCAGACTGGCGGCTCGAGCGTCGACGCTGAGAGCCTGGATGAGATGATACGGCTTCTCCGGGCCGTTCTCGGCCTCTTTGCCTTTGTCGGCCAAGTTGGTCTCACCGATCTCATTCTAGAGCTCTCTGTCCTTGACGTGGTGCTTTCGCTGTACGGGCAGACCGACGTGGTGCTCGCGGCCTCCCCGCTCTCGGTCCACCCGCTGCGGTCCGTGATGGTCAAGCTTAACGCATTTGTGGCCGACCTAGTCTCGACCGGCCAGCCGAGGATTCTTGCCCGGCTCATCACCTACAACGTGGTGGCGCTCTCGATCACCACCTTTAAGAACCAGTACGCCCAGCTTGCGTCGGCCTTTGACCTCAACGCCGTCGAGATCCACGCGCCGACGTTCTACGCTGAGGAGCGTGCCTTCCGGCTCGCGCTCTGGCGGGCGCTTCTATCCTCCAACTCGCCGCAGCTCGGCGTCCAGCTCCTGCACTCGGGCATCATGACCTTTATCCTCACTGGCCTCCTCGGTAATGTCTCATGCTTCCAGCTCTCGGGCGCGCTGGTGGCGGGCACCTCGTTTGAGCGGTTCAACTGGACACTGCCGTTCCGTGCTGAGGCCATCAGTCTTATTCGCACTGTGGTCGCCTCGGCCTCGGCAGTCCCGCTCATGTTCCAGCAGCTCGTCGCCCTCCTGCGGAAGCACAAGGTCATCGAAGCTGAGCTGACCCGGCTGGAGACATCGGGCACCACCCTTGTGGAGGCCTCGGTCCTCAAGCTCTTCCTCCTCATGCTGGACGCGCCGCAGGCCGAACTTGGCCAGCTGCTTACCGACTCGGGCCATCTCGGCCGGATGGTACGCTACTGCAAGCTGGTGACCCGTGCCGACACTGGCGGTGCGCACGACGTCCGCCATGTTGTCGAGCTCCACGAAGCCGCCAAGGCCATTTTGCAACATGTGGAAGCCGAGCCGTAGTAAGGTTGAGGCGTAAAAGAATTGTGTTACGATGGAAAGTGAGGCTCATGTCTGTGTCTCGGCAGGCGACTGGAGCAGCGGCGACGAGCCGCGCCGCTGCGACGCTGACGGTCGGAGCGAGTCGCGGCGGCTGACCGACATGGCCGGCTTGGACGCCGAGCCTGGGATGGCGGTAGCCCGCCGCGACGGCGAGCCCCGGAGTGCGCGACTCGAGCCAGTGCGAGCCGGCGAGACCGAGCTGGTCGCGCCAACCGGGACCGACGACGAGAGGCTTGACCCGCGCCGCGACGGCGACTGGGTCTGCGATGCTGCGGTGGTCGACATGTCGTCGACGTTGGAGAGCCGCGGTGGCGAGCGCATGGCGTCGGTCTGACGTGAATTGGTGCGCGTCAGAGGCGAGCGCGCCGCAGCCACGGCGGTGCCATCCTGGTTGCCAGAGGTCGTCCGGCGCCGACGGCCGATGTCGCGGTCCGACGCGCGCCGGGACGGAGCGCCTCCCAGCCGTCCTGCTCTTGTCCGCGACGACGAGTTGTACGGCAGCGAGTTGGTGCGAGCCATGGCAGCCTTAGTGCGTGAGACCGGCGAGCGTACCGCCTGGGCATCGGCAATGTCGACAGCATCGATCGAGATCGGAGTCGAGTCTTGGACTGCGAGCAGCGGTGAGTCGTTGAGCGCAGCAGTTCTGAGCCCTTCGGCCTTGCTTCCGGACCGGCTGCGCTGCAGCGGGCGGGTGCCAACCTCGGGCAGGGCGTCGAGTAGACCGCCAGCGGCCTTCCGCGAGGTCGAGCGGTCGCCGCCGCGGTTGTCGGACGATCGTGACCGGCGCGTCCGCTTGCTCCGTGTCCGCGTCGGCGTCGGTGCCGCGCTGCCGCCGATGGTTGCGTCGTCGGCAATGACAACAACCTCAGACGAGAGCGACGACGACATGCGCTGCTTGTGGTGCGACCTGGACATAGCCCGCGACGCCGGTGATGCCGCGCCAGGCGGCTGCATCGGCCGACGGCTGCTGCCCGAGCCAGAGCCAGCCAGAGACGACGACGACGACAAACTGCCAAGCTTGGACGACCTCTCGCGGTCATTAAGGGCCGACGACGAGCCGTCGGCTGCTACTGCTGCTGTCGCCAGCGGAACCGAGACAACACCGTGGCCGTCCGACTCGTCAGAGTCGGCACGGTCGGTAAAGAAGGCGGTCATCTTGACGACGTTCGAAGCCTTGGCGTCGGGCTCGGACACGGTGTACTTGTTGGTGCGGATGACTGTGTCCAGCCAGACCTTCATCTTGAGGAGGACAAGGAGCGGCTCGGTGATGACCCACGAGAGCAACATGTTCGCCACAAAGCGAACAAGTAGGTTCGAGGTGTCAATCGCCACCGTAAGGTGCGACGTGAGAAGCAGCCCAGGATCGATACAAAGAATGATGTTGATGGCAAGGAGGACCAGGTCGATGAACGAGGCCGCAACCTGGGCAATGGCGCGGTGCGACCAGCGCGAGCCCGATGCAATGTTGCTTGACGACGTCTCCAGCACATGCTGCAGTAGCGGCTTGCCGACCAGGATGGAGAGCGTAGTGCCCATGGCGAGTGAGAGCAGCCAGTCGCCAGACGTGTTGGTCTCGCGGCGCAACTGCCGCGACGCCTCAGAGTCCTCGTACACTGCAGGCGCGACGACCGTGACTAGGAAGACCGAGAGAAAGTTGACGAGCACTTCCAGGACAAGCGTGATGATGCGCGAGAAGCGGGTAAACGGGTGCGACTCGTCGTAGTAGGCAATGCCCAGGACAGAGTGGTCAGTAAAGAGCTTTTCCAGGAATGAAACCTGCCGGAACCGCGACCACTCGAGCGCCTTCTTCTTGTTCTTGGACCGTTTGTAGAGCGAAAAAGCAGCGACGGCAGCAACCAGCGCGATGAGCCAGTAGAACGCGAGCGCAAGCGACGACGCCGCGCCAACTGCAAACGAGATCGACTCCTCCAGTGACTGCGCCTCGCGCCGGAAGAAAAACTCTACCACTGATGGCGACGTCGAGTTGACGCCACCTGACGACGCGGTCTGAACCACCGCCGGCCCGCGGACCGCGTCGGGCACCGCAGGCGTCACGCACACCACCTCGGTCGACGAGACCCATGCCGCCGACGCGCACGCCTGGTGTGCGAGCCACACGCCGAGCACGTCGCTCTGCCCAAAGCCAAGGTCTGTCCCGGTCAGCGTCACCGACTCACCGCCGAGAATCGAGCCCGTCGCCGACACAGCGCCGTTGATCTGCGACACCGTCGGCGTCCTGGTTACCAAGGCAAGCGCAAGAGGCGCAGCCATCGTGCCGTCAGCACCGGATGACGTGGTCCGCACGTTAACCTCGAGAGACCCGGCCTGTGCAGCAGAGTAGTCGGCAGGAGTGAACGAGGTGGTGAGGCAAGTAACCAAACTCGACGACACATACGTCTTATCGCAGACCATCGACCCGATAGTAATCGACTCGAGATCGCTCGGGTTGAGACCAAAGTCGGTGCCGGTAAGTGTCAGCGCCTGACCGCCGTCAAAGTCGAGCGCAAAATTGGCCGACTGGCCGTTGATGGCCGTCACGTGCGCCGCCGGGTAGTTGTACTGGAAGCTGACGCCGGATGGTAATGGCGGCGCGATGCCCGACGAGTGGGTAAAGACCTCAAAACCATTGCGACACCGATGTCAGCCATGCTCGACGCAGCCGGTGCAATGCATGAGAGCATCGTTGAGCTAATCCAGTTCACATCGCTGCAGAGCATAGCATTAATCGTCACGTTGGCCACGTCGGCCTGCGAGACGCCAAAGTCGGTACCGGTGATGGTGATCCGCTCGCCGCCGGCAAACGCACCGTTGTACGCAGGTTTGCCGTTGATTTTGTCAACCCTGGGAGGGTTGAGCGGGTCGATCTTGACAGCGGCGCTATCAACAGTATCCGGTCTGAAACTGGGCGAAACTCCGCTCGATGACGAGCTGTTGAAGAACTTGAACTTCAACTCGTATCTTCCAGGCTCGAGCGGCAGGGTCACACCTTCGAGTGAGAAACCGTACCGCTCGTAAAGATCAGGGAATCCGCCGGCGGACGACGAAAACGTGATGGACACAACAGACCCTGTGCGTGTCACAGACTGTGGCTGTGGGAGCGGCAGTGCAGGCATATCCCGTGGAATGCCCGCGGAAACAATCGGGCCAGCAGTCACAATGCTGTTGTCCGGAAGTCCGAGAGCGAAAGTGCTGCTGTCAAATGTGAATCCGTCGGGGAACTCGATGTCGATCCGCGCGCCGTCTTCAGCCAAAGGTGTCGCTTCGTTGACCCGAAACGAGATCGCGCCCAGCACTCCAAAGTTCTTGCCATGCAGGTTTTTGCCATTGGTGGCGACCGAGACTAGTGGGCAATAGTTGCGTGTGATGGGCAAGCCAGAGATTGACACAGCTCCGTACAAATCCAGAAATGCCTGAGGAGGCTGTCCATCGTAACTGCACATGTCGGCGCCGGGAGAAACACTAAAGGGGCGAGGCGGATCGAAGCGAAAGTCCGGAGCTCCGATCAGGCGCACGATCTCAATAGCTGTGGCACTTGCATTGTTCAAGTACACCAAGTCTGCCTCAGTAAGCATGGGCAGGTCCTGAAAGTAAATTTCGTCAATGTCGGTGAGAAGATCGAAGCGCAAGGCAGAGACATCTTCGAGCTTAGGCAGAAAAGAAGCGCTAAAGTAGGCTGGATAATCCCACGACATTGTCTCCAGTCCGCTCAAAGTCGTCACACTTGGCAAATCGCTCAAAACCAATTCCCAAACAAACATGCCCGCCAGCGGAGACAGGTCAGTGATTCCTGGACAGCTGGCGATGGAGGTGTAGTACGGACCGCCGGTGGCACGCTCCAGTCCGGCCAGCGAAGTAAGGTTGCTGACGCCCTCGCAGTCGACCTCAATATCCGTCGCCGAGAACGGGTTAGGGAGACCACTCAAGTCTGTACACGTCGGACACCGGATCCGAAGTATGTTGGCGTTGTCAGAGCAGAGCGAGGTGATGTAGGAAAAGTCAGACGGCTGCGTAATAGTAATTGCAGGCGGGCAAGCCGCCTCCACCACGCCTGGAAGCAAAGCCACTGCGAGCACAAGCCACGCACAGACCAGCAACGACATGTCCAGACAAGTGTGTGTTGTCTGTCCCAGCCGTGTGTGTTCCTCCTGGTGAGTCGCTCGCCCTCCCCCTCCCATATTGGCCTAGCCACACTTGTCCGCGTGCCCGAAGATGGCCGGCTCCACTCTTCCCAATTCCCCCAATTCGAATGGACCATTGTTGTTCCCAATGGCAAAAAAAGGTCCGGAACGGTCCCGCATGGGGCACCACCACCGGGGTTCGCCTGCTGTGACTGCTTCTGGGCATGCACACAGTGACCGCACACCCCTGTAGCTGCCCAGCATGTGTTCCATCTCTACATGCTTGCTGGTGCCTGCAATCCTCGTTGTAGAGCACCAAACGCGCCGCCCTAGTCCCACTTTCGCGTGGGTTCATCTTCCACTCGGCCGACAACCGACAGCTCCGGCCATTTGTTCCACACCGGCCAAGGACAGAGCTTCCACTTTCCCCACACTCCCCCTACACAATGCAAACTCTCAGTGCAGGACACGTATGCATACTACACACAAGCAAACCCTTCTCTCACACCTTTTCCTCAATACGTACAGAAGCGGCGGCGACAAGTGATCGAAAGAATGAGCTGCCTACTACTGTCCTGAGGCTACCCACCGCGTGCCGGCTTGCTTGGCTACCATCAAAAAACGGCATTCTTACCACACACTTCCCCCGCTTCCCCCCCCCTCCCGCCCCCAGGACGGGGAAAAAAAAAAAAAAAAAAACGATCTCCCATTCAGCGACAATCACACGGTCCATGTCAAACGAATGACATGCTGTTCTGGTCACGGCGGTGACAGGTAGCAACATCCTCGAAATGAACCATCCACCGCAGTTGTGCCAACATCCCAACTCCAAAAAGTGGAGCGGCAGCGGTGTGAGCGATGTGCTCAGCACGAGCGCAGTGGCCGACTTACGAAGCAACCAAGTGAAGCTCAGTTTGGCCGGTACAGCCAGCTCTGCTCTTGCACTTGGTCTCGAGCAAACATGCGTCAGGCGGCTACTCGGTCGTCGGTGCTGGAGCAGGTCGAGCATGCACGGGCCGTGAGGGCCCAGCTGGCGGGCTCGGTGGGCGCAACGGCAGTGCCCAACGCCTCGCCGCGCAGGAGCTATCCGTATGCCTCGAGCACAACAAGCTGGGCCCCACTGCAGAGCTATGGTGGCCCACCAGCGCCAGCGCCTGCGCACTCGTTTGCCCGCGGCTCGCACTTCGGGCGGTCTCCGGGTCATGGTGCTCTGCGAGCATCGCTCGCTGCCCTCCACGCCGCCGCAGACGCCGCCTCGGACGCCGCAGCCGCCGCAGAGACCGCCGCAGAGTCGGCCGAGCTGGAATCTTCGCTGCAACGGGCAGTGGCCGATGGCGGTGGCGAGTCGGCCGCTGCTGCCCAGCATGGTCTCTCGGACGCCGATGCTGCGGTCGACCTGGCGGAGCTCGCTGTCCCGGGCCCGATCTACCACCCACCAGCGTCGCCGAGTCTGGGCGCATCGCGGATGCGGTGGTCACGGGCGCAGAGCTCACCCAGACACACGCGCCTGCTCTCGAGCGAGGTCGAGCCCGCAGCTCTTGTCGAGCTGGCCGACATGCGGGCGTCCAACGACGTCCTGCGCCGCAAGGTGAGCGAGCTGACCGCCACCAACAACGCGCTCGAGGACGAGGTCCGCACCCTCGCCCTCGCCGCCCAAGACCGCGAGTATTACAAAGACGCTCTCGAGGGTGCAGAGCGCCAGCTCCGCGACGCCATCGGTGGCATCGAGGCGTGGAAGAAGGAGGTCGCCGCCTTCAAAGCCCTTCACCCCGACATGGACTCGGTCCTTGCTCTACAAAAGGCCAACACCGCCGCTCAAGTCCGCATCGCCGAGCTAGAGGCCGCCCTCGACGCCTCGTCCAAGACCAACAGCTCGCTGCAGGCTGCTCTGGACGAGGCCGAGGCCAAGGTCGCCGAGCACCGCGCCGCCAATCCAGTCTCCACTGTCCTTCACCTCACCCAGCGCCTTCGCGAGCAGCTAGAGTCTTAGTCTGATTCCCGATGGCTAAGCGCGATTGCTGCTGGCCAGCCAGGCGCAGCGCTTAGCGCAGCGCATCCAGTTGAGGCACCATGCGGGCAAGCTCCCGCCGACCGGCTCGCTCGCGGCGGCCGCCCCAGCCACAGCCAACCACAAGTTTCTTGTCAGCGGTAGCGATGGATGTGTCGCCAAACATGCATAATCATCGTGAAACACCCTCTCCCCCCCCGCCATGCACTGGTTGTCGTTGGCCCACCAGCCTGGGCTGCAATTGATGGGCTAGAGAGCTGGCCGCATCTAGCCGCCAGCGGCTCGTCAACTCGACTGCCACCACTTGACCAGCGCCGACCATGTCTGAGAAGCCGTACGTATGCAAAAGAATGAGAGATAGAGAGAGCACGAGACGCACCAAGTCCAAGTGTACCTCTGGTCTCTAGTCATGAAGCGAGAATACATGTGTGAGTGGCAGGACCACCGCTAGCACCAGGAGCCAGGCAGGACGTGGGGGAGGGAGGGAGGGAGGATGCTGGATGGGGGGCTCTGGGGAGCGTGATGGGTGATGGGCTGCCATCCTGGGAGGAGCGAGGAGTTTGCGGGGAGGGGTTGTGAGAACAGGTGGCAGGCAAGGAATGACTTACGGGCGAATGGACTGGTGGGGTGTGATGCTTGTCTGGCGGAGGGGCGTAGGACATCGCGGGTGTGCGTCAAGAACCTGCCCAAGGGTGTGGATGAGGTCCGGCTGCGGAGGCTGTTCTCGGCCAAAGGCACCGTGACCGACGCAAAGGTGGTGCGGACAAAGGATGGCAAGTCGCGGCAGTTTGGCTTTGTGGGCTACGCCTCGGCCAAAGAGGCTGCAGGTGCGATCCGGCACTTTAATCGCACGTTCATCGACTCGATGCGGATCACGGTCGAGGCTGCGGTGCCGTACGGCGCGCCGCAGGACGACATCCGCCCTTGGTCCAAGTACTCCAAGGGCTCATCCGAATACGACCGCCGCAAGGAGCGGGCCGAGGCTGACAAGGCTGCCACCAAGGCTCGCATTCTCAAAGCACGCGAGGCCAAGAAGCTCGCCCGCGAGCGGAGGACCAAGGCCAAGGATCGGGTTCCGGCCGAGCTGCGCCTCGAGTCCAACGCTGAGCTCCTGGGCGACGAGCAGTTTGCCGAGTTTATGTCAGTGGCCATGCCGTCGAAGCGGGTGTGGGAGAACGATGTCACCGTTCCGCTGGGTGCCGCCGCTGCTGCTGCCGCCCCGGCGACCGTTCCGCAGGAGGTCGACGACGGATCCGGCTCGGGCTCAGGCTCGAGCTCGTCGGCCTCATCAAGCTCATCAGACGCCAAGGCCAAGTCCAGGAAGAGCAAGGACAAGAGCAAGGACAAGGCTGTGTTTTCAGAGAAGCTCTCGGACATGGACTACCTTCGGATGCGGATGAAGAAGGAGTCCGACGCTGACGCTAGCGCCGACTCGGGCTCGGGCTCAGGATCCAGCTCGAGCTCCGGCTCAGACTCCAGCTCGAGCTCAAGCTCGGGCTCGTCATCGTCATCGTCGTCGTCTTGCTCTTCCTCGTCTTCTTCCTCGTCTTCTTCCTCGTCTGGATCGAGCAAGTCAGGAGGTGACGCAGCCGAGGCCGGGGCCGAGGCTGACGAGGACCTGGGGTCGACCGGGCGCCTGTTTGTCCGGAACCTCGCGTTCCATGCTACCGAGGAGGACCTGGAAAAGGCATTCAGCAAGTTTGGTCAAGTGGCTGAGGTCCATATTCCGCTCGACGGCAACAACAACGCCAAGGGCTACGGCTTTGTGCTGTATGTCTTCCCGGAGCACGCGCTCAAGGCCATGTCTGCGATGGACGGAGCGATCTTCATGGGCCGGCTCCTCCACGTCTTGCCGGCGCGCTCTGCGCCCAAGTCGTCGGCCGCGGCGAATGGGAGCGAGGGCGGGAGCACGTCGTACAAGGCGGCGCGCGACGAGAAGCTCAAGGAGGAGGCGTCACTCTCGCACAACTGGAACTCGCTGTTTATGCGCGCCGACACGGTGGCCAACGCCATGACCAACACCTTTGGAGTGACCAAGACCGACCTGCTCTCGGCCGAGGCGTCGAACATGGCGGTGCGGATGGCACTGGGAGAGACGCACATTGTCTCGCTGACCAAGGACGAGCTGGCGGTCGAGGGCGTTGACGTCAAGCGGCTGGAGGAGTCGGCCGAGGCCGGGCGCGCCGCGTCACGCGAGCAGCAACGCAAGGACCGCGACCGCAAGACCATCCTGGTCAAGAACATTCCGTACGAGACAACGGTTGAGGCTCTTAAGGCGCTGTTCGGGCGGTATGGCCCGCTGGCCAAGGTCATTGTGCCCTCAACCAAGGCGCTCGCCATTGTCCAGTTCCAGCACAATAACCACGCCAAGCGCGCGTTCCGCAAGCTCGCGTACGCGCCGTTCAAAAAGGTCCCACTCTTTCTCGAAATGGCGACTAAGGGCGTGCTGCCGCCGCCGGGGCAGGCCACGGTGCCCAAGCCGGTCCGGGATTCGGGCTCGGACTCGGGCTCGGCGTCAGACGTCGAGGCCAAGGGCGCCAAGGTGACCCGCGGTGTGACCCTCACCGGCGCCACTGGCTCAGACGCCGAGGATGAGGGCGACGAGGCGCTGGGCGCAAGCGGCGCAACCGGCTCGGCCCTCTACGTCAAGAACATTTCGTTCAAGACATCGCAAGAGGCGTTCCACGACCTGTTTGCATCGATCAAGGGTCTGCGCTCGGCTAACGTGGCGACGCGGCGGAACCCCAAGGCCGGCCGGGACGGGCAGGTCGAGCGGCTCTCCATGGGTTACGGCTTTGTCGAGTACGCAACCCGCGAGGCCGCGCTCGAGGCGCTCAAGAAGCTGCAGCACTCGACGCTCGATGGCCACGCGCTACAGCTCTCGTTCTCCAAGGCGCAGGTGGGGGCCACCTCGGACGGCGCGGTCCTCGGCGCGGCATCCAAGCCCGCGCGCAAGCGCAAGCGCAACGCCGACGGCGACGGCAAGGGCACCAAGCTCATCGTTCGCAACATTGCGTTCGAGGCGACCCGGAAGGACATCCGCGAGCTCTTCTCAACCTTTGGCCAGCTCAAGTCGGTCCGCCTTCCCATGGGCCCCGACCACCATCGCGGCTTTGCCTTTGTCGACCTCCTCACCCACCAGGAAGCCGTCGCTGCCATGGACGCGCTGCAACACACCCACCTCTACGGCCGCCACCTCAAGCTCGAGTGGGCCGAGAAGGACCGCGATGTCGAAGCCATCCGCGCTCACACCAAGCGCGCCTTTGACTCTGCCAATCCATCGGCCTCGCCAGCCGCATCCGGCCGTCCCTCCAAGCGGCGCAAGGTGGCCGTCACCGATACCCTTGATGCCGACAAGGATGAGGAATGAGCAATGAATGCGCAAGCAACCCAGCTAGCTTCACCATGTAATGTGCAAATCGCACCCAGTTCGCGCCCATCGTCGCCTCGGCCGTCACCCCGCCGGCCGCCGGCAACCGCTCGCAGCCACCCCCCCTCCCTCCCTTTTCCCCCCACCCACCCACCTACGGATACACCCGACTGACGACCAGGGCGACCAGCAACATGCCGCTGCACAATGTGGCGCACCGCATGAACGTGGTGCTCACAACTGCATTCATGTTCCTCCTCGTCCTTGTGGCCGCCAACTGGCTCTCCCACTTTGCCCTCCGTGCCGAGCCCCGGCTGGCGGTGAGCGTGGCCAAGGTCAACATACTGTACGGAAGCCAGCTGGATGGAAGGAAGGGGAGACGGGAGGGCAAAGGGGAGTACTCATGCGTATGGAGGGGGTGCACGGGTGGAGGGGGGGTGCAGGACAAGGGAGGACTTTCTGCCAAGGCTCCCAGATATGTCGCGCAAGTATCAGCCGCTGCGGCGCGATGTGGCCAACGTCTCGCTCGCCATCTCTATGGATCTCACGCCGCTGTTTCATTGGAACACCAAGATGGTGTTTGTGTACGCGTACGCAGAGTGGCCGTCAAAGAACAACGCCGTCAACCAGATCGTGCTCTGGGACGCCATCGCCCAGTCGGCCGACGACGCTGTCCTCGAGTTCCCGGCCCTTGGCGCCGAGTACCGTCTCTCGGATCAGGGCTTTGGCCTTCGCGGCAAGACGCTCAACCTGACCGTGGTCTACAACCGCATCCCGCACACCGGGCCTCTGGAGTGGCGCGAGTACCCGATGCCGTCATTCACCATGCCGGCAGATTACTCACAATGAAAGCGCTGCTGCTGTATCATCACGTTAACCCACACCTTTATTGGCTCTTCTTGGCCGCAGCTGCTGCGCCCGCGTCGGGCGCGAGGTCGAGAGCGACAAAGACGAGGTAGAAGACGCCGGCGCACGCCTGTGCACACGCGCAAATCCAAAAGACAGACGTCACCTCGAGATCGACAAACTTGACCGCGTAGAGGAGAGCGATGACAAAGGCGTTGAGAGGGACACGGGTAAAGTTCATGACCGCCGACCGCGCCGCCTCGGGCACGTGCATCGATCGCAAAGTGCCATACGAGGGGAAGAACATGCCGCACGCGACCTCAAAGGTAAGAAAGGCGCCGTAGACAACTGCCTTGGACGCGTTGCAGTACGCAACCGTGGCCATCGCACTCGCGGCGGCAACGTGGAGGACTATCGGCACTGCCTTGAGCGAGAAGCCCGCCACAAGACCAAAGATGGCCGAGCCAACCATGACGCAGACCATAAAGACGGCAAAGATAAAGCCGTATGGCAGTGTGTCGCGGGTCTCTGCTGTGGCCAGCGCTGGTGACCACATAAAGACAAAGACGTACATACCGCCCTCGAACAACGCCTGTGCCAGGCCGAGGCAGAGGACCTTGGGTGTGGTGAGGAGCGTCGAGAGCCCATTGGCCATGCCCTGGCCCACGTTGACGCTCGCATCGCCGTAGTTCTCTGGCCAGGTGACGGCAACAATGGCGCCGAGGGCGACAAGCGGGACGACGGCGGCGAGGAACGGGGCCACAAAGCCAAAGCGTTCGGCCAGGCCTGAGGCAAGCAGGCCGGCCGTGACCGCCACCATGCCGTTGCCTAGCGTGGTCTTGGAAAAGGTGTCGGCCAGGAGCGAGGGGTCAAAGCCGCGCGCGTTGTGCTCGCACACCATCCACGCCTCAAAGACCGAGAACAGTAGCGATGTGGCAATGCCCGACGCAACGCGCCCACCGAGGAGCACACCAAACGAGGACGAGAGCTTGGTCAGCGAAGCGAGCGAGTAGGCGAGCGCAAAGGCGAGGACTGCACGCTTGCGCCCGAGGGTGTCGGCCACCGAGCCGGCGACAGTGCCAAAGACCATCGACGCGCCAAAGCCGCCCATAAACAGCAGGGCGATGTCCCCGTTCGAAAACCCGTAGCTCTCGTACAGCACATACGCATACGGGCCCTTGAGCCAGTCGGCGCCCATCGCCAGCAGGTACACCGCCAGATAGTTGCGCTGGAAGCGGACAAAGGCGACAGGGGCGACCACCCCGCCGCTGCCGTCAGCTCCACTACGGCCAACCACTGCCTCGACAGCCTTGACAACCACATACGCCGCTACTGCGAGCGCAAACGATTCAGAGAACATGCTGGAGGGGCAAAGAGGAGGAGGGGGTGAGAGCTGTATGGGGGCGGGAGGTAGCGGCAGCGGGGACCAGTGGGGGCGGAGGGGCGCGGCGGGACTGCCGGGACGGTAGAATTTGGTAATTTGGTGCTTCGAAGCAAACCACACAACCACACGACTGTCAAGTTCTACGGCTCGGCTCGGTTGACCCACTACTCCATGATGCAAACGTGTTAAAGGTAGGGGGGGGGGGCGTCATCTTGACCGGGCACGAGCAAGCTCAAGCTCTCCGTGGAGCCGCTGGATCTCGCTGAGGCAAGCGTCGATGGTGACGGCGAGACCGCCGACGACGCCAAGATTGTTGCTCGAGTAGCGACGGGCATCACGAGGGGTGGACTTGCCGCCCTCGTCGTCGTCGTCATCGTCGTCCGACTCGCAGCTCTCACCGTAGCGGATGCGGGCGGCGTCGGCACGGCCCGTTGCGATGGCAGAGCGGACTTCTTGGCGGAGACTGTCGGAGAACGACTTGGGCATGACCATGTCTAGGACTTCCCACGCCGAGTTGGAGATCGACGAGGTGCGCCGCCCACGAGCGTGGGCAACCTGCAAAAAGCCAGTCGCCGGCGCCGGTGACGGCGCGGTAGCACTCGGCTTGACGAGCACTTCGTCGACTGAGAGGCGCGGGCGCGGTGGCGGCTTGGGCCGGACTCGTGACGGCGCAGTCCGGGCGTGCTCGTCGCGGCTGTCCGGCGCACTCACAGTAACCACGTCGCTCGACCAGATGAACTCGTCGTTGGCGCCGTGGTCGTCGCCACCATCGCCGTCGCCGCCACTGCCACCGTCGCCGTCCGAGTAGCCGCACTCTAGGTCGGCTGAGGCGAGTGCGTCGGCATCAGGCGCGTCGTCGGTGACGACTGCCGACGACAGTGCGCGAGCCGACGCTGCTGCGACAAGGGCGGCATGCTGGCCCGAGATGCGCGAGGCGACGGAAGCAAACTCGGGCATGTCAACGATTGCTAGCGACGCTAACGACGACGCGAGCTGCGAGACCGAAGCCAGGTGTTCGAGCGGGACGCAGGCAAGCTGGAGCGGCGGCTCTTGATCAGGCGCCGAGAGCGGGAGCAGGTCATTGGTGGCGGCGACAAGCTCGTTGAACTGTGCTACCACAGAGTCGGGCGCGGTGCTGAGCTCGACGTCGACGGCGTGGAAGGTCTCGTCGAGCGAGATCAGTCCCTGCGCCGAGTCGGGGTCAAGGTGTGAGAGCATGGCAGAGAAGGCGACCTTGAGCGCCTGGCATGCGGTGACAACGTCGACGGTGGCGAGCGAGGCCGAGGTGCACGGGAGCGGCACAAAGCGGGCGAGCGCCGAGAGTGAGTCCTGCCAGCGGGCGACAATGGTGGTAGCGCGAGTGTTGGCATCGGCAAGAGCGATAGCCAGCGGCTGAAGATCGGGGTTCGGCCCGACGGCCGAGACTAACGGGCCGAGGACCCCGGACGAGAGAACCTCGAGGCCGCGCGAGAACGCGGCGAGTGAGGTCGCCAGCGTCCCGATGGCAGACTGCTTCTTGGAGGCGAGGTGCGAGGCCCGGTTTGTGTTCTCGAACACGTCAACCATGGCCTCGACTTTGGCCGCTGACTGAAAGACGGTGAGGAGCTTGGCGCGGGTGAGGATGTCGACCATGTCGAGCGTACCATCGAGTTGGGCCAGGACGCCCGGATAGACCGAGTCGGCCAAGAGCGAGGCCGAGCGAAGGATGATGCCGAGTGCGGCGTCGACGTTCTTTCCCGAGTCTGATGAGAGTTCCACCAGAGGACAGCCCCAAGTCTTGGAAACGCACAGGCCGTCCGCAAGCGAGACCTGGCGCTCGCTCTCGAGGTCGGAGCGGGTGGCAGTGATGACAACCGGGAGCGAGGCAATGCGGAGCGCCTCGCGCTGGCCGCTACGCATCTTGCGCGGTGCCGCGGCGGCGAGCGCAGACTCGATTTGCGACTTGAAGCCCGGCAGTGCGTTGAACGACGAGGCCTTGGTGAGCGAGTACACGAGGACGTAGCCATGGGCCTCGGCGAGGAGGCGCGGAACAAGCGATGATGTCTCCATGGCCTCAGGATCGAGAATGTGAAACGCGTACTTGACTTGGAGTGACATGCCAGCGAGCGTGGTCGGTCGCGAGAACTCGACAGTCCGCACAAGGGTCGGCTCGCCCGGCGTCGACGGTGCAAGGAGCTCGTGGGTCGGCTTGCCGAGAGCAAATGAGGAGATGAGCGAGGATTTGCCGGAGCGACGAGCGCCGAGAACGACAATGTTGATCCGGTCCTGCTTGAGGACGCGGCCGCCTGGCGACGAGGTCGAGAGAAAGGCCGCATCCGACGAGGCGACGGCGGCGTGACCAAGAGCGCCGACGTCGGCGAGAACGACTCCATCACTAGCTTGTCTGGGCGGGTTTGCGAGGACGGGCGCGCGAGGACAACAACATCGTCAAAGATGAGCAGATAGCGGAGCTTGAGGTTGGCAGTCACGCCCGAGTGGTCCGAGTCCTTGACCTGGAGGTTCTGTAGACCCATGAGCAGCGAGCGAGAGTGCTGCGAGGCCGCGTCGGCAGACTCGGTAAAGGCGGCTTCGTCGCTCGGCAGCGCCGTCGACTGGACAGCCACAACCTGGTGGATGAGCGGCGGGTGGCGGGCGAGCGAGGTCGATCCCGAGGCGCCAATAGGGGTGACAGCCACGAGCGCTGAGCCGCGTAGGGTACGGGTGGTCGCCCGCGGCTCGATCGAGTTGTAGTTGATGATGAGTGAGGCGACGTTGCTCCGGTTGATGTTGACAATGGCAGCGACGAGCGGGGAGAACGGCGAAGCACGGAGGACGGGTGGCTCGCTGGTAACAGCGCTGGAAGCAGCCGAGGCCGCGGCCGCGCCAGACGGGCTCAGAGCAACGGGGCCTGACGAGCTCTCCTTACCGCTCCCGGAGCTCTTGGACGGCTTGGCCTGCTTGCCGCTCGTGCCCGAGGCGAGCGAGACCTTCATCTCGGCCTCGACACCGTGGGCCATGGCGGAGAGGGCGCCGAGCCAGCGGCCACGCTCGAGCGGGGACTCGGCAGCAAAGAGCCAGGTCCGCGACGGAGTGGCCAGAGCAAAGAGGTTGTCGCGCTTGGCACCAGCGGCGGTCGGGTGCTCGACGACGACGGTCGAGGTGTTGTTGACGATGATGTCGCCCTTCTTGGTCTTGCAAGACTCGTCGACATGGTACGACATCATCGGAGCCGAGAGCACAAAGTACCTGCGCTTCCACCGCTTGCCGTCCTTGTTCGACTTCCACAGCCAGCCCGAGAGGTAGATGGATGAGACCTGCCACTTGGCCATGAGCGGGTCAATCTCGGCACCGATGGGCGGGACTGTGAGATGGGCGATGCGGGCCCGAGCAAGGCCGGCGCCGTCGGGCGCATCAACCTCAGAAGCATGCCACTGCTGGACAAGGACGTCGCGCTCGACTGTCTTGAGCACGTTAGAGAGCCGCATGTGGGGCCGCGGCGCGAGCGACGGCTTGCGCGGCTTGTTTTCGGCGTCGGGCGTTCCAGGCGCCGGCTTGACGTACGGCGGTGGAAGCGCCGGGTAGACCAAGACACCATCGGCGTCGGTGGGCGGCGGCTGGGCATCGCCTGCGGGCGGAGGCGACGCCGGCGGCGGCGGCGGTGCACGAGCGGCTGGCCGCGGACGCGGAGCGGGGCGCGGGCGCGGTGCAGGCTTGGGCTTTGATGACGCACCACGAGCCGGGAGCTCCGGCCCGGAACTGGTAGTGTCGACCGTCGAAGACCGCGGCACCACGGCAGGCCGCGGTGACGGAGGAGCAGCACCTGCGGCGGTCGACGAGCGAGGAACTACCCGGGGACGGGCCGGAGGCACCGGCCGTGGCGACGAGGGACCCTCGCCCGGCACGTTCTTGGGCACTGGCGGAGGCGCACGGCGTGAGCTCATGCGGGGTGGTGAGAGGGGTTGAGCGTGGACGGGTTGGGAGGGGAGGGAGGAGGGGGGGAGGGGGGGGAGGGGGGGAGGGGAGGGGAGTCGGCTGCCGACCTCCAGCAAGAAAAGCGTCGCCGCTGGCAGTCCGCGTGATTATTCACGAGGGTTGGAGGTGGAACGAGCGCCGGGGCGGCGCCTTGGGGGGGGCGGGGGGGAGCAGACCTCGTGGTCTAGTCAGCAGACTAGCTCAGCTCTGAGCGTTATGACGACTCGGAGAGAGACGGCCGGAATCAACGGAAGCTGGGATAATGGTGGTGGTAGCGGCAGCTGCGTAGGAGGTGGGCAAGGGCGGGCTCAAATTTGATGTCAGACGCGCAGTGCAAGAGCATGAAACTGGTGCGGCTACTTTTTGAAGCGGGAGAACATGGAGGAGCGAGAAGCCGGCGGAGGGGCTTGGCCGCCGGCACCCTTGGCGTCGAGCTCTTCTGCGGCGCGCTTCTTGGCATCGAGGTAGGCCTTGACTCGGAGCATCTTGCGCGAGCGGATGTTGCCCTTCTTGCGGAGGAGCTTGCGATAAGACTTGTTCTTGCCGCGGGCCTTGTTACGCGGCTTCCACGTACCCTTGCCGTGGATGGACTCGTGCTTTTCGCGGAGGATGTCCATAGCATTGTTTTCGGCGTTGGCGTCGAGAGCGCCGATGACCGAGTTGTCGAGGGTGATCATGTCGGCCGGGATCTTGTCGAGCAGGCGCTTGACCTCGCCCTCCTGGCGCTGCTTGGTCGTCTCGTACGGGTTTGCCACGTACGAGTCAAAGTTGGGCTCGCCGGCGCCCGGCACAAGGAGCGACGTCACGCCCTTTGCCGAGCCGAGGCCAAGCACGTCTTCGTAGGGGACAAAGGCGAGGTCCGAGACAGCGGCGCCGCGGGTGCCGTAGGAGAGGTACGGCCGCTGGGCGCGGGTGCGGAGCGCGTCCTTCCACACATCGACGTGGGTGCCAAAGCCGATGGCAAGCATGCCACGCTGCGAGATGTCGATGGCCGACGCGGGGCGCTTGAGGGTGTACGGGGTGTGCAGCTCCTTGTACATGCGCATGTCCCACACGCGGACGGTGCGGTCCATGCCGGTGGTCGCCATCACGTTTCCGTCAGAGGAGAAGGCGATGCCGGTGACGGGCCCTGCATGGGTAACCATCTTGACAACAGGCAGGCCGGTGTTGGGCACCCAGTGTGAGACAATGCCCGCGGCGGTGCCGACAGCCATGACGGCGTTGTGCGGGTTGGCGGTGAGGGCGCGCGCAGCGCCGTTCTTCACGCGGTGGTTGGCAATGACCTCACCGGTGGAAATGTCGACGTAGCGGAGCCTTCCGGTCTCGCCAACAGAGGCAAGCAGGAAGTGGTAGGGGAGGAACTCGAGGTGGCGCGCGCCCGGGTGGTCGCGAAGGCAGTGGAGCTCGAGCCCGGTGTGGTCGTAGATGAAGAGGTTGGACTTTTGCGCCACGCCGAGGAACATGTGATTGTGCAGGATCTTGACATCGTAGATCGACTCCTCCACAAACATCTCAAAGAGGAGCGAGGCCCGCGACCAGTCCATGAGCGCCAGATGTCCGCGCCGCCCGCCGAGGAGCAGGTGCTTGCCGTTGCGCGAGTAGTCAATCGAGTACGAGCCGTACTCGAGGGCGAGGTCAAAGTGCTTGGCGGCCGACTGGAGGTCGACAGCGCCGGCAATGTCAGCCTGCTTGAACTTGTACGTCTTCTCCATGCCCTCGGCCTCGAGGTATCCCGACTCTTGGGTGTGGAGCAGGAGCTCGGCGGCGGCAGCGTCCTCGGCGGCCTTGCGACGGTTCTTCTCCCCGGTCCGCAGCTCCATACGCTGTTTCACGTCCTGCACGCTCTTGATCTCCTTTTTCGACGGCCGCAGCCCGCGCTCGTACTCGGCTACCTTGTCGTCAAACTGGCGCCGCATGGCTCGCAGCTCGTTGCGCGTCGGCTTGAGCGGGCCGACCTTCTCACGCGAGCGAGCCTTTTTTCCCCCGTTCTTCCCGCGGCGTGCTGTCGATGCAAATGCAGGCGCGGCCTCCTTCTCGTCATCGTCCGAAGCCACAACCCAGCCGCCCGCCCCGAGCCGCCCGCCCGCCCCCTGCCGCCGCTCTGTCGGCGAGCCATCCTGGCCATCATCCTGCCCGCCGAGCAGCCTGTGCCGCTTGGAGGGGCGTGACGACGTGTCCTCCACAGCCTTGTGGCTCGCCGTGTCCTCTGTGCTCCGACTTGCCTTGCGCTTGCGCCGGGCCATGTGGAGGGCGTGTGGAGTGGGTGAGGTGTGGAGAAAGGGAATGGGGTGAGGGGGGCGACTGCCCGTGGCGGTGGATGCTCTCGGCCGCGAGATCGATCACAACTTGATCACGATCAACCTGCAGCGGCGAGGGAAAGGGGGGTGGCAGGGGGGATTGATAAAGGAGGGAGAGGAGGAGGAGGGGGGGGGGGAGAGAGAGGAAGAGAGAAAGAGGATGTGAGCGAAGGGGAGGGGGGGGGGGGGGGCGGGGGTACGATGCTACAGGATCCGCATGTTGGGCGAGGCAGATCGGCTGACGAAGACGACGGTCGGCGGTGATGAGCCACGTCGTCCACGACGGCTTTCTCGGTGAGCGCCGCTGGCGGCAGGCACGGCACCACTGCTACCGATTGTCTCCCAGCACTGCTCTATACACAGCGCATACTTGAAACCAGCAACCACAGACAGCATGGGCAAGGGCGCGGGCAAGACTCATGCGACAGAAGGAGGCAGCAGTGACGGGGTGGAGAACAAGACAGCGTTTGCGTACGAGTTTGGCGGGCCGGCTGGGACGGCGGTGCTGATGATGGTCCTCCCAATGGTGGTATACTTTCTGTACCTGGCTTGCGGGCCGTACGGAGTGGCGACGGTCTCGCTGGCGGCGCCGTTTGTGCATCTGCCGCCGGCGCTGCTCGACGGGTCCGCGCTTCACGATCCAGCGCAGCCGTGGTTCACCCTCGAGGCGCTGGCGGTGGTGGTCGGCTGGCTTCTGCTGCAGGCTCTCTTCTACGCTGTCCTGCCTGGGCCGATGGCGGAAGGTGTCGAGCTTGATCCGCAAACGCCCGGCGCCCGGCGGCTGCGGTACCCGATGAACGGGTTGGCGGCGTTCTTTGTGAGCGTCCTCGGCGCGGTCCTCGGCCACGCACTCGGCGTCATCGACCTCAGCTACTGCTACCATGAGTTCCTGCCGCTGGCGACAGGCGCCATCATCGTCTCGGTTGCACTCTCAGTCTACCTCTACCTCTCGTCGCTAGTGGTGGTGCCGGCGTCGACGCCCGCCAACGCGCCCGAGCGCGCGCTGCTCGCGGCTGGCGGCGACTCGGGCTCGCCGGTCTACGACGCCTTTATGGGCCGCGAGCTCAACCCGCGGATTGCGCTCCCGGGCGGCTTTTCGTTTGACCTCAAGGTCTTTTGCGAGCTCCGGCCGGGCCTCATCGGCTGGATTCTCCTTGACCTCGGATGCGCGGCGGAGCAGTACGCGAGCCACGGCTCGATCACCAACTCGATGATGCTGGTCCTCGCATTCCAGACGTACTACGTCTTTGACTCGTTCTACAACGAGCCGGCCATTCTTACAACCATGGACGTGACGACCGATGGCTTCGGCTTTATGCTCGCCTTTGGCGACCTGGCCTGGGTCCCGTTCACCTACTCGCTCCAGGCACGGTACCTCGTTCTCAACCCGCTCGAGCTATCGACGCTCACTGTTCTGGCCATCATTGCCACCAAGCTCATCGGCCTTTACATCTTCCGCGGTGCCAACTCGCAGAAGAACGCCTTCCGCTCGGGCTCAACCGACCCCTCAATCCTCGCGCTCGAGTACATCACAACCGAACGCGGCTCGCGGCTCATCACCTCGGGCTGGTGGGGAGTGGCGCGCCATGTCAACTACCTCGGCGACTGGATCATGGCCTGGGCTTGGTGCCTGCCCACACTCTTCCACACCCCGATCACCTACTACTACGTCATTTACTTTGGCATCCTGCTTGTCCATCGCGACCTCCGCGACGACCACAAGTGCGCCACAAAGTACGGCAAGGACTGGAAGCGGTACTGCTCCATCGTCCGCTGGCGGATCCTCCCGGGCATCTACTAAAAGGTAAAGTTGGATTGGCTTCATGCCGCGATGCGCAACTCACTCGCCCACAGGCATCAGAGCCGGATCGGCGACGACGCGTGGGGTGAGAACAATGGTTCGTCTCACCTTGGCCATGTACCTCACCGGGGCCTCGCTGTCGTACGGCACATCCACCGGCTCGCCGTCGTCATTCAGTGTATCGACGCCTTCCCGCGGCGGAGTGTACAGCAGCGTATCGCCCAACTCATCCTCAACCCGTCCCACATACTCTCGATCGGGCAGGTCTGCAATCCGCACCACAGGTTGGCCCGTCTCCACGCCCTCGATGACATAGTCGGGGTGCTTCTCGAGGTCGAGCCCATCGGTGAAGGCCAGCACGATGACCACCTCGGGCTCGGCGGCTAGAGGTGGCTCCAGATCCATGGCCACCGGCTCTACTCCCATCATAGTCATAGTAGGGGGGAACGAGCCAAGTGTAGCCGCCGTGGTTGTACGTCGCTCCCAGCCCGGGCCCTAGCCGCGGCCTGCGCCGCTGGCGAGCCGCGCCCACCGCCGCACCACAGCGGGACTACCACTCCCGCTACAGCTACCGCTACCACCTCTCTCGCCTCGCCACACGGGTACTGCTTCCCAAGTATGGTGCTCGGGTGCAAGTTCCTCCCGGTGCGCCGGAGAATCACCTGAGCAATCCCGAGGTGTGGCTCCAGGTAGTGGCGTCGGTGCTGACCAACGCGGCGGGTCTCCCGATGGTGGTCTACCTCATTGTGCGGGCACAGTCGGCATGGGCGTGGATTCTGGTGTGGACAGCGATCACGTCGGGTCTGTACCACTGCGCCGACACTGTCCAGGCCGTGCTCTTTGGCCTCTCACCCGGCCAGTGGCATCGCCTCGACAACGTCTTTGCCATCTCGGCCTTCCAAGTCCTCTTCACCCTCCTGCTCTTCCCGCGGCGGATGCGCGTGGCGAGGCGTGACGCCTGGACCTGGGGCCTGTTCTGCTGGACGCTGGTGTGCCAGGAGGCCGGCCCGTGGGACATCACCTTTACCATTCTCCCGCTCGCCACCCATCTCATCGCTGCCCTTGTCGTTTGCTTTGTCCTCACGCCGGCGGCGGCGCGGCCACAGTTCCACCCGCCGACGCTCCGGCTTGGCATAGCGCTTGTCCTCATTGCGTTTTTCTTCTTCTCGCGCGGGCTCGACGAGGACAACGACTGGATTCGGCTCAACCATGGGCTCTGGCACGTCTTTATCTCGCTCGCGTTCTACACGCTTGTCCTCTCGCGGGTCGACGCGCCGCTGCCGGCGGCAACGACGCTGGTGTGAGGGCGAGGGAGCCCCGGGCGCGTTTAGGCGTTCGGGAAGTGGTTGAGCTGCCAGAGCGGGACGCGGCCAGAAGCCGTGCCGACGGCCATGTATGCGCCGTGCGGCGAGAAGGCGAGGGCGTGCGGCGTGCCGAGGCGGCGCGCCTGCTGGGCCGGAAAGTTGGAGAAGACCGAGAGCGAGGGGACGTGGAGAAGGCGGAGGGCTGCCTTCTTCTTGGCCGAGGCCATGGCCAGAATTTGCGACGACGGGTGAAACTTGACCGAGTCGATGTGGGTCGTGAGGTTGTAGATGGACTTGAGCGGCGTCGGGCGCGAGGTGGCGAGCAGCTCGTTGTTGAGCTCGTACATGTTGACGACGCCCGAGTCGGAGCCGAGCGCAAGCAGCGAGCCCGAGGCCGAGATGTCCATGGAGAGGTTGTTGTACGAGCCCATGTCGGTGAACGAGTGCTCGACGCGCCGCTCGCCAACAGACCAAATGAAGACCTTGCTCGACGCTCCGGCGGTGAGGAGGCGAGTCGAGTCGGGAGTAAACGCCGCGCACTTGACGTGGCCGTTCATCTTGAGCGAGCCGATCCACTGGTGGGTGGTGGCCGAGACAAGCAGCACATTGCCGCCCTTGCCCAGAAAGGCGAGTGTCTTGCCGTCGGGCGAGACGACGCACGACTCGAGCGAGCGCTCGCGGCGGTCGAGCACGCCGCGGGTCTGGGTCGCCTCGCCGGTCTCGACGTCATAAACGTAGAAGAACTTGCGCCGGCCCGAGAGAACGACCGACGCTCCGTCACCAACAAACGAGGCCGAGCGGATCGGCAGGTCGGCCACGTGGACCGAGTGGATGAGCGAGTTGACCCGTCCGTCGACCTGGAACAACCGCAGTGTCTTGTCCAGGCCGGCGGTGAGCGCCACATGGCCTGACGGATGGAACTCGAGGCACCTGGCCACGGCGTCCGACGGAGCCTGCTTGTTGAGGTCGGTCTTTTGGGAGACCGAGATGAGCCCAGATGGGAGCTTGGTCTGCGCCCCGTTGCCAGCCAGGATCCGGCCCGAAGCCTTGAGCACCGCCGCCGACGACGAAGCAACGAGTGCGTCCAGCGAGCCCTTGGCCGGGCCGGTCTCGCCCGCAGCCTCCTCCGGCAGCCGCGCCCACTTGGGCACGTACCCAGAAGCGCCGCTCAGCGCGCTCGAGTGGACCTCGGTCCCGCGCGCAGACGTCGCTTGCCGCGCGTTGATGGCCAGCGTTTCAGCGTACCGCTCCCGCAGCCGCCGCGTGTACTCGACGCCGGACACCACGGTCTCGTCCTCGTCGACCCGCAGCTTCCGGAGCCGCGAGACGCCCGAGAGGTCGACGCTCACACGCGCGTCGTCCGGGTCGTGCCACGCCGGCTTGCGCCGCTTGCGTGGACGGTCCTCGTCGCCCACAACAGAAGAGGACGACGACGACGACGACGACGACGATGATGAGGACGACGCTCCGTCGTCGTCCGACTCGGCGCACGAGTCCTCGTCCGACTCGGCATCCGACGACGACGCCACAGCAGCGGAGCCCGTCAGGAGGCCGCCGAGCGCCACGGCGCGCTTGGCCGCCTCAGCTGCCGCAGACACGGTCGGTGCGCCAAAGAGGAACGTCTCTAGCGCAGCGTCCGAGTCCGAGTTGTTGCCATCGCCGCCCGCCACGGCGGCCGGGTCGCCCGCTGGCGCCACAACCTCTGACGGCTGGACCTCATCCTCGGGATTAACATCGAGCATAAAGTCATCGTCGCTGGGAAGCTCTGTAAACTGTGCAGCCGCTGCAGCAGCGGTGGCGGCGGCAGCAGCAGCAGCGCCCGCCCCAGAGACGTCTGACGAGTCGGAGCTGTCCGACTCGCTCTCCGACCCGCTCTCCGAAGCATTCAGCGCCGCCAACAGCTGCTGGACTCTATGCTTGTTGGAGCTCTCCACGTCGGAGCCCGAAGCCGAGCCAGAGACAGCAGGCGAGGCCGGAGCCGGGCTGGCAGCCGAGACGACAGCCGAGCCGGCCTCCCCGGAGTTGCCAGCCCAGCTCGCATCCTCCGAGCCATCATCAGCCGGCGGCGGCGAGGGCGACGGGGAGGGCGGCGGGGCGGGCTTGCGCTTGCCGCGCGAGCGAGTGCGGCGCGGTGAAGGGTCCGCAGGAGCGGCGGTAGCGCGCGCCTTGGCGGTAGTCCTCTTGCGCTTCGGCATGGGGGCGAGGAGTGGACGTAGCCATCCGCCCTCGGGTCTCGACTCCCCGCCTGGCTAGATGGATGGCTCCCGACTCGGTCCCGCGAATCACTCAATTCGGCCAGTCGGCGGGCGGCCCTTGGCGGATGGCTGCCCATGGAGGAGGCAAGGTGCAGGCGGAAGAGGCCGGCGGACACTTCTCGACTGGCTCGCTGAGAGCGTCGAATCGAGCTTTGTCTACCTTCTCGCTACCTTGTGCACTATGGCTGCTGGGCATGTGGGCGAGGCGGCGGTGGCGCTAGACATGCTGCGGCTGAGGCTCATTCCGCGCGAGGCGGTGGTAGGCAAGGAGCTGCTGGCCGCAGTGGTGGCGGCCATGGCGCGTGGGCAGTATCTGTGGCATGTGGGCCCACCGACGGTGCGGGCGCGGAGCGACGGCTCGGTTGAGGCGCTGCTGTTCTTTGGCGACTCGGTGGCTGATGAATGGGTGGCGGTGGGCAAGGCCCACGAGGCCGCGGCTGCAGTCCCCGGCACGCTGGTGGTTGCCGAGGACTCGGACGGCCTGATCTACCTCATCGAGGCCGCACTGCACTTGCCCGATGGTCTTGATCCGGATACTGCAGCACATCGGGTGTTCTGGGCCGACGGTGAACTGCGGATCTTGCCGCTGGCGCCGGTCTCGCCGGCTCAAATCGGGCTCGTCCCGGTCGGCGCGCCGACAAGCGAGGACGAGGGCGCGTCTCGGATGCACGCACTGCTGGCGGCTGCAAATCTTGAGCCCGTCACGAGAGCGCCTCGAGCTGCCACCGCCGCTCTGCATGCGCGGATTGCCAAGGCCGAGCGCGAGGCTCAGAGCGCTGAATTCGAGGTCTGTGTCAACGCGCAGGTCGCGCTGCCGGCAGCGGTGGCACTCGCGGCGGCGCGCCAGCAGGGCGCAGACGTCAACCAGCTTGCCCAAGCTGCCCTTCTGGCGGCGTCACTTGTCTCGCCACCGGCAAGTAGTGCTACCGTTCCGAGCAAGACGCCGAAATGGCCGGCGGCGCTGGCGCAGGCGATTGACGACGCAGAGTCGCAGGTCTGGCTCTCGCTCCGCGTCTCCAAGCTCAACTATGCGAGTCTGGCCTCGCATGCAACTGACGACGGACGACCGCGTGATGTTGCCGGTGTCGCCGACGTCCTCGGACCTGCGCTCAGCTCTGGATTGGCAACTGTGCTTCACGAGTACGGCGTGGAAGAAGCGAGTGAGGCAGTAGCCGACTCTCCGCGATGGCGCTCGTTTCTCACCATCCTCACTCGTTCGGGCTACTTTACCGATCCAAACAGTGGTGCGCCGTGGATACAGGGCAGTGAGGGCTGGAGGTCGCAGATGGCTGCGGCCAAAGCTGCATTTGAAGTCGCGCCTCAAGCTGGCGGTCCGGGTACAGACCGCCCGTGTGCGCTACAGTGGGTCCGCGCCCGGCTCACCGAGTCAGCTCGTTTGATCTCGGCAAGCGTCGCAAGCCTGGTGGACGACGGAGCCGTCGGTGAGCTCGTTGCTCAGCTGAAAGCTGTGGACCTTGCATCCCTGCCGTCGCCCTCGTCGGACAGCTGGCTCTATCTGGAGCCACCGGAGCTTGAAAGGTATCTGGCAGGCGAGCTGAAAGCATACGCAGCGTTTGACGCTGCGCAAGGTGAGGGCGGCAGCGAGCCGCTCGGCGATGAAAACGAGATGGCAAATGAGAGCCTCGCGGACGAAATGGCGACGCGTGTCCGCGCGTTTGTGGAGAGCTCGGGCGGGCCCGACGGTGCGGAAGCCGACGCTGGGCGGCACTCGCTGGCCGATATCGAAGCTGAACCTCGTGTTGAAGTCGACGCTGTCGCGCTCCGAACAGCGCTCCGCGACGCGCTCTCGATGGAGAGCGGGCGCGACGACGCCGCCGTGGCCGCGTCGATGGAGGCAATGGATGCCGAGCTCGCAGGCGAGGACGAGCTTGGGCGGGGCGAGGTCCACGGTGTGCTCGGAGCGGTAGGCGACGGAGCTGGCGGAGTGGCGCAGGTAGCGGCGTTGCTTGAGTCGTACGGCGAGGCAATGGCGACAACGGGCGGGTCCGGGCCTGCAGGCTCGCTCCTCCGCGCGCTGGGCCTTGAGCGCGTCCTAGACGCCGGCTCATAATGTGAAAGGAAAGCGCGCTTGCAGTTTATTTCTTTAGCACGTAGTGAGAGGCATCAAGCGCTTGCAGGCGTGCGAGCAGGTTGGCGGCATCGGGCCGCTCAGCCGGGTCCTCGGCCCAGCACTCTTCCACCAAGCGGGCGAGTGCGGGTGGAAGCGACAAAGTGTCCGGAAAGACGCTGTTGAGGATGCGATGTGCAACCTCTAGGGCGTTGCTGCCGGTAAACGCCGGCGACCGCGAGGAGAGTTCGTAGATGAGGGTCCCAAACACAAAGATGTCTGAGGAGAGCGACTCGTCGTTGCCACGGAGCGCCTGCGGCGAGGTGTAGGCAACGGTGGGAACAACAGTCATCGTGCCAAGGTTGGCCTTGATGCCGGAGAGGCCAAAGTCGGTGAGGTCTGCCTCCAAAACGGAACCGTCGGTGTTGAGCAAGAGCAGGATGTTGGCCGGCTTGAGCGAGCCGTGAGCCATGCCGACGTCGGTGTGCAGCCTGTAGAGCGACAACGCGGTCGAGATGAGAATAGTGCGGACGTTGTAGGCGTTGAGTGGAACGCGGAGGTTGCCGATGGAAGCAACAGGTGTGGAGGCCGAGGACTTGGACTTGGTTGCGGCGCCGTCGAGGAGCGTATTGAGGCCTCCGGCCGAGTAGTGTGGAAAGACGAGACCGATGTAAGGCTCAAAGACCGAGACAGCGATGGGAGCAACGAGGCCAGGGCGGGCGCCGCGGGAAGCACGCCCAGCAAGGGCGACCAGATTGATGAGCTCTGGCATTTTGAACGACTGGCGGAGCATGATCTTGACGATGACAGGCCGGCCTTTCCAGTCGGATTCGTAGATCTTGGCGTACGAGCCGGTGTACGTTCTTGTGGCACCCGAAACGATGGCATGGACGGTGCTGGCGGGCATCATCCACGACTTTGGGTCGATGGCAAGACGCGGCCGGATGGGCGACGGCACCTCATTGGACAGCTCCGAGATGAAAGGGGTGGAGAGCGATGGGGATGGCAGCTCGCATTGCCGGACTGGCGGGGCCGCGATTGTGCCGGTCGACAAGGCAAACGATTTCTTGACGAAACCAGGAGACGGCGAGCTCTCGCCGGCATCCGAGATTGCAGGGAGTGAGCCCTCCTTGTACGACGACGCCAAAACCACCGAGGTATGAGCAGTTGCGGCGACAATGTTCGATGAGATGTCCTCCGAGCCGACTGCCGAATCCAGCGGGACTAGACCCGGTATGGTGTCGTCGGAGGTGACGAGGCAGTAGGAGGCAGCGGCGGGAGAGGCGAGATGCGGCGGCTTTGGCCACGCAATGACAGGCGAGACGGCGACGTCATCCGGCAGGTTAAGCTGAGAGACCAGATCGGTGGTGACAGCAACACCGCGGCGGACAGGCAGGACTCCGGTGGCGGTGGGCGGCGTTTTCGTGTCGGCGATGGCTGCCGAGGCCAGGTTCGGCGCGAGCGATGAGAGCGAAAAGGCGGCAGACGAGCCAAAGAGATGTAGCCAGAGGCGGGTGACAAGTGCGACAACGGGGCCCTCGAGACGGTTCGTGCCTGCGTCGTCCGTCGTCGATGTGATGGTCTCGCTGGCGACGACCATGCCAAGCGAGGCAACAGACTTTTCAGCAAAGGCATCGAGATGCGAGAGAACGGTGGCGAGCTGCGATGGTGTGTGTGCCGAGAACGAGACCGAGGTCAAGCTGCGGGCAATAATGGCGCAGCCTGCGCCCGAGGTGATGCGATCAAAGGAAGAGTGAAAGGTGATGAGCTCGGCGCACAGGTCCATAGGGTCGATGAGGAAGCGAGCCTCGTGGTCGAGAAGGGCGGCATGGGCAAGGATGATGCGGCCCGAGGGCTTTGCGGCGGTGGTGGGGTAGATGACCGCCGAAGAGTCATAGAGGGTGCTGAGCTCGGCGATGAGGTTGTCGAGGGTGGTGCGGGACTCGGGTTCCCCCACAAAGAGACCGGTGATAATGCCGACAAGGGGCTGCAGGTTGGGCGGGACTGCAGTGAGCGGGAGACGACGGCCTTCGACAACCTCAAGGGCGACGGCGAGAGGATTCTCGCCTGCGTAAGGGTGATCGCGCGAGGCGAGCTCCCAGAGAGTGACGCCAAAGGCAAAGGCATCTGCAGCAGTCGAGAGGCCAGCAGCCCCATAGACAAGGACCTCGGGAGCAGCCCAGAAAAGGGTGCCAACGTTTGCGACGGCACCGGGGGCGCTCTTGCTGCCATTGGCGCCGGTGCCAGACTTTGACCGGAGCGAGCCGAGCGAGATGGCGTGCATGGAGGAAGTTCTGGTGGTGCTCGCAGTCGCCGATGGGCCGACGCGGGCAGTGGCGCGGCTCCGCCTGCGACTCTGCTTGCCCTTTTTGGACGATGACGGCCCGGAGACAGCGTGTAGACCGGTGTCGCCCTTGACCGAGGCCATGCCAAAGTCGCAGATCTTGGGCATCCAGTTGGAGTCAAAGAGAACGTTGAGCGACTTAAAATCGCCGTGAACAACATCCGAGTGGGCGAGAAACTGAAGGCCTTGGGCCATCTGGTGTGCCCACTTGAAGACGATCGACGAGTCTAGAAAGATGTTCGGGGCATGAAGAACGTCGTAGAGCGAGCCACGCGGCATAAACTCGGTGACAATGGCGGGCGGCTCGAGGGTGACACCCATAAAGATGACAATGTTGGGGTGTCGGAGGCGAAGCAGCATGCTGGCCTCGTCGACAAACTCGCGAAGCTGGGCTGGTTTGAGCGTCTTGGCGTGCATCTGCTTGACGGCGACCGGGGTGGAGCGCCAGACGCCCGCAAAGACGACACCGTACGAGCCGTGGCCGACCTTGCGGCCGACGGAGAGCGCGTCCGGCTCGATGACCAGCGACGAGTCCGAGGTGAGCTTGTAGGTCACTGCCTTGCGGCGATAGAAGATGACGCCGATGACGGTGAGGCAGCAGCCGAGGGCGACGAGGAGGACAGGAAGAAGGATGACGATGCGGGTGTCTGAGGTACACCGCTCGCCTCGGAACCAGACGTTGCATGAGCAGGCACCCGAGAGCGCGTCGCAGGCGCCGTTGCCGGAACACCCGTGTGCATTGCAGCCGACCTGAAAGTAAGAGAGCGAGACAACGGCGCGTGAGTACGACGCGATGGGAGACTGGCCTTCAACCGAGACAGAAAGGCGGAGATCGGTAGAGGTGCCGGGCGGGACCGAGCACTCGATGGCTTCCGTCGGCTTTGCCTCGAGCGGATGGGTGATGTCCGTGCAGACTTCCGAGCCGATCATGACCGAAACATTGGCACCCGGATAGCCCAGATCGGTTCCGTAGAGAGTGATGCGATCGCCGCCAGAGCGAGCGCAGTTTGTGAGGACGAGTGCGCCCGAGTCGGAAGCACCGGAGCCGCAGCCGGTGACGGCGGTGACGACGGGCGGGGCAAAAGAAATGGGCAGCGAGGCCCGCTTGTCGTTGACAACCACCGAGAGGAGACGATTGGTGCCCGCTAGACGCGGAAGTTCAACGAGAAGAACGTGGGTGCCATCGGGATGGATGGCGTCTGCATTGCAGCCCGAGTTGGGTGCAAAGGAGACGATCGAGGCGGGTACACCATCAATGTCGACGGCGACCATGCCAAGACCACAGAAGTTGGTACCGACGATCTGGAGGAGCGTGCCCGAGGTGCCCGACGACGGGCAGGCCATGCGCGACGAATTGGTGGCGAGATCTACAACCGTGGGACAGCCACGGAGGTTGACCAGGCGGGGGCCGGCAAAGTCGGTGGTGACACGGATCCAATCCACGGCCGTGTCGCGCTCGCGGTACTGGAGGGTGACATTGAGTGCCCCGGCCGGGGCGATGAGGCACTCAGTCGGGATGGTGGCCTCGATCCAGTCTTCCGCGTCGTCAAGGTGCCACTCGGTGTGCGGCACAAGCGGCGCTCCCGGCGCTTCCGGCGATGCAACCGTGAGAAAGAACGAGTTGGCTGAAGATCTCGGGACGAGGACTCGGCTCACCACCTTGATGACCGCCGGCTCGACAAGGGTAAAGGCAGCCGAGACAAAGCCGTTGGAGACAACGTGGTCGTTGTTCCCGGGCGGCTCGTAGCCGCTGATCCTGCAGACATAAGTGCCGTTCACGTCGACGGGCTGATAGTTGTTGTTGGTCTTGACAGCGGTATACAGGCCGCCGGACGGCAGACCAACGCCAGGGAGGGGTGAGCCCGCGTAGGCTGTCATGGGAAACTCGAGGGCACCATCCTCGGCCTCGATGGTGATGACTGTAGGCGCGGTATGGGCGTTGAGTCAGCGGAACACACGTTTGGAGGGGGGGGGGGGAGGGGGGGGAGGGACAGGGATGAATAGTGAATAGAAGGGGAGGGGAGTGAGAGAGCATACCTTGGTGGGTGATGGCAGACACGGTGACTACTAGGAGGAGCGCAAAGGCGGCGGTAGTTAGGGGATGCATGAGACTGGAGTGAGGTTGGGGGCGGGAGGGAGAGAAAGGGGGGGGAAGAATCGGGGGCGTGGAGTTTATGGCGTGCGTTTGTAAGCGTTGCCAATTACGGAAGGAGTGCAAGTCTCGCCTAGTGGAGACTCGACAGGTTGGGCCAAGTTGTAGTTGTGTTGACGCGGACGAGGACATAGGACCAGACTCGACTGCAAACTGCTGGCAGCGAAAGGTGAGACTGGGGATGGCGGCAGGTCATATGGAAGGAGTGGAGCACGGCGCAGAGGTGGAAGCGGGGCTCTCTGGGCTGCCGAGCCTCGCTAGCGGTGTAGGGAGCAAGGTGAGGGTGAGCATGGTGACGGCCAACGTGGACACACTGTTTGCAGCGCCGCCGGACGAGGATCCGATGGAGACGTGGGCAAACGGGGTGCTTGGCCTGGTTCCACCGCGAAGCAGCGAGGATAGCGGCGACGGGCTGCGGCAGTGGAGCGTGGTGCATCTGCAGGAGCTCGCGCCCAAGCGGTCGATGATGTCGTTGCGAATGATTGCGCGTGCGCTGGCTGTGGCAGCGCGTGCGCGCGGGCTTGTCCCATCGGCGCTCTTCTACGACGATGGGCGGGGAGGAAGCAGCGTGCCGTCGGGGCTGGGCGTGATGGTGGCAGCGTCGCCAGAGCTCGTAGAGGTGGCACGGGTCCGTGACGGCGGCAGATGGCGGGCGTTTGACGGCGCGGCGTGGTGGCCGGCCGATTGGGCGGTGACACCGTTTGGCGACGGGCTCGGATGGCTGCACGCGCGATGCTTGGGCGCGGAGGAGCGTCGCAAGGGTTATGCACTGCTTGCGGTGAGCATCGGGCGTGGCTCCCGTTCGTAACGGTCAACGTTCACCTCCCGCACGATGCCGACAACCGGGTGGCCCTGCTCGGCGAGGCGCCGTCGCCGTATGCCGAGGTGCGGCGGGCGGCGATGGAGGACATGCTCGCGATGGTGAGCGAGACGGTGGGCAGCTGCGCTGATCCGCTTGTTTTGGTTGCCGGCGACACCAATGTGCGGCTTGATGGGCGGGCGGCGCTCGAGTGGGCGCTCGGCAGCGAGGGCGACGTGGAGGCCAAGGCGGTCTCGCTCCCAGCCGAGGGCCTGGCCAAGTTTGCCGACAGTGCGAGTGCATGCGAGGTGCTGGCGCAGTACGAGTCAGAGATTACGACAAGCAGACTTCGGGATGTGGCGCCTGTCCAGTTTCCGGCAACGTACCGGCTGGTGCCGCGGGCTGGTGGCTCGCTGGCGAGCATGATTGGAGAGAAGAAGGAGCGGACGTTTTCGCGCAAGCGGCTGCCCGCGTGGCCCGACCGAGTGCTGTACGCGGCGAGCTGGCGGACGCTAGTGGCAGACAGCTACGAGTCTGTCGATCTCGGATGCGATCACGCAGCCGTAGGTGCGTCTGGGACTGTGCGATCGGGCAAGGCAGCGGGCACTGCAGAGCTGGACGATGTTGTGCTGACCACGATTGTGCCTGGGAGCAAACTGTATCCCGGCGAGGAGCACTTGCGATTCAAGGTCCTCCTCGAACCTGTGGGCATCGCCTCATGGTCGCAGTTTGACGACGAGTCGGTGCACATCGTGGCGTTGAGGGAGGTGAGCGCAGCGGACGACGTGGCGGAGAGCGATGCCACTATTGGGAGGGTGGTGCTGTCGGAGGAGCGGGTAGCCCACGTCCTCGGTGTGGTCATGTACCATGTGGGCGAGCAGCGGTTGATGCAGATGTGTGTGGCGAGCTCGCTGCAGCGGAAAGGGCTCGGCCGCGAGCTCGTGTCCGCGCTGGAGGCGTATCTCACGCACTACGCTGGGCGCGGGACGTACATCACCTTGCATGCGCGGCAGGTGGCGGCAGGCTTTTATGAGAAGCTCGGCTACAGTGTTCACGGCGAGCCGTTTGAGGAGGTCGGCGTCCCGCACTTTCACATGCACAAGACGCTCTGAGCAGGAGATGAGCTAGAAGACAGCCTCGGGGTCTTCTTCATCGTCGACAATAAAGTTGTTGTCATCCTCGTTGGGCTCAAAGTGGTCACGGGCGGCGCCTGAGGCGGGTGTGTCCTCGGCCGGGCGAGTGTCTGTGATCTTGATGGCGTACATACCCGGCTTGCGCTCGCCTGAGGGAGAGCGGGGGTGACTGGGGATGAGTGGGGAGGTAGGAGGAAAGGAGGGGGAGAGGGAGGTGGGATTGTCTCACGTACCGAGGCGCTGGTAGCGCGAGACCCATGACTTTGAGGTGTCGTTGTCCATGACGGCAATGAGGCCCGAGAAGGAGGTGGTGGTGAGATAGGCGATGGCCTCGCCGACCTCCTCGCCGCAGTTCTCGCATCCGGTGTTCTCAAACTGGCCACGGTTCTTGACCAGGAGGCACGAGCGGCATGCGCGGAGCTCCTTGAGGCCCCTGGGGAGCATCTTTGTGTTGACGGTGACCGACATGTGGAAGAGGGAGGGGGGGGGGGGGTGGAGGGGGTGGAGTGATGGGGAGTGGCTGGTGGCAGGCGGAAAGGGGGGGAAGGGGGGAGACAGCCTCAGTTCAAGGTGGCGGGGCCAGGGCTCGGACACACTGCTCTGTGGAACATACCAATGTACACCGGAGCTTGGATTGCGGCGGTGGCGCTTGTGGTGGCGGTGTTTGGTGCGGGCTGCTGCGAGGGCAAGCTGCACGAGGTGAATGGCGAGCTGTACGCCCCGACGCCGCAGGGTTACATGCTGGCGCGATGCATTCGAGAGGTGGCGTCCGGGACGCATGTGACCGAGGACGGGCGCGGGCGGATGGTGCTGACGGCCAAGGATGGAAGCGTCGAGGTTATGGAGTGCAACACTGACGGCGGGCGCATTCCGATGTTGCTGTCCAAGTCGCAGATGGCGGCGGCGCGCGCGGGCAACAAGCGCGACTCGGACGGTTTCGGCGGCTACGACGGGTGGCAGGCGTTCACTTCTTACGAGTACGAGGCCGGCCTTGATGTGTTTGTCGGCGATATCTCGACGCCGAACGGCAAGCCGAAGCGCGAGCCCGAGGTGCTGTTCATTTTTACGGGCCTGCAGAATGTGAACTGGAGTAAGTCAGCGGCGATCGGGGGGCTAGGGTGGGAGGCGCGAGGGTGAGGCGGGGGATGGTGACTCACGACGGAAAGGGGTGATGGGCTGGCAGTTCCCAAGGTTGATCCGGAGCCGCGGGTGTTTGACATCATCCAGCCTGTGCTGCAGTACCCGGCGACGGCGGTGCTTGGCGGATCGGACGACGATCCTGTGGAGTTTGGGTCGTCGTGGGGCGTGCGGTCGTGGTATGTGACGATCCACTCGGGAGCGGTGTACTCCAAGGTTGCACTGCTCGACGAGGGAGATGTGGTGTTTGGCAACATGACGCGGACTGGAAGTGAGGCGTTCTACGTCGGCTCGACAAACAAGGCCAACGGCGAGACTGTGGCCATCACGGTGAGCCATCCCCGGCTCGCAACGCAGCCGTGGGCGTACAACACACTCGAGACGTATGGCGCGCCGTCGTGCGAGTACCTGCCCGACGCGCCCTCTCTCTTCACCAACCTGGTCCTGGCCAAGGGTTCGACCAAGGTGACGGCTTCGTGGGCGAACCACGTCTCGCCGTCGCAGACTTGCGCCGGCAGCAAGTGCGTGATCGTTGACCCGGCGACGGTCACCATCGACATGGGCCAGTAAGTTGGCCCTGAGATGAGAGTTAAAGCTTTCTGATTTTGAACAGCCACGTTGCGCCGCTGTGGTGCCGGTGTGGGTGTGGCGGGGCGGCAGACCCGACTCGAGTTCTTAGCTCGTGTCAGGCATGGCTGTGGTCGACGATGGGCTCATCCACGAATGGGCGGCGGAGAGCGCGGCGGCGGAAGCGAGAGAGTCTGGCGTGGGGGTGGTTGTCGAGTCTTCGACCGTGTCTAAGGTCACCGTGTTTAGCGACCATGCCGAGGTGGTGCGGTCGGTGCGGGCAAGTGTTCCGTCAGGTATGTTGTCGGGCGGGCGCAGGTGCAAGGAAGAGAGGAGCGTAGGGAAGGGCAGCAGCTCACATGTGCTCGGTGCGGGTGTGCAGAAGGACGGCATGTCGTGGTCGTCAATGGATTGCCGGCCAAGTTGGACCCGAACTCGGTCCGCGCGGCGGTGCATGGCGGGGCGCGTGTCCGTGGCGTCAAGGTGACGACGTCGATGAATGACATCGCAACAAGCGGTGCGGCGGCGGGCGGCGGCTCGAGCGAGGATCGCTACGCCGCCAAGGCTCGGTGCGAGGTGAAGCGGCGGATGCTCGCTGCTTTTGCGCAGAGTATGGCCAGGCCGGACAGCACGAGTGGGCGTGTGCGGTCACCGGAAGAGATGGTGGCGTTCCTCGGTTGGCAGAAGACCGAGCTTGCGCGGCTGGAGACCAGCGAGGCAGGTAGAGATGGAGGTTTGACGTGCAAAAACAGCAGCCAGGCTAGTACGGCGGTGGCAGTTGACATTGACGCGCCGGTAGGAGGCTCGCTGGTCCTTGCGATCGCTTACGTGGTGGTCGGTTGCGCCGGGTGGGCGCCGTCGTACGTGGTGCATGTGGACCGCTTGGGTGGAGCGATGGAAGTGGCGATGCGAGCCAGAGTGTGGCAGGCCACCGGCGAGGCGTGGCAACTGGCGCAGATGGTGGTCTCGACGGGCGCCGCGGGAAACGGGCGGGTCCCGCCGTCTGGAGTGGCCGTGACTGCGACAGTGGCGGCAGAAGGCGAGAGGCAAGGAAGTGCGGTGGACGGCAACTGCTTTACTGCCACGTACGATGTGCTCGAGGCCGCAGAGATTGCCCCGGATGGGGCGCAGCACGAGATCGGCCTCATCGAGTTTGAGCTCGAGACCGAGGTGCGGCACGTGTGCCGGCCGCGGCAGGCACCGACGGCGCTGATGCTCGCGCGCGCGCTCAACACGTCGCGAGTCGCGTTGGCGCCAGGCGTCGCGAGCGTGTTTGTGGATGGCGGGTATGTTGGAACTTGCAGCCTCGGGTGGGTGCCACCTGGCCAGGCGCTCGTTGTCCCACTGGGCTCCGACAACGAGGTCCGCGTCGACCGGCAGCGGCTCGCAGCCAACGCGCACACATCCGGTTGGTTCAAGTCAGCGCGCCGTGAGACATATGCTTTCCGGGTCGATGTGGCCAGCTCGTCGGCGCTGCCTGTGGCGCTCGAGGTCTGCGACACCCTACCACAACCGGAGCATCCGCGGGTCCGCGTTGTTGCACAGGAACTGCCGCCTGGCACAGGCCCCGCCTTTGTACTCGGGCCTGATGCGCAGCTGACGTGGAGTGGGACGCTTGCACCGGGCGAGAGTGTCAGCATCGTGTACTCGTACGCCGTCGAGCACCCGTCGGGCCTGGTTGTGCAAGTGAAGAACTGATGGGGCAACACGCGAGCGGGAGGGGAGCACCCGACTCGGAGCCATGTTCCAGCGCCCGTCGCTGACTGTGGACCAGCGAGTTGCTGTCTGTCGCAAGTACTTTATTGCTGGGCTGTGTTTCATGCCTTTGGCATGGATGGTAGGTGGTCGGTCGGTGTGAGGGGGGTGGGGAAGGGGGGGGGGGAGGAGGGAGGGGGGAGGCGGGGGGAGGAGGGAGGGAGGGGGAGGACAGGGACTCATAGTGTGTGAGAGGGGCATGTTTGGGCTTGGCTGTGGCTATGGCGGGCGTGGCGCGGACGCGGTGGGGCGCGGGACGTGGTGGGGCATGGTGCGCGTGGTACGCGTGGTGCGCGTGAATCCACAGGTGAACATTGCCTACTTTTGGGAGGAGCTGCGTCATCCGCGCGGACACCCCAAGATCAAGAGATGTACGTTAGAAGTGGCGAGGAAGAGGAAGAGAGAGGAGGGGGTGGGGAGGATAGATGGTGGCTCACGAATGGGTATTGGTGTGGTGGCGGACTGCTGCGGAGTTTAGATGTGATGTACTCGGCAGTAGGCAGTGTGGTGTACATGTCGGCGTTCTTTGTCTGGCTGGCCATTTACTTGACGTCGTGGCGGTCGTGGGGCGCAACTGGTGACAACATCTCGATCTATGTGCCGGCCGGGGATCCAAAGTAAAGAGTGGAGTCATGCTACTCGTTGCCTGCCGCGCCGGAGAGCTCAGCCGCAACATCAGGCGGAATGCGGCCAGAGTCGAGCAAGAGCTGGACGACCGCCGTCCGGCCGTCGACAGCAGCCTTGCGGATAACGGCGCAATTGCGGGTGCATGGATTTGCGCGGCCATCGGCAACGAGCAGAGCAACCGCGTCGATCTTGTTGTAGGCTGCAGCGATAAAGAGCGCCTCCGAGTCGCGCGCGCTGGGATCGACACGCATGTCGGCAAGAAGACGGGTGAGTACGTCGGGATGGCCGTGTCTTGCAGCAGCAATGACTGCAGCCTGATTGTTCACCGTCGGATCAACATGGGCGTTCGTCAACAGCTCGTCGACAAGATCAAGCGCGCCCACGCCGGCGGCCGCCACAAGCGCCAGGCTCGACGCGCGCTCCACGTCAAGCCCGGAACAGCTCAAAGTGACTGTCGCAACAAGCGCCCTGTCACCAACATAGGCGGCTGCAATCAGCAAGGCATCAGCATCATGACCAGTGACGCCGGGCGCGAGCTCGGCTGCAATCGCCGCCTCGCCACGGACCGCAGCCCAGACTGCGATTGGAAGCGGAAAGAGAAAGCCGCGCACATCCGAGTACACGATGCGGAGTAGCTCGCCAAGCCACGACGGTAGGCCGAGGTATGGCGACGAGACGCCAGCACGGCCCAGTGCGAGCACAAACGCTCGCCACTCGGCGCAGCGCGGTGCGCCAAACGCGATCTTGACGTCCATTCCGCTGACGATTGGCGGCGCGCCCGCTGCCGCCGCCCGTGCCACCAAGCGTGTCGCCCCGGCCCAGAGCTTGAGCGAAAGGCAGGTCCGAATGCCAGCGTGGGCATGAGCTTTTGTCCGCGCCCATGGCGTGCCGAGTAGCGCCGCGTGAATCGACTTGCACGAGCGCGCGAGCGAAACCACATCCCGCGCCGAGTGGATGTTGTCCGCAGAGTAGGCAATGCGGTGGAGGAGCTCAGGCGGGAGGAACGCGAGCGTAGGTGGTGGGTGGGCATTGGGTATGGTCCTGCGGGGCGTTGAGGCGGATGCCATGACTGTGGGGGAGAGGAGTGGTGGGGAGGGGGGAGGAGAAAGAGGGCAGTGCGCTGAGCGGTCCGACACGGGAGGCATATTTTTGCTCTTTGATGCACCAGCTATATAGTTATATAAAACCAAATATGTAATATTTATATTATATAATGTGTGTGTCGTTTTTTGTGATTATGCCTTGTAATGTATGTCAATTTATATTAAAATAATATTTTTGCTATTTTGAGACCTTCTCATGTGTGTTTTTTTTTATTTTTGCCATTTCGCGACTCGTTCCTCATCCCGATCTGTGCTCGGGCAAATCGCTTTTTCTCCCGTTCACCATCACCAGCAACACCAACTCTCCTTCAACATCTTTCCTTGATATCTCGTCGACCACATACATCAACGTTGGCCTCTCTACGATGCATAGCTTGCGAGGTACGCCTCGAAACTTTCGAGCCCCTCGCGCATGTCATTTGCGCGAAAGGCCCCGGCTGCGCAGCGTAGCCCACACCACCCTAGTTGGACCACCGCAGGCCAGCAAACCTGTGTTACTACATCAGCATCTACCACGGGATGACAACATGCGGCTCGGGCATGCGCGACGGCCACCAGTTGATGTCGCCTGAGAGCCAGACGGCAGCGGGGACGATGACGGGCCGGATGAGGAGGGTGTCGAGGAGAACAGCAAAGCACAGAATAAAGCCGAGGCACATGAGGAGGAGCTCCTCGGCAATGAGGAGCGAGCCAAAGGCGACAGCCATGATGACACCGGCAACCGAGACGACAGTGCCGGCCGACGAAACGCCAAGGCGGACCGAGGAGTAGTGGTCAAAGCCAGCACGGCGGAGCTCGGCAATGCGCGAGAGGATGAAAATCTGGTAGTCGAGCATGAGGCCCATGCAGATGGGAATGGACATGACTGGGACAAGCCAGTAGATGCCCTTGGACTGCGAGAGAACCGACTCGGCGAGCTTGTCAAAGTTTCCCTTTTGGAAAATCATGACCGCCAGGCCGAGCGTCGCCCCGATGGGCAGCGCAATGGTAAAGAGGAGGCGGACCGGGACGACGAGTGAGCGGTAGAGGATGGCGACAATGGCAAAAATGACGACGGCTGTCGCAAGCGCCACGTACGGAAAGAGCTTGAAGATGCGATCCATGGTGTCGATGACCACCGTGTTGCCACCCAGCACGTAGAGGGCAGAGTACTGGGTCCCGCGGTACGAGTCGAGCTCGTGCGAGGAGGCGAGGAGCGCGCGGACCGAGGAGAGCCACGGCTTGGCCTCCTCGCCGAGTGGGTCAAACGGCGTGAGGACCTTGACCGTCGCGGCCGAGTGCGCGCTGTTGACGAGCGAGCCAAAGTTGGCCTGGTACACGTACGCGCGCTTGGCAAAGTCCGATGCGCCCGGCCCGCCGGGACCCTTGTACGAGAGGTACGCCGCGGCCTCGGGGAGCGAGACCTCCACGCCGTTGACCATCGTGAGCGAGGTGAGGTCCTTGAGCGGGACAGCCTTGGTGAGGACTTGCGTGAGCGTCGCTGTAAAGTTAAAGTACTGCGGCGTGAGGACCGAGCCAAAGTGCGCCGGCGGCACCGCCAGAACGTGGTACGGCGAGATGAGGCCCGGCGGGAAGAGGGTCTGGAAGGCATGGAAGAGCTTGAGCGCCGGCGCGTCACGCGGGAAGACTTGAGTCGAGTCGGCCGTGATGTGCAGATCCTTGACCTGAACCGCAAACGGGACGAGGACCGCAACGACAACGACAATGATGATCGCCGCAGACAGCGTCCGCGCCGTGTACTTGGACGACGAGAACCAGAGCATCCGTGACGCGCCCTCCTTGAACGCAATCGGATCTTCGATGACCAGCTTGCTCTTGCTCACTTTCTCGCCCGCGACGAGGGGATCCGACCCGATCGCCGCCGCGTTGACTGCAAACAGCCCGGGCTCGCCATTAACCGGCGTTGTTGCCGTCCCCTGGATCGATCGCGAGTACTCGGGATCCGACATCAGCAGTGGCCGTGTCTCTGGCGAGGCAGCAACCGACCGCGGTGCCTGCCCGCGCATTCGCGCCCACCACACCAGAATAAAGTCGTAGACACCAAACTGGCCGAAAAAGTTAGGAAACGTGAGCAGGATCGCAGGCGTGAGGGTGAGGTTGACAGAAATGGTGCAGAAGAGCGTGACCGCTGCCCCAATGCCGATCGACTGCAGAAAGGCAAGCGGAAAGAAGGCGAGTCCAAGAAAGGCAATGGTGAGCGTTGAGCCAGAGACAAGCACCACCCGCGACGCCGTCCGGCACATGACAGAAATAGCATCCACAGGGTCCTTGCCTTGCACAAGAATCTCCTCCTTGAACCGCGTGAGCAGAAAGAGCGAGTAGTCGATCGAGAGCGCAAGCGCGAGCGAGCCCTGGATGTTCGGCGCAACCTGCGCAACCGTCCACTTGTACCGCGCTACAGGGTACATGATCATAAAGCCCGTCATCATGGATGTGCCAAGGGCAATGAGCGGAATAATCATGATCCGGATCGACCGCAGGTACGACGCAAGAATAAAAAGCGCCAGCGGGAGCGCAACCGTGTCCATCCGTGCCAGCGACTGCTTCGTCGCCTTCTCGCCAGCCTTCCACAGTGCGTCTTGTCCGGTCACCCCATACGAGAACGCTCCATGTCCAACAGCAGCAGACGCCGTCACAGCCGCGTGTCCGCTTGCCGTCTCCAGAAAGTCGATAAAGTCTGGCACCACCCGCTTGTCCAGGTTCGTCGCATACGAGATCGAGATGATGGTCGACTCGCCTGACGGCGACACGTACTGCTCCGCCAGCCCGGTGTAATTGCCGCCCACTAACAGCCAGAACCCGGCAATCGAGTGCACAAACTTGCCGTCGCCCGAGTGGCTCGCAGAGTACTGCTCGATCGCCTCAGCGAGCTCCACCGTAAAGGTCTTGACCCACGGCGAGGTGTCGACACGGACCGCTTCGTCGGAGGACGAGACCATGACAATGAGCGTGCCCTTGTTCTGCGCCGCGGGGAAGAGCGTCTCGTACGCCTGTGACGATGTGTACGCCTGCGTCCCCGGCGGAGGCTTAAAGTGCCCCGACGTGTAGTTGAGGTACTGCGGGCCGTACACAATGCCCACCCCGAGGGCAGCCAGCCAGAATAGGATGATCCCGTACCGCGCCTTGGTCACAAACCATACGTATGCGTCGCCCACACCAGCCATGTTCTCGCTCTCTCTGCCTTGACAAAGGGGTTCGTGAGAGTAGCTTGGGGGTGAGGGAGTGTGGTGGAGTGGTGGTGGGTGCGGTGTGCTATGCCGTCCCGTGGTCCCGTGCCCGGGTGTGCCTTGCTTCTCGCCTCACGATTGTCATGTGCGGCGGCAGTCGATACCAGGCACGTGACCGTCGCCCTTGATGGCCATGGCAAGACGCGAACAATCGATCAATGGCGCCCCGCCATCCGTAGCATCATCTCGTAGTAGTCCACATGCTGTAGTCATGCTGGTGTGTCGGGAGACAAAGGCCCAACCTCTGCCAACGACCAACCACATGCCAAGGTGCCCCCGCACAGCAAGTGACCTCAGCTCCCCGTGGGCACTCTGAGCTACTGCCGAGCTGCCTCCCAACTTCGTTGACCTTGCACCACTCGATCTCGCCGCCCCTCACACTCGCCGTCTCCGACCTCGACCACCACAACCATACCTCACTCGCGCATCATTCGAGCATGAAGATCAAGGTCCAGGTACGCTACCGAGTGCGATGGTCGAGGTTGAGGTCAACGAGGAAGGGATGGCCACGTGTGGGGCTGGGTGGAAGGTGCAGGTCGCGATGCGAGGGCTCCTGGCCCCACACAAGGCCGCTCGCCAGCCGCCGTGGCGAGGCTAAGGCAAGGCCAGGCAGAGAGGGGGGGGGAGGGGGGGGGGGGGGGGGCGGCAAAGACTCACAGCTGTATCTGTTCCTGGGCTGGCGGGGGGGGACTGGTGGGGTGGGTTGGTCGGCTGGGGGGGTTGGGGGCTGGAATTCCATTCGTTGTCGACGACACAGACGCTGACGGGCAAGCAGATCGAGCTCAACGTGGAGAAGGACGACCTTATCCAGCACGTCAAGGAGCAGGTGGAGGAGAAGGAGGGCATTCCGCCTGAGCAGCAGCGGCTCATCTTTTCGGGCAAGCAGATGTCGTCTGACTCGCCGCTCAGCGAGTACGGCCTCGAGGCCGGCTCGGTCATCCACCTGGTTCTTGCGCTCCGTGGTGGCCAGTAGGTCAAAGGTTCACGACCTTGCCTCCCCCCGAGTACATGCTGCCTTGCCATAAACTGTGTTACTGCAGAAGAGTGCGGGACCAGATTACAGCGCCGTGACCGAGAGCGAGGCGAGGGCGACGACGCCACCGCGGTCATGAGTCGACGCAAACGAGATGCAGATGTACCGCGAGAGCTTGCGCGCGTCGAGCATGACAACCTGCTCCGGGGCAGGGAGTGAGGCTGGGACGTGCATGTGCCACTTGCGCGGGAGCGCCGGCCAGTCGGCGAGCTGCGAGTAGTCATTGCCGGTCGTGATGCGCCCGGTCTTGGGCACGCCGCGAGTGCCGGCCGGCACTGCGCCGACCATGATCTTCCGCACCTTGGCCCGCCGCCCGTAGCACCCTTCCCGGAGCTGGAGAACAACATACGCCACCCGTCCTGCGGTCACCGACGACTTCCACGCCCCGATGCCAAACGACTGCCGCGACGCGTGCAGCGCCTCGGTCCCACCGCGCCCGGTGTAGTACGCGATGGTGTGGATGAGGTTGGCCCCCGGCGCAGGCGGTGGCGATGCTGCTGCCTCATGCGTGCTCGCACCTGCGCCCGCCGACCCGCCTGTAGAGCTTCCCCCGGGCTGCATCTTGCGCCGCCGACGCGCACGCCGCGGCGGCGTGTTGAGCGGCTCGTCGAGGAGCTGGGTCGTGTCCAGATGAGGGTGAACGTGGGGGCAGCCTGCCGCGGCCGAGTCCGCTCCAGAAAGTCCGGCTCTGCCGCTACCGCCAAGCTCAAGTCGACCCGCATCATCGATGCGTCGCGTCCAGCCTTGCCGCACGCTCCCTCGGCCGCAGCCTCGCCATCGCTGATGCTCGTGCATCCGCTCGTCTCCTCATCGTACTGCGCCACAACAGCTTGGACCATAGCCGCCGACGGAGCCCGAAGCGAGAACACGCCGTCAGCCAACGGCGGGCCAGACACGCTGTCCAGAGCCTCCTCCTGGGCCTGGGCCTCAGAGACAAGGGACTCGATGGTCCGCGTAAACGAGAGATCGCGAGGCGAGGCCAGCGGATCTTCCGAAGAGGTCAACGAATGTTTGCCGTCTCCATCACTAGCACTCTCACCTACACGATTGGGCGTGAGAGGCGCACGGAGCAGTTCAAGCCGCTTCTGCTGCGCCTCGAGCTCGACCTGCTGACTCGCCAGTCGGGTCTCTGCAAGTTCGTTCCAGTCTGATGCATGCCTGCTTTCGCTCGCATCCTCAGCGCCTGTGTCTGCAATTGGGGCTGGGCCCGGGGCTGAAGCCCGAGCCGACCCCGGCGGCGACGCCGCCATCGCTGCCTCCAGCTCGGCGCGCTCGGCCACAAGCGCCTTGGCACGGGCTGAGAATGCCTCCTGCTTTTCGACTTCAGCACGGGCCGACGCGCCTGCGGCATCGCGGGCAGCGAGCGACGAGAGAAAGTCGAGGATCTCGCCCTCGGGTACAATGCGCTTGAGCGAGGCGAGCACATCGCCGAGCGCGGCAACGGTTGGCGAACCGCCGGCCTCGACGCTCGGCGGATAGATGTGCGGCGAGCGGACAGCAAGCGGCGAGGCTGAGGAAGGATGGGTAGCCTCCGGCTCACCCACCTGTGGGAGGCTCTGTTCGGCAATGTACGGCTCGGGCGTGGCCGCCGCCGCACCCGCAAGCCCACGCCGCGACGCCTGCCGCCCACCACCCCACCGCGGCAGCTCGCAGGCATGCGGAAGCGGGCGCCGCGACACAGACGCCGATGGAAACGGAACAGGCACACCATGTGCGTCGACAGCGGGCCGCGACATAAGGCCGGAAGGACAGGCGCGACGAGGAGTGTGCTGCCGAGCACTCGCCTGGCCGTTGATTCGATGCCGCCGCCGCTGGCGGGTTGGTTGCCGGCTCGCCGCGCATCTCGCCCCATTCAAACTTTCGCGCCACGCCCGTTCGCTGCCCGCAGCGTTCGAGTGAGCGGGCAACGGTGCCAACTTGCGCCCCGAGTCCGGCGCCAACGACGACGGCGGCGGCCGACGCAAACAGCAAACTCTGGTCTCGGGACCTCCACGCTAGAGCGCGTGTATATTCTATTGCGGCAGAAACGGGCGCTTGAAGAGGTGGTGAGCATGCGGGCCGCAAACCACAGCACAAGCACCAGGAGCGCGGCGAGCAGGGCCACCACCAGCGCGGCCGCCCCCACGGCGCGAGCCTTCCTCCTCTCTGCCGACATTGTGTACGAGCTGCACGGCACCGTGACGCTAGTCGGGCGGGCGTCGTCGGCAGATGTAAGCCTTGCGTCGCGCTCAGTCTCATCGAGGCACGCTGAGATCGTGGTGGAATCCGCGAACAGCGCGGGCGCGAGCGCGCTCGTCCGGGACCTCGGCTCGCGCAACGGTACCTTTGTCAACGACAAGCGCATCCACTTTGCCGAATACGAGCTTCGCGACGGAGACATTGTACGCTTCGGCTACGAGCCGCACTGCTATCTCTTCGCCCGCCCGCAGCGCGGGCCCGACGGCGAGCTCCTCCCTCCGCTCTTTGACGCCTCCGACTTTGAGCGCAGGCGCTCGTCGTACTGGGCGCAGCGATCAGCGACTCAGCATCCCGAGCCAGCTGGCGTCTCACCCAAGACCCGTCCGCCACTCGTCCTACCACCAACCTCGCCGGCAGTTGCGTTCTGGGCACAGCTTGGCGACTCGTCGCAGCCGCGTCGGCCGCCGCCGCCGCAGGCTGCCGATGCCTTCTTCGACTTTGCCTCAACAACACCAGCCGCACCCGCGCGCACAGCGCCTGATGCCCATCGCGCACGTGCTGAGAACCACGAGCTCTCCGGAGAGTCAGCCGCACCGACCGTCGCCACAGAGGGAGGCACCCCGCCGTCGTTCCGTGAAGTGTTCCGGCCGGCGGTGGCGGCTGCGATGGCTGCAGAGAGCAATGCGCCGCAGCTGTCCACCCATCCGTTCGCCGCCCTCGCCACACCGTCTTCGCTATCTGCAGAATCCTGCAACTCGAGTGACTCCCAGCCGCTCGGCCCTATTGTCCACGGTCCGAGCTCTCCCGAGTGGTCCAGTAGAGGCAGTGCGGCCAAGTCAGCAGATGGTGACGACAAAGCCAGGTACGAGCCATCTCAAGCCGTAGTCGTCCTCGTGTCGAACAATGAGGCCGCGAGTAGTCTGGGCTCAAGCGATTCACCGGAGCCATCGCCGACCCGCTCACTCACGGCATCGCCGTCGTCGTCTTCTTCTTCTTCTTCTTCTTCCGCGGCGTCGTCCGAAGCCTCGTCTTCGCCGAACAGGTGCCAGCTCGGCGAGACAGCAGCGTCGGATGATGGCTTGGCACTGCTGCCGTCCGAGGCGAGTGGCGACGAATTCCGGATCGTGAGCGTTGAAAGCGAAGCTGAGTATCTCGACTCGCCTTTGCCCATGGACGAGAGCGGCGCGCCTGTGTACGGGCTTGGCCGGCATCCCACATTTACCTCGATACCTGACATTGTTTCACTCCACTCTGAGTCGCTCCACTTCGAATCGCTCAACACCTCAAGCGACTCGCTGGCAGAGCCGTCGGTCAACCGGCCGGTCGTCCCGGCACGAAACCAGCAGAGAGGCCAACGGCTGCCGCGACGCGAGGCGGCGACGCAAACGGTAGCAGGTGTGGCGGAGCACGCGACGCGGATCCAGGCCGCCGACAACTCTGAGCTGGTCGAGTACGTAGCAGTGTTGCAGCAGCAGGTCAAGGTCGCCCGGGCCGAAGTAGTGGCACGCGACCACGAACTTGCCCAGCTCCGCGGCCACGACTGGGTGGTGGCGCTGGAGAGGCAAAAGGCGCAACTGGCGGCGACAGAGGCGCAGCTGGTCCGCTATGAGGCGAGCTGGGTCGAGGCACCAACCGTGGCGGCGCTGCTTGAACGGCTGGAGCGTGGGCCGGAGCGGTGGACGGCACTGCGGACTCAGCTCGAGCTGGCGCATGCACAGATCGACGTGCTCTCGGCCCAGCTCGAGGCGACACAGGCAGCAATGCAGGGCCACGGGCAGCCGGGCAGCAACGCGCTGCTCGCTGAGCTCCAGGCTCAGGTCGCCACCCTCAGTGCTGAAAACGAGGCGCTGGCACAATCAGCATCGTTTGCCGCGGCGTCACGCAACAGCATCCAGCACCTCCACGACAAGCTTGCCCAGCTCGAAGCTGACGGTGCAGTTGAGACCGTGACCGAGCAGGCTCAAACCATTGCCGAGCTGCGGGCGCGAACAGCGTTTCTCGAGGCCGAAAACGCGGCGTTGCGCGGACGCAAGCAGCCAAAGTTTGATGCCCGTGCCTTTCAAGCCTGGCGTGCTAGCCAGGCCAGGCCTGTTGGTGCTAGTGGCGACGGGCGCGCTTGACTGCGCGCTCGAGCTCTCCTCGGCCGTCGTCGGCTGCCTCGGAGCTAACAACTGCAGCGTAGGCCGAGACCAGGCTGGAGGTAGGAAGGGGCGTGATGGCAGCCGCAGCGGCAACCATGGCTTCGTGCGCAACGGGGCGGAGGGTAGAGGCAGCGGCGTCAGAGCCGGCCTCCGCGAGCAGCGTCGAGGCCGCCGCCGCCGAGGCTACCGACTCGCGGAACGCGGGATCAGTAGTGTTCAACGCAAGGTGGGCAACAAGGTAGCGAACGAGGGTCTGCTCAAGCGGACCCATGGCCACAAAGGTGGCGCGGGTTTCCTGCGCCGACTGCGAGCCGTCAAAGAGCGAAGCAAGAAAGGCGTAGATGGTGGGGAGGGCGACGTCCCAGCCTTGCGGCGGTGTGCCTGCCGGCCGCGGGCCACGTGGATCTAGCGGATCGCGCTCGACGTTGAGCTTGGCAGCAACGGTGAGGATCGCCCGCGTAAACCGTTGCACAGTGGCAACATCCGAGAGTATGGTAGGGAAGCGCGAGTGCCACTCGACGAGGTGGTCTTGCAGCACAGCGCTGACGGGCCCACTCACCGGGTCGAGCTGAGCGAGAACAGTGTCGACAAGTGCAAATGACGACCCAGGAGCAGCTGGTGGAGGTGAGCAACGCGGCGAGCTGGGCTCCCCTCGCGGCGGGCTGGGCTCCCCTCGCGGCGGGCTGGGCTCCCCTCGCGGTGGGTGGGCACTAACCGTGTTGGTGGTCGTGGGCACACTGCTGGCGTCCGAGTCGACGGCCGCAGTGGTGACGGCCGGCTCGAGGCGTATGGAAGGCGGCGGCAGGGTGCGACGCCGCTTGCGCGACGGCCTCGTGGCCGACATAGGGGTGTATGTTACAGCTACAGCAGTGATTGGGGTGGTGAGGTGTTGCCACAGTGGCTGTCGGTGGGAGGGGTAGAGGTGGGGGAAGAGTCTCCGTCGGGCCGGCTGGGTGACGACGGGTGCCGCCGGCCATGGGCCAGCTGGTCGAGCGAGGTCTTGAACGAGACAAGCAGCGGGCTCGCCGAGTCGCCTAGGCCTGCATCAGCAAGATGCTGGTAGGTGCGGAGGGCAAACTTGAACATGCGACGGTTGGACGAGTGCTGAAAGGCGGCGTTGACGAGGGCGAGAAGGAGGTCATCGCGAGCGCAGACGGCAGGAAAGGTGGCGGCAAGGAGGGCGCAGAGGCGGGCCGAGCACTGGACAAGCCACGAGTGGTTGCAAAAGTGCTCAAAGACACGAATGAGGGCCTTGACTACCGCAAGTGCGGCAAGAAGGTCGCGGAGAGCGTCGCGCTGGCCTGGGTCGAGGAATGCGACGACAGCGGCAGGGTGCGACGACGGCGAGCGGCATGGTGAGGAGGTCGACGACGAGCGCCGCTTGAGGAAGGACGGGACAAAGGAGAGGAAGGCCGAAGAGAAGGACGATGACGATGGCGGCGTGACGTCGCCAGCCGGCCAGTTGGAAGCCGGGCCCCAGGTCATCATGCGGACAACGGCGTCGACGCCTGCCTGGACGTGGGCCGGGTCGGAGGAGGAGAGCATCATTTGAGCAAAGAACACATGGTCGTAGACGTCCGGGCTCGGATGACTCGCGAGAGATTCCGGCGCGGCGGGTACCGGCGGGGTGAGGATGCGGGTCTGGAACATGTGGGCGCCAACAACAACCATATGGAGCGGGACAACCGCGTCGCGGGTTTCGTCGGGAGGCGGCGCAGCGGCGGCATGAGCGGGTCAAGCGAGGCGAGTGGGAAGGCAATGTCGTCGAGAAGGACGACAACAACAGTGAGGACGTCGGCAACAGCAGGCTGGAGAAGCTGGATGTCGACGACGCGGGCAAGAATGCGGATGAGCTCCTCGTAGTCTGTGCGGTCAAGGAGCGAGAGGCGCTGGAGGTGTGGCCCGGTGACGGCGAGGAGGCCAAGGAGCGAGCGGACGGTGTGGACCAGCGCGGTGCGCTGCGCACCCGGCGATGGTAGAGAAGCATGGCAGCAGGCGTAGTCGACGATAGCAGCGCCCCCGGCAAGAACCTCGCGGACGTTAGCCACAAGCCAGGTGTCGAGCCAGGCAATGGAGCCCTTGTGAAGAAGGTCAATGAGACGCGAGAGGGCAGCAAGGGCGGCGTCGACAAGGTCAAAGTCGAGCGAGTCGACAGCGGCGAGCGCGTTAAAGGCCGTCCAGACGTCACCGGTGGCAGTCTCGACAAGGGCGCGCCCTGCACTCGAGTCAAGCGCAGAGGCCGGGACGGCGGCAATGAGACGGAGTGCGGCGAGCGATACAGCCGCCGCTGGCCAGTAGTTGGCGAGGAGGGCGAGGGCGACAGAGAGGACATCTTCAAACTCGACGAGGACAGGTGTAGACGGCGTGTAAAGGCGGAGAGCGCCGACAAGGCGGTCGGCAGCGGCAACGATGACGGCGTGCGGGGCGGCGGCGGCCTTGGCGGCGGCAAGGACGGCGAGGCAGCGCTCCATGACGACAGTGTCGGCGATGAGCGTGGTCGAGTCGGCAAAGCCCGAGAGTGGCGGCGGCTCGAGGACAAGGGCGAGGGACGCTGCAAGGTCGGCCGCTGGCGGGCGAGCGTCTGGATGCGGCGACCAGCAGGCCTGAAAGAGCGAAGTAAGGGCCGGCGGGATGTCGGCATGGAAAATGCCGGGTGGCTCGTTCGGGCGGGTGAAGCGCGACGAGAGCGAGGAGAGCTCGTCGTAGGGCCGGATGGGCCGGCCAACGTCTCGGTGCGAGTTGGAGAGGAGAAGCCAAGCAATGCAGCCAAACGCCCAGATGTCGGCAGCAAGCGAGGTCGCCGCTGCCGTGCCCTTGAGGACTTCGGGCGGGGCGTAGGCGAGGTCGACACGGTGGGCAAGTTCCGGAATGCGCTCGCCCGAGGCGGCGACGGCCTCGAGAGCTGCGGCCTCGAGAGCGGCCTGGCCGTGATCGGTGAGCATGACCGTGGCATTGAGCTGAGTGAGGACCACGTTGGACGGCGTGAGCGAGCCGTGCGGGAGGCTCAGCTGCGAGTGCAGGTAGACGAGCGCCTGCGCAAGCTGGTAGAGGACGCGGACAATCTCGGACGGAGCGTCCATGAGGTTGCCGACCCGGCGAGAGAGAGCCTCGGTGAGAACGGTTCCCTTGATGCGCTCGCGAATGAGGCGGACGCGTGACGGAGCAGTCTCGCGCGGATCGAGCTGGATGCCCATGAGAGAGACAACGTACGGGTGTGCGGCAGCGTGGATGGTGCAGAGAAGGCGGGTGGCGCCGTCGAGGGCACCAACGGCCACGTCCTTGATGGCAACATCGGCGCCGAGGCAGAGGCCGCGAGCGCCGGAGCGGAGGCCAGTCTCGGAAGCAGCGCCGAGCTCGGGTGCGAGGCGGTCCGAGACAACAATGGCAGGTGAGTCGAGCGGGAAGATGTTGCAGCCCGAGTCAAGGGTGGCTGCCGAGCCAAGCGAGGCGCCGAGTCGGACGAGTGAAGCATCGGACGACGACGACGAGAGAGTGCGGCCAAGCGACGAGGTGGGCTGGGCGAGGGCAAGTGTGGCGAGGCCCGACTCGGGGTGCGAGGGAGTGGGTGCCATGGTGAGGGTGGTGTTGTCGTCGACAGCGAGGGTGCCATTGCTCTCGACAAGAGGCGGCGGATGAGGCGTCGTTTCGATCCAGCCCGAGTTGCTGAGTGACGCCGTGAGCGTGAGGGTGGCAGTGCGGAGTGGGGCGGTGGGAATAGAGTTGGACGTGAGGGTGAGGTTGGCACTGGTACCGAGATGCCGGGCGGTAGCGTCGACGTAGTCGGGAGGCGCGGGCGGCGTGTGTGGATTGAGAAGAGCATCGACAGTGGCGCGAGACGGCGGCGGGAGGTGTACGTCAGCAATGCATGCCTGGAGGAGGGCAGCAAGCGTGAGGGTGGAGAGCGAGTGCGGCTGGTCGGGAAGAACACGGAGGAGGAAGCGCTCGTTGGTCAACTCGTCAAGGAGGAGCAGGGCGTCGAGCTCGGGGTGGACAACGACAGCGGCGGAGGACGAGGCAAAGACCGCGAGCGGGTTGGCATCCTGGCAGAGGACAAAGCGATGAAGTGAGGGCGAGCGGACAACAACAAGCGCAGCAGGGATCCAGGCTGCACGCTCAAGTGAGGCGCGCGACGGATGGGTAAGAAGCTCAAGTGAGGCATCCGGGATGGGAAGGACGGTGAGGTGGAGGAGGGTGGGGCGCGCGGGAAGAACGAGCGAGGCTGCGGCATCAAATGAGGCAGCGTCGACAAGCGAGTGGTGCGGGAGTGAGGCCCACGAGGCTTGGCCGCGGGCAAGGAGGAGAAGACGGAGATCAGAAGAGGTTGTGAGCAGGGCAGGGCAGGGCTCCAGGTCGAGCCAGGACGCCGAGGCCGAGAGCGTCAGGAGATGGGCAGCGAAGGAAGTGTCGTTGTAGAGTGCGGCAACGTGGAGGGCCGAGGCAAGTGGCGGCGGCGCCGAAAGGGCAACGAGCGAGTGCACAAGGTCGGGTGAGGCGGCGGCGAGGAGGGCCTTGATGGAGTAGAGGTCAGCATTCTGGATGGCCTCGACAAAGGCAACTTCACGGGCAAGGGCGTCGAGAAGCTCAAGGATGGCAACAAAGGAGAGGCGGGCAGATGGCTCGTGCGGAATGAGAGTGTGGGAGAGGAGGGTGGAGAGAGTGGCCGGCCAGGTGGGAAAGGCGATGTCGCCGGGGAGAGCGTAGCAGTTGGCAAGACGGGCCTGGCGGGAGGGCCGCATTTCGGCGACGACTTCCCAGAGGAGAGTGCCAAAGGACCAGACGTCCGAGTGCATGTCGTTCGCGTGGCCTAGGAGCGCCTCCGGCGCCATGTATGCCGGAGTGCCGACATGAGAGTGTTCTGCGCCAGCGTCGATGTTGGCCTGAAGGACGGCAAGGCCAAAATCAGCCAGCTTGCAGCCGCCGCCGAGGCCCTCGAGGAGGACGTTCGCAGGCTTGAGGTCACGGTGGACCATGCCGCAGCCATGAAGAAAAGCCATGCCCTTTGCAACAGCAATTACAGCACGGATCTTGGCAGACCATGAGGGAAAGGGTGGGACGCCACGGGCGCCGTAGATGCGGGCGTTGAGGTCGCCAAAGACAAGCAGCTCTGTCAGGATGACCAGCTGGGTCTCCTCGACAATGGCGGCGACAAAGCGGACACAGTTGGGATGGGCCATTCGCGAGACGGCAGCGAGCTCCTTGAGAAAGATCTTGTGAGTTGACGGAGCGCGGGCGTCGGCCTTGAGAATCTTGACAGCGACAGGCTGGGCAAGATAGTGGCCAGCGCGGACAACGGAGAACTGGCCTTCGCCGAGCGGAGGGTCCGACGCGAGTGTGACAGCCGCCCAAGACGTGGCAAGAAAGGCGCACGGTGGAGCGGGGTGGGGCGCGAGCGCTGCTGGAGCTCGGCGGAGGCGAGCGCGGAGGCCAACGAGAAGGCCCCAAACCTCGTTGGACGCCGCAAGCTGAGGCGGCGTGAGGCCAGTCGAGTTAGGCGCGTCAAGAAGGGCGAGGCAGCGGTGCGGGGAGTTGTCAGGATCCAGCAGGTGGAGCAGGTCGACGAGCGACTGCGGCGAGGCAACGGCGGCGGCGATGTGGAGGACGTTGTCACCTGAAGAGAGGCCAACAAAGGCGTGAAGGTCAAGCGCATGGTGGGTGACAAGGAGGTCAAAGAGCCAAGCAGCTCCAGCGGCGAGTGCGGGACGGACGAGGCTGGCAAGAATGTCCGGAGCGTCATCAAGAGAAGCGCTCGCGAGCGGAAGGAGAAGGTCTGTGAGGAGCGGTGGACGCGAGGCGGCAATGGCGGCTGAAGCGAGGTGAAGGATGGCGGCAGAACGGAGGGAGGACGTCGTCTGGCCTTCGATAAACCGCGACGCAAGGGAGTGGAGGACGGGAAGGTTTGCCCCGGAGGAGATGGCAAAGAGGACCAGATCTAGGTCGAGGGTCGGGTTGAGGGTGGCGAGTGCAGCAGACGGCGACGCGAGCGGCGGTAACGCCGCGGCGGTGTCGTAGGGTGGAGCAGGCGCAACAGTAAAGTAGCGATCGAGGATGAGGTCGAGGACGATGACGTTGGCGAGTCCGCCCGAGAGGATGGCCCGAAGACGGGTGTGAAAGACCGAGTAGCCGCACAGTTTGCAGGAGAGCGGGTCGGAAGAGTTGACATACGAGCAGAGGCAGGTCCATGGCAGCGGGGCAGCCTGGCAGAGTTGGCACCAGGGCGACGGCGGCGAGTCGCGGGAGGAGGCGACAAGGTCGAGCTCTGTCTCACAGACGGGGCAAGATGTGAGGTGCGGCGGAGGCGAGGCGCGGGTACGCAAAAGAGCGGCGGCCGCGGCATCTGCGGAGATCTGCGCAAGGCGGGAGGTGGAGGTGGGCGAGGGGAGCGGCCGGGCCGGCAGGTGTTCTGGACCGGCGGCGGCAGCGAGCTGCTCGATGGAGAGGAAGCAGGAGAGCGAGAACGAGTCGCCAGTATCCTCAAAGATGCGCTTGAGCGAGTCGAGATGGAGGTGAGAGTCTGGGTTTGCAAGCTCGAGGAGGGCAAAGGAGATGTGCGCCCCGTGGCTCTCAAAGGCGGGAATGAGGTCGGCAAGAGCGGCGATGTGTTCTCCCGAGGCGCTGGGAGTGGCACGGGCGGCGGCGACAAGCGAAGCAGCCGAGGCTGTGAGCGCTTGGAGGCCCGGACTCGTCAACGACATGGTGTTTCTGTGTGTGGCCTGGTATTATGGTCAAGGGGGAGAGAGGGCTGCTTGCTTGGCGAGGAGCCGTCGGTGGAAGGCAAGGAGGGTGGCAAAGACTCGGGCGCCTGCCGAGCGGACGGCAGCAGCGGAAGCAGCGAGCTCGGCGAGGGTAGGCGGCGTCGCCAACAATGGCGACGGCGGCCCCGATTCTGCAGAACATCGAGGCCGGCGATTAAGCTCGATGAGAGAGCGAAGCGATCGAGCAAGGGCATGAGCGTGGGCAAAGGCAGATGCTGTCGATGCGCGGAGTGGAGGCGCGAGCGGCGTGGTGATTCGCGAGGCGGGGAACGAGGACGAGGTTGACGGGAGGAGGGAAGGCGACGGTGACGCGGTCGGAGACGGCGGAGGTGGAGGTGGGCTGATCATGATAGCGGTGGAGGGGAGGAAATGAGCAGATGATGATGGAGAGGGAAGAAGATGAGATGGGGAGGGGGAGTTTTTGGCTGTGGCATTGATGCGGGTGGGGAGGACACAGGTGTGAGTGAGTGACAGGAGGGTGGAAGGGGGGGGGGGGGGGGGGGGGCCGGGCGGGCGAGGGGGGAGCGACATACTCGACTTATTGCACTGTAGCCCCCGCGCGTGTGCACGACTGTAGACTAGACTGACTATGACTTCGTTCCAGGACATCTCCCCGGATGTGGCGCCCGCGCTGCTGCCGGCGTACCGCGAGCTGCTGCCGGCGACAGCCGAGGAGGCTGCGGCGAATCCGTCAGCAGAGTCGCTCGACCTGGCTGCGGAGCGGGCTCGGTCATGGCTGCCTGTGGAAGAGCTGACGGCGATTCTGGAGGGCGGCGAGGACAAGGTAGCGGCGAAGCAGGCGGCACGCAAGATCCTGGAAGACTCGGGGCTGGCTGCGCTCAAGGCTGGCCTGCCCAAGTACTACGTGCCGCGCGCCGAGGCTGTGGCCAACGCACATGCGCGACAGGCGGCGCTGCTGGAAGCTGCCGAGGGTGCCGGGCTGGATGTGACAGATCCCAAGGTGCTGTACGCACTTCGCGAGCACGTCCACGACGAGCTGCCGACGGACCTCCAGTGGGTCATGTTCTCTCCCAACATCGGAGTGCTCTTTGACGAGGAGCAGGTGGCCAAATGGAAGCCGGCTGCAGACTCGTACGCGATTCTCGGCGCGTACGCCCAGACCGAGCTCGGGCACGGCTCCAACGTCCGCGGGCTGCAGACGACGGCAACGTATGATCCGGAAACGGACGAGTTTGTGATCGAGACGCCAGACCTGGCGGCGCTCAAGTGGTGGCCAGGAACGCTCGGCAAGACCGCCAACTACGCCGTGGTCTACGCGCGGCTGCTGTTGAACGGGACTGACCACGGCATTCACAACTTTCTGGTTCCGCTCCGCGACCGCGAGACCCACGAGCTTCTCCCGGGAGTATACACCGGCGACATCGGGCCGAAGCTCGGGTACAACATGCAGGACAACGGGTGGGCCGTTTTTAACAAGGTCCGTATCCCTCGTGAAAACATGGCGATGAAGTACGCACGAGTGACGCGCGAGGGCGAGTACGAGCCGGCACGCGGAGCATCGCGCAAGCTCCTCTACTCGTCGATGCTCGGGGTGCGGGCTTTTATTGTGGCGTCGTCGGGAACCGAGCTCTCTGCGGCGGTCACGATTGCGCTGCGGTATTCTGCGGTGCGGCGGCAGGGATTTAAGGACGGGTCCGACTCTGATGAGTATGCCGTGATCGAGTACCCGCTCCAGCAGTTCCGGCTCTTCCCGCTCCTGGCGGCTAGCTATGTCTTCAAGTTTATGGGGGCGACCATCCACGAGCTCCACGAGGAGCTGCTTACGGCGATCGAGGACAATTCGAGTCTCGCGGTGCTGCCGGACTTGCACGCGACATCGTCCGGGCTCAAGGCTGTGTGCTCGACCATCAAGGCTGCTGGGATTGAGGAGTGCCGGCTGGCGTGCGGCGGGCATGGGTATCTGCGTGCGTCGGGCTTTCCGGACCTCTACACCCACGGCGTGCACCACAACACGGTGGAAGGCGACAACTACATGATCACCGGGCAGACGACTAAGTACCTACTTAAGGTCTTTACTGCTGCGGCAACGGCCGGGTCTCCGGACAAGGCGCGCGAGGTGCTAGACTCGCTCTCGGCACGTTTTCAGTACCTGGGCGAGGCGCTGGCGCTGGCCGCCGACAAGCCCAGCCCGCGTGCGAGTGCAGCGACGACTAGCGAGTGGCGGAGGCCCGAGACGCTCGAGACCGCGTTTGGACACCGCGCCGCGTTCAAGCTCGCATCGCTGGCGAGCCAGCTGCGAAAGGCAGTGGCCAGCGACGGGGTCTCGCAGGCGGAGGCGTGGCGGGTGGCCCTCATCGAGGTCAACCAGGTGGCGTGGGCGCACTCGATGTTTGTGCTTGTGCAGAACTACTTTGCGCGTGTGGCCGAGCTCAAGACGGATGCGGCGGTGGCAAGCATTCTCCGCGACCTCGGCGCGCTCTTTGCGCTCCACCAGATGGAGACCCACATCGGTGACTGGCTGGAGGATGGGTACGTGAGCGCAGAGCAAGCCGGGCTGGTTCGGGGTGCAGTCCGCGAGCTCCTTGTCGAGCTTCGACCGCACACCATCCGGCTTGTGGACGCCTTTGACCACTCGGACGAGAAGCTCGGCTCGGTGCTTGGGCGGTTTGACGGCGACGTGTACCGTGCACTCTTTGTGGCATCGTCATACTCGACGCTCAACAAGGACGAGCCGAGCAAGGTGTGGAAGGCGACGCTCAAGGACATGATGGATGCTGGCGCGCGCCGGGTCGGCCCCGGCATGCTGGCATCGTCGCTGTGAGGCCAATGTAACCAATAAAGGTACTGTGGTGCCTCCACCCAACAACCTACTAGAGCAGAGCGCAGACGGCTACCTGTGACCTGGCGTCTGTTGCTGGGCGAGGGCGATGCAGCCGAGAACGCCAACGAGGACGAGACTCATGAGGCCGTGGACGAGGAAGCGGGTGGCGAGGGCAGTGGCAGCCAGCTCGTAGGCGATGGCGGTAAGGGCGAGGGCGGCGGCAGAGAGATGCGGAACAGCGGGATGCGGGCGTGGGGCGTGGGAGACAGGATCAAGCTCAAACTTGGGGGGGTGGCGAGCGGGGTGACAAGCAGAAACAACGCGCCCTGGTGGCTTACCACTGTCGTGGCGAGCTCAGCCTCGGGAGTGGCGAGGAGCGTGGCGGCGGAAGAGGCATTCCAATTGACGATGGAGCAGCCGCTTCGGCGGACGCGGGCCGCCAAATCCGACGAGAGGGCGAGCCAGCGGACAGGGCTGGGGTCTGCAGCGTCGTCGACGACGCGGGCGACGAGCGAGATGGCAAGCGTGCCGACAAGGGCCACGCTTGTTGCCAGCTCGGTATCGACAAAGGCATAGGGTGCGTCGTGGAGGAGTAGAACAAGTACACTCGCGTAGTATGAGAGGATGAGGGCGCGAGCAGGAGCAACGAGTGGGGAGACCGCCGTCAGAGTGTGCGCGGCGAGGCCAGTCCAGAGAGCAAGCGGGGCGACGATGGCGACGGAGGCAGCAAGCGGCGAGGGTGCAGCGATGACAACAAGGAGGCCGGCGTAGGCAGCGATAGCAGAGAGTGTGAGTACCAAGCCGCGGGCCAGACGCGAGGTTGGGGGAGGTGACGACAGACTCAGCGCAGCTGCTATTGTAATGGCGAGAATGAGTTGTGGCCAGACGAGCGGCGGGCCGACAAGGTGGAGGCAAGCTGCCTGGGTGAGAGCCACTCCAGCAGTGGTGGCGGCGACTGCGGGACGCCTTAGAGTGACTAGCGTCATGAGCAGAGAGAAGAGGGTGGGGAGGGGAGGGGAAGGGAAGAGGTGAGGTGACGGGTGGGTGAGGTGGGAGTGGTGCTGGGGGGGGGGGGGAAGGGGGAGGGCGTGGGGCGGCGCCAATTCGAGGCGAGGAGGGATCGTAGCTACTGGTAGTCGTCGGGGGGGGGGGGGGGGGGAAGGGGTGTTTACGATTGCGGTCATGAGCATGACGATCGCAGGTACTTACAGGACCCATGACTTGTCGAGGCTAACACCACGGACAAAGCCCTTCTGCGACTCCTTGTCAACGTAGATGTCGGTGATGAGCTCCGAGGCGGGGAGCTCGGACGAGGCCTTGGCCTCCTCAAGGGCGGCCTCGACGGTCTTGCGGATGTCCTTCTCGATGGCCTTGAGCTCTGCGGCGTCGGCGATACCAGCGTCAATGACGCGAGCGCGGATGCCCTCGATGACGTCCCTGGACTTCTGGACCTCCTTGACCTCGTCGCGGGTGCGGTAGGAGGTGCCCGGGTCGGACATCGAGTGGCCACGGTAGCGGTAGGTCTTGAGCTGGAGGATGGTAGGTCCGTTGTCGATGGTGGCCTGGCGGGCCCACTGGAAGGCGGCCTTGACGGCAAGCGGGTCCATGGCGTCGACCTGAACGCCCGGGATGACGCCGTGGCCAATGGTGTAGAACTCGGTGTTGGCGTTGGAGCGCGAGACCGAAGTGCCCATGCCAAACTGGTTGTCCTCGACGCAGAAGATGACAGGCAGCTTCCAGAGAGCGGCCATGTTGAAGGCCTCGTGAACTTGGCCCTGCGGAACGGCGCCGTCACCGCAGAGCGCGACGGCGATGCGCTTGGCGTCGTCGGCGGCCTTGGCGTTGGCGTGCTTGTGGGCAAGGGCGAGGCCGGCGCCGATGGGGATCTGGGCGCCGACAATGCCGTTACCGCCGTAGAACTCGGGGCCGTACATGTGCATGGAGCCGCCCTTGCCGCGCGAGCAACCGGCCTCGCGGCCAAGAAGCTCGGCAAGAATCTCCACATCGCTGGCGCCACGAGCCTTGAGCAGGGTGTGGCAGCGGTAGGCGGTAATGACCGAGTCGGCCTTGGAGATGGCCGCCTCCATCCCGATGGGAATGGCCTCCTGCCCGATGTGCAGGTGGCAGAAGCCGCGGATGAGCTGCTGCTTGTACGCGCTCTCGGCCACAAGCTCCAGCCGGCGGTAGTGGACGGCGAGCTTGAAAAACTCGAGCAGCTCTGCGCCCGTCGTCGTCATCTCCTCGACCTGCGGGCCGTCGGTGAGGTGGCACTTGAACGGAGTCTGTATGGAGGGAGAGTAGCATGAGTGTTCAGGGAGGGGGGGGGGGGGAGGAGGGGGGAGGGGAGGGGGCGGGGGGGCAGGGCCGAGGTGGGGAGTGGGGGTGGGTGGGGGAGGGAGAGGACGTACAATGGGAAAGGTCAGCTCCTGGGCAAGGGCCGCGTCAGAGATGCAGCGGACTGCGGCACGAGCGGCTGCCGGCGCAGCCACAGCGGCAGAGGCGGATGCACGAGCAAGGGCAAACATGGCTGATGCTGTGAGGAGTGTGGGAGGTTTGGGGGGTGGGGGGGGAGGGAGAGGGGGTGGTCGTCGGGAGGGAGTGGGTGATGGCAAAAGTTGAGGCGTTTGTTGACGTGGCTTGGGCCACCGGTTGGACCTTTATCGCTCACAAAGGATGGACTCGGGGCTCATCAAGATGGTCACAAACAGGCGGCGAGGGCCAAGACGAGCTTGTTGGCCGACAAAGTGAGGGCAATTACGCCGGAGGAACCCAAAGACCGAGCGAGGTGCAGCCCGAAGCGATGAGGGCCGAGGTAGGCGACCAGGCGACGTTGGTGACCGCTTCGGGGTGGCCGCGAAAGGTGGCAATCTCCGGAGCGACGAGGCTGTTGGGCTCGGGGGAAGATGACCACAGGTGGACGGCGCCGTTCTCTGATCCAGAAACGATGTAGCGGCCGTCGGGCGAGTAGGAGGCGACGAGCGGAAGGCCAGACTCGTTGAGGCGGCCACGAAGGAAGGCCTGCGGCTCGCCCTCCATCGAGTCAAGGACCACAAGTGGCTCGCCTGAGGTGGAGAGGAGAATGGCGGATCCGTCGGGTGAAAAGGTGAGCGAGGCAAAGGTGAGATGCGAGGCGGCGACGCCGAGGTTGAGCTCAAAGGTAGCAAACGGACCCTTGTCAAACGAGCGCACGTCGTAGAGCTTGACGGCGTGCTGGCCCTGGGAGGCGTCGGCAATGGCGACACCAAAGATGATGCCCTCTGGGTCAAAGGCGACAGCCGGCGTGGCCGACGGCCGGAGACGGAGGAAGCCCTGGCACGCCGGGAGGCGGACGTCCCACAGCCGGACCGATCCGTCCTGCGAGCCCGAGAGGAACGTGTCGTCGGCTGGCGAGATCTCGAGGCTGGTCACTTGCGCACGATGGCCCTTAAAGTACCGCAAATAGCGATTGTCGTGGAGCGAGAGATACCGCAGTGTGTGATCCCACTCGTTCTTGGACCCGTGGACGACCGTGTTGGTGTGGTGGGTGAAGCGAATGAGGTCGACGCCGTACTTTTTCGAGTACAGCGTCGTCGACTGGCTCGCATCGCTGGCGTTGTACACATGGATCGACTCGTCATCGGACGCCGTCACCAAATACTCGCCAGACGAGTGAAACGACATCGAGTTGATGGCTTGTGTCTGTGGGCGTGGGCGGGCGGGAGGAGGGTGAGGGGGTGGGCGCGCGGGGGGAGGGGGAAAAAGGGGGGGGGGGGGGTACGGGGTGGGGGTGAGGTGAAGAGTTGAGAGGGGATAGGGAGGTGTGAGGAGGTGTGAGGAGATGTGATGTATGAGTGGGTGGGTGGGTGGGAGCAGGAGCGGGGGCAGGGGTGGGGGGTGAGGGGTGGGTAGGGTGAAGTGGTGGGGAAGGTGGTGGTCTAGCACGTCGTGTCGTGTGTTTCATACGGTCGGCTGATCGGCCGAGGAGCGAGGGGCCAGGAGCGGGGGAAGCTACACACGCACCCCAAGTTGACAACAATCTCGATCGTCCCATGTGGGCAATGCTCAAGCATCTGGTGCTCTCCATGGCCACACCGCAATTCATGCAACCAACAACCACACACACTACACTTCTTCACCTTCGACTGAACCCCATCCAGCACCGCCGCCGCGTCCGAGCCCGCCAGACGCTCCGAGCCAGTTGTTGTGAACGACGCCCGAGTTGGGCGCTCCGATGGGGGGGAGCACCTTGCCGCCGCCCCACCCGCTCCCGCGATCACTCTCCTCGAACGAGCTCTCGTCGCTCTCAACCGAGCGCGACGCCGACTCACGTCTGCACTCTTCGTCCGAGCCCGAGAGGGTAGCATCGAGGACAGACGTCTCACCGGCTCCTCCCACTTCGACGCCGCGGAGCGGCGAGATGTGCGGCTCGTTGACCACCTTGTCGCCGACCGGGGCGACGGCCACAACCTCCCACTCGTCGTCGCTGTCGCCACTCCCCAGCGCGGCCCAGTAGCCAAAGCAGTAGAGGAACGAGCATGAGAAAAGCTCAAGGAAGGTATTCAGCACGATGTAGCCAAAGACAAAGCCACGAAGCGTGTCGAGGGCTTGCGACGGCGTGTCGCGGACGCACTGCGCCGACCACGAATACCACATGACCCCAAGAACGTTCCACACCACGCCAAAGAGGACAAGAAGGCCCACAACCGTATACTGCACAAGGTTGACATACACCTTGTCGCGGTTGAGATAGGCCACAGCGTACGCAAGTGCAGAGCACGCGCCGACCACCCCGTTGACCACAAGGTGCTCGCCGAGCGGCTCGGTGCACTCGGCCGCGCTCCACGTGCTCACTCCAACAAACACTGCCGGAAACGCGAGCACAAACGCGATCCCGCACATCACCGCTGCCGCACGCCGGTTGCCCAGCTCCGCCTCCTCGTCACTCGTCAGCGGCGGACGTCCGGACGCTGCCGACGACGGCCGCGGACCGAGACAGCACACCCACACCCAGCTCGCCCACCGACGTGCCATCTCCGTCGCACCGACCTTGCCGTCGCTACGAACAGCCCTGCTGCCTCCAACTCCGCCTACATCTCCACCTCCGCCACCGCCACCAGCTGCACCGTTGTCCTCGCCGCGCCGCATGCTCCCCATCAGCAGTGACCCGTCCAACGTCTGCTCGGCCGCCGCAACCTCTGCATACACATTGCTTTCTCTTCCTTCTCCGGCCTCTGCGCTGCTACTGCTGTTCCTGCGCCCGCTCCTGCCCCCCTGCACCGGCGTCTGCGTGGCAATGGTCCGTCCTGCCCGGCTGCTGCGCGGCGGCGTGTTGGCCCCGCTGGCCTCCCCGCCCGCACCAGGCCGAGCTTCCGCTCCCGTGGCCACCCCAGCGACACCCATACCCGACCCCGTCTCCATGTCCATATCCATGCCCATGGTCTGCACACTCTACACAGCCGGGTCTCTGGCTCAGCTCCTACACTCGCTTCTCCCCACCCTCCCCTGTCTGCAGTGGGGTGGTGGTCTCCCCCCGCTCAGCTCCCCCCCCCTCCCTCCCTCCCAATCAACTGCCGCCGAAGCCACCAACCAACCAACCGGCGACCACCAACTCCCCCCCCCCCCCCCAACCTCTGTCACCTGCAACCACCACCACCACCACCACCAATACCCACACACACTCCCTCTCCCCTCACCCTAGCACCCCACCCTCACCACCTCCTCCCACCCCCCACCCCCCCACCTCCCCACCCCGCACCCTATGGCAGACATCACTGTGGTCTGCGAGGGCCACGAGACACGGTTCGACAAGAAAAAGTCGTACACTGTCTATGTCTTTTCGGTCGCCACATCTGCTGGCGTCGTCATGATCTACCGCAGATACTCGGCCATCCGCAGGTTCTACGCCACTGTACGTCGCCCCTCTCTTCCACCACCACCACTGTCTCCCGTCTCTCCTCTTGCCCTCTTCCCCTCTCACACTCACTCAACATCCCGCCCGCTTGCACTTCCCAGCTCAAGGAGAAGAAGATCGAAGGCTTTCCAGACTCGTTCCCCAAGAAGAACTACCTCAAACGCCTCTCGCCGGCCACCATTGAGGAGCGCAAGGAGGCGTTCAACGTCTTCTTCAGCGAGCTCCTTACTATCCCAGACATCCTCATTCGCTTCGAGGACGTCCGCGAGTTCCTCTCACTCCGCACCCTCATCGGTGAGTCAGGCAAGTCCGGATCGGATCGGGCTGCAGACGTCTCGGCCGTCCTCAAGAATACCACAAAGCGTGCCCCTCCCCAGGCCCGCGCCATGTTTGCCTTTACCGCTGAACGCCCCGGCGAGATCTCGCTCGCCGTCGGCGACATTGTCGTCCTCGACTCGGATCCCGACGAGGGCGGTGCATGGTGGGAGGGCAAGATCGGCTCTGTCTCTGGCCGCTTCCCCGCAAACCACGTGGTCCTCATCGGCTCGTCTAACCAGTTTGACGCCGCCGCCGAGCCGCCGCCCGTCCCGCCACCCATCAACGAAGCCCTACGCATCCGCCGTCTCACCCTCCACGCCGATGCCCAGCGAAAGCTCTCCTCTGCTCAGGGGGCGAATACCTGGGGCGAAACCCCTCCGCCGCCGCCGTCCTCGGCCTCCACCTCCACCTCCCAGCCGACGCCTGCGTTGCAGCCGCCTGCCTCCGCCGCCGACGCAGCCGACACACCCACGACCTCGCCCGCCCCTCCCGTTGTTTACGCTCGCGCTGTCGCCAAGTATGCTGGCGATCCCGAGTCGGACATCTCCTTCAAAAAGGGCGACCTCATCGAGGTCATCGAAGAGGACGAGAGCGGCTGGTGGTTTGGCCGGCTCGGCGACGAAGAGGGCCTCTTCCCGGCCACCTTTGTTACTCTGGTCGACGCCACATAGCACCACGACTTGGAGCTACACACCCAATTGCTGTGACACTTGCTGACACAACAATTCGTATTACCCGCTACTCGACCTTAACCGGACCGCTCTCAAATGGCAAGCCCGCCCCAAAGCTCACCACGTTGGCGAGACCGTACAAGACGGTAAGCAGGAGCTGGAATGCATTCTGGATCGCAAAGTGCGAGATCGAGTTCCCAATCTCCTTCCAACTCGCGCCTTGGGTTTTGACAAGGAAGAAAAAGTTGAGCGAGCAGACGGAACTCATGGCCACCACGAGGAAGAAAAGCGCCATGTTTGGCACCTTGAGCACACGGCCCACAAAGCCGAGCGCGCACGAGACGAGCGCAATCGGAATCAGTACCTTGAACACAAGCAGAGCGCCCATAACCCATGGGCGAAAGACAGTCACAAACCGAAAGGCCGAGCTGATCTCAAACGACGACATCGACGCCACGTTGCCGGTCCCGAAAAACGCCACGTTGATGTAGAGCAGCACCATTCCCCCAGTCCGCACGTCGCGGAGCGAAAGCGCCCGCTGCAAGCCTCCTCCGTCCTCACCCGCTGCCTCAATCACAATCCAAGCCACCAGCGACCCAAGAAGCGCCGTAAAGAACAGCATTTCGTAGTGGACCGAGAGGAGGACAAGCGCAGGCGCGAGGCCGAGGTAGAGCGAGACCGTCCGCCACAGCCAATGCCGTGGCGAGAAGAGCGGACCCACAAGCCCAGCCAGGCTCAAGCCCCACGCAAGGACGAGGTTGCTCGTTGGCACACGCGCCCCGCGCGCCAGCAAGGTCTCCGTCTGCCACACGAGGGCACCGGCAAAGGCTGCAACCACCATTTGCAGCCGCAGCAGCTGCTTTGGCAACTGGCCCACGCCAGTGCCCGCAGGATCAGCCTCGATCAGCCACAACACGCCCGCAAGGCCTAGTCCGAGCCCGCCCACCACCAGCGCAATCGACGACTCCATCTCAACTGGAAGCAGAGTGAAGACCGAGAGGCTGACGCAGCTTGCAATCCATGCACCCTGCACTGCACCCTGCGCCCGCGCCGGCCACCAGCGCGTCGTTGGCCACAGGGCAAGAACAAGGAAGCAGAGGGTGTAGACCTCGCGGTAAAAATACGAGGCGACCATGAGCTCGACAAAGCCCACTCCGCACCCCACTGCCGCCGCCCGCGCCATCCCGCTCGCCTCGCCGCCCACAGCCGCCTCGAACACAAGTCCGAGCTGGGCCTTGGCGAGGAGGTGGAGAAAGAAGAGTGGAAAGCCGACGTAGAGGTAGTACCGCCACGGAGCAGACTCGATCCAGAGGAGCCACGTCAGCGCGGCCACAACCACTCCCGTCACGCACTCAACAAACCGCTCATACTTGGCGGCTTCCTTCGACCTGCTTGCAGCCACCAGCATCGCAGCATCGCTTGAGCTCAGCCCGTAGCTACGTACCACCCAGACAACCATGAGCGCGCCAAACGAGACGTAGCCCAGAATGATAAAGGTCATGAGAAAAGCCCAGTCGTAGGTGAGGAGGTAGTAGAGTCCGTCCTGCGAGAGCTGGACGACGCGGCGGGCCATGGCAATAGCCTGCCCCGCGTGCCCATCGCTCACATACTGCGAGATCTTGGAGAAGTACGACTCGCCAAAGATGAGCGGAACGTACGGCTTGAACAAGAGCACTCGCGCCCGCACTGCCGCAGTCTTGACCTTGAACTGCTGGTAGATAGCTGCGGCGTTGGCAACCAGCGAGTCAAGCTTGTACGACGTCGCCACATTGAGGTACTCGATGGGGAGCAACCCTACCGCGTTGGTCGGGTACCGCAGCCCAAGGAGCGAGGCCATCAGCGAGGCCACCTCGGCCTGCTCGACATCCTTCCGCTCGTAGGCGTCCAGGCCCCAGCCAGGCGGATCGCGGCCGGGCTGTCGCGCCTCGACCGGAAGCTTCACCGGCCGGCGCACACCAGCGCCCCACGTCACCAGAGGGGTCTGTGTGTTGTGTGGATCGCCGTCGCCGTGCGAGCCGCGGTTCGACATGCCATGATCAGCAGTAAACACAAAGGCGGTCCCGGCCTCCTCGGCGCGCCCGTACTTGGCCTCAAACAGAGCCACAATCCGCTCGACACCCGCGTCGACAGCCTCGATGTTGGCCAGGTACTCGTCTGACGCCGGCTTCTTGGCGTGGCCGGCAGTGTCGATGCCTAGCAGGTGGAGGAAGAAGAGGGTGCCCGGCCCATCGAGGGCCTCGGGCTCGAGGCCCGGAAAGGCGGAGCCTGGCTTGTCGAGAATACCACCGACCCGATTAAAGACCCAATCGTCAAGCGAGACCGACGACGAGGCGAGGGCAAAGTCCTCCATGGCAGCGTCGTAGGTGAGCCCATGGGCGTGCGGGACCTCATCCACGAACATCGGCACAATGTCGGGCGAGCCAAGCGCCACCGTCACCCGTGACTGGTTGATGACAGAGTCAAACTCGACTGGGTTGGCGGCCCAGCCCTTGGTCACGGCTGAGACGTCCTCGTAAAAGCCAGCGAGGAGAGCGACGTGGCCTGGGCGCGACTCTGTGGGCACTCGGGTGTGGCTCACGCCCCATGAGCCACGATGCTCGATGACAGACCTTAGATACGGAGCGCGTGGTGTCCCGTCAGGCTTGCGCTCAAAGAACGAGGCAGCGCGGAGGCCGTCGGCCACAAAGAGAACCAGACGCTTTGCCGGCGCGCCCGACGGGACTTGGACAGACGGCACGCCCGTCACCAGCGGCGACTGAAAGTAGACGTCAAAGATAGAGTAGAAGAAGACGGTCTGGAAGACTAGTCCGAGAACAAACACCGCCGTAGTCGACCGCACCACCTTACTCTGCCATATGCTCATCCTGCTTTCTCTCCGCAGCTGCAACACCACCACGAAGCCAGTGTGCGAGAGAAGAGTGTGAGTGACCTCGCGAGCCGCCTCTCGTCCGACCATCCGAGTCCGACCAGAGCTGTGCGACTCCTCCCACACACCCCGACCCCAGCCCCGACAAGAGCAACCACAACCACCACATCTCTCCACTCTCCCACACACACTCTCACACACACACATACACACACACACATACACACGCACACATACGCTTCCCTTCTCCGCACACACACATATGGAGGCCACACCAGTGTCCACCACACACCCCGCTGCCGAGCACCCCGCTGTCGACGACATGCAGCGTGTTGAAGAGGCCACGCACACCATGTTCGACGCCCTCGCACGCTACCTCGACGCAGAACTCGCCTCGTCAGCTTCGGACTATACAGTGCTGACAGAGGTCAATGCCGCAGCTACGGCAAAGTACGCCCATATGCTGGAGGTCACACAGGGCCTAGCCGGTCACATGGAAGAGCTCAAGGTCCAGTATGCCCACCTCCAGCCGTATCTCGATCAGATCGATACCATCGCCGCAACAGTGGCCCAGCTTGAGGTCTCGGTCGCCGCCCTAGATGACTATTCCAAGCGCCTTGCTGCCAAGTTTGCCGAGCGTGAGGCTCGCCTGCGCAAGCTCGCCAAGCAGATGTAAACCACCTTCACCCCCCACACACACACACACATTCTCCCGTCATACTTGACACACTGATCTAACACACCGCACGCACCATCAACCCCCGTGCTCGTTGTACTGTAACAAAAGTAGAGAAACTGGACGCAGCTCAACCATGTTGTGCAGTCCATCAACGCTCTGATGCAGCTCCACTGAACCAGTCCTGGCGCCCGCATCCCCGCTGACAGCGAGTCTCTGATCACACGTCACAGCACCGCACACCACTCCCAGCCACCGTCACCCTTCAGCTCACCCACCCACCTCAAGCCACACCACCTTTTCATCCTCCTCATACACGGTTTACGCTCACAACAAGCATCGCATGTCTAAAGTATACCCAGACTCGCCGGACGTCACACCATACTCGGCCCAAGATGAAGCCGAGGTACTCGACCTGCTTTCGCGCGCCAAACAGGTGGCACCCTCGCCGTCGCGCACCCCGGTCCTGACCTCGCCGTCACCATTGTCATCACTTCCTGGCTCACCGTCGACAGAGCTGGAGCGTGCTGCAGCTAGACGGAGGATTCTCGAGCTGGAGCTTCAAGTCAAGGAGCAAGCTGAGGCGCTCGAGCTCCAGGCCGCGGCCCTGCAAAAGCAGAACGCGTTCCTCTCGCAGATCGAGGCCGACCGACGCCGAACGACCGCTGTGCGCGGGTCTCGCGGCTCGCGGTCGCCGGGCGCCAAGGCTGCCGCCAAATCGGATGCTGTCAAATCGGAGGTCATCGAGGAACAGGCCCGTTTGATTGAGGAGCTTCGGGCACAGTTGGAGTCTGCAGCCGAGGAGGCCGAGCTCAACACTTCGCTCGCACACGAGGAGTCGCTCCTGCTCGAGGCCAAGTACGAGGCCACGACCCGACAGCAGCAGGCGGTCATTGAGGAGCTCGAAGCAACTGCAGAGACACAGGCCGCGCTTATCGCGTCGCTCGAGGCAACTGTGGAGATCTTGCATGAGGAGCTTGATCGAAAGACCAAGGAGGTCGACGAGCTTCGTAGTTCGTCCGCGCTCACCGACGGACCGTCTGTCCCTGCGCTTGCTCCTGCGCCGGCTGCTGCTGCCCCCCCCGCATCTGCCCCCATCATGACCAAGGCACCAACTCCGTCTTCGCCCTCTCTCGGTCCCGGTGCCTTTGTGGCGCAACGGGCCATCTATCGAGCCCACGCATCGCCGTCGCACCCGTCGCACGCGTCCCCATCGCCGCGCCGCATGGCTCCCACTTCTCCGCATGGAGTCCACCCTGCAGTCTTTGCCTCGCCGTACTCTTCGCCACTCGTCCGCCAGATTGGTTCACCGATCTTTGCTCAGCGCCGCTCTACCGTGGCCACCCGCCCGGGCGCCGGCCGTCCCATTCCGCGAGTCGAGTTCCAGGCTCGGATGCACAAGGCCTCTGCGCAAATCTTTGGACTCACTCAGATGCAGCACCAGCGCCGTGCCTACCCGTCCATGGTTCCGATGCCGGTCGCGATGGGCATGTCCCCGTCCCGTGCGGCGCGGCCGCGATACCCGAGCCCCTACGCTCGATCCCCCCATCAATCCGGAATGATAGGCAAGTCTTGAACACACTCTCGTGCTGGACATTCGTAGTTCACTCTGGGACGAGCACTTGCACTCGAACTACTCTGCAAGGTCAAGGTCTGGCTGGCCTGAGAGCGTGCGGATCAGATACAGAAGGGGCCGTTCGACGTTGTAGCCTCCGGTTGCAGACACATCGCAGTACTGCAAGTTCTTTTTGCGATGGAAAGTGATGTGCTTGGGCTTAACGACCCGTTCAACGACGTCGACCTTGTTGCCGCACACCACCATTGGCAGCCGCATACTGTTACCAGCGCTGTTGTAGGCATGCCGATGCCAATGAGGCAAGTTCTTGTACGAGTCTCGCGCGTCGACAGCAAAGACGAGGATAGCAGCCTCGACATTGGCCAGCATCCTTTCATCCATCTGAGGCCCATCGGTCACCCAAGTGTTGAACACCACACTCCCAGCCGTCGTCCGCACGTGGATTGGATACACGGTTGCCTCGAGTGCTTCCACCCTCACAGCATCACCGCCCTGGGTCATTTCGTTCCACTTCTTTGCTAAAGTCATCTGCTCTCTCCGTCCACCCCTCACCAGAACGTCATCTGTAGTGAGCTGAGATCTGTTCTTCCTTCCCATGCACCAGCACCCGGACCCTGTCTCTTCCATCCTCTCTGGCCACTTCTGGACGCGGCAACCACATACTTTTCCCACGCCGTCATCTCCAAGGATCACCACCTTGAACGCAACCTCATCTGCTGCCATCTTCACCCGTCCTTCCACCTATGGCAGTCAAGTACATACCCCTCTTCTTGCCCAGACCCAACCCAGACGTTTCCATCTGGAGAGCACCTGTTCCTGCCACCATCGACTCATCGCGTCGTACGCCCATATACCCACACATCCATGCGTTCATCAGCACATCAGTTTTTAAGCTTGATGAGTCAAGGAGCGGAGGGGGTGTGACGGCATGGATAGAAGATGGTGGGCTTGGATGGAGCTTGGCTTGCTCAGTCACGCGCTATGCAGCTGGTTGTGCACCAACTCGAACCCGCAGCTGCCCAACCGGGGCAACCACGTGTACCCTCGGATGGCCGAAATCAATGTCCAGTACTGAATCAAACATACCATGCTACGCGTGATCTCCACACATAGTATTGTAGAAGCTTGTTAGCCGGTGGATCACCCCTGGGTTGCCGCCTGCCCCCCCCCCCCCCCCCCCCCCCCGACCACGGGCTTGGTGCCAACGACTGCCAACCCCGCGTCGTGCTCAGCAGCCGACAGCACTCAACTCTGCCGTCCGCCATGTCTGTGCCGTACACACGAAGCTCGCTGCTCAAGATGTGGGCTGCGGTTTCGCTCTCTATGTTTGCAGGGGCCTCTGTCATGCACAACATCCTCAAGCCCGACCTCCGGCTTGAGCGCGACTCGGACGATGTCTCGTACGACGACGACGCGTCGGGCGAGGCCGTCACCGGCGGGGAGAGCCAGGCTGAGAGGTGATCGAAGAAGAGGAAGCAGGAGAGCTGCGATCGCTGGTGCTTACTGCAATGGTGCAGCTGCTCGGCTGAGCAGCTATCGATATACGTTGGGCGCCGACCGGATGTGCTTGCTGGACCTTGCACTCCCTCGGGATCGGTACCAGCCACTGTTGCGGCTGACGACCCGACGCGTCGGCTTTGTGAACCGCTTTCCCGGGCCGCTGCCAGTCCTGGCCTGGAAGTAGGGCGCTCGTCGACTGGCCACATCGCCACATGGCAGGACGCAGCCGCTCGCGTGACGCGCCCTCGATCCAGCCGCCCGTCACGGCTCAAGGCACGGATGATTTACTCTTCCACACTAAACAGCTGGAGACCAGAGCCACTGAAGGCTCACCGCCCCATCGCATCGCACCAGTGATGCATATAGATGGAAGCGCAGCCGACGGGAGCGCAGACCGCTCCCCTCATCCCCTTCTCACCGCAGTCGCCGCAGGCAGCCCATCGTCGGCCGACACAGGCCTTCATCTCGGTGCCTCACAGGGTACCACGGACGGTAGTCGGCTTGCACTTCCACCATGTCCAAGTGTAGAGCATGAGGTGTGAGCCAAGGCCCATGGCGGCACCCTGGACAAGCGGGACGAGGATGTTACGGGTGAGGGCGGACCAGAGGGCCGAGCCAGACCAAGTACTCGAAGGCCTGGCCACCGTGAGAGTTGTATCAGCCGAGTCTGGCGTGGGACGCTCTGTTGCCGTAACAATGAGGCTATCGTCCATGATATCCGAGTCGGCTCAAGAGAGGTGAGGTGGAGGTGAAACGGGAAGTCGAGAGGGCGGCACGGAAGTGGCTTTGACCTTGGGTGGCTGTGGGTCTTGGTGCCCAGTTCGTCGACCGTGTTGGGCCAGCCACGCCGCATTCACCACAGGAAGGGTCTTAAACACACACACACACTCACACATACATACATCACTTGCCCTACCTCCTCCCCCCCCATGCCACCATCCAATCCCCACGTCAACGCCGACTCGCTCTCCGCGGCCCTTGCGCCATTTGTGACGAGTCATGAGCAGCTCGACAAGCTCACCGGCCTCCTCACAGACTACCTCCCGTCGGAGCTCCCGGGCGCTGGACCGACGCCAAGGAACAAGCAACGCAAGAAGAATCTCACTTCTCGGTTGCACACCCTATTGGTGGGTGTGGCGCTAGAGGATGCGAATGATACTGTCGAGTGGGTGACTCAGTGTGACACCCGCGACGAGCTGCGCCCTCTGCTCGAGGGCCTCGCAGCGCAGGCCGCGCTCCCGATGTGCGAGACTGAGCTGCCGCCGCCGCCGAGGCCGGCACCCTCGTCGTCGTCGGCATCATCATCGTCGTCTATGTTGTGTGTGGCAATATTGACTGTCATTGGTTTCCTCGCTATCTGCGCCCTCGTGGTCTCAACCGTCACTGTGGGCGGACGACAGGCGCGGAGCCGGGCTGATGTGGTTGATCCTGCCATCGCCAGCTTTCTCTCGCAGCATCCGGACTACGAGGCTGTGGCAGCTCGTGTCCGCGAAACGCTCCTTGCGCATCGCGGCACGCCGACGCTCTCGATCCACCTCGCGGTGGTGGATGCTGCGGGGCTTGAGGTGGCACGGGCGCTGGCGGCAGAGCTTGTGGACCACATTCACTACATGCGGCATCCAAACTCTGCTTCAGGCACGGCGGGAAGCTGCCGCAAAGACGGCGGGCTGCTCTCGATGTGCCGGATGGTCGTGGTGGCGCCATCGGGAGAGGGACGAAGTGTGCTGGGTCAGGTTGCGGACGCACTCACCCTCCATGAGCGGACAGTGTTTCTGTTTGATATGACAACGGGCGGCTTTGAGCCGTTTGACGTCAACTCGCTTGCAGGAACGCTCCTCGACGACTCGCTGCCGTACATCCGCGGCGAGGGCGGAGTGCGGATTCCGTCGTCGCACGCGGTTGTGGTGATGGTGTCGCTGCTGGACGAGGCTGGCGGGCCAGAGTTTTACGACGAGGTCGAGGCGGCGTTTGCGGCCGGGCACGCGCCAGTCCATCGTGCAGCCGACTATGTTGTGAAGGAGCGGATGCGGCGGGTGCTGGGGTGGGACGACCGGATTGTGCACCGGCTCTCACTTTCGATTCCTGTTGTGACGTCGGATCACGGGTATGTGCGGGTCTGGAGTCGGAGTCATTGAATGTCAGCATGCTGGGGTAGGCTTGTAGATTGGGATGTCGGGCCGTAGTTGTGGCGGAATCGTTTAGTGGCGGAATCGGTTGGTGGGCGCCAAATTGGTGGGACCAGCGGTTGGGCGGTTTCGACGAACGTGACGAGTCGGGGTAAGACTCGACTTTTCCTCAGTCCAAAGTACGCGACCGGGGGCGAGAGTGGGGTGGGTGTGTTGTGTGGAACAAGTTGTTTGGGAGCGAGGGGAAGTGGGTGTGGAGCCGTGCATGGGCCATGCGGAGGAGAGCGTGAAGGTTGTGAGGCTGGGGAAGTGTTTTGTGGGCTGTATGGGTGGGGGGGAGGCAGGGGCTGTGGGGCGGGCCAGCGAAAAAAATGTTTTTGGCGCGCGTTTGGGTGGCAACGGGAGCAACGACGAAACGGCGGGAACTCATTGGTTGTTTGCGACGGATACAGACCCCTTTTCAACATGCGTGAGTGCATCTCGATCCACATTGGCCAGGCTGGCGTCCAGATTGGTAACGCCTGCTGGGAGCTCTACTGCCTTGAGCACGGCATGTACGTTTGAGAGAGAGAGAGAGAGTGTGTGTGTGAGGGGGGTCAAGCGAGCGGGGATTGGAATGTTCCGACCGACCTTTCCCGCTCATTGGCGGCCGCCAACGGTTGGGGATGTTTTTTTTTACGTGAATGGCTTTGGCCTTAACCAACGCACTAACCCCATTCCCATCTTCATCTCCTCCCGCCTACAGTCAGCCGGATGGCCAGATGCCTTCGGACAAGACCATCGGTGGTGGTGACGACGCTTTCAACACGTTCTTCTCGGAGACCGGCGCTGGCAAGCACGTCCCGCGCGCTGTGTTTGTTGACCTCGAGCCGACTGTGATCGACGAGGTCCGCACCGGCACCTACCGCCAGCTCTTCCACCCGGAGCAGCTGATCACCGGCAAGGAGGATGCCGCCAACAACTACGCTCGTGGCCACTACACCATCGGCAAGGAGATTGTTGACCTCGTCCTCGACCGCATCCGCAAGCTTGCGGACAACTGCACTGGTCTCCAGGGCTTCCTCATGTTCCACGCCTTCGGTGGTGGTACCGGCTCCGGCTTTGGCTCGCTCCTCATGGAGCGCCTGTCCGTCGACTACGGCAAGAAGTCGAAGCTCGAGTTCACCATCTACCCCGCCCCGCAGATCTCGACCGCGGTTGTGGAGCCGTACAACACGATTCTGTCGACCCACACCATGCTCGAGCACTCCGACTGCGCGTTCATGGTCGATAACGAGGCCCTGTACGACATCTGCCGTCGCAACCTCGACATCGAGCGCCCGACGTACACCAACCTGAACCGTCTCATTGGCCAGATCGTTTCGTCGATCACTGCCTCGCTCCGGTTCGATGGTGCCCTCAACGTCGATCTCACCGAGTTCCAGACCAACCTCGTCCCGTACCCGCGTATCCATTTCCCGATGGCCACCTACGCGCCGGTCATCTCGGCCGAGAAGGCCTACCACGAGCAGCTGTCCGTGGCTGAGATCACCAACGCGGTGTTCGAGCCCGCGAACCAGATGGTCAAGTGCGACCCGCGCCACGGCAAGTACATGGCGTGCTGCATGCTCTACCGTGGTGACGTTGTCCCCAAGGACGTCAACGCCGCCATCGCCACCATCAAGACCAAGCGCACCATCCAGTTCGTGGACTGGTGCCCGACTGGCTTCAAGGTCGGCATCAACTACCAGCCGCCGACCGTCGTGCCGGGCGGTGACCTCGCCAAGGTCCAGCGCGCTGTCTGCATGCTCTCCAACACCACCGCCATCGCGGAGGCCTGGGCTCGCATCGACCACAAGTTCGACCTCATGTACGCCAAGCGTGCCTTTGTCCACTGGTACGTCGGTGAGGGCATGGAGGAGGGTGAGTTCTCCGAGGCCCGTGAGGACCTTGCCGCCCTCGAGAAGGATTACGAGGAGGTCGGTGTCGACTCCATCGAGGGTGAGGACGAGGACCTCGACTACGTCGAGGAGTACTAAGTCTTCTCTCCGATCGTACTCTTGACCTGTGCGCTCCGGCGGTTTCGCCGCACCCAGGACGTGCACGGTGCTTGCGCCGCGTACTCTTGGGGCGCCGAGATCTCCAATGAAGAAATTTTCCAATTCAGTTTGTTCTCTCGGCGTGACACGTCGCCACTTGACCTGGGCTACCGAGCACGCCAAGCAAGCTAGCGTCTCTCTCTCTCTCTTCCGACCCCACCCCTTCCCTCCCCATCATGTCCAACCCCTGGAACCCGGCGCGCTACCTCGCCTTTAACTCTGCCCGTCTCCGCCCCGCTCTCGACCTCCTTGCCTTTGCCTCGTCGTTCGTGCCCTCGGCGGCGTCGGCAGCTTCGGCGGCGTCAGCAGCCTCGGCAGCCTCGGCAGCCTCGATACCGCTGGTGGTTGATCTCGGATGCGGCGCCGGCAACCTCTTCCCTTACCTTGCTGACGCCTTTCCCTCCTCTTCCATCCTGGGCGTCGACTCTTCGCCCGAGATGTTGGCCGCCGCCGATGCGTCAGCTGCAGACCTCGACCACTCGGCTGGCATCACCACCGTCCTCGGCACCATCGAGGACTTTGTCCCGCCGACACCCGCCGCCCTGGTCTTCTCTAACGCTGCTCTCCACTGGCTCTCGCCAGAGAGCCATGCCTCGGCCCTGGCGCGCCTTGCCTCGCCGGACGTTCTTGCGCCATCGGGCGTCCTCGCCATTCAGATGCCCGACACCCGTGTCCAGCCGTCGCACATGCTCATGACCAAGGTTCTCGCTCGCGAGCTTGAAGCCCACCCGGAGCTGGACCTTGATCTTGACTCGCCAGCGCTTGCTGTCCCTACCGTCGCCCACGATCACACCGCCTACTACGCCATCCTCGACAACGCAGGCCTCAGCCCGCACCTCTGGTCCACAGAGTACGTCCAGGTTCTCGACGGTGATGACCCCGTGTACAGGTTTACCCGCGAGACCGGCCTCAAGCCGATTCTCTCCGCGCTTGCCGCTGCCGACCCGTCTGGAACCGCGCAAGCACGATACGAGGACGCGTACAGGACCGCCCTCCGCGCCGCGTACCCGCCGCTGCCCGATGGGCAGACGCTCTTCCCGTTCCGGCGGATGTTTATGGTTGGCGTGCGCAAGTAGAAGGCGCATCACGAGCTGAGGTCTCTCTCCAGCGTTGACTCTAACACATCGGCCGAGGAGGTGGGGGCGGTGGCGGTGGCGGTGGCGGTGGCGGTGGCAGAGGTACAATTCCCTTCCCCACCATGCTCGCCGCGGCCTCTTTCCTCGCCCTCTCTTCTTCCTTCCGCTCCCTCCTCACCTCGGCCTCACTCTCTTCCTGCGCCACAATCGCCTCCTCCCACGATCCGTGCATGACCACAAATGTATGGTTGGTGCCAGACGCCACAGCTTCGACACTCCCGCCGTACTCGGCGAGGCGGGTGTCGATCCTGACTGGCGTCAGCACCGCACCCGAGAGCTTGTCGGCCTCGTCGGGCACGATGTCACGCGATCTCAGTCGCGTGCAGCGCTTCGGAATAGCTGCTTGCCTCGCACGTCAGAGCCCCACGACCATAGCTCGCCACTTGAAGTGAGGACGAGCGAGTGTGAGGAGCCAACTGCCAGCCCCACAACGTGCCCGCTCATCGTGGGCTCAAACACGATTCGTGTCGGCTGCGAGACGTCGCAGTGGTCGCCATGCCCAAGCCGGCCGTGCAGGCCAGCACCCCACGAGTACACTGCATCGTCCGACGCTGCAAGCCCGTGTTTTGGCCCGAGTGCGATGTGCTTGATTCCCTCCAGTCCAGCCACTTTGTCAAACGTGCGCCCGTCGCCGTCACGGCCAAGCACGTCCACCCCCGCCTCGCCAGCCGAGTACACCGCCCCCGACTCGCCGAGAACGAGGGTGTGCCGCCGCGAGGCCGCTACGGCCACGGCTCTCTCTGGAAGCTTCACAGGCTCATCCAGCGCCACCGCCCGCTCGTCGCGCCCGCGCCCGGTCTGCCCGTACTGGTTCCCGCCGCCGGTCACCACGATTCCGTCGGAGCAGAGGACTGCAATGTGCGATCCGCCGCCGGCAATGTCCACGATCTCGCGCCCGTCGCCGTACCATCCAGCCTCACGCCAGCAGTCATCAACTCGGCGCGGAACAAGCGCATGGTCCTCGGACCTGTCGCCGAGACCAAAGTAAAAGCCACAGCCCCATGCCCAGATCTGCCCCGACGAGGTCCGAGCAAATCCCGACGACTCACCGGCGTACGCCGCAACAATGTCGTCATCGCTCTCGCGTCCGACCAGCGCGACTTGGACCGGGTAGCTCTCATCTTCATCGATCATGCCGAGGCCGAGCTGACCAAAGTGGCACTTGCCGTGGCTCGCCAGCACGCCATCGGTCACCGTCATCACATGAGCCGCGCCCGCAGCCAAGGTCATCCGCTTGCCAGTCAGCACAGCGTCCCAAGGCCCCTTCCGCAGCACCACTGGGTACGGCTTGTCGTCCCAGTCGCCGCGACCTTGGGCCAGCCGTCCGTAGTAGCCGTTGCCCCATCCCAGAACATACCGGCTTGTGCCGGCTGCCGACATACTCAGGTGTGCCTCGCTTGGATGTCACTGCTCCTCGCCGCCGACACGGTGGGTTTAATGGCAACAGCAGGGCTCAGCCGACCAAGTTCCGTGATGACTATCAGCTGACAAACGACATGACAACGGACGGCATGGCGTAGACCGAGGCAGCAACGACGCCGGCACCCGCGGCAAAGGAGGTGGCGGCGGCCGCGAGAACGGCCTTGGAGGTGGTGGGTGGGTCGGATGAGGTAGGAGCGGTGTTCTTGTCTGTGGCGGCGTGCCGATGGGCGAGGTCGAGCTCGGCCCGCGCGTCGGTGAGCTCCTCGGCGAGCTCGGCGATGCGGCCACGGAGGACGCGAATGCCCTCAGACTCTTCGAGCGCACGGGCGCGGCTCTCGCGGGGGTCAGAAGTCGTGGCGCGGGAAAGGTGCGCTCGCAGAGCGGCTGCATCGGCGCGCGCAGCCTTGAGCTCGACTTCGAGCTCGGCCTCGCGCTCGGTCTTGAGCTCCTGGGCAGGAGCGGGAGCAGGATCAGGAGTGGGAGCGGGAGCAGAAGTGGCTGCCGGCTGAGGAACTGACGCAACAAGGTCTTCGACGAGTTGCGATGCGTGAAGGAGTTGACCGCGGGCAGTGGCAAAACGGGCGATGAGGGCTGGTGACACGACTGGAGAAGAAGGACGAGGCGGCGAGGCGGCAGCGAGGTTGGGCTGGAAACTGGCAGCAGCGAAGAGCTCGTCATCGTCGGATTCGTCAACAAGATCTGCGGGAGGAGGAGAAGCAACGACTGGAAGAGGAGTTGGACTGGCAGGAGGAGGGCTTGGGCTGGCAGGCGCTGGAGCCATACGGGCAACAAGCGAGGAGATCGCCGAGTACTGTGGGATGTCTACCAGGGTCGACTCGAGATCGGCTTCGAAGCGGTCTTCGAGGCGGGCCATGTCGGCGCGGTGAGCGGTGGCAAGGTCAAGGAGTCGCTGTGCATGCCGCTTTTCTTGCGCTGCCAGCTGGTCCTCAAGGACTCGGACATTATATGAGAGGACCCTGATCTTGGCCTTGTAATTGGGCGCCGAGAGTGGTCCCTCGTCGCGGACGGTGAGGGCCGACGACGCAGCCTCGAGCTCGCGCCGGAGGACGTGAGCCTCCTTCTCAGCACGGGTAAGTGCAGCCTCGAGTGACAAGCATCGCTCGCATGCCCCCGGCATATGTGTGTGTGTGTGGGGAGGGGGGGGGGAAGTTGTGTGGCTGGTCGGGGTGGTGGGGTGTCCAACGGTTTGCCCAGAGGCGACTGCGGCCAGACTGTGGCGGATGATGCGGGCGCTGCGACGGCCCCTCCGTGACAAACGGATGAATGAATGGCTTGTCGGGCAATGATGGGTGATGAGGTATGGTTGAGCTATCGAGCCTGCACGGCCCGCATCTAGATATTGCGACCTCCATCGGTGCGGGTCGCCAGGCTACAGCTTGACGCGCCTGTGCTCATCTCCCAACCACACTCACCCGACAGAGATGGGCCTCAATCCGATGACCACACATAGTACACGCGCATTATGTTTACGGCCTTGGACCTTCACTGCCCGCATCATACCTATCGGGCTTCCTCCGCCGCCATCGATGCGTGTCGGCTGTCTGAGCGCGGCAAGTGGCGGTGACGGGCGACCCCATCCACGGAGGTCGACAGGGACAAGGAGGTCACTGGGGGCGGGGAGACCATAAAGGGCTAGAGGAGGCAGGGCCACAAGCATAACTCAAGGCGGTACACTTTACCACTTCAACAATAATGTCTGGACTCAACGCTGCTCGCAACGTGCTCCGCACCTCTGTGGCCTCTGCCTCGCGCATGGCCCCGACCCGTGTATGAAGCCATGGGTGTGTGTGTGTGTGGGGGGGGGGAAGGGACGGGCAAAAAGTGGAGGGGGGCGGGTGAGGGGGTGGGGGCGGGGGCGGGGGGACAGGGTAGCGGGTGGCAAAGGGGGGGGGGGAGGGGGCGGGTGGGGGGGAAGGGGTTATTGGAAGTGGGACTTATCCAGGGAGACGGACGGGAGTAGGCGCTGCGTACTGTGCGGGGTGGTGGCTCTGGTGCTGCTGGTAAGGAGGGTGGCTCGTTCATCGAGAACATGCCCGGTGAGTACCTTGTCCTCTCGGTCCTCGCTGGCTGGGCCGTCGTCATTGTCGGCGCCAAGAAGATCTTCGGTGGCTCCAAGGAATAAGCTCGCGCGTCTGTCTTTGCCCCGCCCCCTCTCTCTCTCCTCCCCTTCCCCTTACACAACGCCGCCCATCTGCGTATCCCGCACTACTGCTGGTGTTGAGTAAATGCTGTTCGCATACATATATGCACGCCCGTGCCTTCCAGCCCGCTGCGATCCGTCAACCCGATGTGCCTGCCGCAATTGGGGTGCATTCTGGGCCTCATCACTGAGATCAGTACAAAGTGGTAGCCATGGGAAGTGATCGCGATGGCCTCGGCTGCCAGAGCCCACCAGCCCTCCACACATGGCGACCTTCTCTGCGCCTCACTTGTCCGCAGCATGTCGGACGCGACATGGATGTTAGGCCGAGCAAGCGGGTCAGGGTCAGGATTGCCAGCCAGCGCCGTGTCACCGGCTGGGCTCCTCTCACTGCCGACCGAGCTGCTGCAGGCGATTGCGTACGACACAGGCATGCTTTCGTTGACAGACACGGTAGCGATGGCGGCGAGCTGCCAGCGGCTGCATGCTGCTCTGGTGGGCGATGCCGCTGGTCGACGACGAGCAGAGGCCCTGGCCGGCTACGATGCTTGCATCGCCGCGGGTCGCTGGGGTGGGGCCCGACTGGCCATGGCGAGCGTGGCCGCCACACTCGGGTACAGCCAGTCGTCGGCGGGAGCTCAGTTCTGGAGCGAGCCTCTGCGAACGTACGGGGTATTTGCTAGCACTGATGGCGATGACGATGAGTGGATCGCGCTCATCAGGGCCATGGCTGCGGCAGGCATCACAGGGCCGCTCGGGCCGACTGGTGACATCGGTGTCGAGCTTGTGTGGGACGAGGGAGAGGAGCTTGCCCACGCTTTTGACGGCGGGCCGCTCTGCGTTGCAGCCATGGCGATGCTTGCTGGTGCCGTCAACCTTGGCATCGAGCTGCTCGACGCTGAGGCGCCTGGGACGGTTGCAGGCCAGGTTCTGGCCGCCGCCGCCGCTGTCGACGAGCCGCATCTGGTGCACCGGCTGATGGAAGAGGGCGTGGACCCGAGTGCGGGATGGGACGCTGCCCTGCGATGTGCGGCTCGGCGTGGGTACGCTGGCGTAGTGGCGGCCTTGATCGTCGACGAGCGTGTCGATCCCTCGCGATGCAGCAGCGAGGTGCTACGGTCCGCAGCGAGAGCCGGCCACACCGACGTCGTCTACCACCTCCTTGCCGACGGGCGAGTCGATGCCAATGCGATGGACGGAATCGCAAGGGCAAGTGCAGTGCGAGGAGGCCACGATCAAGTTGTTGCCCTTCTCGACCGCGCGGCTACACACGGGTAAAGATAAATACTAACTGTAGGCTGTGGGATCATCGACGTTTACTCGAACTCGGACATGTCAACCTCCTCCTCGCCATCCTCGGCGACGGCAACCTCGTCGGCGACAGCCTTGGTGTAGATCGACTGCGAGCGGTGGGTGGAGACCTCAATGATGAGGCCCTCGGCGAGCATGTCCTTGATGGCAGCGCGGGCGACGGAGCCGTTGACGCGCATGCGCTCAGCGATGATCGACGGGGTGATCAGGCGGTACTTGGGGACCTCAGCCATGATCTCGGCGTACTTCTCCTCGTTGGCGAAGACCGCGTTCTCGATCTTGTCGCGCGAGCGCGTCTTCGACCACTTCTTCTTCTTAGCACCTACACACATACACGCCCTCTTCCTGTGAGCACCCGCCAGCCACACTCGCCCCGACACACCCACCCAATACCCACAACCTCTTCCTCTCCACAAACCCTCCCATCTCCTGCATCCGCACCCGCAACTAGTTGCGCACGCGGTCACAGGTAGCAGTGATAGGTGGGGGGGAGGGGGAGGGGGGGCGGCGAGAGACAGACACAAATTCGGCCAATCACACAGACACACCGCCGACACCACGCTTGCTCTCCACGTCACATACCGGCCTACGCAGGACAATACACACACTCTGTGAGTCTCTCATCATGTAATGCTTCTTGCATACTTCTTTGCTCTTGCTACGTTGGTGTAACAGAGCGACAGGGGAAATGGCGGCGGTGTGGGGGGGAGGGCCCCGGCCGGGTTTCCCTCGATGACTGACCAAAGGCGGATGAGAAGCCGACGAGGGTGGGAGGGGGGGAGGACAGCAGCGAGTACGCCCGCCACGACCAGCACAGCCATAGAAGGAGTTCTGTCACATAGAGTTGTTCTCGATACACAGCTTGCAGCTGAGGGGGGGGGGAGGGAGGGAGGGAGGGAGTAAGGGGGGGAATGACCACCAGGTCTGGCGTACCATGATAAAATGTAGTAATGTGGAGTGAGAAACAACGCCCGTGCCAGCAAAGCCGATTTGCGCGAGCTCAATTCGTCGGCCATTTTGCCGACATCCGACGAAACGAGTGAGAGTGAGCGAGTGGCAGGCCTGTGTTCCGCCGGGTGGGGCGGCGACGGTTCGGCGCGGTTGAGGCGACGGCCACACGCGACTGGAGGCGAGTGCCGGTGGCGAGAACGGTTGTAACAAGAGGCTGCGATGGAAAAGGCACTGCTGACGCCGGACGATATTGAGCATGTCCACCGTGCCTTTGCAGAAGCCGACCCGAGGCAGACAGGGCTCATCGATGTGTGGGCATTTAAGGATCTTGTGGAGACCATGCCGTGGGAGCTCTCCGACTATGACATGTACGAGCTGCTGGCGTCGGTGGAGAAGGATGGTCGTGGGCGAATTGCCTTCCCTGCGGTGCTCAAGGCTGTTGACGACCATGTGCGCGCCCGGGTTGAAGAGAGCGCAGACTTTGACGCCGCCTGGGCCGCGCTCGGCGGCTCGTTTGTCGACGTCGAGGGCACCCGCCACGCGCCGGCCTCTCTGGATTCGCCGGCCGCATTCGAGGCCTTTCTGCCTGCAGACGATCAGGCGGTGACCGAGGCGGCGGCCCAAGTGGGGATGCCCACGCCGTCGGCGGCGGCCGTGGCCGGCTCTGGCGACAAGATTTCTGTGGATGGCCTGCTGCGCGCATGTAAGCGGTATGATCTCGCCCTCAACGTCTCGGACCTCATCCAGTTCTCCACCGCACCGGAGCTCTCGTTCGACGAGTTCCGCTCATTTGTCCTCACGGGCTCGCTCACTGGTAACCGGGCGGGGGTGGGGGCCTCATCAAAGCGGCCGAAGCGGCTGCGCCGCGGCAACTCTTCGGGCTTCTCGCGCCTCTCGTCGCGCAACCTGCTCACCGCATCGAATGCCGGCGATGCCACAGGCGCTGCTCGAGGAGCTGAAGAGGACAGTGATGCTGACGGCTTGTCCAGTCTGCGGGTGGTGGTTCCGAGCTAGCCAACAGACCTATGAGCAAAGGTGTGCTCGCGGGCCGAGGCTGCGTTCATTGTCACATGGGATGATCCGACCGCGAGGTAAGGGAGGGAGAGAGGGAGAGGGAGAGGGAAAGAGAGCGGAGGGAATCAGCTCTGCTGGGCGAGGTAGGCCTCGTACTCTGCGGCATCGAGGAGCGAGTCGAGCTGGGTCGGCTCGGTCATGCGGAGCTCGACAAAGTGGCCAGCGTCGAGCGGATCGTCGTTGACAAGCGACGGGTTCTCAAACAGCGAGTAGTTTGGAGCAAGGACGTGGCCAGAGACCGGCGAGGCGACCTTCTCGTTGGCCGAGAGCGAGCACTCGAGCGAGACGACCGACTCACCCGCCTCGACCTGCGACTCGGGGTCCGGGAGGGCGACGTAAGCCACAGGACCGTGAGCGATGGCACCCGCGGGAGCAAGGCCAACCTTGGCCACTGTCGAGCCCGGGGTGTGTGCCACGTAGAGGTGGTCCTTGGTGAACTTGTACTCGGTGACTGCAGTGTTGTGAGTGTGGGGCATGGGCAGGGGGAGAGGGAGAGGGGACGGGAGGAGGGGGGAGGGGGGGGGTGCAGGGCACGTACGGGCACCAGCAGTGGTGGAGAGGGTGCGCCGGGCAAGGGGGGTCACGGCGGTGGTAGCGAGGCGGAACATGGTAAGGGTGTGAGAGAGGTGGTGCTGAGGTGGTTTGTAGTTTGTGGTTGTGGTTGTGGTTGGGACGGGGGGAGGGGAGGGGAGGGGAGACGGGCAAAGTGATCAACCACTCCAACCGATGCCCATGTCGGTGGAGGAACGGCGTTTGGCTTGATGCTTGATTTCATAGGAATGGGGCTGGTAGGTGGTGTGGTGTGACCGAGAGAGGTTGGGATGGCGGTGAGATGGCAGTGGAGTCCGAGATCTAAAGCATGAAACGATGTGTGTTCTGTAGAGGCCGGCATCAGCCGAGGGCAAGCAACGGGCGGGATGGGGCGGAGAAGCGGCGAAAAGACCCCTGATGATGCGCTTGATAGCTCGATACCAGTCCAGCTTGATCGCCTAGTGAGGGTCAGTGTGACCGATGGTGGATGTGGGCGCGTGCGGCCGATGGCGGGTGTGGGCGCGTGCGGCCGATGGCGCGTTTGGGCGCTTGCGGCCGATGGCGGGCGTGGGTCGTGCGAGGCGGCGAGAGAGAGGGTGAGTGGTGCAAGAGTAGGCGTCTACTCGTGCTTCTTTGCAGGCACCGACACATCGCCGGCGTAGATCCAGACGATGGCAAACCACATGAGAGAGAGGCCGGAGAGGGCGAGGAGGAGGACGTGGTGCTTGGCATCATGTGTGGGGTGCTCGGCTGTAGAGACGTCGACACCAATAGCAATGGCGCCCATGAGTGAGGCTGCGAGGTTGGCAAGAGCAACAACTTCAACGCGCGGGTAGTACAGCTCACGGGCAGCGAGAGCGCATCCGACCACAACAAACAGAGCCAGTCCGCCCACCAATCGGCCGAGTGTCTCGTCGGTGAAGAACCAGCCAGTGACCGGGAACACCCACTCGGGGTTGACCAGCAGCAGCGCAAGCGGCGCAAAGAGTACAGCCTGGACAGCAAACGCGCTCCGCCAGAATGGTCTCAGCATGATTGGTTTGGTGTCAGAGGTGTGGTGGCTGGACCTGGGCGGCTTGGCGTGGTTGGGAACGGCCGTCTCGCTCTGGTTGAGCTGCCGGCCGGTTTTGGCGCATCGTCACGGCACAAGCATCCAGCCATGGCGCTGCGATGGTTGTCGACCTGCTGACGCTGATACGCTCGGCTATTGGACTTATGGACGACATGCACGTGTAGTGCCCAGCTCGCTTCTCGATCGGCTTGCTACTTTTCGCGCGCGTGTGTAGTAGCTAGCTCGAACTTGCTCTGATTTCTTACCACTGCAGGCAACTTCTGTAGGCACTGCGTGCCGTCTGCCGCCGCCATCTACACACACGGCACCATAGACGTTTGTGATCTATGCCTTTGCAGAGACATATCCTGCTACTCTATCGCTCTATGGCTCCACGCCCTCCTGGCCTCGAGCATGGCGCCCAGAGGCCAACCGCAGGCCTCAGATTCTGCGATCGTTGCGCGAGCACCACTCACAAACCAGCTCAGCCGGTCGCCCACTATCACGCGAGTTGAACACACACTCGGTTTCACATAAAGAAGATATGTACAGACAATGACAGGGGGTCCAGACTAAGAGTCACTCGCCGCCTCCAGGGCGCTACATGATCCAGAATCTCCACACGCACAGTAGGCAAGGCCTGGCATGCGGGAGGCAAGATCGTGCGACCGGTGGCATGACGCCGCGCAGACCGAGCAGACCAGAAACGGGGCGTCGGGCGTGGAGCACGAGCGGCAGTGGTACACTCCCTGCTCCACCGCATCGCGGCCGGTGACAGAGAACGAACACGTTCGCGCGCGACAGGCATCGCGCAGCCGCCGCGCGAGCGACTTGCGCGCCGACGCGCACGCTTCCGCCACCTTCTTGCGCGGGTCGCAGAACCGTGCTGAGCACTCGGCAGCCGACCAACCTTGAAAGTGGCAGGTGAAGCTGAGCGGCTCGGCGCCGGCAACGCACTCGTGGACGGTAGGCAGGTTGCCGGCCGCAAGGCCAGGGCGCGCACCGGCTGGCGTCGTCGCGATGTACTCGTCCACAAACGTTCGGACCTTGGCAGACTTGGAGTCGTCGGCGCAGGGCGGGATTCGAAGGTGAACCTCGTACTGAGCGTCAAGGATGTAGAAGGCACGGTCGGAGAGATCATACTGGCAGAAGTTGCTCAGCTCGGTGATGGTGAGAAAGCCCGATGCAAACGATGCCTCGTAGAGATAGACTTCCAGCCCCGCATCACGGAGGAGCGGGAACGAGGCGTACGGAGACTTGCCGCCGAGCGCGGCCCAGAACGCCTCCGGCTCGTAGCCCTCGGGAATGGTGACGATCGCGTCCTCGTCCTCGTCAGCCTCGCCGTCGTCGCCCGAGTACGACGAGTTGGACGGGTAGAAGAGCGAGCCTGTGACCAGCCGCCGGAGCCGCCGTGCCACGGACGACGCGAGGTCGACCTCGACCCGGTTGACTCCGGCTCCGAGCCAGACGTAGATGACTCCGGCGCCCACGTCGTAGCACACAAACGCGTCGCCCGAGTTGAGCGACGCCGAGCGTGCCTTCACCTCGTACGCCACCAGGTGTACTTTGTCGCCGGCTGCCAGCTCGGACCGCACGTGGTAAAGCCGGGTGGCGAGCTTGTTGGCGGCGAGCGTTTCGGCGTTGAACACGTCGTCCGGTGCGAGCGCCTCGAGCTCCGGGTGCGCGTCGCCGTAGTTGAACACCATGCATGCGTCGATGGGCAAGACGTCACGCCCGTGCCCGGTGTGCACCACCATGCCGTCCGGAAAGAGCGAGTGAAAGTGAGGGCACTCTTTGTACATCGACTGCTGAACCACCGTGACGTCCATGCCGTGCGCCGAGAACTTGGACTTGAGCTCACGCCCGAGCGAGAGCTCGTACTCGAGAAAGATCCGCGATGAGGCCAGCCGCCCGGCCCAAAAGTAGATGCGGAACCGTGTCTGCGACGGGAGCCCGTTGGCAGCCTCGGTTTGGTAAGTGTAGATGACCACCACTGCGTCAGCTGCAAAAAAGTGTCCATGATGGTGCCGCGGAAGCGTGTAGATCATCGACGGCGACTCGAAGACCATGACCTTCTTGGAGCCGCCAGCGTCGCCGAGCGAGGCCACTGTTGCTCCGTGCACCGCTTCCGCGTGCGTGTGGAGCCGCGCGTAGTCGATCGGAACAGCGTCGACCTTGGCCACCCGTGAGTGCGGAGCGTTGAACGACACAATGGCGCCGTCAGACGCCTCGCGGTTAAGCATCGGGGTGTGCCAATCGTTAAAGTACTCTTTGAACAGATACGTCTCCGCTCCCTCCACAACTCGCGTGATAGACGCAAACGACGACCGCTCCGCAGACTCGAAAAAGTGCTCGCCGACCCTGAGCCCGGCCTCTTTCTCGATCTCGTTTGCACCCTTGCCGATCCACACAAACACATCGTTGACCGAGTCGAGAATGTACACGTCGTCGGTGACCAGCATGGCCTTGGAGAGCGGGCGCTCGGTGAGTTTGAGTACCTGAAGCTGGCCGGCGGCGTCAGACACCTCGTACAGCTCGGTCGCGTTGTGGAGCGCCGCCTCGTAGGCCTCGTCGTCGGCAACATCTCCGTCGTCGTCACCGCGCGGAATCTGCGGTGTCGGCGTTGCAGAAGCTGCCGGATCCCACCCCAGCGTCCGCCAGAACGGCTCAAAGTCGGCCGCGTCATCTGTCCGCTCGTCGGCCACCAAGATGCTGAGCCGGCCGCGCTCCTGCTTGACCTTGGTGGTAAAGTCGAGCGCCTTGGCCTTTTCCTTCATCGACGACTCGCTTCCGTTCCACTGGTACATGACGTCTGAGCAGTCGAGCACAAAGACTTCACCGTGGTGGAGCGAGGCATACGACGGCGCCACCCTGTAGATGCGGATGTGCCGGACGCCCTTGATCTGGTAGAGCATTGGCACCACGCCCTGTGCCACATGCTTGAGCCCGCCCTCCACTCCGCCCTCGAGCAGGGTCATGCCGAACCAAAACACCTTCTTGAACTCATCGCTCTCGTCGTCCTGGTCCTCGCGCACTGCTGACGTCCCGCACAGCTTCGCCAGCGCCGCGGCCTGGAAGCATGCCGTCGTGTACTCGTCGCGGGTCGACTCAGCGCCGACCCAAAAGTAGACCGACTTACTGAGTCGGTCGCCGGCGGCACTCACCGCCAGCACAATGTACGAGTCGCCGACGTAGAACTTGCCCACCTCGTCCAGCGGCTGCTTGACAGGCGTCATCGCCTCGATCCGCCACACCTCGACGCCCTCTTTCACCCCTGCGCCTCGAAAGTGCGCCGGCCACGCCTTCCAAGGATCAGCCTCATCGTCAGAGTCCGACTCGAGAAAGTCGTACTTGGACGCCGACGATGACGGCGCCGGCGGCGGGGGTGGTGGCGGCGGTGGCGGCGGCGGTGGCGGCGCTGCCGATGTGCTCACAGGTGACGCTTCCGCCGTTGCTGCTTCTCCTCCTCCAGCTGCCATTGGCTCTACCTCGCCGCTGTCATCTCGGTCCATGCTCGTTGTCTTGCCAGCAGCCAAAGCAGCGGCGGCGGTGCGACGCGCCTCCAGCTCGGCCTCGAGCTTGGTCTGCTTGGTCTCGAGTGCCGCAAGCTCCGAGAGCGCGACATCGAGCGCAGCCGTCACCTTCTTGACTTTGGCCTTGTCGGCCATCACAGCGTCGCGCAGTGCGTTCGCTTCTGCAGTCAGTGCCTCTGCCCGCGGATCGTTCTTGGCTGCCACAGCGTCGCGAGCGGCCTGCCGCAGCGCCTTAAACTCTGCATCAGCCTTTGCCACCGATGCTGTAAGCGCCTCCAGCTCTGCACGAGCGGCTTCGATCTGTGTTGTCGGCGGGCGACTCGATTGCGACTCGGAGGCTACCACCGTATCTGGCGATGGCACCGACTCGGCTGCCTCCTCTTCCTCTTCCTCGACGAGGAGCGAGACATACTTTGGCTTGGCAAACACGCCATGGTTGGGCTTGCATGTAAAGTAGCGTGTTCCGCAGACCTCACCGTCGTTCTTGCCGATCTGTCAAGGGGGGGGGGGGGGTGAGGGATGAGAGGGGACGATGAGGGGGAATGAGGGGGATGAGGGGGGAGGGGGGAGGGGAGGGGGGGGGGGAGGGGGACAGGGTGCTGTTCTGCTTACAGGCTCGTCGTAGGCAATGCCAACCACGACCTTGTTGCGGACAAAGGAGGCTGGGCCGTGGAAGCGGACTGTCCCAGTATGGCCTTTGCAGGTGACTCGAGAGCCGATGGGAAACGCAGACATGGGGTGGTAGTTGGTGGTAGTTGGTGGTGGTGGTTGGTGGTGGTGGTGGTGGTGGTGGCGGTGGTGGTGGTGGTGGTGGCCTGTGGTGAGGTGGTGGCGGCTGTCACGGCGCGGCGCACGGTGGCCGACGTGGGTTGGGACAAGGGGGAGGGGTGGGACATCAGATCGGAAGATTGGGGGTGGGGTGGGGTGGGTGGTGGGTGGGGGGGGGGGGGTTCAATGTACACTGGTTGGTGCGCAACCAGCTTCGCCAACATACAGTTGTACCTTGCTGCGATGCTCATCAACGACCGCTGCCGAGGCGTGCAGGCAGGGAAACTCACAACGAGACCAGCTTGACAAAGTCATCGACATTAACTTGGCCGTCACCGTCAAAGTCCGCAGCAGCGAGCATCTCCTTGGCCTCGTCGGTGGCGAGCGACTCGCCGAGCTCAGCCATAAACGTGTCGATGAGCTCGTCGACCGAGATGGTGCCCGTCTTTGACGTGTCAAAGAGCGAAAAGGCCCAGCGGAGCTCCTCGTTGGGATCGGCGTCTTTCATCGAGTTGGCCATGAGGACGCAGAACTCGTCAAAGTCGATCTCTCCATTGCCATCGGCGTCGACTTCCTTGATCATGGTGGTCACTTCGTCCATGGTACAAGCATGGCCGAGCTGATGCAGAAACTTGTGCACCTCATCAACAGTCAGCGTCCCACCACCATCCGCATCGACCGAGTTGAATCCGTCGCGGAGCTCCTCAACCTGTTCCTCGGTCAGGCCCTCCTGCAGCGCGTGGGTCGGGGATTCGGCGAGCATGTGTGGGTGAGTGTCAGCGAGGGTGATGAGAAGAAGCAGAGGAACAAGGGCGTGCCTGCACGTGTGTATGTGTGTGGAGTGGGCGGGCAGGGAGGGAGGGTGGGAGGGGAGGGGGGGGGGAGAGGGGCGTACCATGGCACCTCGCGATGTGGCCTCTGCTCGGAGCGAGTGGAGTGGTGCGCGGCGCAGTTGCAGACCTTCCTTCCACAGCTGGCAACATCATGTACAACCTTTAGTGGCGGCAACTACAGCAGCACACACTTTCCACCCTCCCCGTCTTCGTCGTCTGACGGCACTTCGACCGCTACACGCTCAATCGACTCGTCGATCTCAAATCCGGCTGCGCCGCGAAGCTTGTAGAAGAGGACGTACGCCGCCGAGCTTTTGAGCTCGTCGTCGCCGCTTACCTTGTCGCACGACGAATCGTTGAAGCAGTACCACTGCCCATCAGCTCCGGTTGCCATTGCCACATAGTGCCCGCCGCCGAGCGAGCCGTAGTGGTTTGTCACCGCGTATAGATCGTAAATCGGCGCTTCGACCTCGTCGTTGACAATATACTGCCCCGGCTGGAAGCCGGTGACCGGAAAGTCGACGATCTTGCGCGACTTGACCAACGCCCGCGATGGAGCTGGAACCGCTTGAGGTGTACAATGAGTACGGTCGGTGTCGTCCACAAATCCATCTTCTTGTGCGCCCGCTGCAGCTCACCGCAGTCCTTGCAGTACCATGCGTCCTCCTCGTCCATTTGCTCCGCTTTGGTGAACCATCCAAAGCAGTCATCGAGCGAGACTGGCTTTTCCTCCTCCTCGCGCGCCCGCGCCACAGACGCGTCGTCCTCACCTGCACGCTCCGCTCGCCACGAGTAGTACATCGCCACCACGCCGAGATCCCAGTCGATCGCCACGCTTCCTGGGCCGGCATCGAGCACAGACTCGTCGTCTGCAATCGGGCACCCGAGACAGAACGCATACCACGGGCACACCGCGCACTGTGTTCCGTACTTGTTGACCTTTCGGAGGACAAACGGGAACCGCGGCGAGTCCGAGCTAGTCTCCGATCCCGAGCCCGACTCGGAGTCCGAGCCTGATGAGCTCGTTCCGTTCTGGTTCTCCCTTCCGCGCCCACGCACAAGCTTGTCAAGCCGCGGCGGCTCCTCGAGCTGGAAGAACCGCTTGCTCTGCCGCCAGATCTCGGCGTAGAACTCGCTTGCGCTCATCGGCGCGCTTGGGTCGTACGTGATCAGAATCGGCCGCCCGAACACGTGCACTTTGTACGGATTGACAAAGTACACCTCTTGCTTGAGAAGCTTGCGGTGGATGACAAACACCGAGCCGATGTCCAGCGCCGACCGCGGTGTTGGACTTACCACAGCCTCGACCGCAGTCTCGGGTGTCGTCTCGGGTATCGTCTCGGCTGCTCCCTTGCCCTTGGCGTCGGATCCAGATGCAGATGTGCTCGTCGACGCGGATTCCGACGCGGATTCCGACGCGGATCCCGATTCCGGCTCCACCTCTGCCGTTGGGGCCGCCTCTGCCGGGGCCGACTCCGACTCGGACGCTGGCTCCGCCTCATCATCACTCTCGGCCGGTGGCAGCGCCCCCTCGGGCGCAAGAATCTCAAACCCATACACTGACAGCCCGACCCGCGAGAGCGGCGCGTCGTCGCGCACAAACTCCATCACCACCGAGCCCGAGACCACCGCCAGCACGAGGCCTTCGATCGGAAGCCGGGCCATTCGCGCCAGCTTGCGCTTGAGCGCGCCCACTCGCGCTTCTGGATCCATCCGCACGTCGAAACGTGTCGGAATCCGCGTCCCGTCGCGCCAAATCACAATGATCGGCACGTACGTAAAGTCGTCCACAGGAAGCGGGAGTGAGAGCGAGAGGTACGGGTCGAACCGCACAGACTCAAACTGGCACACCGGGCACTCGAGTCGCGACTTGGTGAGCCCAGCAAAGAGATCCACAATGATCGAGTCGTTGCGGAGCTGATAGTTCTCCCACGACTCGCCCGCAACTTCCGCGTCCGGCCGACCGTCAGAGTCCGGCAGCTCGGTGTACGGCTTGTCCATAATCCGGTTCATATCCTCATGCAGTCCATCGAGGAGGTACGCCAGAAACTCCTGCGAGTCCTGCTGCTGAAACGTCGCAAAAGCAGGGTTGAACTTGCCGATCGTCGTTCGGAACTTGTGCGGTGGAAAGGCGGCCACGGCGCCAGACCAGAGCATTTTGACCACCTCCCCGTACCGCTTGGCAATGAGGCCCTTGTACCCGAGCGGGTTCGTGGTGTTGATCTCGGACAGGTAGTAGTCCTTGAGGACAAACTCCGTAAGCGGACCGGTGTGCGCCAAGCACTGCAGCGCAGAGTTCATAAAGCATGTGTTGCCAAGGTTGTTGAGCCCGACCAGCCCCGGCGGGACCACTGGCTCCACCGGCCCGCTACTCGCTCCGGACTCGCCCTCGTCTCCGCCGGCCCCGGCTCCGCCTGCCGCACCCTCGCTCTCCGCCCGCGGACGCGTCTCCAGCAGCGCCACAAGGTGTGCCTCCTCCGGCCACTCGCCGGTCTCCGTCTGCACCTCCATCATCACCACAGAGTCGTGCTTGAGCCCGACCTCGCCTAGGCTTGCGCTCTTGTTCGTCAGCAGCTTGGGGCTCTTAATCGAGTCGCAGTTCCACAGCCGAACCCGCGACGGCGAGAGCGGGCCGAGCCGGCTCCCGCGCGCCGCGCATACCTTTTTGGTCAGCCATGCCACGCTCTCCGACGCCGGGCACGAGACAAGGATCCCAGCCTCGCCCTTCTTCTTGCCGCCGCTCTTGGGCCATGCCTTGATCACACGCAGCGCAAGCGGATAGAGTTCCACGCGGAGCACCTGGTCTGAGCCCATCACCTGCGGCCGCGGGAGCTGCGGGCCAGAGCCAGGATACCATGCCCCAAGCGCAGCGTACACGTTCTGCGGCACAACCACAAAGTCCTCGTTCTGCACCAGCTCGTGCCGCAGCTCGCGCCGGTAGCCCGACTTGCTCGAAATGAGCGGCGTGTTGTCAAACGGAGGCATCGCTCGCCGGTTCGCAGCCTCGCCGCGGAACCCGACGCTCGCCCGCCACCCGCGCCACCACTCGGCCGGCAGGAGGAACACGTCCACGCCGCGCTTGCGCGACGCTTCCTTGCCCTCCTTCAGCGCCGCGTCGATGAACGCGGCCTCGTCCTCCAGATGCTCTGGCTTGAGCCCGAGCGATACGTGCGCAATTCGCCGCAGCGTGTGCACAAACTCGTCAAGGCCAGGCACCCCGCCGCGCGCCACAAACCCTTCAAAGTCGACCCCATTGCCTGCATCCGCGGCGCCGTCGTCGCTACTCGAGCTTGACGAGCTCGACGAGCTCGACGAGCTTGCGTTTTCACCCACGCTCGCGCTCTTTGCTGGCGTCTTGCCCGCCACAGCCATCTCGTTCACCATCGTCGCCAGCTGCACCGCCGAGAGCCGCCCGCTCCCGTCGCTGTCGTAGAGGTCAAAGCAGAACCGCAGCTGCGCCCGCCGCGGTCCGCGGCAGACCGGCGAGAGCCCACAGACCAGCTCGCGAAAGTCGACCAGCTCGTCGCCGTTGTCGTCGAACCGCTCAAAGATCCGCATCGCCACCTGGCTCGTGAGCGGTGGCGCGAGGAGCGCCCCAAAGGTCTTGGCCTCGAGCGCATTGGCGTTGCCCGGATGCTTCATGGTGTAGAACGCCTTTTCCAGCGACTTGACCTCGGCCACGCTAAAGTACGTAATCGACGCCAGCGTGAGCGCCAGTGTCACGTGCTGCTCTGCGCCCGCAGGCTCGAGCGCAAACGGCGTCACCGCGCCTTGCACCGTATGCACCCACGCCGCAAGCGAGTTGGACGACCGGTCCGCGTTGAGCCATGCCAGAAAGCCTGGCCCGTCGATTCCTGCCACCGTCTCGCCCTCGTACTCGATGTTGTTCGTCCGAATCCGCGACACCACGTCGTCGGCCACCACCTCGCCGTCGGTCACGGAGAGCAGCGCCTTGAGCTCTACAGGGAGCACAAAGCCCTTGCCGTCGATGTCAAGCGCCCGGAAGAGCAGGTTGGCCTTTTCCTTTGGCGACGACCGGAACATAATCGCCATCGCCACCACAAAGTCCTTGTACGACAGCACCGAGTGGTGCTTGTCCGTCGCAAAAACGTAGAACAGCGCATCGCCCAGCGTCCCTGGCAACGCGTCTGCCAGCACAGACCGGAGAAACACAGCCTTGGAGAGTGTGTTCTTGGTCCCGCGCGGTCCTGCCCGCGAAAACGCCCCCGTCAGCCGCTCTAGGTCCTCTGCTGAGACTGTTGCCGCTCCTCTGTGTAAGTTGCACTCTCCGTCCCCCCCCTCTCCCCCCACCGACGTGTTCCATTTCTCCCGCCTGTCGCCACCCCCCCTCCCTCCTCCCCCCCCTCCCCCGCCACCCCCCTACCCCGCGACCCACTCCACCCCCCCCACCCTTGCCTACGTACACCGTGAAAGAGCTTCGTCATGCGGAAGGAGCCGCGAGTTCTTGCTCCCCATACCTCAGCAGCGACGACCAGCGAGGTGTTTGGCCAACCGTGTCACGAACCGGCCAAGGCCAACAAGCAGCATCATTGTCTGCCAAAATGCCCCCCACCCCCCCCCCCCGGGCCGACTCGCGCACGGGCGCACTCGACCCGATTGCCGTGCTCGTCCAGAACCCACTCTCTGTCATATGTGGTCGAGCCCGTGGGAGGCTCCACGGACAACGCCACGCCAACTCGACGTCGCGGTCTATTCCCCCCGGCCGAGCTCGCGTCCATCGTCTCCGTCTTTGCCAACAGAGTTCCGCTGAACGGTGGTCACCGTGGTAGGCGCTGCGGGCGTTGGCGTGTCGGCAGCCGTTGCCAACTCTGTGACGACATCGCTTCCCATTGACGGTGTGTGGAAGTAGGAGTGGCACACGGGCGCTGCTTCCTCTCCCCTGTACGTTTGTGCTGCTCGATATGGCTGGAAGTCGTTCCTGTCCAGTGTAAGTGGTCTCCGGGTACGCAAGAACCGGCAAGGCGCCTGCCTCACGCCTGCCGGTGCCAAGTTGGGGAATACTGTACTGCTCCACGTCGTCGGCCCGTCCGGTGGTACCATCGCGGGCATCCAGGACACCGACTCCGAGCCCATGGTCGTGACTGTTGCTGTCGGCCTCGTCGTCGTCTTGTTTGTTTTACCGTGCCATCAGAGCACTGCCGGAAGCTCAGCTCAGTCCTTGGTCATGTGAGCATTTGCCAGAGCACGGGGTGGGAGGGGGGGAGGGGGGTGGGGGGTCGGGGGATCCTTGTTTTGGCTGCT